AAGCCAAATATATAATTGATTCATCTTGGTCATCTGGTACTTCAAAACAATATTCTACCTATTTAGACAGATGGTTTGTTTACTGTCAAAGAGTGGACATATGTCCCACACATTATTCTATTAATCATGGAATTAACTTCCTAACAGAACTATTTAACAAACATAATTTGGGCTACTCTGCTATGAACACTGCTCGTTCAGCATTATCCAATATTATGACACCAGATACAAGTTCGTCATTTGGTAACAATCCACTCGTTAAGAGATTACTGCGAGGGATGTTTAACATACGGCCGAGTATTCCTAAGCATGTTAACACTTATGATGTTGATGTTGTGTTACAGTATCTAAAGGGCCTAGGTGATGCAGATGCTATTCCATTTAAAATGCTTACCTTTCGTCTTGTAACATTGTTTTGTCTTCTATCAGGACAGAGAGACCAAACATTTGCTGCTATTGACATCAGACTTATGGATGTTTCTGATGACAGAGTTGTTTGTTATATTGATCAAGTTCTCAAAACAACTAGACCTGGTTTTCATCAGTCACCTCTTGATTTCCGTGCATTCCCTGATAGCAAGGCTATTTGTCCTGTATTTAACACACAGCAGTACTTGTTTAGATCATTCTCTCTACGTGGTCCGAGAGTGAAATTGTTTGCGAGTTATAAATCTCCTCATCAATCTGTTTGCACCTCGACCATTTCACGTTGGGTGAGAACCACTTTGCAATTGGCAGGAATTGATATTAATGTATTTACCTCTCACTCTACTAGGGCTGCATCAACATCCAAGGCACGAAGTATTGGCCTATCGCTAACAGCTATAAACAAAGCTGCAGGATGGTCCAATTCGAGTACTTTTGGACGTTTTTATAATAAGACAATTCATGAAAGTAACTTTGGTAGTAGCATTTTAGCCAATTTTGATTGTTAATATTGATTATTTGTGTGCGTACAATCGATCATTTCTCAGTTCAAGTCTTCTTGATCAACACATTGCCAGTCTCTTTGAAGTCTCGTATAAATACCGAAAGGAGTTTGGGTTCTAGTTATGGAAAATAATTAAAAAATTAAACAAACCTTGGTGTAGTTTGATGTAGATTATTTTCCATACCTAGAACCAAACGACGTGGGATTTATACGCCCACCCGACCCAAATAATTATGTATTTTCCCCTTTTTCTAGTGTTCATTTTCAGGACTGGCAGGCTCCACTGGAATGTCTTTGAATCAGGTCGAACGCCGCGCGTTGCTCGTATAAATCCCACGTCGTTTGGTTCTAGGTATGGAAAATAATCTACATCAAACTACACCAAGGTTTGTTTAATTTTTTAAGTTTCATCGTGAACTTTCCTCTTGTGGCGGTTGCACATGCTTCTTTGACCTGAGAAAAGGAAGTTTTGCTTTGTAAAGCAGAAAGCGATCATTGCATGGTAAGAAGTTGGTCTTTTGATCCTTACAACTTTTTGTGTTTTGTTCACTTAGACGACTTGAAACACGAAATACATCGAGGTTGAAAAGCACCAAATAAGTTTTTAATATTGGCCTAGATTGGGGCACGGATGATATGAATTATATAGATGCCAACTAAGGGTATCTGGTATCGACTTGACGGAAAAATGCCTCCCTGGAAATTGTTTTACATAGGCTTCTCATATTGCCTTGATTTGAGAGTTTTTAGGCTTTGAAAATAAGTATTTAAATCTTATTGTAAGCGAGCTTCCCTCACTCAAAGGAAGGCCCAATTTAAAAAAAATTGTGTTTCAAAATGGAGAAAATTTAGAAAATCTTAATGATTGTTTGAAAATTGGCTGAATGTTGCTAGATCCGTGAGATTTCTAACAACATCCGTGGCGCGAGAGCATGAGACGAATTTGAAATCCGTGAATCTCACAGCAGATCTCTGTGATTTGACAACTATGGTTAACAAATAGATTACAAGATGTTTGAACATTTGATAACCTGCTTAAAAAGTTAATTTTTGAATTTTGTAGCAATTTTATCAATTTACAGCGACGTTGGTGGGGGATCGTTTGGTGCACATGGCACCATCTTCGACTCAAGCTCATCCGTTTATTTTGGCAAATTTGTCAGATTTCCTTTCAACGTCGTGGAATTTAAAGAAATTTTCCACCAAAATTGCTATATGCCCTAATCATCAGAGTTTTCTGTGCTTATCCTTTAATTGCGCTAATGCGTGTGTATGACCCCTCACCTCATAGCGCAAAGAAAGGGTGACCATGTACACCTTTGGTGGAATTTAGTGCCTACGCCACATCCTGAAGCATCTTGTTCTATACCAAAGCGTTCACGGCTCAGTCATTTATGACATCGAACACTTTATGACAGACCAGTTAACAGTAGTTTTCATTGGTATGTATGTCCTGTATTGAGCAAACAATAGGGCATTTAATCCGTGCGTCACGATTTCCCGCCAAAACTTTGGAAGGCCAATCACGATGCAGCTCAATGATCAGTAATCACATCAATTTGGAGACAAGTTTTCTTCTATTGTAAAAGTGGCAAGGCATATGTGAAACGCAATTAAAGCCCCGAAATGTCCCTCATGGGTTTCTGGCTGATGAGTTGCTTTTTTATTATTTTCTGCCCACTTACAAGTAATTGCAAAAACATACAAGGGGCACAAACAACCCCCCCCCCCCCCCATCTGGGTTTGAGGCTGTAACCAGGTGGTAGTGACTACTCCTTATCTCCCTTTTTCTCATTTTTCCATTTTGGATTTCACACTTTTATTTGCACATTGGTTTTTTAGTTTTTACCTTCTATGCCTATAAACCATTGTTTATTACATTACTTTTTATAACTGTGTCAACTTACGAGCATGCTGTGAATCTTCTTTGAGCGAGTTGTGTTACCGTTATAGAAATAGTTTCCATTATCGGGGACCCTGTGCTATAGAACGGAACGGGAAGTACTTTCTTTTGTGATTTGTCTATCATATTTGTCTAAACTATCAAACTATTTTTCCTTGTCACTAAATCAATTACCCTTCTACAGCCATTTTTTCAAAGATATTGAAGGGCAGTTAAAGTTAAACGCACTATATCTTGAAAGATGAAGCCCTGTTAATGTAAACCCAAAGTATCCCTGGTTCTCCAGATTTCTTTGTCACTAAATCAATTACCCTTATACAACCATTTTTACAAAAATATCGAAGGGCAGTTTGGCTCCGTAATAATAGGTCTTTTGTATAGTCTAACCAATGGGAATTTAACTCCTAATTCCCTTTACTAAACACGAGGTTTTTCAAATTTCAATTAAGCGATTTCTTTTAGACAAACATCAGCTGTCAGTATTCACATTTTGACTTGAGGTATGTCGCTGTTTGGTGCTAAGAAAACATAACTACAGATCTATGAGGCATATTGACAATATTTCCAGTAAAACCCTTTCAGCTGAAAAATAAACAAAATCAATAGGTCAACAAGATGCGCGAGAGTTGAACGAAACTTCACGTGATAAATGAAATTTTTTTGTTATTGCGCGAGATTGTGAATCTGACAGCGATTTGTTTATTTAGACTTTCAAAAATATTTGATCACCGAAACCATTTCATTAGTTTTGAATATTTAATGATGAGAAAATGTTGAATCTTTTATCAGTAAAGCTCTTTCAAGAAAAAGCAAATTTCATGGGAATGAATTTTGCCAATGAATGAAATTGTATAGCATTTATCCAATGAGGATGCTGTATGGAAAGCATAATCTGGAATAAGCAAAATAGTTCATTAGTCAGGGCCTCGTTAATATTTCGAGTCTGCAAGGGGTTTGCCAGTTAAGATACCAGGAATAATTAGGCAATTTAGAATGTTTCTGCCTATGAAATGTGCTCTTCAAGATATGGCAATATGCCTTTAAATTGTGCAGATCTGCCAGAAACCCAAATCATATTTATTCGATCTGAAGATCAAGCCCGCAGTAAAAAATGGCAAGGAAAAACAGATTCCCCTAGCTGAAAAAGAACCAAAATAGTTTTAACAAAGCTCCCAACAATACAACAAGAATAAAAATCACAGTTTTGGTGACGTAACCACGAGTCGCATCTCTCTTTTTGCTCCAGGCCCCAGAAAAGCTATATCAGTAGCATGATGCGCCTTACCCTCATTCATTAGTGTGCATGCATGCGAAAGAGTCAAATATTTAAGTTTCATATATTCCGTTGTAGAATATCGAAGAAGCCCTACTCCTACTGAATGCAATGAATGAGTATAAAGTGCATTATAAAAATTGTTGCATGTTGTGGTTGGAGGTCAAAAAGGAAAAAGTGTCACAACTCATGTACTAAGAAATTTTTCCCAAAAGTCGGTTAACCAGTGTTTTCCTTGTTTAAAGACTGGTGTTCTGTGAATGACATATGACAACCTCTTGCTGTTAAAAACTTACAAATCGACCCCCTTTAAGACGTTTGCAGAGATGAGATGATAAGAAAATTCTCTTTCAGAAAATATCAGAAAATCTTCCATAATGCTACCCTTTACACTATTGCAACAAAATAAAAAGGGAAATTTGTCAGGCTCGTTCCTTTTAGTGAGTTATTAAAAGATGGCTAGCATTCTAAGTAGCAAAAATATAGTCCGGGCAAGATAGTATCGTTCATTGACGGATTACTTGCAAAAATTTTTACTTGATACTATTAAATTGCCAAAGTTGTTCCCGGTTGTCAAAATGGGCATTCTAAAGGACCTTTGCACACGAGGGTTTTCCAAACAAATAGGCTTCGACTTTGAGCAGACACTGAACTTAACACACCTTGCTTTGATCTTAACGAACTTAGACAACTTTTTTGAAGAAGTCTTAAGTATTTTGCTGTTAGAAAAGAGTTGATTTGCGTTTTGGTGAAGCTTTAATGGTTGAAGCTTCAGCACCTTTTTTTGTCTTTCTTAGGTGTTGCTTTGTGCGTGACGTCAAAATGGCAAGGTTGTTTTGGTTGCTAACTATTATGAATTTTGTTATTGGAGGTGGATTTTGTGTCCAAAGACTAACACAAAGGCATAATCAATTCAATGACCTTCGAAAAATTCAATGAATCTTTTCAAGTGACCTTTTTCACATTTCAATATTTCATCCCTTGCTACTGTATCCTTACCCCGAATCGGTTACTGCCGTTTTTGTCCAACTTAAAAAACATGGAATGATGCACTGGTAAATATAGCATTTGCCAAAAAGTCAAATAAAAAGAATCAACCTTCATTAATGAATTGCTAGTTAAACTACATTGCAATTGTATGTCGAAAAAGGAAGCCTTTAGATTTCTATTCTAAGTATCAAGTTTCTTCTAATAAACGGTTATAGTTGAAAATAGCATTGAAAAACGGCCATCGTCCGAAAATTTATGACTAAATGCAGATATCCGAAAGAAACGTTAAAGGAAAAATAGTGCGTTTTGTAGCCATTTGGTAGCCATTGAAGACCCTCAAATCGACTGGACCTCCCTGCCAGGCCCTAATGGAATTACCCCCCTGGGGCTTTGAACAAATTGTTGAGACGCAACTTTTTGCAATTTTCTACTTTATGTTGCCCCTGTAAATTTGAATCCCCCGCTTTCCCCAAAAATCAATGTTGGATTTGTAGTTTTATTATAATTTCTCCTTCGAAATCATGCAATCAACATATAGTCGGGGGAGGGGGAGCTATTTTTTTAAGTAAAGAGGAAATAAGTCAGCTTTCCGTGATAAGTCTCAACTATTTTTGTCCGGAATTGTAGTTGAAGAGTCAAAGATAGAACACACCTATATAATCTTGCTTGATTAATTGATCAGAGTGAATCGAACCGTTTTGCATTTTTCTTAGGGGTTTTCAATGTTTCGCCCGTGCAATTATTTAAATATTAATTTCTGCAATGAGCAGACTCTGCAAAGCTTCCCATTAACACCAAGAACATTCAAAGCTCTTATATTTATGCGATACTACCTTCGCCTTCTCTATGCATGCCAAAGATCAAAACATTTCTGTTAAATGGAGTTTAACAGTTCTATAATCAATTTATTGATAGTTAGAGATTCAATGCCCAGCGCAAAATCCATTTCAACAGAGCAGAAAATTAGGAAATATGGATGTTAAAAGTGTGCAATCAGGATGCCATCTTCGGCGAAATTTTACGATAATATTTATGCAAAACAGGTGAATCAGTTGTTTTCAAGGTTTAAGGGTATCTGTTTGACATGAATAGGGATAAACCTATTTATAACATTTGCATGCTTTATCGTAGACATCTGACTGTATAGATAGCTCCTCTGAGCAAACCGAGACATTTCCTTATCAACAACCTCAGAAAAAAGACAATTCTTTGAGCCACATTTGAAAAAAACTGTTAAAGTTATCTTTTTAGCTTTCGAATCATGAAAATTGTCGTTGATTTTACTGTGCTGAATCAAGAAGTATTTGTTTTTGATTTCTATTGCATTGTCTGCAAGCGCTCATTGCTTATGATCGATACGCTAATGCCTAACTTGCTAAAGCAGCTGCTGTAGAGGGAAGTCCCTACCGGATGGCAGTTCAATCAATATAGAGCTGTCAATTGTCAGCCGAGATGTATAAAAGAGAGACAATCATTGCTTATGATACACATTGGGAAGGACCTTCAAGATCTGCTGGTGCTTAAGAAAAGATTTTCAGCAACATGTAAGTACATTTTAAGACATTTGTATAAAGACTTTCTTGTTCAATTCAGGTACACGCTTTTTATCAGAACACTTGGCTCCAGTTTTAGCCTTGTGCTTCTAATTCTTTCGCATAAACTAAGCCTGTTTCTTATTTTATTTCTTATTTTACAAAGGAACTTTCCTGTGCTTATTAATGTCGGAACATAACATGTTCTTGATAAAGAAATAAATACTACTTTGCTTATCGTTTTTTTCTTTCTTTTGCTTTTCTTTCATTTTTGATTTTTTCTGGTTCTTTTTAGAGTTTTGTTAAATTTCAGCTTGCTTTGTTTCTTATGTTGTTCTTATTTTTTGGACGAATTGAATGTGTCTGCTGCCGGGTATTAATCTATATAACATACTGTGGAATCACGATATAGCGAACTCTGAGGGGAACCAGAAAATAGTTCGTTATATCGGAAGTTTGTTATACCGAGAGATAACGTTTTTGTTGGGTCCTTTGGCAGTTCACGCCTAAAAAATCTGCTGTAGGCTTGTTTAGGCTATCTACAACATCTGTGCACATTTGAAGTCCAAAAAAACCAATGTGAATTCAAATAATACAACTGGCTGGTCATTGAAAATGAAAATCTTAATTTTCCTTTTATAATTTAGGACCAAGAGATTGGCAAAACTGATATCACTTCACTTCTAGTTGGTGCCTGAATAATGTCTTCGATTGCTTCACATTCTTTTCTTTCTGTTTCTCAATCTGGGTATCTCAATAAGTTTTTGTCGTCGCTCATTGCCAATGTCACATATGTAAGAAGGTATTCGTTAGTGTCAATGTACTCATTTGCTGTATTTTCTGACGCAATCAAACTTTCATCTCCTGCACTGAGTCTATCAGCCATTGCTCAAAATGTATCATCGGCATGTTTTGTTGATTACAAAAATGATTTTCCCCCAAGAGAAAGTGATAAATGAACAACAAAAATGAATAAAAAAAACAGATGAAACATTTATGAAAAAATCGTTATATCGAGGGTAACTATGATGAAGGGACCTAAAGATTGGTTCGTAATAACGAGAGTTCGCTATTTCCGGGGTTCGTTATACCAAGAGAATTTATAAGGATTTTGTTAGGCCAAATCCAAGGGACCAGACATATAGTTCGTTATACCAGGAAGTTCGTTATTTCCGGGGTTCATTATATCGGGATTCCACTGTATTGCATTACAAAATATCAAACTTTATAAGTTTGAATTCCTTTCAGGGCATTGGTTCTCTTTCTCTTGCTTTTGCTCAAAGTGTACATCGGAGAATGTTCACACCCACGTAAGTTTTGTTTTAGTTAGGTTGAAATTTGTAATGTATCGATCAAATGACAGTATTTTGTAGCCTTTCTTATGCTATTTGTGCGTTATTGCGAGCACACATAATAATGTGTAAAAAAGATTTAAAGATTTTTAAAGAAACAATATTTTCTGACTTTTTGTTTGCCTTTAGTGGGATTAGATTGCTATAAATTAATCCTGGATTTGCTTGGATTCGTTTCATCGTCCAAAAAAAATTACATTTTTCTCTTCTTCAGTTGATTCCTGCCCAATCAAGGTGGAGCCAGTTGGATGTTACGAGGACCTTTATCACGACAGAGCTTTAACAACCGAGGTATTCACTTTCCAGACGCCTTTTTCAAGGGAAACCATGAAATAGGTCCTTATCTTTAAAGACATTTGACACAGGTAAAAATGGCTTAAAGCCACTCGACCACGAGCGGTTGACCAATCAAATTGCGAACAGATAAAAACACGTGAACGTTTTCCGCATTTCTGCAAATTGGTGAAATCCTAGAGCAGCGCGCAGTGGTTTCACGTGAGCAGTTTTTCAATTCCTTTCTTATGCACGTGGTCTGATCAATTTGGCCTAATTCATTTTTGGATTTGCTGAACTTATGCATGTCAAATGCCTTTAAGATAGGTGATTCAAAATAGTCATAACTACTGTATATTGTTGGTACCTCAGAAGAGGCGTGATTAAGGCAAACTCACGGATCTCCTGTGTAACAAGAACGGCAAGGAATTTTTTCCACAGGGGATAGCAGGTAAATATGGTAGGGGACAGACAAATTTATCTTTGAGGGGATGGGTAAATTTGCATTCATGTAGGTAGCGCCCGTCGTTATTAGCCGTCATATACCCAGGGCCACCGAGTCGTTTTAGAAGGTACTTGCGAACCGCAAAGCTCGTTTTTGCGTGATGATACTTGTTGCGCACATGAACACTGCGATGTATGCACAATGATAGTCTGGGTACCAGAGCCACAGAAGTTCAAATGCTTAGATAGGGAACCAAGTAGAGAAGCGGAGGAGCGTCTAGCTGAGAAGAGGAGGAGCGTCCACTCATATCCTCTAATTCCTGCGCTCGAATTGATGTGGCTCTGGTACGGAGGGTAACAAAACGAACGCTTGGGAAAGAAGTGATTGTGAAAGTTGTAGTGAACAGAACTTAAATATGGAAAACGAGAGGAAGACCTGTTTGTTAAAGAGATTTGAGACTTTGGGGGTTTTTTAATTGGATAAAATTGTCAAATATTTCACCCACACTCATTGCAATTCAATCTGTGCAGACCATCATTTTTGCTGAGTTAGCAGTAAATAATGCGATATCTGTCCAATGAAAAGCCAGTTTATGATTCCTGAGGGGGAGCTGGGTATTACTTACCCCCTTTGAGGAACATCAATAAGCGAACACGGGTAGCGATAAAGCAGTGCATGCTCGCAAACAGAGTAATTTTCTGTTTCTTTTACTTTTTTCTCTCATACATTTCTTATTCTTCAAGATATTTTAGTCTGGATTTTGAAATGTCTTGAAAATGTTCTAGATCTTGAATGCCAGAGACAGCTCTCGTGACATTTATGCGGGATACTCGATTTCTTGGGGAAATTGGAAAGACTACCTACCAAAATTTATCTGCGAGTAAGTTTTTTCTCATAACTTCTTCAAGTTGTTCAAATATTTCAGTGAATAGCTACTTCCAATGACGGGCCAATCGGATATGAGGGAGCGTTTTACTTTCATTGAAATCTGTTCCGCAAAGCAATCGCTATAAAAAATGAATATAAAATTGATGGGTATTTTGTAATTTTTATGAAAGGAAAGTTGCACAAAGTTTGAAGTTTTACTTAAAGGTAACAAAAGGGGGTTGTTTCTGTTATATAAAAGGTATTGGCTTTTAAATACCCAGAGTATTTTGAAATTTTTGTTAACACCACAACGACATTATATTCATGCTAATCGCTATTATCACCATTATCAGTATAGCCGTTAAAATTATATCTTTTTAATACAGTTTGCTTTATGAACTATAAATTACCTCATACTTCCTTTTTAGCTGTGCTAAAGTTGCATTTAAGAAAGGATTTAGAGTCATGGGAATTCAGTTTTATGGTAAATAGCGAGCGTACCAGTTAGATAAAGCCTCGTCTTTCGAACAGGTCGAATAGAAACAGTACTGGTTTTAACTTATTTTGCTTTAATCCTAAATGCTTTGCGTTGCAAAGATTATTGACAGGACAGTTTTAGACCCTAATGATGTAAAGGAAAATTTAATTGGGATTGTTGTGTAATAATTTAAAAAGAAGCTTCCATAAGTGCACTTCTCGGATGATTTTGAAGATAAATGGCATTTGCGTCACTATCTGCCTATTTGTTTCAAACTCTTTCATACTGGAATCCTTAGTTTCGCCTGAAGGTGCATCTGCTAACGTTTTTCAATTCAAATTAGGTAAATTTTTTTCAGTTTGATAAAAAATTGATGTGAACAGTTCTTTGGTGGTACAGAACTTGAAAATGGCTTTGAAAAAGCAAACATTTTAAAACATATTGGCTATAAACTAGCCAATAAATGAATTAATGCTTTTTTACGGGTCAATTTTATGTTTTCTCCAGGGGAATGCTGGGGCAGCATGAGAGGCCACTTGGATTATGCTAAGCATGGAAAGTCCAAAAACTGCGTACATGATGCACGTCGCGAGATATAGGGTAAATGCAAAAATGGAGCAGACATTGCTTGTTCGGGTGAAACACTAACAAACTTCGTATATAAAGTGGCACCTACAGGTACGGGTGCCTTGAAATTCATTTCTGTTGGATGGAGCACGTGAGCCTTGAAACAACTGTAGAAAATTTTATCTACCGTCTCAATGATAAACAAATTAGTTTTTTAAGGGAATTTATTGCATCATTTGTTGCAACTATTGTTTAAAATCTAAACAATCAAAAAATTTGAACGAGGGGTAGTTTATGACCAAAATTTTTTTCAAAAAAAGGATATTGTCTTAATTGAAAACATTGTGTCAACTTAAAAAAAGTGTCCCCTGTGTCAGCTCTACTGCTTGCAAAACGTACTTGGAACACCTGAGCAGTTTCAGTCAATTCTCGAGATATTTTCATTTCATGACTATAGAAATAGCCGAGTTGCCCCCTTTCCCCAGACAATATTAGAAATCCACCCATTTTCAAGCTAATCAATTTTTTCAAAATTACAGGTTGCGTTTGAATATTTTATTTCTGTAGAGAATAAGCTAACATTGTTTCAAGGGGAGTGAGAAACAGCTTATGCGAATGACAAAATACTATTGAAGTTCCAAGACTTGCTGACTTTACTAGTAAACATTACCATGTTACCTAGTAATATTTTCTTAACGTTTGTTATTCTCACACTATCTCGTAAATGAAAAGCCAATTATCAACGCTACTAACTGACCTCCATAACCTGCTAGGATTCTAAATCGAAAGGTTTTTGGGATTTGGAAAAGATGTACACTTTCATCTTTGAAACTAGATGATTTCTCCAAAGGCTCAATGTTCTATTTTTTTTGAGTTCTCTTTATGTTGTTTTTGTTTCACAAATTATTATTCGTCAACTACACATTATAATGTTTTTTCAAAACAAAAAAAAACAGTTTTGCGTGATATTTTTTGTGGAATTTTTCATTCTGCTCTGTTTTGTTAACGTTAGAAAAAATTTGTAAAAGAACATCGCTTTATTTCTTCTACTTTTTCATCAGAGGCTAGTCATGCCCTTACATTGTTATAATTGTTGGCGAATCCAACCTTGGTGAACTTAAAAGATGTGTTGTGATAAAAAGTATTCTCTGATTCAAGATGTGTAAGGAATTCTAGCCCGTACAACTAATTCATACTTGTATGGATATTTTTTGCTGCCATTACCTTGAGATAAAAAAATCTTAATTTCGCTCAGGCTGCGACACTTACTACGAACCTGTTGGGTGTTTTAAAGACAAGCAAGCTGTGCCAAGACCACTTCCAGACTACGTCATGAACGAACGTGACTACACTATCTCAAACTGGAACGAGCATTTGATTGATTGGAAAAACTGGAACACCTACTCACCCCAGATGATTTGCCGATGTGCCGAGAAGGCCAAAGAGCTTGGACGCAAAACATTTTCACTGCAATTTTACGGTGTGTTTTGCCATTTATTTGGACAGGCACAAATGAATACTATTCTATTTTATTCCATTCCTTGACGTAACGTAGTAAGCTCAAGCGTCATTGGGAGGCAGAATGTAAATAAAACCCCTTGTTTATGTTAATGCAGCCCCTGGTTTTATTTCATCAATTCTTTATAACGTTGAGGAATGGGTTAGATATTCGTTTTTGGCTTTATTCTTCTTCAGTCGTATGAAACTTGTGAATAAAACTTTCTTAATCTTACAGATAGTCAAACAAGCGTATGATAGGAATGGCACTGTCCTTTAAATAACATCTAATGAAAATGCATGCTGATTTTAAGGCCCCTCCCTACAAGTGCATACGACAATACAGTAGAAAATAGCCAGTCGTCCAGTTTCATCGTGCCCTTAAATTGCTTTTTCGAGTAAATTTTCTGCTTTTTGTTCAACGTTAATAAAGTAGGCTGTACAAAATCACCATGCATTTGATCTTCTCACTACAGTGACAAACGTGTGCCAAAATGGTCACCCTATGTTATGCCGAAATACTTTTGAATTTCTTTATTCTTGAATGTAATCTTCCTATCCAAACAATTTCTTTAAGGTGAATGCTGGACTGGAGATGAATCTAGCATAAATTACGCTAAAGACGGAAATTCGGAAAGATGCCTTGCAAAAGATTTCTTCAAATGTCCTTACAATTCGTACGATTGCGTTGGAATGGACCATGCAAATAGCGTTTACACGTTAACAACTGGTAAGGCTCAAGAAAAATAGATGCCATCAAAATGCCCCCATTCTCACATGCAACATTTATTCGGGAGACGAAACCTTCAGTATTTTATTTCGAAACAGTACCTACACTTGTTGTGAATGCTAATTTTTGATTTTGTTATGAAAAAGCAAGTTAATCTAAAACCAACATGAATTCTTTTTGGTCCCAAGCAATACAGCAAGGTCCTAACTTTGACGCTGCAATGTGGAATCAACGCTGGGCTTGAGTAGCTCGATCCAGTCTTTTTTTGAGATCATTGGTACACGACTCTTGAACTTCCCGCCCAGGGTTTCAGGTGATAATACGCGCGTGCCATGACCCCGAAACGGGGGCTAGTGCATGGTCTGGATGATTTATCTCCCGAAAAAGCATGAATAATGGTCTTGAAAATATCCGTGGTTTCTGAACCAAGAGACTTGTACAGAGCTCCTCATCTAGACAGGGTTCCCAGATTTTTAGAAAGGTCAGAATCGTCAAATCAGGTTCTGATTCCTTATTGAAAACATCTACTTCCCAAAGGAATTACATCCCTCTTGTTATGACGGTTCCTTGCACGCTTGTACTGGAATTAGACTCTTTTGAGTTGGAACTTCCCGTAGATTTTGGTCACCAAGAGACACCGGGGCCATTCTCGGCAGTTTTGCTTGATAGAATAATATTCTTCAGTTGTCTACTTGAAAAAAGAAGTGGCAGAAATAAAAAGGTGTTATTACAGATTTACATTGAGCAGCATATTAAAAAGATGCAGATACAAGATGCTCGTTGTTCACCATAAAACCGCATTCATTGGAGCTATTATTTTGATCGTTTTATCTCAATGATAGAAATCTTTGCATGCTCGATTTCTTAGGTAATGATTTAATGTTGATAAATGAAATTGTTGACTTCTGACAAAATACTTGCCTTGTGGATTGCCAGATTGAAAGCTGGATCAGTTATTAAGGTGAAACCCAGGAAAAGCTTCGTAGGACACCTTTTAATTTAGCAAGAAGCAGAGTGGAGTGGATCAAAAAGGAAAGAACGAAACGCAAACAATGTTAAAAAAGGAGACGAGAGTATGTTGGGAAGAAAATGCTATGTATGTAGACTGAATGGGGCCAAGAGCAAAATACAGCAGTATGCTTTGTGTCTTTCTATTTTCTTGCTTTTACTATTTTATGTTATTATTGTTTCTTTATTATTACATGTATTTTTGCACGAATCGCTGTGAATTTTATCAATACTGATTCTTTCTTATATGCAGAACCTAGCACAGCAAAACCGTGGTCAAACCCCGTCAAACGTGAAAAGTTTGTTCTCCCAGCCTAATGGTTCAAAAATACTAGAGTGCATTTTCACCATAGGTAAGCTTGCTTTAAAATCTAGTTATTGTCACATTTTTTAGTCAATTAGACTATGAAACGTTATTTTCTTTCAAGAAAGCTTACTAGAGAGATTGTCACTATTTCTAAATAAGGTCTATTTATACTCTTTTGCTTTGCGTTTTTTATTCATATCATGTAAATCTTACTGCCATAACGGACCCATTATTGCCATAACGATAATTGCAAAAAATAGATTGAGCATCAATTAAAATTGCTACGAATTCTCTCTTTTAGGTTAGATGAAAGCAATGTGAAGAGTAGACTTCGTTTATTATAAACAGAGCTTCCTTAGAAGAGATATTGCAAAAGGGGACAATATTTGGTTCAAATTAGCATCTTAAGCAAATTAGCACATGACATGCACAGAGTTCATGACTTATTTATTTCAGAAATTGAAGTTTAGATTATCAAATGATTGCAAGAATTTGCACGCTCTCTTGCCTCTTACCTGCACAATTAAAAAGAATCGAACCTTCCCTCTGAATCCTTTGATATTCAATGTCACGAATTCACTTTCAATTTGAAATGTCTCAAGGCCACCTTTTAACTGCAACGTGGTTGTAAACGGGTGTGGTACTAAGGAAAGCTACAGGGGTGGGGGAGTAACTTTCTTCTTCAATTTTATCAACACATGGCCTACCCTGTTCTTCTATAATTGACTGAAATGAACTTTGCACGGGGATGTCATGTTTCTAGCATTGTGCTAGGAAATAACACTACACAAGAAGAGTAATAAATAACGCAAGAAGGGTTTAGCACTAAACATTGTTGATTGTGCGAGACGGCTGTGATAATATCTGCAATGTAATGTATTTTCCGACCATTACTTCTTCACTCTCCAGAAGCTGTTGTTGCTACTGGGAATAAGGGGCCACTGATAATTTCCTGTGGCACAGCTATAAAGCAATGATTTCGCAAATCTATTAAAGTAGCATCTATGTTGATGTAATATTAATTATCTTAAAAACAATGATCACACCTCACTGTGAAAAACCAGTTTATCAATCCCCACTGTAATTTTCCTCACGCTTTCCTCTTTTTGGTTGTTTTCACCACAGAGTATATATATATTGATAATTAAGGCAAGATTTTGAAGATGTTTTTTAAAGAAGTTAGGGAGATTTGTGCAAAATTTGGCTGCTAAGAACCGGTTCTAGAAACAAACTGCTTGAATTTTGAAATCAGTTTCTACAATACTGTAATGTTAATAATTTTTAGTCATGAATTTACTTAAGTTTTTAAGTTTAGTGCGACACCCCCTAATAGTTCTGTATCCTTTGGTAAATTTTCGTTCATTCGGTAAAAATCATTCATTGGTAGTCAATAGTAACAAAGTAACGCCAAGATTTTACTTAATTTATTTTTTTATCAGTATCAATCTTCTTATCAGTAGCGTAGCGGGGGAAAGGGGGATATTCTCGAATATATTTTAAGCTGATGTCAAGGGCTTCGTCGCAAAAATTTTCAGTAAGCCTCAATGTTCAGTAATTTCCCCTCGTTTTTGGGTTTGTATATAAAGATCTTCACGTTCTTGAGACATTCGTTATAAAATAAAAGCTAAAATGCTAAAGCAGTCCAATCCTTAAGAAACTGGAATCTGAAATGCTTGTCGTGGACTTTGCTCCAAGAAGAACAGACTTGGTTTAAAACTTTTGAATACTGTTAATTTTTTTAGATATTTGATCACAACTTTGGAAAATCACTTTTTGTACGTAGAGATTCCTCGCCTTACACAATTCAGGATTTAAATGTTAGTGGAATTGTGAAGAAAATAGACAGTTGCAGAATATGGTCAGCCGCCTATGATGTCGAATAAAGGGAAATTGCCACGAAAAAACGCCATGGTTTTTACAAAATGGGTGTTTTTCCAAATTCTTTGGGGTGTGATCAGCAAAAATATCTTCCTCTTTGGCCTACCATTCTTCCAAATCTGGCTACGCCACAGTGAAAAACCACATTTCAAAAATGGGCGTTTCCATCATTTACCAGTGACATGAAAGGTGTGGCACCAAAAGGGGTGTCTAACACCTCCCCAATCATTGTTGCTTAAATCCGCCCCTGCCCTGAACGCAGCGATTTCTGATATAAAACTCATTATCTTTGTCAGAGCAGAAAATCGAGAAAATTGTTTCAAGTTTGACGAAGAGAGTCTGATTTCCGCTAGAAAATTCAAGCGCTCCGTAGTTGGTCTGTAAAATGGTTGTTTGCTGTTTTGTTAATGTGAAGAGGTTTAAAACAAAGATCCATTTGACTTTGGGTATTGTGTGGCGCCAGAAAAATGCGTTAATTGCTAATTCCGTTTTCCAGAGCTCGTCCTGCTCTGGGGCAGGACGACGGAACCATTGAGGGATTAGTGAATTTGGTTCAGTGGCAATTTAGGTGTCCGCACTGGAAAATTAGCGAATCCAAAACTAACTTAGGCCAAATTGAGCAGAGCACGCGCACAAGGAAGGTATTGAAACCGCTCACGTGGAACGACTGCGCGCTGTTCTAGGATTTCACCGATTTTTCACGTGTTTTTCTCTGTGCGCAATTTGATTAGTCAACCGCTCGTGGTCAAGTGGCTGTAAGCCACTTTTACCTGTGTCGAATGCCTTTAAGTGTGTCAGAAGTTCTTCCTGAAATCTTGTTCGTTGCGTCGAGGGCCTAGGGCCTAGTGATGTTTCATTTTGTATGGCGTTTCAAATTTCATGTGGCGTGTCAAGTTTAACATGCGTTTCAAATTTCATATGACGCTTTACATTTAATATAAAATGATGCATTGTGACAAGATGTGATGCATTGCGTTATGGCGGGAGAATCAAGGAACACAAGTCACGTTGAAATTCTGTTTTTCCATTCAAAGCAGCAATGTTTTCAATAACTTTGAATGCCGGTGCAAGGAATACCTGCCAGCACAAGAAGAGCTCAAGACAAAATAACTGCGGTACAAACAAAGAGCTTCGTCATTCCTAGCAGGGTGCTGCATATTTTCCACCAGTTTGGAAACAGATCTTTATCAACTCCGAGTAAATTTTTCTTATTCAACTTTTTTGCCACCATTGACTCAGTAGAGATATTGAGTTAGTCGTGCAGCAAAAAATAATCAAATGTATTGAATAATTATCATGTTATGCATTATGTTAAGCTATTTTTTCAACAATATTGCTTATAATCAATTGTTATCATCACAAATTAAAAGAGTCTGGGAAAATGTACTTAGAATTGGGAGCATTCTGGTTGTCCATTAGAAATATATTTGGAGAAATATCAATGTGGTGCATGAACCACAACGAATGCTTCTTTATCTATAATTCCTATATCCCAATGGGTGTCTTTTTAATTTGAGCGCCATCTTTATTATCCTTTTTGCGTTTTATGGTTTAACATTTTGTTTGTTTTTCTCTGCAAAAGCTTTCCTGAATTTTTTGTTGCCTGAAGTAATATTTTAGAACTGCACAAATATTTCTTTAGAACTGCACAAATATTTCTTTCGAACTGCACAAAAAACTTTTAGAACTGCACATTTTGTGTAGAACTGTACAGGAAAAAAGCCCTGCCGGGAGAAGCAAAATATTTTGATTTCTTCCGATGAATTACGGTGAATTAATTAATCAAGTTCTATTAGGATTATTTTTGATAGATGGTTTTAATAAAATTTGGTAGATTTCAAATAACGGAAATTATCTTATTTGATCGTAGACTCTGAATTGCGATGAAATACGTCGAAATACGTTGTATGAAAACCAGCCTTTAAATGGGCAAAAATACCAAGTAACTAGGAATTCAAGTAGATCAGCAATTAAAATGATCGAGGTGGTTTTCAAATCCCTGAATGGCCATTGATTTGAAAACCACCTCGACCATTTGCCGTCCTATATGAGTAACATGTTCACTAGGGTAAGCAAAACCTCTCGCGTACTGCATTCTTATATTATGAAATTGACCATATTATGAAAATGCCAAAAGCTCAACAAAGCCTAAAGAAATTGAAGGAAGGTCTAATAAAATCCTGCATTGTACGAGTCGCAGTATTTATTTCGAATGTTTCAAATTCCTTTTATTTATTTTAATCTATTTTAAATTAAATGGTATTTGAATGCAAGACCCCCTGTAAATCAGTTTTTCCCTAACTGAAGGGCTACCATGCCTAAAAATTGGAAAGGAAAGGAAATGAAAAAGAGCAAGATAGAAGATTAATTTAGGTTAAAGAAAAACTTTTGTTTAGAAGACGACTCAGGGCATTTTTTAAGAATTTTCCACTGGTGGGGCATTTGAGAAAAGGGCATATAGATAAAGGTAGAATTTACAGAGAAACAGGCTTTCAAAAATATTCTAGGGGAATCGCCTATAAAAGCAGCAGTTCCTGGGAAAAATGAATTGAGATTTGAAACCTGTTTAATGAAGATTTCATCCACCAATATCTCAAATAAAGTAAAAGTAAAAAAAGTCACCGAATCATTAGGGCACTTTAGTGGTGGGGCAAACATGTTCCACTGGTGGGGCAATGAAAGGGGCTGGTGGGGAATTTCCCCATCACTTTATATGTTAAAAAATTCCCTGAGACGAATACACTTTTTCCTATAAGAATCCTATAAATTCTGTCCAACCAAGGGCACCTGCTTCAGGGGGCAGTGGGGTAGTAGCCCCCTTGCCTTTTTCTTTGTCCTTTGACCCCGTTGCCCTCTTCGAGTGCAAGCTTCCGTGTGTCCAGCCTCTATATTCTTAAGAAATTTTCGTTTTGAGCCTGAATATGTTCTAAAATCAGGCCCGTCGGACCCGGGGGCTGAGGGGGCTGGAGCCCCCCCAATAATTGTCAAACTGTAATATCTTTCCTTTATAACAGTGTACTGAATGAGAAGGAAAACAATGGGCAGCCCCCCCAATATAAATTTCGTTCCGACGGCACTGAAAATTATTTTTATAATTTTAAACCTGGTATAGTTTCAGGAGTTTTGAAAATTGTGAAACACATAAAAATATGAAGAAAATATGCAATTTGTAGCTGAGCAATATTTTCAATGAAACAACTGATGGATGGATAGCACAAATTATGCGAGTTTTGAATGCACAATTTAATGGAAATGGTGTTCTATATCTCGATTATTTGCAGTTATAAAAATCTTGTTATAAAAGTTATGAAATATTTTGTTTCTAGTCAAATAAGCTCCTCAACTTTTTTGGTCCTCTAAATATAAATCCCTCGCAAAGTTGCTCCTTATTAGTGAAAAAATGTTATCCATCCAATTATAAAGTCATTCTGAGGATTATCTTAAGATAACTTCTAAAGAGCTGAAAATGACCTAGCAAGTAAGAAATATCGATTATTGTTTTTTAAGTCATTTGCCCCTCAACTATGTCCATAACTCCTAACATGAATTGCTTGTTGGTGCCATTCCCCCCATTTTTGGGTCTTTTATATAGAATGGCCAAAGATATACTGTTTATTGATTTTGAAAAATTTGAAAAAAGATAATCAAAACTTCTCTGCAGAAAAATATAAGCTTTATATCCAATTAAAATTTGTATACCGTAGCTACATTAACCGTTTCTGCGTTTCTGTCACCAAACAACTTTTTAAGATTTGTTTCAATTTAATTGTTTGATTTGAACCGAGTAATTTGAAATCAAGTGGCATAGGGAAAAATGGCAGTGAAAACAATGCATATTTAATGATTTTTTACCTTTCCAGATATACTTTTCTGTTCCTCGTCCATAGAATTATATTCATCGCTTAGAAAGAATACCTGCGGAACCCAGGGGTTGGTCGCTGAGAAGGCGTTGAAAATTGATGGTCACGTGGAGAATTCCCACGCCGAGGCCTTCCATCCTCCGCTTCGGCTTCGATATCGATTGGTGTTATGACGCCATATTTTTGTCGCGAATTGTACAAATGCTTGGGATATACAAAAGGATAATGTTTGATTTACTGTGAGAAAATTTAGTCATTAAAAGCAGTTTTGATATGTCTGCACTTTCGCTCTATATAACGGTCTGCAGACAGTTATTTGATTCATGCTCGTCGGCTGACCAAAACAAAGACGAAGTTTGGGAAGAAACAGCGCGGAAGCTAAAAAGACTGAGGCATGCCCTGCAATGCCGAAGCTGTAAGAGAATATCCAGGGATTTATATGGTTCTACTGGTTGTCTTCACTTGACTTGTGGCTCTTGCAAAGAAAGAAAGCGAGGAAAATTCACGGCTTGTCGGTTTTGTAAGAATTGTGAAGAACTGGAGCTGAACAAACAGCACAACTGTGTCCTAAAATGTTACGCCAAAATTTGTGAGTTATTGCGGAGTTATCTTCTTCATGGGAGTGACTGTGAAAGAAATGGCAGAATTGAACAACTTTTAGAGTTGATTTATGAAGGTTCTACGCTGTTTGACACTACACACGAGGGAGCATCAAATCAGGGAAGTCTAGGACATCCGAGCTCTTCCGCGGATACCGGACAAATAAGAATGATTGACGTCGGCCATGTTACTTGTGAAAACAAAGTAAGCCAAGATGGCGGCGGACTTCGTAAAGATGGCGGCTTCTTCAAGCAAACCTACTCGGCTAAAGAAGATCGGATTTTTCATCAAGATCAGTTAGCTGAAAAAGTTACGGTATCATCGGAAAATAGAAACGGGAAGAACGAAGTCGATTCCGCTACTGTGACAGAGTTGGAAAGTCCTTTAGCAATCAAAGATGCCAAAAATACACAAGCTGAAACGAAGACCAAGAAAATGTCAGTAACCGAAAATGAAAATGCGACATCTATTATGCCGAAGTTTCCTACAAATGATCATGAGACACCTATTAATGGAGAGAGTAATTTGGAATCAAAGAAAAATGGTTATCTTGATCAACAGCTTTTGCAAGAGATGGAAATGAACAGTAATTTTCAAAGTATACCGCGTAAAAGAAGAAGTATTCAAGCAGATACTCATGAAAGCTTAGCTCCGCGAAATGAACTGAAAAATTTAGCAAAGAAAGGAAGACTTTATCAAAATGATAATGCAAAGCAAGGTCATTTTTCTGAAAATACAGGAAATCAGAGCCCGTGTGATGACGAGGAAGTTCTGTTTGATGAAAGATTGCCCAGAGTAGATGAAGCTAAAAGACAGAATCTACATGGAAATAGGAAAAGTTCAGTTAGAAGTGTCAAGAAGCAGTTGGTTACTGAGGGAAGAGATACTTTGATTGAGAAGGACAGAGCTGATAATGGCAATCGCCATAGCTTGATGCGTAAGAACAAATATAAATGTTCTTGTGGAACATCAAACAATAGATATTTTTCTGACATTTGCAATCATAGCCGTTGTGTTTGCTATGCTGCTGGTGTTCCATGTGTAGCCTGTAAATGCAAATACTGCTCTAACCCTCACCAGTCACACTACAATGTTAAATGGTCAGCATTAGGGTTTGAAAGTGACAAACAATCAGTTAAAATAGAAACTTCAGTAGGAAACAGTTAATTCATTACTAGCAACCCTTCTGTTTCGTTTTAACCTAGGTGTGTATATTTATATGAATATATTGTATGTATGTACATCTGTCCAGCTGATGGTGTATCAGATTTTTCATTAAGCATTTCTTATATATAACATTTATTTTGTGTTGCTTTTTGTAATCTGTACTCTCTAAAAGTCTGTGCTTTTTAAACAAAAATCAATTTTTTCTAAAAAAATTATGCATGTTGTCAACCCAACTCATACCAATTTGTTATTAAATGAAAAGTGACTCTAAAATTGTGAAGGCAGAGGAAAATGCCCTAAACAGGTAGAGATGTCTCCTTTGTAAAGGGATCATTGCTAACAAGATTTTCAAAGTCTTGAATCCTGAGAATTGCAAAACAAGTAATTTGTTTGCATATTTTCCTCCAGCATTGGCAATGTGTTTGAATTTTTGTATTTTACTCAAATCCTTTTTTTTGGCTTTCTTCAGTTCAGCCTTCTGCAATGAAATTGGTCACTAAATACCACGAGACTTAATTCTGACAATTACTCCTTGCACATTGGTCATGAAAAGCCATTCTTCAGTGCCCAACATTGTTGTTTGCTTCCAAAGAATGATGACCATTTCCATCCATTGACTCTACTTGCGATTTAATTTTACAACATTGAGAGGACAGTACAAAGGAGTGGATAATATCTTGAACATTCCATTGCCATTACGCAAAGAACACAATCACTGGACCAATAGTGGAGCCAATTTCATGTTCATTTTAAGGTTAGCATAAATTAGGTTTCAATGATTTTTATTCGCTAAATAAAATCTGGAGAGATGCAAGCCTAGAAACTGAAACTAAAAATCCTGGATGGATAGAGTTCTATGTATTCTGTTGTCATGTAAATATCTTGCTGCTCAGTATTCTTTGTCAGACCGTTAACTTTTCTTATTGCATAAACTTCATATTTCATTCTTCTAAGATGGGCTACCCCTAAGCAGAACCTGTTTCAAGTAGCCATGCATTAAAATCTTTATTACAAAGTCTCATAGTTTGCATCCTAAATTTATTGGATAACTTGAACATTTCTGAATCATTAAACTTCCCAAAAATTTTTAGGGATTATTTGTTTCATATCGAAATGACAACCACATCAGAAAAATACAATGTCCCTCAAGGCAGCAAGAATATTGTGATTTTAAACTGAACCCTTTCCCTTTATTTTTCACCCACGCCTCCCAATTTCCTGATTCCTAAACAGCCCCAGGCCACCCTACGCTAACACTAGAATATTCTTAGGTCCCGAATAAGCACCCCACCCTCACTTATTTTTTTCAAAGAAATCTCCGCCCCCTGCTCTTATTAGGACCCCCTGCTTATTAAGTTTTCAATTTTTCTTGGAGAGCCCTTTAAAAAGTGTGAACAACTGAGGTTGAGTTTACCCAAATAAGGAATGAGCATCTTTCATTCTCAACAGTTTTAAGATTAGTAGCCTATTCTAGCAGATCTTTGATAGTAAGCTTTAGTGAGAAGTGTGCTTCACTGCGCTGAATTAGCAACCACTTGTCTAATTTTCATATGTGTCAAAATTTCCTTCAACTTGTCTGAGTAGTGCAGCCCGTGCTCTATTGCTGTCGGATATATTACACCTCCCCCCACTTATTTCTACGCCCTCCCTGTTTATTGAATTTTGAGAAATTTTCCAACCTAATCCCCCCCCCCGCTTATTTGTAACAGGGGTTAGACTTTCTCTAAAACCCTTGTCACTTCGAGTAGTCAACGAATTGAGAGTGAAGACAAAAAGCGAGCGACTCGTGTTGAGGTTAATCACTGACTGAATTACTAAACAAAAGACTAAGTGTTTTATACAAACGAAAGCGAGGTTAGCATAATAATTATGTATGTTAATTAATGGCATATGATCCTACTACAGTCCATCCCTTCTACGTAAAAAAAGAAAAGAACTGGAAGGGATTTTCTTTTTTTGCACGACAAGTCCGATATTAAGTTCCTTCAAAATATGCAGTTAGCGATTGAAGAGTTGAAGTTTCGAAGTGGCAACATTTGGCAGTAAAGTTCATGTTCGGATCATGAAAGTGGATTTCAGATGCTGCGGCGGAAATTTCGGCGGCAGTTTTGGTGAGATGATTTTTTCCGAAGATGATCTGTTCTTGTAACTGCGGTATTACAAGCATTTGAAATCGATAGACTTTGGCATTTGGAAACTTCAAAGGAACCGTTATTGTGCCACATGGGCGTAGATGCGAACCATCAGGCGAAAGGATAGCGTGACGTGAAGAATCGAGAGGTTCAATGGATTGGTTATTGCCAGCGGATGTCATTATCTCTTTGGCGAATTCCAATGAAACTGAAGAAGCAGGAAAGCATGTTGCTACGGGCATTGTGATGTTGCGATCAGCACAAACAACGGGAAGGGCCAATATGCTTCTTTCCTCCTGAACAATGGAGTTGATTGGCGTTGTGGAAGAGAGCGTTGATGAGTCACGAATGCCGGAGGATGCCAAAGGCTGAGGCAACTTGTTCTTTGGGTGGTGTTCATGAGTTTTGGAAATGATGTCGTAGATTGACTTGATAACTTCTACCAGTTTTGCTAATGTTGTTGCGTGTTTCTTGGGCAAAGACAACGATCCGATAGTATGTCCACTAACATGAAATGAAGCCTTGCATTCTTCGTCATAGCAAATTGAGCATATGTGGCGACGATTGTAACAACACGATCCTTTAAAGTTACATGTAGGCGATTGAAAACGATTGAAATCGCGGCAAATATCAGCTGGGCAGTTCTTCGTAAGGAGCTTGAGGCAATGTTGCTTGAAATGCCCTTTTCCTTTACAATATGTACAATCGAACATTGTAGCGTATTCGGCAAAATCGTCGAAAACAAGAAATAGAGCGACGGTTGACAAGAAATCTTTTGAGGGTACTCCACCAGTTGTAACAGGGGTTAGACTTTCTCTAAAACCCTTGTCACTTCGAGTAGTCAACGAATTGAGAGTGAAGACAAAAAGCGAGCGACTCGTGTTGAGGTTAATCACTGACTGAATTACTAAACAAAAGACTAAGTGTTTTATACAAACGAAAGCGAGGTTAGCATAATAATTATGTATGTTAATTAATGGCATATGATCCTACTACATATTCGGGACCCTAAGAGCGGCCCAAAACATTGTATCGAGGCTGCATCAGCCACACCACCATTAACATTCAAAATGGCTGCAATGCTACGGAGCCTTGGCAAGTTCTCTGTTACCTGTCCTTCAAAGAATATCAGTCTTAAAATACTCGGCAGTACTGCTGGAAAATTATGTACTGCGAGGATTAGTTCAGATGTTGCTCTGACCATAGCAGACTATGTAGAGCAGAAGAGAGAGCAGGCGAAGCTAGGAGGCGGCCAACGGAGGATTGACACACAGCACCAAAAAGTAAGATATTGTTATAGCTGTTGACATTCTCTTGTCCATGAAAGGCTTGTTTTGATGACTAGCTACTGCGAAATCCATTTTAAAAACTAAAGCCTGATTAAAGCAGTTAAAATCACAATAGAAAGTTTTCATTGTCTCTGCTAAAGCATTCTATTGAGAAATCTATATTCTGAAACATGTCGCCTCTCACAATACAACAATTAGTTTTATTATAACGAGTTTATGTTTGATTTGCATATCAGGGAAAGCTTACAGCAAGAGAAAGAATTAGCTTGCTGTTGGATCCTGGATCATTTGTTGAATATGACATGTTTATGGAGCACAACTGCACTGACTTTGGAATGGAAAACCAGAAGGTTTGTAATTAAAGGCTGATTGGTTGTTGTTCAGTTCTTGAAACAAATCAAGTTTTTGAATATTGAAAAATCATCATCGAAACTTATATGTCTTTATATGTCTTACCTACTAATATGTGTTTTCATTGTATGTTTTGGTGAGGAATTTGCTGCCTTTACTTCATGTTTATGACTTAGACCACATTCAGAATGACGTAATAAAGAACCCTTTGGTTGGATGTCCACTCTAATAATCAAAACATTAGCAGCAAAATTATTTGATTATTCTAAAACAGATACCATAATATCAAAGCGGAAAAAAACCACTGCAAAACACGATATAACAAAATTACAGTGAAGCACGTTCCCAGAAAGGGAACTCAAACAGAACAGTGCAATCAACAAACACATCACTTGTATGTGACATAAACAGGCAACAGAATCAATTAAGTATCTAACAAACATAATTATAATAACTGAAGAATGCAAAACCTGTAATTACGGAACCCTGGAAAATTTTCATTAATTTCCTATTACTTTTAAATATTTATTGAGGTATGGAATACCAGTGAATTAATATGTAAATTGTATTTTTTTATTTTAGTATATTGGAGACAGTGTTGTTACAGGTTATGGAAAAATAAATGGCAGGACAACATTTGTGTTTAGTCAGGTATACAACCTGTCTGTTTCCTACATTTTATGTCTTTTTAGTGTAGAGTTTCATAATTTAAAATATGAGAATTATATTTTCAATGAAAGATGGCAATCAAGAAACTTTTCATGGATAAAAAATTGGTTTTTTTAAAATTTCAATGAGGTTTTCAGATCTATTAGATGCTGCGATCTATCTCAGGAAAATAGTAGGGCAGTGGAAATTATTGAAACAAACTGGACCACTTAGTAATGGCACTGGTTTTGTATTTCATCTAATTTTCTGGGAAGAGATTTCCATGAAATTAAGTGCTATCAAGGAATGTCTCACAAATCATATTTGTTTATAAACTTTAATTATAATGTATATATTAGCAAGAAGCTCAGTCATTGGAAAGGAAGGAAAAGCGAAAGGAACAGGAAGAAAACAAACAGAGAGGAGAGGAGAGGAGAAAATAGAATGAGAGGGGAAAGAGGAGGATACAAAAAAGGAGAGATAGAAAAGAATGACAAAGAAAGAGAGGAGAGAAAAAAGAAGAAGGGAATGCGAAGAAAGATCAACATGGGACCTGTCATAAAATACAAAAAGTATCAAAAGTGGTTGATTATATGACTGAAAATCATCTTGCTTGCCTAAACAGAATGACAAATTTTGAGTTATCATAGTCATTTGAAGTAGCAATATACTGACTGCAATACAGAGAAATACTACAATATTACTTTGTTTTTTGTCTTGTCAAAACAAAGAAATGCTGCAACATTCAAATTTGGTAGGTTATCAACAGTTTTTTAAATGGGCTCATAAACTTCTTAGTATCCCTCAAGTATATTTAATAGTAATCATGTCTATGAGAAAACAATACACAGTAAGTTCATTAGAGAAATAACCTTTTGTTTGTAGGATTTCACAGTATTTGGTGGCAGCTTGTCAATGGTACATGCACAGAAGATCTGCAAGGTATGAACCAGCCATTTTTAACCTCCGGCCGGCCAAATACTTTTATGTCAAGAAAAATTAAAAATTTGAAATTTGATTCAGTTCTTTTTCTCTTTAGTAAATGATAATATGTGTCCCATTGAGCACTTATTGGTTGGGGGTATCAAAATATGTAATAATTTATTCAATTAATTAAACTACTTATTGCAAAATATTTTGCTGCTTTGACAGAGTTACACAGAGTAAACAAGTATTAAATCATGATTTTTAAAACACATGTTTAAATGGTGTTTACATCCTGCACTCAGTTAATCCTTGCCTTCTATGTTCCCCTGCAATCAACAATATGGAACTTTGCTTAAGCATTGCAATGTTTCTGTGGCTGGTTGCTCACCTTGCCACTAGGCTTTTAAAATGCACTAGGTTTAACTGAAATTCACTGAAACTCCCTGCATTTCAATCTCAAAAGTTGTGACTCATATGAAATAAGTGCTGTATTTCCATATTTTGATTTCTTTGAATATGATAAAAGATTGCTACAATTTCTGCAAAATACTGAAGTTGAGAATGTTCTTCTATTTCCATTAAAACTTTTACAATCTAATTTTAGAAAATGATACCCCAACTTTATAGAATTGCTATATCTTTTATCTTTAGTTGACCAAGTTGAAGTTTATACATTATTGCTAGACTATGTTGCATTTATTTCTCTCCTCTATTTTATTTTTTTCCATTCAAATGTGAAAAATGATTATGCACTGCTCCAAAAAGATTATTCTAAAGCTTCCCTTTCATAAAACTTTTTTAAAGCAAGACCCTTACTTTTTAATTTCAACATTAAAATAGATAAATCTATAAAACCTAGTGATAAAGGAAAAACATTTCCCTGGCCTGGCACTTAGAATACTGATTCACCCTTGGTGTAAACAATTTAAACTTCTGTATTGCTTTAATCATAGGTCAAGTACCATGCAGCTGAAACTTTGAAACTAAAACCTGTTTCCATTGACCCATGCATCTTTGAAACTGTAACAACTAACGTTTTAGTCAACCTTGTAGACCCAAAGTAACATTGTCCTCATACAGTTCAAAGGAACAGCTAAGAAATATGAATTTGTAAGTGACAGTGTAAATAATTGTGAACTGAATTTTCCAGAACAGTATATGTTTATGTTATAAAAAAATCACCTCAATTATAGAATCACCTTCATTTATCGAAAAGTTATCATTAATTATATATCAATTTACTTCATTTCTTTAAAGATAATGGACAAGGCAATTACAGTTGGAGCTCCTGTCATTGGTCTAAATGACTCAGGTGGTGCAAGAATTCAAGAAGGCATCGAGTCCTTAGCTGGTTACGCCCACATTTTCCAGGTATAATATTGAACATTTTCAGACCTGATAAATGACCAGGCTAAATGACCAGATAAGGTGATTATATGTCAAGGCCACTTGCTGTGTTAACAGGTCCATTTAAAGCCAGATTGGGCTTTTGATTAGTCTTGAAAAGATGAAAAAGAAGCTTTACATACTGTGGGCAAGGCGAACAGAATGTTATACGAGGCTCTTTTGCCTGAAGAAATCTGAATATATAAACATTATGTTCACAAAAAGTGAAGGTTGCTGAAAGCCAATGGTAGATTTAAAAGCAGTAGAATTTTTTAATTCTTCACATTGTCGAGGTGCGAGGATGGCTCAGTTGTTAGAGGCGCTTACTTCAGACCCAAGGGTTCGTGATTTGAGTCTCTGGCATGACCAGACTTTCACCCAGAGTGGGGAGAGTCGCCAGCTCTTTGCAATTCCAGGCGTAGGAATCATGAGGTGTGGTCACATCGAGAGGAAGGACCAAGACACTGCTCGATAAGCATAGCTTCTCAGTGTCCTAAAAGCTACCTTCGAATGCTAGGTAGCAACAAATACAAATACATTGTCAAAGACATTGAGATATTTTGTGGAACATTGATAAATCTCTTACATAGTTCTGCTTCAGGTTATTTTAGAATCATTTGGAATCTTGAAATTTTAGAGAAATACATTGGCTTCTGGAGTTGTTCCTCAGATATCACTCATCATGGGGCCATGTGCTGGCGGTGCAGTATATTCTCCAGCCATCACTGACTTTACATTCATGGTTAAGGTGAGTCACTATTTTTGGGTCTACTTTGTTAAAAATCGGTTTCATGATTTTTAAGGGAGTTGTTTTCACCATTAGAAATATCCCAGCAGTAATACTTGGCTTTATTTGCTTTTGAGCAAATATGCCATTCTATCCGTTTGTATTCCTTTAGCTCTAAACTCTCAGTCTCCTGTAATCTATTTAAAACTTGTTTTATATTTCCAGGATACATCGTATCTTTTTATTACTGGTCCAGAAGTTGTCAAGGTAGGTTTAGCTCTTTCACATGTATACTTGACTTAAGTTTTATCGTTACATTGTTAAGAGTTGCCTTAGCATTTTAATGATGGCAGTCGCTTCCCCATTTCTATTTTCGTCAAGAGATCTTGTATTGTATTGAAAGTAACTTGATTGAAATATGGAGGACCTTCAGATAGCTTTTTGTAATATAATAAATATAGATGTTAGCACTATTCTGCAATATCAACGCAAGAAAACGCCCTGAAGTATGATATATAACGGTAAAGAATACCTCAGTTGTCATTATTTCTCAAAAATATGCATCCTCCGGCTTATTATATAGGCTATGTGCTCTCATACAATTTTATTCGATTTCTTTTAATGCCTAAATTGTGAATTCTGTAGACCGTCACAGGAGAAGATGTTACTCAGGAGGAGCTTGGTGGATCCAAAGTGCAGACCTCCAAATCTGGTATGTTGATTTTGAATGCAAAACCTTTTTGTCATTTCAGTCTTTTTTAACAATTATTGAAAGAAGAGCAGAAACGTTTTATAAATAGTTGAATAATACAGAATACTGTAATTCTTCGAATGTTGCCAGTTTCTGTTTTGTCTCGTTTCTTGTTGTTATCGACTTCCATACCATGCTTCTGTCATATTGAGCAAAAATTAAAGCAATTTTGAAGAGTTATGCTCAAAACGTCGTACGTATCTCTCATTTTTTTGTTATTTAATTATTTCATTTTTTGCTCATTATTCATCGACGTACAAAACGCTGACGAAATTGATTATCATGTTTCTGTCAATTGAAGACAAAGGATTTCTGGTTTAAACTTTCATCAAAAATCGAATTTTAGTGTCTTCCATGGAAGTACTTTCTTGTTGGAGTTTGGTGCACAGGGTTTAGTCGTTCATGAGCAAGTGGATTTTGAAGGCAGTATTGAGAAATAAGTCTGAGAAATTTAAGGCAAAGTGTCATATGAGATGAATTTTTCAATTAAAATTGGATACGCTTTGCCCTTTTCCAAAGGTCTCTGAAATGTAGTAGCCCTATTATAATTACCATTGCGAATAGGATATTATCAAGTATTTAAGTATGCAATTATTGTCAGATGACTCCATCGTACATTCCCATAACGGGCTATCAAAGCAAAGATGTATGGGCGATCTGTGCATTATTCGTACCATTATGACGTCACAAAAATTTAGTGCTTCACAACAAGTCTTGAAAACCATCCCAGTTTTGTTCTGCCATATATAATGCTGCAGTGATTTATACATTCCTGATTTATACCAAGTCTAAACAAATATTTTTTTCTGTTTAATCTTAGAATAATATTTCCACCTCGTTCATTCTTAGTGTTCCCCATGCCTTTTTACGCCAAAATCGTTATTCAAGAGATTTTTTTCTACAGTCTAACAAGACAACCATAAAGAATATGTAGAAAATGTTTTTTTCGTCTTTACCCATCATATTGTCGAAACTATCTGTAAAGGCAATTTATCGTTATTTAAATATTGCAATGTTCAGTTCTTTATTTTCCCCCTAATGTTCGGCGGAAATGGCTTTTTTACACGACATTTTAGATTAATCGTCCCAGTGAGGTTAACTTCAAACAGACGGTTTTTCCAAACTATCAAGTTGTAAATTAACTCATTTGATTATTTTATAAGGCCTAATAAACTGTCAATCGACTTATCAAACCTTTTCAGAGCCTTCGAAATATTGCCAATGATAATTTACTTTTACATGGTATTTCTAACTGGCAAGAAAAGATCTAATATTTGCATCCTCAAGAAATTTGCAAAGCTCTATCGCCATGAATTTATCAAATATTATACCTTGCGAATATTTCCAACAGGTGTTGCTTCAGGTGCTTTCGATAATGATGTCGAAGCAATTTCCTCGTAAGTATTCTTACCACATCTTTACAAAATTGCAATATTGAAATACAGTAAATACATTTAGTATTTGATATAATACTGTAGACCTTTGCAAAATAATGTTTCGATTGTTTGTAATATTTTGAAGATCTCTTGATTACCTTGTCATATAATTTTCCTTCTCAAAAAATCACCTTTCCTAGCCGTAGATAATATTTAGAATTTTGTGGTGATTGTAGTTTCAGCAAGAATTTATGTCACCACGAACAGCACTCTAAAAGTTTTGCCTATTTTCTTTTGCCCCCTGTTATTTTTCTTCAAAAGATTGTTGGCAAAAATTTGATTATGGTCACAAATTGGCTGAACCAAAGAGCCAATAATACTCACTATTCAATCTTTCAAGATATTTTTCAATCCGTCTCTGGATTTAAGCTTCCCATCAGTTTTTGGTAGTTACGCGAGGTTCTTGCTTTAAGGAGTGTCTTCAAACGACAAGGAAACAATAACAAAGTTACCATCTTTCGTGTAATCTTGCAATTTATTAGTACAAATGGTGTGTTTAAATACTTTGAAAAGTACTGTATTCAGATCTTGAGGAATAGGTAAAACAGTATTATTGGGTGGTAATTATGGGGAAGGGGTGTGTTTTTTTTCATATGAATATTTAACAGTCGCATTACTTTTATAATCGAGTTTGATGTGCAATCCGAATTATCTACCAATCTAGAAATGTATAGCATGCCTCCATTTACCACAATGGTTCAACATGACTCGTATATGAAAAACATGTAGAAAAAGCTTTCTTATGCCTTTTCTTCAATTATTTGCATTGCATCATTGAGTGATTTTATCGCTAATACGCTCGTGTACATTATGGTATCTTTTCTTTTTTGTAGCATTCGTGACTTTTTCGACTATCTTCCCCTCTCAAACAAGGACCCTCCCCCGATTCGGAAGTGTGATGACCCAAGGTATGAAGTTTATTCGTTTTCTATTTTCTTCCCATAATGCAATATTTTCTTAGATGAATGTTTGGATCCAGCTAGCATTGGTTTTGTATGACTTTCGTCAGTCGGTTTTAAATTTCAACTCATTTTGAACATGCTACTGAAAAAAGTTTTGAAAGCCAGAGAAGGATCATGAAAGGGACATTCTTATCAGCAGAGAAGGATCAGAATTGCAAAATTTTGTTTTGTCTCGCTGAAACATGTTCAGGCGAGTATCCCTATATTTCAAGGTCAGGTCACGTCTCGTATGGTCGTTTTTCTTAGCTTGTGATGAAATTTTTTAACAGTGTGCATGGACAGCAACACACTTTTCAACAGAAATGCCGCTCTTGTTGCGAGTATTCGCTCTCTGGCATCAAACCATCACACTTTGTTAATGTTTCATCCATCTCACTATCTCAAACTAAAGTCTTTGAACAGAAGCGGCAAAGGATTCATTAACTTAGAATATTTTTTCACGCGTAGAGTTTTTTAAGAAAGTAACGAATTGCTCGGTTGCAAGATGCTCGAATTGCAAAATGTACCATTTATACGAGTTTTCAGAAATCCTGCTTTTTTGCCTCTGTTATTCCTACATGGGCTATGAGTAGCCATTATCCAAATAATCGCAACTCGCACAGCAACTTTTTGTAAAGAAGAATACTTTCTCAACTTATTTAATCTTTAAATAGGAATGCAGAAAATCGGCAATCCCGATCTTGGCACGTGACAGGCAAAAATATGTCGAACTTGGTTTTTAACTTCTTTTGCAAATATTGAAAAAGATGAATTCGATAACAATCAACTATCACAATAACATAAATGTTAAAGGCATTGAGTCATGACAAAATGGATTGGGTATACCCAAAGTGCCAAAATCCGCTGAGTCACAGTTTTCATGACTGCGATGCTATTGTTTGACCTTGAACTGTTCACATGAACTCACCTCGTACTGATTAGCAAAATAGTTCCCATCAATAGCAAGTTGTCAACATTGGATGACAATATCGCATGAAACAGCAACGATCACGCCGAAACCAAATTATCCCCTATAGAGAAGGCCTATTTACCATGACTCAATGCCTTAAAAGAAAAGGAATTTGATGAAATTGAATACTTATGACTTATGAAATGGTTTTTTCTTAAATTTAGCAGAAAGTTCGAACTAGAACAGTTACTTCCTTATGAGAACGACAAAATTTGACCAGTGCCAGTTGCAAGTAATTAAAGACCACACCAATTTCCTCGGCTATTTTTTCCCTTAATTTCCCTTATCTACGCTCTCTCCTCCTCCCTCTTTCAATTGAATTTACTCTTTCAGCCTGTTCGAACCGCCATAACTGGCTTTGTTTGCAAAGCCATTCCAAACTGCGACTGGACTCTCACACTTAAGCCCGGCAGAAACCGGACCTGTCTGTGATTCAGGCTTTTATTTTTTATCGCCACTTTCTGTTTCACAGATGAACTCGATTATAGCTATTATGCAAACACAAGTGGTCATTGGAACGATACAAATTCCACCTAATTAGAGCTTTCGTTTTCACATTAGCAAATACAGGTCATTAGAAAACAGGAAAACGGCCGGGTTGGCCGCAGTATCCGGTTCTCGGTTAGCCAACCATGGGCGTTTCAGTACAAATGCCCTTGTGTACTTAATAACTTGAGCGTCAGTTGTTCCCGGTCTTTTCCTATCTACTATAAAAAATCGACAACTAGCTGCGGCATTTTTTCTGAAATCATTCATGGATAAGTGTATTATTTGGTATTTGGCATACCTATTAAACATGTAGATTGTGATGTTGGACACATTTGTGAGTCGCATAAAACAAGCTGTTTCTGGCCTGGACTACATCAAGTGTACTGATATTTTATCGAATAGGAGCCATGTTGGAGAGAATAACTTTCCAATTTTTGTGTACATTTGTCAGCAAAAAGCAATTTGGAAAAAAGCCTGCGAGCATGTAAACATTGATATGGATTCAAAATGGAGCAAAGAGAGTCTTGAAGATCACTTATGTCATCATCAAAATGGAAATCACTTCTTTGGCTGTAGTACTAAAGGATCCTGCTTGCAGAGAATTCTTGTGGATGGGATTTTTGAAAAGTTTATTTTGCTGTTCATCGAGTTTGGGTATGATGTTAATGCCACGGATATCAGTGGGCTGGCTGCAATACATCATGCAATAAAACACGGGCTGCGGTTAACAACAGAAATCTTGATCGATTCTGGAGCAAGTCTTTCGAAGGAGGCAAAAATTTATAGCTGGATTCATACAAAGCTTCCAACGTTGTACCATTGCCTTTACACTTTGGATGTAAAAATGACAAAGCTTGTGCTCGAGAAGTCTGGTAATGAGATTTTGAAATACCACCAGTTAGATAAAAAGATTGACAATTGTCTGTACCTGCCAAAAAATATTCCTGTATTGGTGCAAGCATGCCTAAAGGAAATTGATAAATTTAACCCACTCTCCTTTGTTCTGATTATAATTGCCATGAAGTCATATAGTAACTCAAGCTTGAATACTGAGGTTATAGAAACAATGATCAGTACATGTCGGTTGATGGGAGGTGTTCTTTTACCGTCGATTGATGAGGACGGTGAATGCCTGTGTCCAGATTCGCTTTTTGAGTTTTATAGAACGTCCTTAGAAGAAATCAAAAGATCGGGTATTGGTGCTTGTCAAGGAATGTTTTTGTTTAGGCTGATAGAAGCATTGTTTCACTTGGATGATGTCCCTATGAAGTAAAAGAATTTGTAGAATATCCAATGCCAGGTTGAATACGATAGTACCCTTTGAGCTCCGCGGGATTTTCCAGGAGGGTGTTGTGGCATTCAATACGTCAGCTCTTGTTCCTATGGATTGTTTTGGCCGATCAGGTTTCTAAAAGATACAGCTGAGAGATATTGTGTCTACTTTACCATTGACAATCTTAGAATATTTCAATTTACATTGGACTAAAGCCATTAAAAAGAAAAACGTTTGTTGATTAATTTGTTACATTGCAGAAGAATTCAATTTTATAAAGCAATCAGCTATCATTTGGCCTAGAGACATGGAAGTACCAGCACCTTGTGTCAAGTTTGAATTTTCAGTCCATGCATCGATCTTCTGTTGATCTTTGATGAAAGTTTCATGCTTAATTGTTTTGGTCTTGTCTCTAACTTTGTTAAAATCGACGTTGTTAACCACATCTAGACTTTGATTGAGTATCTGTTTAGAATTAGCCTAAACAGATAAGATATTCGCCTAAACATGTGGACATACATGAAGTAAAGTTTCATGTCACAGATTTGGTTATAATTTTGGAAATTTCTAGTGATTGCGTAATAGTAGCCAATAACATATCTATTTCTCCCTAAGATCCTAAGAAACGGTTAAATGAGATATAGCAATCAATGTACCGAAAGGTCTTGTATTGAGGCTCGGTTACATCAGATCAATCCATATTTCTATTGAGCCTTCTTGGTATATAGACTTTTTCCAGGAGCGTAGTTCTTTTATCCTATTATCAACTTATAGCCTATATAGCCTATTATCAACTTAATCCCGATGTTTAACTACTATTTATCTAAAAGCTGTTTGTAAACCTCTTCGTATTTCTTCCGGTTTCATGTATTTATTCTGTCTTTATGCTGTTGGCGTTTGTTCTTTCTGTCTTTATGCTGTTAAATCAATTTAGCTGCTTTGTTGATTGCTCTCAAAAGCCTCCGCAGTTCATTCTCCAGCCTGTGTCTGCTTTCTGTGCTAGTTAAAGCGCGCTTAAAAGCGGGTGTTTCCTTTTTGGGTTCGATTTTTTTGTGTACGAACACGTTGATCCAAATGGAATCGTACACTAGCTAGTTTTAATGTACTGAATTTAGTTGGAACCGCATTGTTTTAACAGTCTTATTGTCCATGATTCGAAAAATAAGAAACAGTTCTAAAATTTCAGTGTTCAAAAATAAACTAAAGGAGTTTATCCCCACCTAGCTTACTCTATTACAATGTATGCAATAATTACTCTTAATTTTCAACTCTTTTGTAAAGTCTACAGCCGTTAATTTATATCATATTTCTTTTAAAGCTGATAGGAATTTGTGGATAAGAAGTAAAATCATATCATATGATCAAGTGTTGCCCATTTTCCCTAGATATCAGCTTTCTATAAAAGAAGAAACTCCTGTTTGTGTTCTCTTTATAGAATATTGATGTGTCTTCTAGGGATCGACTGTGCACACATTTAGATCATATTGTACCATTGGATTCAAAAAAAGCATACGACATGAGAGATGTTATTTATGCAGTAGGTGATTTAGTGTTTTTTGGCTCTCAATTTTTATCTATTTTACAACTACATCAATGTTAAACTGTTCCCCTTCCTTTATTGATTCGCAAAAAGTCTATAGCACAGATCATACTTTATTACCCCTTACTGAATACCTGAAAATGTCTGGATGAGAAGGATGTTGCTGGTGTAGTGCTTTTGGACTTATCAAAAGGATTTGATTATCTAACTAATAAACTTCTTCTAGCCAAATCGAAAACTTATGGCTCCAGCGACAATGTAATGGAATTTATATATAGTTTTATAGTTTTCTAGATAGAAGAGTACAACGAGTAATAATATTTCCAGATTTTAGTGATCGGATGGGAACAAAGCAGGGAGTCCCTCAAGGATCAATCTTAGGCGCATTGCTTTTCAGTATTTACATAAGCGACACTTTTCTTCATTTGAAAAAAAGCGATCAGTGCAACTAAGCATATTTGTTTATCACGTACTGATATCAATGAAATAACTGACGACTTTAAGAATCAGAAGTAGCTATACTTGCTAAATGGTTTTGTGAACATTTTATGGTGCTCAACGGTGATAAAAGCACACTTTTAATTTTTGAAGCCAATCGATTCAAGTAAAAGAATCTAAAATTCAAAGAAATGGTTTCACTGTAAAAAAGTGAGAATTTTAAATTATTAGGAGTAACCTTGGACCATCAGCTTTGGTTTTAAGAACATGGTAAAAAATTTTGTAAAGGAGCCGAGGAAAAAGTAAACGCTCTAGTCAGGATTGCTTTATATATAAGAGAAATATTTTAAATAAAAAGGTTATTTTCCTCTTATTGTTATTATTTTTGTTATTTTCCTCTTATTTGGATGTTTTGCCATAGGAAAAATAGTAAACGAATAAAATCAAAGTCATGACGGGGCAATGAGAATAGTTCATGATTATTATCAATCAACTTTTGAACAACTTTTAATAAAGAATAAAACAATAACTTCTCACTAGAACGGTTTAAATTCACCTTTATATGAACAAAATATTTTCTATAATTGGAAACCCATATAAATTGATAAACTCCCAATTTAAAACAGCGGATCTACATATAATGGATTTGAGTTACAAAATATATGGATTTAATACCGTTTTATATAGATGTTGCCAAATATAGAACTCAATTCCAAACGAAATAAAATACTCCTCAATTTAACAAACTTTCTAGCAAAAGATCTCAGAATTTTATCGTCCAATTTTGCTTGTGACCTTTGCAGAGAATACATATACAACATCGGTTATATTTGATTTATTATATTTTTGGCCATGGTAATTTAAAGATAATGGCTGGCTTTAATCGGCTTAAGTATAGCCAGAGATTGTGCCAACTTCAGATAGAGAAAACAATTTGAATACGATAAGAATTGCCTTGAGCGTATGAAATACCATTTTTGGACAAATCGCTTTAGACAATTTTTTGGCAAAGTTCTTATGCTTCCTTTTGCAACCATGTTGATTGTGATATCCAGATTAAAAAATCTGTCAAACAAGGGAAGTAATATTCATAAGAACATTTCTGTTAAAGCATCAAAAGAAGGGATATTCAAAATTGAACTGAACCGTAAAAGAGATTGCTTAATGAAAAATGTTTATTTGATACTGATATTAAAAATTCCATATGAATAATGCATGTTAAATTGGAAGAATTGACGATTCAGCTCTTTTAAAGAAGATTAAATTTATATCGAGTAACCGGTCAACCGTGTCGACATCGAATCCAATTTGTTTTGTTCTTTTAATCTGTTCTTTTTTCAAGCCAAAGGGATATTAGCTTTATCATTTTGAATTTGTTTAATCAAAGATGGTTAACACTGCCAGCTTGAAAAGATATTTTGACGTGATGAATTTATTGGGAGTTTATTTTAATTCATCTGACATCTTGATGTTTCAAGCGATCTAACCACTGGTGTTTATTTGCTGGAGAACAGATAATTTTATGGTTCATTTTGCGGAGTGGCATTTTCATCTTTGGTCTATTTTTGTCTGACCAGAAAATCGTTATATTTTATGACGCCAGAGTATATTTTAGCAACGCTAAAACCTCTGACAGTTTTTGTAATGAATTGAATAATCAATGAACAGTTGCATGATTTTTGCTTATTATCAAGAAAACCTTAATTTTTGTCTTTCTGCCTTGAACTTTGATTATTGTTAAACAGCTTGTGGTAATTTCTGCATTTTACAAAATTCGTCTTTTTTCAGATTGCAGATGAGCGAGAATTTTTCGAGGTGATGCCAAACTTTGCAAAGAATATCATGATTGGTTTTTGTAGACTGAACGGGCGTACTGTGGGAGTCGTTGGCAATCAACCACTTGAAGCTGCAGGTTTCAACCTTGACATTTTTTGTTGACCATCAATCTTGCATGTTTTGTACACCTATAAAAAAGGCTCTTTGCTGCAAAATTTTCGGATAAACATGTTCGTATTTTGTTTTCGTGGAACGCCTCCTGCCTATGTCTTAATCAAAAGGCTATTTCATAAAGGATTTATTGAAGTATGTCCGTTAAATCTGTGTCCTGCTTATTTTTTAATTACGTCGTTTGAGAAAGAGGGTCAAGGACAGAAAATTCGAGAGTTCCGATATAAGGAGAAATTTCGTGTAAATTAAAAGATGCTTCTTTGTCTGATGAATTATGGAAGCCCGAAAAATATATCATAGTCAGAAAAATATAGCTGTTAAAAACTTACTAACAGCATTTAAAATTTTATAAAGCAAAATTTTGATATTAAAGATGAAGACAAAAAGATTTAGTCAACAGAAGTCAGGCACTAAGATGAACCTCAAAGGAATCACTTGATACCTTAAAGAGCACTTGTACCCTGCACAAGTTGTAACAGTTATATACAGCGTTTCTGTATCAAGAATCTGATTGTGTTTATCAGATCCTTCCATTATGTACAATGTTATCCTTCATTTGACACAAGATTTTTTGGCAAAGCAACGCAGCCCTATGTGTGAAGTTAAAGTAACATTTGAGTACTTGATTTGTCTTGATTAAGAGGTTTTAGCAGTAATGTCCAGTGAATCTCATTGTGATATGATGCCTGCATTTCAATTTGATTCAGTGTCGCCATTTTCTCTTTCCCAGGTTGCCTTGATATTGATGCTTCTGTTAAAGCCGCAAGATTCGTTCGATTCCTTGATGCATTCAATATTCCAATCGTCACTTTTGTCGATGTCCCAGGATTTCTGCCAGGTAAATGCGGTTCCACGTTTAATTGAATTTTGCACATACAGTTGAACAATCAGTCAAAAATAAGATTGTTTAAAAATTTTGAGAGGTGAAACTGGCCGGACCTGATCTTAAATTCTTTATTCCAGGATGCAGGCTAGACTCTTTGCTTATCAATTTCTACCCGCATTTACTCTTTTGGATTTCAGTGCTAAATTTAGTGCAGTGTAAATAGCTTTATTGGCATTGTTGATAATGTATAGATACCAATATGACAGGTTCTCTAAAATACAGACATATACGCATGGAACGTCACTCTAATTCAAATTTACAAAAGTGACACTTGAGAACAACTTCATTAAATGTATGTTTCATAGTGTTCTTTTTCCTTGCAATTTCAAGAGCATAGTTTCCTATTTTTGGTTTATTTTTGCTGTTAGCAGTATTCACAAAATCATAGCTTACTTCCGCTTAACATTCATGTTTCAATTAATTTTCTAGGAATAAATCAAGAGCATTATGGGATCATTCGTCATGGTGCTAAGCTTCTTTACGCATATGCCGAAGCAACTGTCCCAAAAATAACTTTCATAACAAGAAAGGTGAATATTTCTTTTCATGGGCACCAGATTTGAGACATGGTAATCAAAGTCTTTAAGTATAGATGAAGTTACTGTTCAAATGATGCAAATGAGCAGAAACAAAGATTGAAGTAGACTTTTCACCCGAATCTCCGCAGATTATAAAACATCGGATATTTAACAAAAACTGAATCGAAATATTTATGAACGTGTGGACCAAAATTTAGGTTAATTGCGACTGGTAATTGATAATGTCATTACCAGATGTAACACTGAAAGTTCATTTTTGATTGAATCAATTAATAGTAGTTTTGTTTTTACAGATAAATTATTATGGTACATAATACATCGTTCACATTTGCTGGAGGTTATTTGCTCACGAAGACACAATGTTTACTTTTACCAATATACAATTTGCTTTAAATTTAGTCCTGATATATATTCAAATTCTGGCATTATTCCATGTAGGCCTACGGAGGAGCTTATGACGTCATGAGTTCAAAGCATCTCAGAGGTGATACAAATTACGCTTGGCCAACGGCCGAGGTGGCTGTCATGGGTGCTAAGGTATGTTAAAAAGGGTATTCAATCTTGTGCTTTCTTATAACCCAGGATAATTATTATAGCAAAAAGTGGTAACAGCGGACAATAACAAAGTCGTTAATGAAAACACTGTAAAGTTAGATTTTAGCATCTTTTTCAAGATGGCTCAATTAAGAGGACTCCCCTGATGGATAGGGACGGCAAAGACTTTCTGAGGCCTTAAGCCCGATAAGACTGATACTCCTGCTGATAGAGCGAGACACGACCTGCGATCCTTTCCGAAATCTCTAATTTTCTACAAAGCCCTGAAAATGCAATAAAAACTCAGCATAATTTATGCGATTAGCAATAACCCTATGATTGAATTTGTCCCTGCTTGCCGCTTGGCTTCAAGAGTGAAAACAGCTTATAATTGCAATGAAGCATTCTCAATACCCCCCCCCCCATAATATTCAAAGCGACGCCTCTTAAACTTTATAATTTTACATTCTTTTTGTAATCTTTTTATTTGAAACAAAAAACCTGAAACATTGATTTGTGAATCTTCATGCTCTAATGTATTTTCGTTTCTTTTCGAAGGGTGCTGTTTCAATTTTGTATCGAGGAAAAGACAATATAGGTAGGAAATGCCAAAAAGGCAACTTTTTCCTAATTTGACCAGTTTCTACTTCTTCAATCTGTTACTATTTTTGCACAATATATCACCATATTCCTTAGATATTCCAAGAAAAATTCTTTCATCGCCAATCACGCCTGGTTTGTAATCATGGCAATTGATTTTCAACCGGTTTCATACCTCAAAACGATGCGTCGATTGTCACATTGCTATCATTCATTTAAAAGAAGGGGCTGCGAAACAGAATCAAGTTCCACAATTCGATATTTATATCTCTAATAATTGATAATTAATATATCTCTAATAAATGATATCTCTGATAATTCGATGCTATTTTAGGACGTCTTACATTAAACGTTTAAGAGCTAGTCTATGACATCTTGATTCCACTTGTTTGAAGTTAGAAACCCTTGAAAATATTCAAAGTGTATTTTTTCTCTAGCCACGTGGCACCACAGATTTGAAATTGTCCACACTGTCAGGCTATCGAAAACGCATCTTCGTCTGTGTTAATTAATGGAGATAATTTCTGGGTGGGCGTACCTAGCAGACAAAGTTATCGTTTTAAGCTTTGGCAATTCAGAAATCCAACAATTCCCATTAAAGAACACTTAGATTCATATTCATATTTATAAGCGTCAGACAAATTAAGCAAATACGTTTTCTATACACATTTTTGTCATTTCTTATTCAATTTGATGTAAAAGTAACTTCGCGCATATAATTATTAAGATATCTAACAGAAATGTTAATCAGTACAAGAAGGTATCTATATGATTCAGGTATCGATATGTTCGTTTTTAAAAAAGATTCATCAATTTTGAAATAGAGGCAACGTTTTTCAGATTGTTGCTTATGCATAGGGAATTTTGTGGTTGTACGAAAGCATTTTGCTTGTCGTGCGGAAGAGCGCACTTTCATTCTTTGTTTCATTTTATTTTCAACAGAATCTTATGAGAAGGATTATACAGAAAGATTTGCCAACCCATTCCCGGCGGCAGCACGTGGTGAGTGTTCTTTTTCTGTCATCCTGTCTGTTCGACACTCACTTGGTACATGATTACGTCACACAGTATGCAAGTTCGTTTTTATGGCCATAGTGTTTACAGGATGCCCAAAGAAAATGTAGCCCTTAGGTTTTTGCCTAGGAGGGTTTTGATCTCATTCAGTACGTTATTTAAGTCTTTTCATAAACAAAAGAGGCACTTTAATGAATTTCTGAGAAGAGAATTCCCAAATTTAATGTAATTTGGCTATTGGTCAACATTAACTGAAGAATCCAGGGTGCGCCAAAATGTAAAGTGAAAACAAATTTAAAGTCATTTGGCAAGCAGAGTCATCTTTTCATCTGATTATTTGGAATCTGTCTGCACCAAAATAAAGGAGCCCGACTTGTGTACAATGCCTGCCAAAAGTCTTGGAACACTGACATCAATTTCCAAGGTCAAAACCAATCATCCCCATCTCCCCCACGGAACAATGTTGGCTAACTATCAAACGGATTAGGATTTTAGGAAGCACTTTCTTTTGCGCTTTTTTTATGATATTTCTCTAAATCATCAACATTGTTTTAGGGGGAAGGGGGCGGAAATAGCAAATTTTTTTCATGAAAGGAATGAGAGATATCAAATGCAGCGTAAATTGGTGGGTGTTCAAAGTACTTTTGGCAGGCATTGTAGATATAAAGAGTGAAAAGTCTTCTCTCTTAGACTCTCCATTTGAGGAGGAGCTAAGCCGTCGCAGAATTTTAAAAAAACGAGGAACAAATCAAACGTGCCATTTTTCCTCTCACGCTATTTTCGACCCGGATTTTGATATAAATTTCAGCACGTTTATACTGTGGAAAATTGGACGATATGTACATCCCTGTAAAATATTACCGCTTTCCTGGGCTATCTTCAAATTTTAGGGTACCAATGGCCTTGCTACATGTCTCTCCCTCTATTTAGTAAATAGAGAGAGAGATTTGTAGCAAGTCCAGTGTACCAAAGACTCTTTTGGTATATATGACTGTCTCCTTTCTGGCTTCCTGGGTTAACAAGATACGAAAAGTTTTATCTTTAAAGATTAGATGAAAAATAGGACTGTTATTTCAATATTTAGGATTTTGGAAAAAATTGTAATTAGCTCCAAGTACTACAAGAATAAAGGGACTTTCATCATAAAATGGTTTCGTGAATATTTCTTGATTTTAATTCGGGGAATCTTTTTTTAGGCTACGTCGATGAAATTATTGCTCCACGAGACACCCGCAAAATTATTATTGACGATTTAGAATTACTGGAGACGAAGAAGCTTTCAAACCCGTGGAAAAAGCATGGCAACATTCCACTTTAATACATTTCGCTTTTCAATGTGCCCCAATTTGCTGTCTGTCAAACTCGCCTGTTAGTTGCGCAAAATTTCAAGTCTTTCAAAATGATAATATCTCGCTGGAAATGCAAGTATTCAACTAATGTGCAAAATTTTATATTTATTTGAATAAAAAATGCTTTTTAAAAAGTTTATTGAGAAAGTTTTTTGCGTTGGCACTTGTTTAAACACGTCCTTGTGTTTTCATATGCAATAATAATTGCATTTTGCCACTAGAGTTGCTTACGGTTTTTCTTTTTATCTCTCTTTTCATTGTTTCTATGGTTTTATCACCAAAACAGCAGTATTGCAGTATTTTCACCAATGGCTTTTTCCAATATTACGCAAGAGGTAAGTGATTTTAGAATCTCGAAAAAATTTTCTGTCTGAAGTAAAGAAAAGGTAAAAATGGTAATGCAACTTGAGAAAATATGTCAAAGAATTAGGAAATGATTTATAATGATATGATACAAAGATTTTAATGTGAATTCTGTACTTTTGTAACGTTATGACTCTTTAACGGGACCTCGGAGGCGCATTTAGTGGTTTTGTACTTGCCCCATATTTTAATGGTTAGAAATGTTAGGAAACTATTGAGAGATTAAACAAGGTAACATGTTTAGAAAACTTGACCATCGACCATCCACTCAAAATTAAAAATAATGTACGTCAAGTTTAAGAATTCTTTCCGATCCAAAAACGCACAGCTCGACTGATGCCTTACTATGACCCGAAGACGGAGGCTTCTTGTCTGATATTATGCTGCTGTTAATGGCTGAAATAGCGTTCTTTTTTCCGGGAGACGAAACCTTTGTTTCGAAACAATGCCCTCTTAAACCAATCAGTGTTGCAGAGTCATAACACATGCGCAATAGTAACCGTATTCGCACAACTGTTCTGTCTGGGACCACACAGCTCTTGAACTTCCCGTCAGGGCTTCAAACGATAGTGCGCATGTGCAATGACCCTGAAACGGGGGCTAGTGCACGTCTGGAAGACGGGCATGATTTCATCTCCCGAACAGAAAGATGTCGGAATCTCCTTATAGTGGTCACCGCATTCGTAGCTACCTACGTTAACCACTGAGATATGAGTTTAGGACGTTACACTTTGTCCATTTAGAGGCATTTGACACAGGTAAAACTTCAGCCACTCGATCACCAATGGTTGACAAATTAAATTGCGCACAGAGAAAATCGTGTGAACAGTTTTCGCCTTGCTGCAACTCGGCGAAATCCTAAAGCAGCGCAAATTGGTTCAAGATGGCGGACGAAGCTCGAGCTTTGCCTCCATTAAAGGCTATGAAACGGTTGATCATTTCAAAATCATCGATATCGGTTATCGGGAAGGTTATTGGGAATCTTCGTGCAATTTTCTCGGCTATGACCCGAGTTTTTATTGTACATAGTTTCACGTGCTCTCTTTAGTTTGGAATAAGTTATTTTCAGAATCGCTGTTGTTATATATGTTGCTGCCTTTGAGCCACTCTGTCAGCGCAAATCTAGCGAATGCAAACCAGCGCATTGGTTAATTTCATTACATTTTTGCCTGAGTAAGAATAAATCACTTTTGTATATATCACAAACGGAACTCTTTTATAATGAGTATAATATTTTCATGAAAGACACCTCATTCCACTATAAAACATCAAAAGCAAAATGGGAGGAGGTACACTGCTGCTTTGCTAAAGAGGGGGGGGGGGGTTCTACTAATTGGTTCTACTACTAATACTAATAATTTTAGATATGTTCTTGAGTGAATCTTGTATTTAGAAAACGAACTATTTGATGATGAAATAATGACAAAATTTACCGTCTTTGAAATTAGTATTTCTGCAAAACGGAACGTGAAGCTCAACGAATTGTAGTTTCAAGTTGCAGATAAACGATTCAATGGTTGAGAGAATACATGGAATCTTCTTGCAATGAAAATAGAAATTAGAACATTTAGACAGTCATCGCCTATTTTATAATCATCGCCTATTTTATAATCATCAATTATGCTTGGATAGAGGTATTCTTGTGGGATCTCAGGGGGCTTTTAAACACCCCCTTTTAAAAAAGCTGTAAAATCAAGGAGTTTTTTGCCATCTAGGAGTTTAAACATTTTTTCGTCGGCAAATTGTCAGCTTTGTGAAATAAAGGCAAATAAATGATGGCTCACCCACATTGCAAGCAAATGGGATCTGAGTGACGCCACCCCCTCCCCCCCCTCCTCCCGCACAATACCTAGTGACGGCCCTTGCGCAAAGCTTTCGATGACTTAGAGAACCTGCAAGGTCTACGTGCCTGTGGAGTTATAGGTAAAGAAAGGGGAATAAACAGGGTCTGTAAAATTATTTAGCTGGGGGTAACGGCTCCCTGGAACGAACAGTACAAAAATCTAAACTTAAAATGAAAGATGGATTGTCTTCGAATTGCGAAGTAGAAATTATTTACCCAAACAAATCAAAACTTAGTCTACACAGAACACTGATTGAAAGAAATCTACGATACTGTAATCCATGTATCAAAGGTAGCCATTACTATTAGATTAAATTGCTGTAAAGCAAACACGTTGTTACTCTGTGTTGTTATCATGCATGTATTGTCTTGTCGAGCTCGTATTTCTTCTAGCAACATAGGATTCCGGTTTCTTGATTCCGGATTCTTGATTCCGTATTCCGGACTCCGTGTTTAAAAGGTATACAATCTATCAATAATAACTAGACATCTTATCTTCCATGTAAGTCGTGCACGCAAAGCTCTTCCTTTTTTCTCACGAAATGCTTCATCTCTCCCCCGCCCCCACTTCTTCGTTCGCAGCGTAGTCTTTTCCACTTTTAATGGATCAACCCCCGGGCTAATTGCTCTTATAGCTGCTTACAGGTTGCTGCTTACAATTTGTTCCGTTGCCGTCTAGAGCCGAAGGTCAAGAATCACGAAGGACGAAGTCAGCCACACCATTTAGGCAAATTTATTTTTCAATTGCATCATATCGACTATGATTGCATGTCACAGCCAATAGCGGCGCCCCCCCCCCCCGGGGGGGCTGGGGAGACTGGGACGAGTTATCCCCCTCCCAGTTCTCAGCAGGATCAATTTGGTATCTCGTCTAAATTCGATGAGTATATGTTGAGGGAAGGGTGATATTTTGGCAACGAATTTTTTTTTATGTAATCCTATGATTTGAAGCTGCCTTTACGTAAACCAAAATTTGTCGTGGGTGTTTCCTATTCATGAAATTGGCATTTCTTGTTTTTTAAAGGGGCGTTTTCTAAAATTAAAAAGGGCGTGGTCTAAACAGTTTTGTTTTGTACCCATCCTCCCCCCGCAGAGCCTAGTGGCTGGCGCCGCCATACCCTGGGTACCACTGGTCGCAGTTTACAGCCTCATTTTGCTCATGGCTGCTATCCATCGGTAGGAGATAAGAACAATTTAAGGTGGCTGTCAAATTCAAAGTGCCCATTATTTTGTGAGGAAGTGAGACAAATTTTTCAACAAATTTTCCTCATTCATCTATGTCATAAAGACACTTGTTTACGAAGAGTCGTTTAGCAAGTAAACACCTTTGACACTGTAGCATCTCGTGACGTCATTCAAACCCCACGGCCAAGTACATTCCCGCTTGTGGGGGTTTCGGGCGCTTCTTTCTGCCCTTATTTCATTTCTCATTACCTCTCTGCTCTCTGCACATTAGTTACTTTCTCTTATACTTAGATTTATTCTTTCTTCGGTGTACACTCTGTTGTATAAGTTTAAAAATAATTTGTCAAAAGTTAAGAAAAATTTTAAGAACAGGCTGAGGCTGAGGTTCTATAAATTTTGAATTTAAAATCCCCGTTGAAAAATTCCATCTCAACAACGAGCGGCTTTTCCATATAGATGTATGTTGTTTTTAGAATCTTTGAAGACTCATTGCTAACAATGGGCCTTTGCGAGCGTAGCGACGATCCAAACAATGGCAGTAAACCAATACGGATTAACCAAAATTGATTTTAGACTGTATAAAAATGCATTATGGGATGCTTGCGTTCCGCAATGGCTCATTGTTAGCAATGAGTCTTTTAAAGTAGTAGTTATACATATTTAGTATATTAGCATAGTTAGTTGTTAGTAAACGTTTAAAATTGTAAAAGCCCGGAAAACACATGAATTGATCCCACGCAATTTTGCCACGAAGTTATCATGATGTTCTAAGGTCTGACGGCCAAACGCTGGCGGTCAATGCGATCAACGCATCCCACACATTCAGGATAGCAAGACAAAAGAAAGAACCAAGTGTTTCGTTGAAAAGGAAAACAAGGAACTTCATGTTAACCGTAAACAAGGATAGTTGCCAATTCTATTTGCGTCATAGCTTGATATGATTTTATTGGAGACAGCAAAATTTCCGCAAACAGTTTTTTGGAAGAGTGACAAGCCAGTTAGTACGGGAGAGAGAATTTTGTGTTTATTTTAAAACCAGTAAACTCTTATCTATGCGAACACATTTAAAATATCCAGCTTCAGATAAAAATTTAGAAGAAAAAGCAATAGGTTTTTGAATTTTTTTTTCATGCTAACAGAACAGAGGAGGGACTTTATCAAGTAATCAACGGTGCCACTAAAATGTCATGCAAAACAGCTATTTAGTGGTCTTGGGAACAATTTATAGTTTCAAAAAAAGTTAATGCCATAACAGCATTAAATGCAGGGCCGTAATTATCATTGCTCTTTGGATAAGATCTACCCCCTCCCCCAAATTTTAGAGTTCTTTTGTTTCCAATAAACATTCCCTTCTGTTCCTATTGTTTTCAAACAGGGGTGCCCCTCTCCCAAAAATAAATCTTTCACTCTACGGCATTGGTCAACAGCGTCCGAGACTCTAATGATCTAGAAAACAGAAAAATCGTGCATCAACAAAAATCTCTGATGCGTATAGAGTTCTAAAGTGTGACGTCATCAAAAACCTTTTTTTTAGAATTTTTGAATTTTAACCACATAGCGTAAGAGATCACCATGAAATACTTTCAATTACGCAAAATTGGCCAAATATGTCTAAAATCGGTTGAGATATGGCTAATGAAAGATTTGAAGTTTGCTAAAGAATCACTGTTATTTTGGCTCTGTTCATAAAGTTATGAACAGAGACCAAAATACAGAGGTTTGATGGGGGAGAGAACCAAAAAACATGTGGCCATATCTCTGCCATTTCGTAATACACTTGCCTGATTTTGCAAATTTAGAGGTATTTCATGATGCTCTTTCAGGTTTTGGGATCCAAATTAAAAAATTCTAAAAAAATATGTTTGTGACGTCATTACTTTAGAACTCTATAGAAAGAGTGACAGCATCGTCACCGTGCTTGATTCTGCAAACGCTTGCATAAGTGAAAGTACGTCAAACGATACAAAGGGTCACGATACAAAAGGTCACGCAGATGTGGATGACATGCAGATTCACTTGTAAGTTTGCAGTCAATGAATGTCACTGAAGGAATCGAGGTCTACTGTTCTACGAGAGTGCATTTGAGGAAAATGGGTTTCGGGAAACATGGTCCAGTTGAAAGGTCTTTGCGAGCTGCCATAGCAGATCTCAACTTTGCGAAATGCAAGAACATTTTGGTAAATGAGAGTCAGTTTGCAGACAACAACTTTCCCATTTTTGCGTACATTTGTCAGCAAAAAGTGATTTGGAAAAGTGCCTGCAAGTATGTTAACATTGACATGGATTCAAAATGGAGCAAAGAGAGTCTCCGAGATCATTTGTCTGAACAGCAAAATGAAAAACAGTTTCTTGGCAATAGTATTAAAGAATCCTGCTTGCAGAAAATTCTTGTGGACGGGATTTTCGAGCAGTTAATTGTGCTTTTTGTCGAGTTTGGGTATGACATTAATGCCACGGATATCAGTGGGCTGGCTGCAATACATCATGCAATAAAACACGGGCTGCGGTTAACAACCGAAATATTGATCGATTCTGGAGCAAGTCTTTCGAAGGAGGCAAAAATTGCAAGCTGGATTCATACAAAGCTTCCAGCGTTGTACCATTGCCTGTACACACTGGATATCGAAATGCTTAAGCTCATTCTTAAAAATTCCGCCAACTGTGTTTGTGATATTCCTAAATTAAACAACATTGGGCAGTCCGTTTTCCTTCCTGCACGATTGCCGCTACCCATTCAGGATTGCATCCGGATGTTAGATCACATCAATCCTCTTACATTTCTCTTAATTGTTTATGCAGTTAAGTTGTATAGCGACCAATCGTCAGAGGCAAGAATGATCAAAGAAGTCGATGAAATTCTGAATACACTGCAGGAGTTCCTTGTAACAAACAAATGCTGGCAGAATCTGATGCAAGAATCTTCCTTTGAACTTTGTGGAGCGAAGTTGCAGAAAATGTTGAGGTCTTAACTGGATATTTTTCACGGGACTTTCTTCTTCATATGGTGACCAGCTTGTTAAGGAAATGTTAATTTTTACGATTTGATGAGCCATCGTGGACGCCGGTACGACCAAATTCAAGTGGGGACAGACTCAGCGGTGCTGGAACAAGGGGGCAAAGAGGGCAGCTGCCTCCTGTGCCCTTGACTATTGGGGCAGAAAAGGGGGCAGAAGAAGGGGCAGGAGAGGAGGCAGAAACTCACAATATAATAGAACTTAAGGGTTCTGCGAGTAGATAATGCTTCGTGCCCAACGTTCACATAGATTTCCGTATTTCACACATCAGAGCTTTAGATACTCATGCCTTCTGTAAAAGCTTGCCCCCCTTCGTCCTGCCATACTCCCGGCATCCCTGAACAGCATTTTCTTCTTGATTCGCTGTTGGCATCTTGTAAATGGTCAAATGAGAATGGCATACGTATTCAAGTACATCATCATTAAGGCAAAAGCAAATCGATTAAAAGAAACTGTAGTTATAATTCCTTAAAATTTTTTTTGTTGATTACGAAGTCCAATGTTGAAGGTATTGTCATAAAAAGTGTGATAGCTCTCGATGTGATCTCACGCATGCGCAGTTATTACAGAAACCTGGGTCGGGTGCAGACTTTCTTTTATACAGAAGGACCTTTTCCATGATGCAACAATCAGCTTTTATCTGTCACGATATCGATACATTTTTAACTCATCATTATTGCCATAACATCAGTAATTAGCTATTAGCTACGTTTTACCCTCAATTTCGTTCCTTATCGTTTCTTATCGTTTTTACTTTACTTACATCTGCACAATGTCAGTGCACGGCTGTCCAACCGCGCTCACTTTCTTGTTGTTTTTAATTCTTATTGGTATGTAAATAACATTGATTCCGCTAAACCGTTAATTCATGCAATAGATTTGTATTTATACTTTTCCTCGTGCGTTCCATGTACAACTGGAATCATGTTTGTCTAATTTGATGAAAACACTTAGAAAATAAGTCAGTGTCGTTTTTTATTAAATGAGCAGTCTTTTGAGAAGATGGTCAAGAACTGCACCAAAAAGCGTGCTATGACGGTATTTTAGCAGACTTGCCCTATCCCACAGATTTGCGGTGTAGTGGGTAGTGTAAAACCTAAAAGCCACTGACCCTTCGGGGTGATTTCGTAGTTTTGCAGTTTAACTGCAGAAGCTTAGCTGTATTCACGCTACGTTTATGTGAGTAGTCAAAAACCAAAAAATTGAAATGCAAAGACTTGAAATTCACTAAATGAAAACATTTTTCGAAATCAAATGTTCATTCTTTATTCTTCGTTTATCCATGACATCAGCAGGTAAGAGAGAGGGGACTTTTTTAACATTGAAGGGGGGGGGGTGAAATAGTAACGACTCTCTCAGCATCTTCACTGTATTGAACTGCAGTCACATCTTCTGGTGACCGTTTTTAAAACCACAGTATTTATCTTAACTTATATGGTATTTAAATATATGTCCCCAGTAAATCAGTTTATCTCTAGCTGAGGGACTACGATGCCTAAAAAATTGAAAATGAAATGTTGTTTCGAGAATATTAAAGATCTTAGACCCGGTAAAAGACCCAACATAAAAGTATTTACAACTTGGTTATAAATTGAAATTGTATCTTAGAGAATCGAAAAAAAGGTTAGTACCCAAAGAAGCTCTAGAAAGCAAGGAATTTCAGGAATATGGTCTTGCTTCAGGAGCATCAGACAAATTGTGTAGGCGTCTTAAAGGTTATGGGTAAAAGAATGCTTTTTAGATGCAATGCTGAGTGCCATTTTTATTAACGCTTGCTGCAACTCCAATTTGAATACCAGCGGTAATTTTGGGGCTTAAATTAACAAAGTCCAGACTGACAGGAATACCGAGCCATGAAAATCTTCCGTTTTTAATCCAAAATGAACATGGTGACTGAAATTCAAAACTGGGCATCGGCATCCCACAATGGCATTGTGAAAAGACGATTCCAAAATTAGAAGACATTGAGCTTTGAACGCTTCATGATTTGTAAGTAAAAATTTTGTTCTTGATTTAATTTAGACAAATTGTAGACGAGAATTTAGAGATTAAGTAACATTGACATAGTACTTTGATTCTCTTTTATGCATTTTTCAGGAAAGTTTTTTCCCATGTTGTTACCGTTTTACAATAGACACTATGGTTTTACAATTTACATATATATATATATCTGAACTTTGTCATCTTTCCCATTTATGACAGTGAGTCCTACTTAAACGTACATGAAAAACATTTTTAAAGGGGTCAATTTTGCTTGAAAAAGTGAGGCTTACAAAATTCTCCAATTTATTTCGAAAACTTTTTCTTCTGTAAGCATGTTAATTTGTTTATTTACGGCCTAAAAGAACAAGAATTGAATTTAGTTTTTGACTGAAAGTCGTTTTTTTTCAACAAAAAAACGAAATTTTAGACAGATTAATTTTACATGGAAAAGTAGGGCTATAGGCTTAGAAAATTCGCCAAATTTTTTCAAAAAATTTTCTTATGTAAACATATCAATTCGTTTATTTATGGCCTGAAAAAACAAGAATTTAATTTAGTTTTAGACTGAAAGTCATTTATTTCGACAAAATAACGACTTTTTAGACGGGTCAATTTTGCGTGAACAAGTAAGGCTATAGGCTTAGAAAATTCGCCAATTTTTTTCAGAAGATTTTCTTCTCTAAGCATGTTAATTTATTTATTTACGGCCTGAAAGAACAAGAATTGAGTTAAGTTTTTAACTGTAATACGTTTTTTTTGACAAAATAACGAATTTTTGGACTAGTCAATTTTGCGTGAAAAAGTAAGGCTATAGGCTTAGAAAATTCGCCAATTTTTTTCAAAAAATTTGTCCTCTGTAAGCATGTTAATTTGACTATTTACGGCCTGAAAGAACATGAATTGAAGTTGTTTTTTCGACAAAATAACGAATTTTTAGACGGGTCAATTTTGCGTGAAAAAGTAAGGCTATAGGCTTAGAAAATTCGCCAATTTTTTTCAAAAAATTTGTCCGCTGTAATCATGTTATTTGTCTATTTACGGCCTGAAAGAACAAGAATTGAGTTTGGTTTTTAATTGAAAGTCGTTTTTTTCGACAAAATAACGAATTTTTAGACGGGTCAGTTTTGCGTGAAAAAGTAAGGCTATAGGCTTAGAAAATTCGCCAATTTTTTTCGAAAAATTTGTCCTCTGTAAGCATGTTAATTTGTCTATTTACGGCCTGAAAGAACAAGAATTGAGTTTGCTTTTTAACTGAAAGTCGTTTTTTTCGACAAAATAACGAATTTTTAGACGGGTCAATTTTGCGTGAAAAAGTAAGGCTATAGGCTTAGAAAATTCGCCAATTTTTTTCGAAATATTTGTCCTCTGTAAGCATGTTAATTTGTCTATTCACGGCCTGAAAGAACAAGAATTGAGTTTGGTTTTTAACTGAAAGTCGTTTTTTTCGAAAAAATAACGAATTTTCAGACGGGTCAATTTTGCGTGAAAAAGTAAGGCTATAGGCTTAGAAAATTCGCCAATTTTTTTCGAAAAATTTGTCCTCTGTAAGCATGTTAATTTGTCTATTTACGGCCTGAAAGAACAAGAATTGAGTTTGCTTTTTAACTGAAAGTCGTTTTTTTCGACAAAATAACGAATTTTTAGACGGGTCAATTTTGCGTGAAAAAGTAAGGCTATAGGCTTAGAAAATTCGCCAATTTTTTCGAAAAATTTGTCCTCTGTAAGCATGTTAATTTGTCTATTTACGGCCTGAAAGAACAAGAATTGAGTTTGCTTTTTAACTGAAAGTCGTTTTTTTCGACAAAAGAGCGAATTTTTAGACGGGTCAAATTTGCGTGAAAAAGTAAGGCTATAGGCTTAGAAAATTCGCCAATTTTTTTGAAAAATTTTTCCTCTGCAAGCATGTTAATTGGTCTATTTACGGCCTGAAAGAACATGAATTGAAGTTGTTTTTTCGACAAAATAACGAATTTTTAGACGGGTCAAATTTGCGTGAAAAAGTAAGGCTATAGGCTTAGAAAATTCGCCAATTTTTTTGAAAAATTTTTCCTCTGCAAGCATGTTAATTTGTCTATTTACGGCCTGAAAGAACATGAATTGAAGTTGTTTTTTCGACAAAATAACGAATTTTTAGACGGGTCAATTTTGCGTGAAAAAGTAAGGCTATTTGCATAGAAAATTTTTAGGACTAAAAATTGAGAGTTTCTAGGACTAGAAACTGAGATGTTTTGGGAAAAAGACAAAGACTTTTAAAGGCTAGAATGGAAAATTTTTAGGAATAGAAAATAAGAATTTTTGGAACTGAAAATTAAGATGTTTTAGGACAGAATATTAATAGGAAAAGAAATAAAGAACTTCTATGACTACAAATCAAGAAGTTTTAGGACAAAAGATTAAGACTTTTAAATCCTAAAACTGAGACTTTTTGAACTAGAAAAAATTAAGACGTTTCTTGACTCGAAATTTAATATTTTAAGGACTAAAAATCTATCGAATTTTTAATCATGTTTAAGACTGTTCAAAGGCACACTGTTTTGCTGTTAACTGGGCTACTAAAAAGGTATTGATCTACAAAACAATGCAATACGTTACAATTGCTCAATTTCGCCGAACATCAAAATTCTGCTTACAAAAGATGGATGTGTAGATGTGTAGCGGCGGTGTGTGGATAGAAAAATACCAAAATTGTGTAGACATTTCTTTGCCTGTAAAATATCATTTAAGACTGTTATGATATCGTTTATGATCATTTCAGTTCGTGTTTGCCTAATTTTATGCAGAAAACGGCCTTGAAAAGTCAGCCCTTCTTGAGAATCTGTATTCACATAAAATCATCCTTGACATAACACCCTTGTATGATAATTTGAAAAATATAAGATAATTTGACATGAAACTATACTCGGGTTTGTAAGCTTTTCATACTTCTAAAATCAGTTTGTCCACACAAAAACATCCACGTAAACTGGAGTAGGAAAGTGCATCCTTGTGTACAAAATAAATTTTTGCAATGAGTTATTTGAAAAAAAGAAATATAAAAGTTATTTGGTGGTCGATTGAAGCCATGTGGTAAGGAACCTAATAATGAGTAAAAACAAAAGTTGTAGATCAGCCAATAAAATTAATAATTTTCATAAACATTATCAAATTAGCGTTCTCCAAGCAAGTTCTTCATTTTCAATGAATCCAGAAGAACGTTAAATTGTTTTCCTTATATATCAATATCTGTGCAGCCAATGATTAAAAGATATCGAATGCGCTGTATAGCTTAGGCCTCTTCTTTGGCACCACTGTTTTGTCTAATGTGCTGATTTTTGACCTTGATTTAGACCAAGAATGCACATTTGCCGTACAATTTCGATCTACTATAAAACAGAAACTATCTGACAGCCTTCTCACTGCCATTGACTTCAAATGGATCCTGCCCAGATTCAAAAAAGTATGAAAGCCGCCTAAACAAAAAGTAGCCATTCAAAATGGCTGCAGCGAGTGAAACACAGGGAAAAAAGCTCTTCAGGGACAATTTTTATACATTTTCAGTCGGAGATACAGAAGTTGACTACTTTCACCGTTGGATTTGAATTTCTAAATTTTAATTAACGCGATTTCATCTTCTAGTGATACCGCAAGGTGAAAAGTTTCAAACATTGGTGCTGAAAAACGAAAAAACCGCATCGCTGATTCGTCAGGATTCGCTTGCCTTCGAGCTGGCTTCCCGAAACGATCTCTTGATAACACGGCCCGCCGTAACAGTAATGCTTTTTCCGCGAAAGAAAAACTAGTAAATATGGCTGGAACAGCAAAATTGGACTTTGACAGGCCAAGGTTGGGTTAAATTATCAATCGTTCTTGAAGCGCTTTAGGAAACGAAGTCGAATAAGTAAAACGGGGTCAAATAGGCATAAAGGGGTAACTGTTTTTAGCTCTAAGAAACTTTCTGTGGTGTTATGTCGTGCAAAAAACGGAACATAACAATGCCCGGGGACAAAAATATCAGCCTGCCAAATGACGTGGAGAAATGGAAAATGTTCGGTTCATTCGACTTATTGGAAAATGGGCTTCCCAGCCAGAAAACGTCTTACCAGGAACAGTTTTCATCGGGTTCGAAACATACAGGTACAAAATCACAAGATTAACGGGCTGTTTTACCAAGCAAGTTATCATCAACAAACATTTCTACATTTAATTTAGAGTGAAATTTCGCTTTGATAATAGAACTAACGTAGAATGTATTGTGGCATACAAACATCTAAGAGCAAAAATAGATTTTTATATCCTTAAGGAAAATATCTAAGTTCGTTTCGAAAATATCAGTAAAACGTACTGCTGTCTTCATCATCAGAGCTCCCTCCAGTTCCAGTGAAGTATGACAAACTCTTGGTAAGATTGTTTTCTACATTGTTTTCGCCTTTAAGTGCAGCAATATCATCTTGGTCGAGGTCATCATCCATATCAAAATCATCCTCGTAGTTGCTGGGGAAAATCAAATGAAGAGTTTTTAAATATAATTTTAAAACTTTTCTGAAAAGCAACCATTCAATACCCGTATTCAGGGCCGCCAAGTGGGGGGCAAGGGGGCAAACTGCCCCCAAGGCATCAAGGGCTAGGGTACCTCATAAAGTAACGAAATTCACTTTATGTACGGAATTTATTAAAGGTAGCAAAAGCATGCCAAAAAGAGTATATAAATTGGAAAGGATCCCGGCGTCCCTACCCATATTTTTGCCAACGAGTTCCTCCTTTTTCGAACAAGCATCGAAAAGAGAGAAAAAAGGTCGCCTCTTTCATTCTAAATATTGGCCTCAGGGGGGGGACCTAAATAGGTCGAGTTACGAGGACGTGCCATTATCTAGGTGTAATTTTTTCAAAAAAAGTGCGGAATTATTGGTATCAGTTTTTGAAATATGTGTGGCATTATGGGTGCCTTTGGAATAAAATATGCAGAATTATGGGAACCATTTGGAGAAAGTATTGCAAAATTATAAGGAGGGAAACTAGCATTAACAAAATGTATGTCCAGTTAGAAATGAAAGTGGCTTTGGAAAAAGCAAACATGTTGGGACATACTTACGCTTTTTGTCTGACACTTTTGAGGCTATAATGTATGTTCTAAAATGTTTGCTTTCTCAGAGTCGTTTTTAAATTTTGTACAACAAAAAGAAATCAAACTATAAAATATTTGTAACATTGGGATTTTGGGGCAAAGGACATAGAGAATTTGTTTGATGAATTTTGTGTTTTTGAAAACGTTCTTTGCCTTGCGGAAATATCCAGCAAAGAACAAAACATTCAGATTTCCGCTGGTCACGACATTCCTGCATAGAGGAATAAAAAAATTGGTTGAAATTTTTTTTCACTAGACACTAAATATCAAATCAACGATGATATAGAAATATTTTTTTTTCAGTCTGTTGCGAGCAAAGTTTGGAATTTCCTATACTCTTTTTTTACATAAGCACCAGTAAATTTAAGTTTTGGCTGACTGTTTTCATTTTTTTCGAAAATCCGAGGCTGGATTGTTCTTGATGTGTTCTTAAATTGATAAGCAGCGTAAGCGGGTGTAAGCAGCGCGATTGCTAGCTTTTTCGCGCTAGAGAGGTATTCAGGCCTCATTTGCCAACAAAGTGAGTGAAACAACCTTCATTTGCTGACAAGTTTGAATATTCACCGAAAAGCACCCACATGGCTGAAAGCACCCACACATTCCTCGTCTTTAGTTTTTATAGATAAAACGTTGTTTAAAATTGCACTTTACAGCAGCTCAGCCTCAGCTTGTTCTTAATTTGTTCTTAACTTTTGACCAATTTTGAGGCTCGTGTTCTTACAAAATTGTTCATATAAAAAAGAGTGTATTATACAAAACAAAACACTTCAAAACGCAAATCCTTATCTTACTACAAATTTTCTTTCCCTAAATTTAATTAAAAAGCTAGAGAGCATTTATTCTATTTTTTTATTTCTTTATTTATTATTTTATTTCTTTTATTAATTTATTATTTTATTTCATTATTTTTTTTAACCAAATCCAGCCTAAATCTGTGATGTTAAAACTTCTAGGACAAGAAACCATAAAAAAGGTTTACAAGTTCGGAAGAGAAAAATTATACGTAGCAGAGGGTAGTTTCGATCTACCGACCTCTGGGTTATGGGCCCAGCACGCTTCCACTGCGCCACTCTGCTGACATAACACGGGCGATCAAGTTGAAGTCATTCAAAGATTGTTCGCCGTTCCTTCGCAGCTACCACCTGTTCGCTTTATACCGTTGCACGTTCATTTCATATGGGGCATTCGTTTTTAGTGAAAAGAAATCTCAATGGCATTGTGTATACGCAATTCGATTTCTCGAAAATACAAAATCATTGTAAATTTTATAAACAAAATGTGAAAATAAAATTTCACTTTTATTGCAGAAAAAGAGGCAATGACCCGTCTTCCACTTCTCCCATCATTTATCAGAATTATTTTTTTGCGAACACTTTTTTGCAAAATTAGCAAGTCAGAGAAATTGTATGATGATTCTTAAACAAGAGACCGAAGGATATAATAAAAATCCTGATTTCGTTACTCATACACCGGGCAGAGAAAAGGAGAAAGAACTTGTTTGTTCCAGGTCCTCTTTTATCTTCCTTTTCCGACAAAACGATCTTCAAAGTATCAAGCCGTGCAAAGAAATTCATTGCGTTGTCGAGTCATGTGAAAAACGACAAATCTATAATCGTAAAATTGTTGTGTACTTGTGAAATTGTAAACAGCAATCCAGCAAACCCTATTGCCCATGAACAGGTAAACCATTAAAGGAGGCTCGTGGCTAGATGAATTTTCTGGAGATCGGAACTATGAGGTGATTTTGATTATAGGCTCAAATGGTTGCTTTAGACATAAAGAATTTATCTTTAAATACCGAAAGTAGCTAAGAAAGCTGAGAGGTTGAACAAAAAAGAAGCCACAAACTGGAAGGTGGGATAAAATTTTCCCGTAGACATGCGATGATTCCATCCCATCTACTAGCTTATGGGCCGAAAAGTGGGATAACTTTGCTTGCAAAAATACAAGTCATGAATGAATGCATGACTTTGGGCATTCGAATGCTTGTACAACGTTTGTATTTTATCGATCGACTTTGCGATTGAGAGGAAAAGTTTAGGATGGAGGCAACAGTTGAATACACGAATGAGTATGAATTTTAGGAAGGTATGTTTACTTCAGGACCATGTCAATAATAGTTACCAGACTATGTAACAAGCGCCATAAACGATAGCAAGACTCAAATATTCGGAAGATATAAACAACGTGAGGCTCCAAAACCCATGCTCCTTTTAAAAAGGTATATTCTATGAAGTACCAAGAAGTTCTGACGTTATTGGGGAAAGCAAGTGTTATTTGCTATCAACGGGTGGCTAACAAAAATATTTGGAGGCTCAAGTGTTCAAACGCCCTTCTTCAGTAAGGCCAGGGTGACTGATTTACAATTTTGTCAATTCACAGCCAACTAAAACAACCATTTCAATGCAATCTCCCCGGCAAGTCAATAATAACAATCTGATCAGACGTACTAAAATCACTGTGACATGAATCTCTCGAAATTCTAGTGAATCAAATTTCAACATAAATTGATTCTATTTTCTAATAATCTTTGCAGAGTGCTGATTATGTCTAAAGGCCAGAGACAGTTAGCCTGCATTTCTAGCTCTGTTTTCCCACTATGAGACTGAAAATTGCATAAAAGCAACATAAAAATTTATGAAACTTACAAATCTTGCGAAGCACCTTCTTCATTAACCAAGATCTCATATTCCTGCATTGCAAACTTCTCCCAGTCACTTAGCTCATTTCCAGGCCCAAATTCATCCGCGTCCTGTGTATGAAGTATATAAAGTACAGTCTTTGCAAGCCACATTTCCGAAAAACTCAAAGACTTGACAAGCAAAACAGCATAAAACTTTCAAACATTCAATGAGTTTAAAGAACAAACAACAAACGCGCATGAAGAGAAGTCTAACCATATTTGGGGCAATTATTTTACATTTTTGGTGAAATTTCGGCCAATGTAGAGAAAACAAAAAAAGAAACTAAGTGTGATAACACATACCTAAACTTTGCACGCTTTCAAAAAAGGCTGTAAAATGTTCTCTTTAAAGAAATTTAAAAAACCTTCAAAAACTCTAGATCAATGTCACAAAACTATGGTCAATGTCCATTGTAAGATTACATTTTCATCCATTTTGGTTAAAGAGTAAGGGGATCTTTCTTTAGAAGCGGTGTTATCAGATTTCCTTAGAATGAAGTGCATTAATGCTTGATTGACAGTTCTATTAGATCAGAGCAAACCGACAGATACACGCAGGTTAAAGCAAAGCCAAGGTAAGCAGGATGAAAGAGGCTTATAATACTGGAAAAACTTGATGATTAGGGGTGCATTCTAAAGAGAGGGGCCTAAAACTTACCCGTGCAGATTGAAACGGGTCTCTTTGTTCGTATTCAAGCCAGCGATCCAAATTGAAGAATGTATCGAAAAATAAATTAACCGTTTTGCATCGCCTCAGGTCACGTAGAGTTATCTTTCCTAAAGGGTTAAAAAAGTTTCCTTAGTCTTGAAAGATCTACAGTGACAAAAACATTTTAGATACAACTGTGATAATCCTGCTTGACTGCCTGACTGTCAAGAACGCCTGCAGATTTAGTTTAAAAGAGCAAAATTTCCCACAAACTTTCATTGATCACGCGGCTTGTTGCCTTAAAGAGGTAGGAGGAGTTACAGTAAGCCTGTGAGAGTATTTTTCCAAAAGAGAATGAATAAGTAAATAGATAAATCAAAAAATAATTGATGCAAAAACAAGATGATTGTAACGACTTTGTATTATCTTGACTGATTTTGGGGAGCAGTATCGTTAGAAGACGTCCTGTCATATCATGACGAAACTGTCACTTGTTGGCATAACAATAACAAAATGATTTTTATTGTCATGGAGCGCAAGCGTGCCAAAACCAACTCTAAAACTATTTTAACAGCTACGTAAATGTACCTTCAACCGCTGGATTAACCATATCGATAACCTAGAAAAAACAAGCAAATAATGTTAAGGCCGGGGTAGCAAAACTGTAAACAAAAACGACAACAAGTCTAAAAAACATAAAACTGATAATTTCCCACGGTATATAAAACTTTTTTCGAGGTATATGATTACAATTAATATAGCCTCTCGAATGCATGCAGTCGAGACAACTTTATCCAAAATTTGTTAACTGATTTTGGTGATAATGTGAATCTGCACGAATGTAGGCCAGGAAATTACGTAAGTAAGAAAAACTGGATAAGGAAAAATAATACTACAATTCGCAAGTTTTTATCTCTACAATATCAAAATATCATCTGGAGCATCAGGAATATGTAAGCAAATGGCAAACAATTGCTGTAGATCCTATTCTACAAGGTAATGCTTTTACCCTGATGTAAATTAAGTCAAGCTAGAAATAAAGTCGTAAAGATTTCGTAGTGTAAAATACCATCACAAGAGCTAATAAGCAAGGCAACATAACTGCCATGAAGAAACTTTAAAGCAAGCATAAGTTAAAATGACCATTTTGATGACTATTGATGATTTAAAACAGCAGGGATTCGAACGCTGGACACAATAACGTAAATAAAAATTAAGACAGTTTCCTATTTAAATGGAGATTTTTAGAACTAAAAAATAGTTTTAACGTTTTGGTTACAGATTTCAGGGCGCTGAAGGAAACTTTTGAATCATAACGACATATTTGATACATACCAGGCAAAGGCAATCGGGGAATGCCAAAGTCTCAATACCCAGTCTCTGCATTTTCTCTAATTGTTCATTGTAAAAGTATTCAAGCTCATACATTGAGATGATGCCATCTCCATCAAGATCCATACAACGAAACCAGTACTCGATGCTGTAAAAAGAGTCAGTGTCAATGTGATTATGAATTCATACAAATGGGCATAACTAATTACATCACTGTTTCAAGGATGAATAACTTTCAACTACCCTGAAAGCGAAACTGAAATTCCTCATATTATATCTTTTTTGCATTTACAATGGGAAATTAATGTCCTAGAGCTGCACCAAAACAAGTTCACTGGATTAAAAATGTTCGCGAAATAATGAGCAAATAATAACTTAACTTATACCTTGTGGGCTGTTTCTTGTCCACTTCCGATATCAAGAACCAAACAAAATCTGCGTAACTCATTTTATCCTCAGAGAATTCCTTGCCACTAAAATGCAGGAGGGTCGACAATCACTGCCAAAATAATATCCATAGTCCCTTGAAACAATTTTTATCTTACAAAGATAAAAAGAAGTACACATTTTCGTTCAAAATGCTTGCATTGATTTGAAACAAGAAAAAACATCATAAAAATTGTTTAATTGATTTGATTCAGGATGTGGGCTGATTCGAGGGAGGTTTGTTAAAAGGGTCCCATTCTTGGCTATTTTATTTTCTGTGACATCGCACTTTGTTAAGCGTCGTACTTTAATAAGACCAGTTTCGGAAATTTGGTAAAAAGTGCGGTCTTAATATTCTACTTTTTCTTATGATAGAAATGAATGAAGACAAAGGCAGATAAATTCCACAAGAAACACATTTGATTTGTAACAAGAAGATAGATGCAGCAAATTCTTTTTCACAGTCTTCTTGCCTTGGCCTTTAAATATACCCTTTTTCTTATATAAAAAGCTGTGTGAGTCAAATTTTGGCTTTTCAAGCTCCGTCAGCAAAATTCGATTTATTTCAACGTGGTTTGCACGCCTTTCCAGGGTCGATGAGCCAATTGAATACAGAGAGTGGTTACTTTCTCCAACTAGCCAAATCTTTTATGTAAAAAATCACTTGGACTAGATAAATATCGACAATCAAACTTAGTTATCAATTATTTTGAAAACTACCAAGCTTGTGATAACGAAAATGAAACTTTCTACAAATTTTTAGAATTTTTAATTTGATTAGCGGAGCAGAATGTTTGTGAAAATAAGGAGCTGAAGATTGAAAAGCGAACCACGCAAAAAGAGATTGAAAATAAAGTTACCTCGTGACACACCCACTGAAAATTCTGTCAATTATTCTTGTGGACAAAGCTGGAAAAAGAGCCAAAAAAAGTTCGTGAATTAAGAACAATGAATAACAACCTAGGCATCTACGCAGAAATAAGCTGATTTTTAAAATTCTGTTTTTACAATTTTTTGAATTCTCATCATGTAATCTAAGACAAGGTTACAAGATAGTCCTACATACGATAAAAATTTAGGATGGAATCAATATTGGCTTAGCGATACCCCCAATCAATTCACCAGCATTCTCTATCAAATCATTGAAATTTTGTTATGGCTCTGTACACTGTTTACCATGCCTAATTTTAAGTAACCCTTGAGAAAACTGCTTCCAACTGCCACATCTCAGCAACTCTGGGACCGATTTTGCTGTGTTTGAATATTTAGAGTAAAGTATAATTTGCACTTTAAGATGTGACAATTTAAATAAGGAGCCCGAGGACAGATCGTCATAGTCCTCACTTTCTAAATCCACACGACTTGGAACACACCTCAACAAAGAACAAATTAGAAACCACTTAAAGAAAAACATATCTAATTTGAATTACTTAGGAACGACATCACTTAGCCGCTATGAAAATTGTTGATTTCCGTTATGTCGTATATTGCTCAATGCCATATAGGCAGACCTGTACACAGTTTTGGTAGGAGAGGGCAGTTCTAAATTTGTTAGGACACCACGGCATTTATTACAAAATCCCACTTTTAGATGCAGCGTTTAAAAGAGGGTTGTGCTTATCAAAGGGCGGCGTTTATTAGAAGAAATGCGGTATGCATTGTTAATTAAATATACGATTGTTAAATTCTGTTACTGTGACTTACCTCCATTGCTATATCTGGAAAGGTCTTTTTTGTCAATAATTAAATCATGGTCGGTATCCAATTCCCAAAATTTGCAATAAATTACGTAAAAATGTTCATATGAAAAATAATCGACCACCTTGAAAAAAGAGAAATACATTTATTGGTTTTTAAGTTCGAAACAAACTTTTAATTGTAGCTATCTCAGTACTATATCAACTGCCATATTTTTATTCAAGAGTAGCCTGTGACAAGTTTTGATAAACATTTCCAATTATCTTCTTAACTTTGCACTGCCTCCTCACAAATCTTCCTGCAACTTTCCTTAACCTGAAATTCTTCCCCTATCCCTAAACATCTCTAATGTTCCTCCTTTTAGAATCAAATCTTTTAGTATACCTCCAGTGAAATTCTCAGAGTAGCAGTCCTTTTAGTAAGACTTTTTCCTTTGGACTTCGATAAAGTCATTTTGGCTACAGTCTAGTCATAAATCATTTAGAGAAATAAGTCATTCGACAACAATCTGGAATCGTTTAGAGAAATTCACAGCCATGAAATCTGGCAAATGAAATGGCCAGTTGTAACATACAGAGCACAGTTGACAAAGCCTAGGGTACTATCAGTTGGCAATCTACACGATTAGAAAACCTGCATCATTCCAACATGAACCTTCCCACGGTTTTTCCACGATTTCAATCCGAGATCTTTAAAGAAAGGAGCCTTGTTTCCATAAAAAAAGATGAGGCAGAATTTGTGATCTTTTGCAAAACATCGAAATTTTTTGTAATGATTTAGAAAATTTGCCCAGCTACCAACATTTTCAAAGGACTTCAAAAAATTAAAAGCTTCCCAGGTTTTCCATTATTAGCAGAACTTCTACAAAAGACAAAGCTTTTTGTTGCCCGTACGGGGTCTGAATCACATCCAATACGAACCGGTTTTAGCCGTAGGGTGGGCGCAATATTAGCCAGATTTTATATTATCAAAATCAAACCTGATTTATGTCATCTTCTTCCTCAAGCGATATTAGAACCTGTAAAAGTAAACAATGATACAGTTTTATTGGACGTCTCATATAACGCTCTTCTAGTTTCTATTGCCCAACCAAAAAACCATCTGCCGTGTCCCAAGCTAAAGTAAAAACGTTCCTCGACAGCTTTCATTCGAGCCTTGCCTAAGAAAGTTGCTAGTTCATCCCTTTTAAAATTTCAAAAGTTTAAAGCTCTATCCTTTCAAAAAGCAAGAAAACATACATTATGTTGCTCATTTAAAAATTTGTCCATAGAAACAATAATTAGTTAATCCAAATGATATCAAATATACGTTCAGCACTTTAATGCAGAAGAAAAGTCATGTTCCACTATGATAAGTCCATTTTTTCAAGACTACAGATCTTTCGATAGATAAGCCCTGTCTGAGGAGAGTTCTTTTTCAAAGTTAGAATAATTAACTTATCATCAAATTAGTACTAGCACCGCCTTAATTACTGCATATAATTAATGACGGTTATTAAGGCAAAGAGTCTGAAAAATGTGACACATCATAAACCATCTGCAAAAAGCCGTGTTCACAGTGATGTTTCTTCAAAAATAATTGAATCTCCATCGCATCTATAGTCGCATAGATTTTGATTTAAAAACCAACTGTTCAACATACATATATTATTCATAACAGTATGGATATTCTCTCTGATATTGTAAACAATGAATACGCCCATTCCAAGTCGTTATAGGGGTTTGAATCAATAATTAAAGTTTCAGACCTGTTGAAAATTACTCTTCTTGAATTCTGCAAGTGAAATTCTACCACTCCAAGATCGATTTATGCAATAGAATATTCGAGATATAACCTGCAACGCAGATGGAACTTTATAAATGTAAATGAAAGAGCCAACTAAAAATCGACAACCCTTCCTTACCAGCACTGTTTTATATACAATGGGAAAATTCTGAGCACACTTTTGCTGCGTTTAGAATAATTGTAGGAAACATATATCTAGAGATTCTTTCAATGCCAAATAAAGAACGTCCACTTGTTATGGAGATACATAAAGAAGCTTGAAAATATTAAACGTGACACATCTGCTGCTGTCCATTCTCAAAATCAAACTCTGAAAGTCTATGACACAACACAGGGATCATAACTACCAAGTATTGAAAAATTTTTTCAATACATTGATAGAATAAATTGTTTAACATCGATATAGTTTTTTAAAGAAAATTTCATTGCGTATTACTTCTTTGCAGTTGTATAGCTACTATCTTCAACAAGCAATAAACCATGAGCAAGTAGTATGGCTATTATGAAATAAAAAAGAACGATAATATTAAACTTACTGTGGTAATGTATCTTGAGTGAAATTCTGGGGCATCCATCAAAAATTGCAGGCCAGGATGTGTCTCAATAACATCCTGAAATTGAAAAAAATTATTGCTACAAAACACTACTATATCTTATCCAAGGGGTTGAACTTGATCCAAATACCTGGGTAAATGAATAACTAAATGATAAGTGAACTTTTAGCTTTTGCCTATCATGCAAATAAGAGGTCCCTCTTCTATGGAAAATTACAAACATTTTGATGCGATTATACTTATATGTATCATCATTTCATTTTAAAATGTACAACAGAAAGGCACTTTGATATTGGAACATTCCTATCATAAGAACCAATACCAAACCAGACCTTCTGCAGGTGTAATACTTCTCATTTGCTATCCATCTAGCCTGCAGACTGTGGCATGCAGACTGTGGCATGTGCATAAAAAATTTCACAGCTTTGTCTAATGCAAACTGAAATTTAGGGTTGTACATATATTTTCCAAATCATTAAATTTTGTTTTGAAAGAGGGGTTATGTACAATTACTTCCTACAACAGTTGAGGGTAAACATTGAGCTTTTTGAATGATGGTAAAATATCTTTCTGAAAACTTTTAAGAATATCAACACAATCATGAATAGACCTTAACAATATCTTACCTGAATGAAGCCATTGAAGTCCTCTTTGGTCAAAAAATCTTTTTCTGGTGGAGCCAAAAACTTAAAAAGTCTTGCTGCTGGATCATGGTAAGTCTTTAGCACTCTAGAAATATTGATTTGCTAGGTAAAGTATCATTTTTGAAAAGCAATTTGCAATAATTTGACCCTGTTTGCTATATCTTTTAACCTGAGTTGAATCTTGATTAGAACTTACCTAGGTTAGAAATTTTGTAGTGTAGACACAGCTAGCCTGGATTGAACCTAGGTTCAGTTGATCCTGCTCTGGAGGTTGGTTGAGCCTAGGTTGACGCAAGGTTAAGATTTTTGGAATGCAATGTAAACGCAAATTTAGGTTGATCCCAGGTTAAGGATCCGCTGCATGCATGCATTTTTCAAGCAATGTATCAAAAGGTGCCAACACACCAAGTCATTTTTAAAGCATGGTCAAATCAAAAGCTATCTAGGGTTGTCTCAGGGGAACAAGTCATTCCATTAGAAGCAAAATATTTTGAAAATGAGCGAGACAAACACTGAAGGTAGGATACTGTGAGGGCTACAACAAGGTCAAAGCATTTACTGTGACATGGGCAGAAAAAAAGAAAAATACTTGGCTTGAAAGAATTATTCCTCACAACAAGTTCTCATCATTGCCTTCCACAATTTTCAAAGTACCATTCAAACTAAGCACCATTTCCCAGAGACAAAACCAACTTTGCCTTTACACTAGTCTTTGCAGTCAGTGCAAACCAAAGTCCGTTCAATCTGGGTTCAACCCAAGTTAAGGCTAACCCAGGATAAAAATTATGAAGTAAACAGTGCTTGAGAAATAATTTTTCTGTCTAAAGAAAACTCTATTTGTATAGATTTAAAGATTTATTTTGTCCATTCTAAAGGAACATAGGTCAATAACTCATTTTTTAAAGTACCATTGAAAAGTACCGGTGTATTTTTGTATATATATCCATCAATCGTGTATATTTGTATAAATTGAATTTGTTTTCACAGGTAAATTTGTAAATTGATAGATACTACACTTTGGTTTAAAGAACAGAATAGTCTCTGCACTTTATGCATAAGCAAATATCAGGCAACCGTTAACTACTCTCTGCAAAGTTGATTCATATTCTATCCATATCAGGATTTTCAATTATTTATAGTTGTTAACAGCAGTTAGACAAAAGCAACTTCTTTTACTTAGCATCTAGAAATGAGTCCAGATCTTATGTTTAGGATCAAATTCTTGTGAGTTGCTCTTTGTAAGCAAAGTTGAAAGTGTTTAGTATGTTAGAATAGGCTGCTGCTCTTGTCCTTATAGACTTCAAGCTGCCAAACAAACATAGACATTTTTAATATACCAAACAATGTTTCTGTTGTTTTGTATATATATTTGTATTTTTGTCATATGATCATGAATTTCAATATCACATAGACTGATTACAAATTTTTTGCACAGACAAGTTCAAGATAATATGGCATGGCATAGTAAGGGGCAAATGAAGAAGAGGAGGACTGCAGCAGAAGCTCAAAAAAGATGTGCATGAGGTTTTTGCAAATGAAAATGGATGGACTACTTTGAAGTGCATGAAACAAAGACTGTTGGTGTACAACCATTGCATGTGCCATGGCAGGTCAGTGATGACCCTTCCGTTCTTAATGCTGAAGTGCTAACCAGTTATTAAAATACTCACATTTCCCATGTCACTGAAAGTTCTTGAAATGTAACATATCCTTTACTATGGCCACCACATGCTTTGTAAAGGGGGTATTTCCAATATAATGGAAGACCAAGTATCTGAAGCAGAAAGATAAAAAATCTCACATTATCCCATCACAATAAATAAAAAACAATATATACATTTGTAGGCATCTGAATCTTGACAATAAAAATTGTTATGATATGAAAAGCACTGAAGTGGGAGGGGGCAGAATTAGAAGAGAGTCTTACAGAAAGAGAAAAGCTTAGTTACTTTGTAGCTCCTTGCATCACTTAGGCAAAAAATGACTCCTAGATGGCAATTGTCTTGAAGATCAAAATCCAGAGCAAATCACTGTTTTGAATTAAATTGTAAATTTAATTTAGATAAATTAGAAACTATGAAAGATTCATTAGGCATCGTTTAAACAACTTCACAACTATGATATTTCGCATCTAATTCATTTGATAGAATTTTCAATATTCAAATAAACATTACTTTTTTATAAAACTTTGATAGACCTAATAACATTTTTATAAAATTTTGTCTAATTATAAACAGAAACAAAACTTTTTACCTGAACAACATCAACAAGCTGGGAACAACTTGCTTTTCCATTTGTTAATTTGGCAAATATCCGACTAACAAGTCTGAGTTTGGCTTTTTCATCAACCATTTCATCAGATGGTTTTCCAAAAGGGAAATAGAATTGTGGCAGGTTTTTTGCACAACCAGGAATGACTTCTGGTCTTTTTGGCTGTTTTAAACTATTTTTTAAAGAGTTTCTTTTTGATGATATCTGATCTACTTGTCCTGATGAAGATGATAATGATGATGTTGTCCTCCTTCTGGGGCTTGATGGTGATTTTCCTGGGGGTGTCAAAGCAAGGGGTGGGGTTGCAGGAGGAGATGCAGGTCTTGAACCAAGAATATTATTTGAAGTTTCTATTTCTCGTGGCGATACTTGAACATCTGCAGATGCTGATGACTGGCCAACAATTTTCTTGAAATCTCTTTGCAACTGCTTCTGTGTATATGGATTTAAAAACCACTGTAGAAACAGATCATCAGTCATCAGCTTCAATTTTGGAGATAAAATTCCTGTTTTTCCAATCATTTTGCACAGTTTTCCTTAGAAAGTCAAGTATGAATCTTATCAAGCTTGTCTAATTTGTATTTATTGCAGGGCCTAATCCTGTGAGAAGAAAACACCATGATCTATTTGTTACCATGACCAACATCCAAACAAGTAGACTGTCCTAAAAAATGGCTCAAAGTATGATGGATGGGTTTATCAGCATCTTCTATGATAAAGTCCAGTGAAATCTGGTGTTCGCTCGCAGCAAATGCTAAGATCCGAAATGATCAAACTGACACGTAAGTGACTTCCCTCTTTGGCTGAGAAAGACGAACGCTTGCAGAAATAGCAACTCCACGGAAACTAAACGAATCAAATCAAGTCAACAGAAGCTCAAAAATTCTTATCGGGTTATTCTAGCAGAATCTGGGCAAAAATGTTTTAAAAATCGACCAGTTATCAAATATCTCGCCATGAAATAATATCAAATTCTCCACAGCAAGCCTCGCCCGTATCCGCCATATTATTTGTTTGAAATTTTGGCGCGACAGCCGCATGCGCAGATCGAACTGTGTCTAACCACCAGGAGGCGCGGCAGGGACGTTGGGGTTTCAATCTACAGAGGAAGTGTGCTTTCATGAATCTACCCAAAGAACTTCCCTGTTGAGGAACCATTTTTAACACCAAAAAAGAAATTGTTGCCTGAAAAATTGTTCCTAAAAATGACTTTTGCAAACCTTTTTGTGGTACAAAATTTGAAAATGGCTTTGGAAAAAGATCTATGTCCTGACGTTTTATACTCTGAAGAGTGTCAGACGAAAAGCTTTAGTATTCTCAAATGTTTGCTTTTTTCAAAGCCATTTTAAAACTTTCTATGAAAAAAGAAAATATAGAAGCACATTAATGCATTTTGTCGGATACTTTTCAGAATATAAAACGTCAGCACGGACATAGCTTCATTTGGGGAGGGCACAAAAATAGATGATTTTTTGACGGGACACTTTACTGACTACGCCATAACCAAATAGCAAGAAAAAGAATCCATTTATGATTTTTGATATCAAGATTGATATCTCATCTAAGACAATTGATGATACAAGAGGTCGAACAATTATACTTTTGACAAGTCGTACGTTCATTTTCTGCATTTTATCTTGTTTTCGTCAGTGGGAAATACATTTGAAAATAACTTCTTTTAAACGTATTTAACGTATAACGCTGGAAATTTTGGCTAATCTTTACGGAATTGAAATTAAATATAATTTTAATTTTGTTTAAGTAGTTCTGGGTGTTGTATTTAGACTCTAGTTTTTGCTGCCTATTTTAGCAACCTGTTATTTTAGCGTTAATCACGCCCCTTAGATTAGCTTAAAATTCCCCCTCAGAACGTTTTCTTGGAGCATTTTCGACACGTTAAACGGTTGTCAATTATCCGACGAAAGCCCGAATTTTCCGACGACCTCGCTGATTGGGTGGGCCCGAGCCCCCCCCCCAAAACCCCCATAATTTCCGCCACTGCCTTATGCCCAAATAGATCGATATCCAGTTTCTATTTCATAACGTTTTGATAAGGGTATCAATGTCATGCTGTAATCATGAGCATTAATCCGTGCAACGCATTCAGTTCTAAGTCTTAATTTTATATTACAAAGAAGATAATAAGATGTTCCAAAATTATATCTAATAGACTTTCACAATTCAACCTGAATTTTTCGAAGGAAGCCGTAAGGCAAAAAATTCTTCAAACGCTCAGTTTGGTTTCTTCGTTTAGAACTATTCGGGGGTATTTCACAATTAAAAAGAAATTAATGATAATTAAGCTCGCAAAAAGATGCGGGTCAAACCAGGCCAGTATCTGTCATAGGGCCCACGCCACCGGAGGGGTTTGTGCGAAGAAAGTAGTTTTAAAGCTGCAGTAAAAGGGGAAAAGCGTTGACCCCCCACTTTTGCTAGCCTTGCCCCCCCCCCAACTTTCAGATACGTGGCGTAGGCCCCGTGTCAGTTAATTGCGTGAAAAGAAATAAAAGGCTGTCAATAGAAAAGCGTTTTAGTGAAGTGTGTCTTTAAATACCGCCTAAGTCTAACAGGTACTCAAAATATCTAGTATCTGGTATCATTAGTGAAAAGTAGCTTTAAGACTGATCTTGTTGAAAGAAAATATAGGTTCTGCGGCTACTTAATTAGCAGGAGATAACATGTAATACAATAAGATAAGATAAGATAAGATACTCTCGAAAAGAATAAAATACTGTTAATGAGCAAGGTTTCCATTCTCTGTTCTAACAAGAATAAAATTCACCAGCAAAGCTTTTGGGCATCGAGGAAAATACTATTTGATATTAAAAATTAACCGCGAATGGTTGTGGAAGTTAACTAGACAACTACATAGAATGTTAGCTGTGATCAACTTTGCTGTGAATAACGGCTTTTTTACTGGCATTTGTAAATTTACCAATTTTTTTATTGGCTGAAGATTACAGAAAAGAAAAGGTTAATGACCGAAGTTTAACTTGAACTAATCTACAAGTTGAATACATAGTATAATGTTATGAAAGTTGCTGTGTATCGGTCTCTGTCCTAAAGTGCTCGATGCTGTAAAGGCAGGCCGTCAAAGCAACTTGGAACCGTCCAGTTTATGCACCGAAAGTATGATCGTATGCATGGTAGATTATGCCAGAACCTCGTTTTTCTTTAACAACATGGCAGAGATAAAAATTGAAAAGTAAGGTCTACTCACAAGGCGATAAGGCAGTTTCTAAAAAATATCTATCAAATTTGTCGAGTAGATACATTTATTCAAGGTTATTTCATTCATTTATTAATTACCGGAACCTAATTCCCCCCCCCCCCATTAAAGATGGCTGCGATCGTCACCTCTGAGCGAAAGGCTCACACACGTCGGTATAGTTTTTTGTTGTAGAAGAACAAATTTGATACTGTGCATTTACCCAAATCGAAATCACCTGCTTGGGATTTATCTTAAACGCTCTTTCAATTTTGAAATCACCGCACGGCGAAAGTTGTTTTCGTTGACTGAAATATGTACAAAGAATTCTCATACAGCATATTACTTTGTCAAAGGTTTCATTTATTAAGAAACATCGTTCTTGGGATGCAATGTTCTAATGACATGCCATGTCAATATACTTTCTTGAACCAATAAAATCGGTCTACTGTCCTCAACCACTCATTAAATCCTATGAGCGATACAAACTACAACGATATAATCAATATTGATTATTCTTGCTCATATTAGTCCAGCTGTTATCGACCACAATTGTGCACTTAAATGATTAAAGCATGAAACTTTCCAGAATAGCTAACGAGTTACTTAGTAATCATATCTGATATAGTGCCAGTCGGTACTGTGCTCGAGATCCGAGAACTGCGCATGTCTGTATGGAAACGAGGCTTAGAATAAAGTACTCCCTAATCACTTTATATTTTGATATTTTTGTTTGAAAAACTTTCTGCGATATGTGCAATATGCAAGGAAGCAATCTAATACATATCCGAGAACTGCGCATGTCAGCACGAAAACGAGGCTGACATGTCAACTTTGGCGCGAACAAGAAAATGATGTCAGCATGTTTCTCTTGTAAATCAAAATTTATTCTTGGGAACGATTCAGCAAATAAAAGGTTATTTTTTCGAACGAGCTAGGATGCCCTACTTATTGATGTAGTGGTCACGACATGACACATTTGCTAAATCCGTTTGAAGAGGAAGGAGAATATTTGCTGGCGATTCATACCAAACATGTCAAGTCTAATGAAGTGATCGAGACAGTTCGCAATGCTAAACGTATTGGTGAAGAACATTTCAATCTGTTTTTGAAGGAGCGATTTGTTGAAAAAAGCAAACCTGTTAGTCATCCCATAAAGAAGATGTGCCTATCAATCTTTGATACGCCAGAGAAAAAGAAAGTACCCGCAGATAAAGCTAAGCTACATGTTCTTCAACAAGACTGCTCTCTGTTTTCACGTCTTTATATAGCATGCCAATTCCGCGACGGAAATCTAGAAGATTTCTTCAAATATGAGAATCAGCCATGGCCCCCTTCACTGTCCCAATTTGGCCAGCTCAGAGAAGGCCAAAAAGCAGACCTCATTAACTGCTTAACAAGCCTATCAGCACAAGTTCCGACTACGACCAAACCATCTGTTGATGCAGTCATTATTGATGGTGCTGTCATTGTCCAGATGCTACAGCCTAAAACTGTGCGCTCATTCGATGAATATTTCACAGCCATATTCGCCCCTTACATTCTGAGAATACTGCAAAATTCCTCGCGAATTGATCTAGTATGGGATGTTTACAAAGTGGACTCGTTGAAGAAATCACTGCGAGACAAGAGAGGTTCTGGGCAACGTCGGAAAGTGATGGCCTCAACAAGAATCCCGACAGATTGGAAAGGCTTTCTTAAAGTAGATGAAAACAAAGACGAGCTGTTTAAGTTTCTTGCAAACAAGGTTAGCAATTCTTTGCAATTCTGAACAATACTTTTCTTAATAATGTTGATGATGCTGACATATGCTTTTAGTTTCTGACAATAATTTATTTCATATGTTTCAGTTGGTTTCATTGACGATTCCCGACGGTAAGGAGATCTACACCACTTACGGCGACGATGTTTTATGGCTCTCTAGTACTCAAAGAGATGTAGATTACCTTGTGCCCTGCAGCCATGAAGAGGCAGATACACGGTTAATTGTTCATGCGCGTGATGCAACTTTAAGCGGACACCGCCGGATACTCATCAAAAGTAATGACACAGATGTTGTTGTGTTAGCCGTTTCAGTTGCTGGTTTTATTCAAGCTGATGAGGTCTGGGTTACTTTTGGCTCTGGCAAGAATATGCGGTATATCCCTGCACATATAGTTGCAAAATCTTTAGGCACTGATAAGGCATCAGCTTTACCAGTTTTCCATGCTTTAACAGGGTGCGATACTGTATCATTTTTTGGAGGACGTGGGAAAAAAACAGCCTGGGAAATATGGAAGATCTTTCCTCAGTTAACGCCTGTCCTGATGACCCTAAAAGCTGCGCCAACAACAGAAGCCCTCAGCAGACTCGTGCCACTGCTTGAGAGATTTATGGTTCTGTTATATGATCGTACCAGTAGCCTTAACAGAGTCGATGAGGCGCGGCAGGAGCTCTTCTCAAAAAAATCAAGGTGTATTGATGGCATCCCCCCTACGCAAGCAGCCCTCCACGAGCACGTTAAAAGAGCGGTACATCAAGGAAGTTTTGTTTGGGGTCAAACGCTTCTGAAACAGCCTATAATTCCAAGTCCATCAGAATGGGGATGGCAGCGACAGGGCGTTATGTGGACACCATATTGGACAGAACTCCCTCAGGCAAAGGATACATGCTATGAACTAATCCACTGCAAATGTAAGGGGCCATGCAGGGGTCGCTGCAAATGTACAAGAGCTAATCTGGCATGTACGGGACTCTGCAATTGTGGGGGCAACTGCCAACGGTAGTTTGTCTATTATGTATGCTAGTTACCTTCAAAGTTCGTTACTTTATAGTTAGAATTGTAAACAAGATAAGCAATACCCATATAAAAAGTAGCTTGCTTACATACACATTTCGCAGAAAGATTATCAAATAAAGATATCTAAAAATAAGGTGACTAGGGATACTTAAATCTTAGCCTCGTTTTCATAGAGAAATGCGTTGCTATTGGATCCATAGCACAATTGCATACTGGATATATCACAGAAAGTTTTTCCAACAAAAATATCAGTGATAAAGGCGTACTTCACTGTAAGCCTCGTTTTCGTGCTGACATGCGCAGTTCTCGGATATGTATTAAATTGCTTCCTTGCATATTGCACATATCGCAGAAAGTTTTTCAAACAAAAATATCAAAATATAAAGTGATTAGGGAGTACTTTATTCTAAGCCTCGTTTCCATACAGACATGCGCAGTTCTCGGATCTCGAGCACAATACCTACTGGCACTATATCAGATATGATTACTGAGTAACTCATTAGCTATTCTGGAAAGTTTCATGCTTTAATCACTTAAGTGCACAATTCTGGGTGTTTTTGGTTGTTAACAGCTGGACTATATGCATGATGTTTCAACGTATGCAACCGGCACCATACCTCTGGAAAAGACAACCGCAAATGTTATCAAGTAGTGGCGCCCTTAAAAACTAATATTATTGTCTTGTACCTGACAAGATTGGCAGTTTGGCAATGCTCTTATTTTTATAACCTTGTCTGCCAATGATAGACTGACCCACAAGTAAACACAGGGTCGCAAATGAAACAATTTTTCATAGGGGTGTCAGGACAAGTTGGACCGACTCGCTTACGAAATTGACTGCTTCTTCAAAGCCAATCCAAGCAGATAAACTAGATAAAAAAGTGTCAAGAACATGTTTGGGGAAATTTCAAGAGACCCTACAATATGGTAAAATGAGGGTTTTTTCTCTTTGTAATTGTGGTGTTCATTTGCTATCGTGGAGGGGGATCAAATGCGCCAGATAAAATATTTACCTTTGTTTTGCTAAACTTGTACTCTAGGGCAACTAAACGAGCTCAAAACATACATACAACAGCACAGTGCGAACTGTACAAATGTTTTGCCTGGATAGCACACTACTGAAGGGGCACAAAGACGTACCCTGTTGTGAGACTTTGCTAGGGGGTATGGAGGCGTGCACCCCAAAAAAAGTTTGAATTTAAGGCGTCTTCTTTGTCTCAGTTTTCCTCCTAGAGACCTAATAACCAGGCAAGTCGGTCGTATCAAATTTTTTTGAACTTTAGGCGCCCTATGCAAGCTTTGTTCAGCTGGGGGATCTGGCGCCACTGGCCCCCCTGCTAGATAGCTACTGCTTAGAAGAAAATATTCTCTCTGATCGATGGCAGATTTCAATTCACTTAAGAATCAATATGTCAGCTGACATATCCTTGGAGAAAAATAGTGAGAGGAAAAAAATATTTTTCTTCGGTACTACAGCCAATCTACAAAGTGGCATAATCGAAGTTACATGACGTCTCTCGAATGGAAGAATCATTAATGGTGGTATGGGTGAATGGTCCATGCGTTCTGCTCGTGCTTTGCGTTGGTTAGAATCCTGTTGGTGAAACTTTCCAAGCCTCTAGTCAACTCAGGGGGCACAGACCGCAGGTCCACGCAGTGCCCTAACCTTAATTTGCAAATGAATTTTGTTTCTTGCTTAATGGTTGACTTCATGCTGTGTCAGTGTTTGCTCCATCTGGAGTATTCAAACTAGCGAATATTAGGTGCGAAACTTTCTTCTTTTGTAATTTTCGTCTTTTTTCCTAGATGTGGAGCCCTTTTTGGCTGGCGTAGCGCCCAAATCTGAGCATGCGTAGTTAAAATCAAGTGGTCTCGATTTTGCGTCCGCTGTGAGTGCCAGAAAGTTGATAGGGTCTCAACTTTTTTGTGCGCTAGGCCACTTGACAACAGCACTTAACTACGCATGCTCAGATTTGGGCGCTACGCCCGCGCGCACAAAAAATGTCAAATGGAAATCGGCCTTTAGAGATGATGCTTTTGTAAAAAGATCTTTATTTCAGATCGATCGGTAATCTTTCGCAGATCTAGTTATGTGTTTGGATCCGGAATCGTTCTAGGCTAAAATTCTAACAACAATGCTAAAAGCCTGTGTTTGTTCTGTTGTAGCAACATGGTTGTGCGGACATTCAAAGAAGAGTTTGTAATAGCATTGACTGACCAATGCACGATGCAAATTCGGTTTTTGCTTGGAGCTCTCACCTGTCTTCGCAAATGAGATTCATGGTTTTCGTCCTCCTTTTGCTACTTATGTCTAGGGGCAGATGTTTTCCGCAGTCCAATGTCTTGTTTCTGCAGAGACTTTATCGAAGATTGTTCAGATATCTTTCTCTCGTGAGGAGCATAGACTGGCACAAAATGAGGTCCATCATACATGCCACTTCCATCATTGGCTGCAGCATTTCTCTGCTGTTCTGTCTTCTTGCTGTGCTGGTTCTCGGCTGCTATAGGTAAAGATCAATAATTTCTTTAGTATTTTTCATCGTTCCTCTTTTCAAATGAAATAGGTACTGATGAAAGCTGGTGGCAGCCAATAAACTGACGGTTGTTATCTTTCGTAACTGTTCAAATATTTTATTTTTTCCAGTGTCATCGCACTGACACACTTACAAATATTTTTAGACTTGCAAGAACTTTTACTATTTTGAAAGGACAAAATTGAAAAATTTGTGTTACTGAAAACAGCTATAACAAGTAAGCCCAGTACTAGAGTAGCCAAAACTTGATCAGTAAAGCCTCCCATTTTATTTAAAAGATAAAAAACCGTCATATTGGACGAGATCAGGCAAGAGATATAAAGCGTATTTATATGTAAATCTGATGCAACGTCATTCAAGAAAGATAACGAGCGTCAATAATTTGATTTTGAGTTGTTAGATTTTCTTTTTGAAATAGCAAGAGAGCTAGCTTTTTAAAAGTGTAGACATACAAAGACTGATTGTGTATTTCCCTTGGCCATTGTTAAGCTCTAGTCTTTTATATAGCACCTGCGTTTTTCTCTTGAAAAAATTTCTTTGCAAAGTCGTCTACAAATCAGCTTCGACTTGAATTGGAGTGACCTTTCCTTGTATTTTTCCTTCCTCGAAACGTCTAAAGCGTTTCTAATTCGCCAGAATTCTGCTGTTTTAAAGACAGATTAAATCAGCTGTATCTTAGTTGAAGTACTATTAATTTTTGATTACCTTTCCCCCAAAAAAAGTGTGATAAGACACCGGAGTAGAAGCTGCTGCTAAGCCGATAATATTCAATATTTAATGCTTTTTTCATGGTAGAAAACAATTTTTGATAATTTCATAACTAAAAGTACTGATACATTCATCTTAACCATTACTTTTAATGTTAAAGAAGATTTTAAATTACCTTAAGCGAAAAATGCGTTATAAGCAGAACTTAGAATGATACTTTTCAGTACATTCTAGTTGGTCAAAACGATATTAAATGATATTTATGTCATCATTATTGATTGTATTTAATAATAATAATATTTGGCCCGTCAACGATTAAAGATAGCAACATAACTGTAAAAAAGAACCTGATAGATTCTAAAATACAAAGCCTTACATAAAACGATACAATAGCGATAGATTATCACACACGAAAAATCGAAATTGGTTATTTTTGCAAATCAAACAGACTAAAGAAACATAAAGAGCTCTTTCTTAAAAATTATTCTTTCGAATATTGAAAAATTTAAAAAGTTTCATTTAAAATATTTCTTTTGCCAGAGTTTGATTTCAAGCATCATGATAAGATAAAACATAATTTTTCTTTCATGATTTTTTATTAATTATATGATGATTCCTAATTTCAAGTCATCTTAATATTTTTTTATTTTGATTTTACTGCTACAATTTCGATGAAGAATTTTGATTTTCTAAATTTTTGTTTGGTGTAGCAATTTTCCGCTAGAATTCAAAATTTTTCTAGAATTCGTCCTGCAGAAAATATTCCAGTTAATCGATTTAGGTCTTAATCAAAGTTTGAAAAAGGTGATTTAAAAAAACTATTTCTAACAACGGGATAGAAAAAGACAAGGGATTGCTCAATCCGGAATCGACCCTCGGATCATTCCTTGTTATTGATTCTCAAGCAGTACCTGCTAAAGTTTTATTTGATCTCGTGTGATGCGCTCTTGGGAGTCGTTCCATTTATGCTTCCTTTACTAGCGCTATCAACAGCGATTTCACAATAATATACCAGGTGTTGAGAAAAGTTTCAAAAGTTTCAGGATAAATTGTATCAAACGTTGGTATTCTAGCAGAAGTTATTACATTGTTGTATTGCAATTTTGATAAAAAAGGCTTTCTGGTGTGCTATGGTATCGCTTAAAAAGCTGACAACAATTTAATATTAGTTCGGGTGACCACATTAAGATTGTATCTTGATGACTTTATCAGAAGACTTTTAATAACTATATAATTACAGGTCACTACTGCATTAGCGTTTGACATGAGCAAATAGCAATGATATTGTTTATTCAATAACCTAGAATTTTTTTTCCAATTATGTAACAGTTTCTTATTACAAGTATTTCAACATTTATACAAGTCATTTGTTGCTACGCAGCTACTTATTCTACGCAGCTTCATTCTCCCCGTTGCCTTTAATTCTAACACGTTTTGCATGTTCTTACAAATCAAGACTCGGACAAAATCAAGATTGAAATGATTCATTTGTTCTCCAGCTTAGTTTACTACCCAGTCTCATTTCAAGCCATGCATTAAAACCATACCTTTGATATATGGTTTCAAACATATTTTAAGAACTATTAGGGCTGCAACTATGATTTTGTGTAAATGATTATGACGCATGTCTTTTGCAGGGAGAAGACACGATTGTTACTTATAAAACAACAACAGTCCATTACCCTTGTTTTCATCAACATTGTTATGCTGACTGGCTTTCAAGGCCTTACGAGTCAGGTAAAAAAACCAGCTAGAGTGTTCAATAATTTGTCTGACGTCTAACTTTAAAATCAAATAAATATTTAGGAGTCATTTTAAGGGTCATATGTTAAATGTACCTCCTTGGAGTTTCCTATCCCGGCTTCACTTTGGAGCCCAGTTTCTTGTTATCTTTGCAGCACGACAATGCTTGAAGCCAATACGTACTTGATCGCTTTTGCAAAGTACATTCATTTCTGTTTGAATGTGATTTACCGATCTACTAAGGTGAATCTGACCACTTTTGATTTTCGAACTCGCCTCACACCACCAGTTCTTATCCAGAACCCCTCAATGACACTTTAGTAGCTATCGTACGTGTGAACAGGGTTATAAATGAGTCAGATATCGTGTAAAGAACAGTAACTTAACTTTCTTATGATGTTTGGTCAGTGGATTCGATGTGTAATCTCTCCGGTATGGTGTCACATGTCTCCAGTATTCATCAACGAGAGATTATTACTGTTTCATTTTATTTACAGGAGCTGTGCCAAGCTGCAACAACGCTGTTGCATTACTTTGTACTGGCTTGTTTCTCATGGCTTACTGCAGACCAATACTTTATTTTTAAATCTGTTGTAAAAATGAAGCCTTATGTCAACTTCATGAAGCTCTTCGTGGCAGCGTGGGGTATGTTTTCAATTCAAGAATAACTGCAGAACCCGAGTAAAAAGGATAAAACTCACATGTTCTCTATGTATATTTCAAATAGCATTCATTACCTGTATGCTAAAAATTGTTTTTCATAAAACCTGGATGCTGCAGTACATTAGATTTTCTTTGTCATCCCAACATAATTTACATTTGGGAGGGGGGCCTGGCTGCCTATACCAACAATGTCTGTTATGAAAGAACAAGATCAGAGTTCGACGGTAGGTGTAGGGCTACAGATTCCAAGCCCTTTTCCGGTTCAAAATCCCCTTGTTTCACCATTCCAGTTCCGAAATCCGTTATCTAAAAGAGGGCTCACGCTGCTTCTTCCATCCTCGCTTCCAAGTTCCCATGATGCAGATGTCCACGGTTCAATTGTTTAGACTTTTACTAAGTAACTTCTAACTTTGTAAAATTTATAAATAAAATATTTACCCAGGCATCTTAAGCTTTTGTTATATTCCAAAGAATACCTTACAATACCTAACTATTCAAATACAATACCTATCTAACATACTTCTAGATACTGTTACTTCTTTGCCAGCTTATCCTTTCTGTACATTGAGACGAAGCAAAACAAACAATAGAGATTACTCAAGTTCCTGAAGAATTCCTTTGACGACTTCATTTGATGATGAAAGTTCAATGGAAAAAAGCACATCTCTTTTAAAAAACCTCTATCTATTTAGCATTATGTGCAATTTAGCATTAGTATTAAGTTACATCAAAGTTGCATGGTCCTGTTTTTTCTCAATGCATTATGAATAACCAAAAATGCTCTATTTGCCCCTTTTTATAAAACCACATTTATAACTTTTTCAGAGGGATATCTTCCAATTTACAAGCTTCCGCTTGCCCATCTTCCTTCATCAACCAACCATTAAACGCTGAACACTTTCATCATTTCAGGATTCCCAGTACCATTTGTTATTGTACAGCTGCTGATTGGGTTTCTTCTTGATCAAGATATTGGGTAAGCATCTTATGTTACGCTGCATTGAACTTTTAATTGTACATAGACTGTAATTCAATTGCATATAGATATAAGCATGGTATGTAGGCTTTAAATTAAAGTGGTTAGAAAAGATAAAGGAGTTATGCTGAAGAAACTCTTCTACCGCAGAAATTCAAATAAAAAAGCATGAAAGTTTCATTATCTTGTGCTAAAGAAAAGCAAATATCATTGTTTCTTTATTAATAATGTTGAATATAACTAAAAATTCATCTTTTGTTCCATTAATTTGTGAGCAACCCATGTATATTTCCAGTAACAACGAGCCACCATCGGTATGATCAACAACTGTTAAAACCTCCGTGTATAACACTGATATTCGGGTCTATTGATACGGTTTTATCGCTAAAGAATCAATTAATTAATGGTATGGTATTCGAGTTAACAAGTGCAAAAAATAAATGGCAAATTTGAAGTGAAGCGCGAACTCTATGTACTAATTGGAATGCTTTTTGCCGATCAACAGTACTTCTTTCATAGGTCTGTTCTCTACAGTTGCTGGGGCTCTGACTTTGTTGCTTTGACACTCTTGATACCCGCTGGAGGTCTGTCAGTGGTATGTTTTAAGACTATTCGTTTATAAGAATCGAGGTAGAATTTCATAATGACGTCATTATTTGATTATCATATGTTAGTTTTTTGTTTATAATCTAACAGAAAATACCATACAGCTCAATTCAAAGTATGTGTCACTGAGTCAGAATAAGCATAATGTTTAAAAGCACTCTATGAAAACTAAAGGACTTTCTGATTGCCATGACATGCTTACCATCTTATCATTATCATTAAGGTATCTGAAAAAACCTTATCATTATGTTTGCAGATAAATTTTGGACAACAATTATAAAATTTAAAAAGTATCTAAGATGGAATAGAGTTAATTAAGGTCCACCAGCTAAGATAGGGTTAAATTTTTCAAGTGGGTTACGATTGTTAGAATAATTTGAAGAATGGCATTTCACACAAAAGGTTTAAGTATTACTTTAGGCTAAAATATCAATTGATTGGTACGATTTTTTATTAGCATATGCAATTGATAATTCAGTTTTTGATGAGTTAAAATTTTTAATTTTAGGCGTCTATGACAATGCTGTCAATAACAGTCAAATCAGTTATCAAAAGACCGGCTCCGACGACCTACACTCGACGGAAAACAGACCAGGCAATCAAGTAAGTTATGCAAATCTAACCCCAACAAGTTGTTGGGTCATCGCTGTCCGTTACATTATTCTTGGAAATATTTTTATAGGCAAAGAAAGTAGAAAACTAAAAAAATAAATGTGTGAATAAAATTGTACAATCCAAAATGGAAAAATGAGATAAAAGGAGATAAGGAGTAGTCACTACCATCTGGTTACAGCCTCAAACCCAGATGGGGGGGAGGGTGGTTGTGTGTGCCCCTTGTATGTTTTGAGCAAATAGCTTGTAAATGGGCAGAAAATGATAAAAAAGCAACTCATCAGCCAGAAACTCACGAGGGACATTTCGGGGCTTTAATTCGGTATGCCCGTTTCTCGTGGGCGCTCCTCGCAATCCTGCGTCCAGGATCACGGTTGCAAAATAAATATATAGCTTTCTCATTGATCTCACACTAATCTGAACAGACACTTTATATCTTCATAGCCTTTCATGTCAAATTTTAATTTTAATTTATTTAGTAATTCAAAACTTCGTATTTTAAAGACTTCTCTGTTCCCCTTGAAAAATTAAGAATATGTTTTGCGCAGTGTAGCATGCCTTCAACAATTATTTATTTGCAATGTATACAAAACCCCATATTGGATTCCATTGTTCACAAATACACTGTATGTATGTCTTCTATCCTTTTTGAAAATGAAAAAATTTCTTGTAAAAGTGTCCACCGGTTAGGAAGGTGAGGAATCGATGGAGGATATTAATAGGTACTATATCTGTTGAGGAAGTAAACAAAAGTATGAAGAGTCAGATTCATACGTAAATTTAATTTTGACTTGTGTATATTTCAATACTAAGCACAACGTTTTCCAATTTTTTAGGATCATAAATTTTAACCTTTAGTGCATTGAATTTTTTAAAAGCATAATTCTTGTAATTCTTCAGGTATGGTATCAAAACAAGCAGTGTGATGATTTTCATCACAAGTATTGTTTGGGTGTTCGCGCATCTGCTTTTCTGGTACCCTGACCATCTCGACTTCCAGCTGATCTTTGCCCTCAGCAGTGGACTACAGGTTATCTCGAAAAAGCCAAGGCTACTTAGATAATTGTTTTCATTGATGTTGTCATTGCAATTGTTGACTTTGATATGTTTTTTATTGTTATTGCCTATGCAAATGTGCGTTCAAATTTAATGAAAGTACTTTCCAAGTAATTCACAGTGTACTTTGCCTTTGCTATCCTTTATCTAAGTTATAAACCCGTTGTACATCATCATCATCTTTTGATTACAAAGGAAACTATAGTAGTGGCTATTAAGAAGTAGTGGCTTTAAGGGCAACAGTTAGACAGTTCAACTTTATGCAGAAAGGTGCATTTTCAACAAAGATGTAATGAAAGGTTAAGAATAGTTTTGGAAAAAGCAAACATTTGAGTAAACAAAAGCTTTTCGTCTGACACTCTTTAGAGTTTAAAACGTTAGAACGTAGATCGAACTCTACGCTAGGAAATGTATACACCCAGTTTGGATCTAAATAGGCCAATCAGAAAACACGAGCACATGACTGTTGAGGTTGCCCAGTCAGTGCGGCTTGCCTATAGAGAATATTACCAATGGAGTCCTAATGTGAAAACGAACTCCTTATGTCTACACAACAGCGGCTTTTTCGTGCTAATGTAGATAGATTCCAAAAATGCCTATTTTGATCCAAAACTGGGTATATATATTTCCTAGCGTAGAATTTTCGATCTACGTTCTAACGTTTTAAACTCTAAAGAGTGTCAGACGAAAAGCTTTAGTTAACTCATATGTTTGCTTTTTTCAAAGCCATTTTCAAGTTTTGTACCACCAAAAGATTGCTAAGAATAGTTTTTGAATCCTGCATCACAGTACCTTTTTAGTACTAATTTGATTTGACTAATTTGATTTGACTAATTTAATACTAAATTGACTTAATTCAATATATTTTTTCAAGAGCTTCGTTCTCGCTTCGTACTTAAGACATTTTTATCTACTTCTTTTGAATTGCTTATGGATGAAACTCTTGAAAATATAGCTGCAATAAAACTGTATTTTCCACAGGGTCTCTTCAACTTCTTCTTTAACTGTGTTTTTGCTCTTGAGGTGAGTTGTTATTTAAAGTAATGTTTTATGATTTTTCAGAAATTGCAAAATTAATGCAGTTCATGCAAGCCAAACAATGGCCGAAAGATAGCAAAAATATCAAATTTGCATATATGTTTAGAAAACCGGTTATATAATAGATGAAAATAATGTCTGATGAACAGCAACTTTACCTTTAGATAAACATTAGAATTCGATGAATGATTGCTTTTAGATCAAGATTTTAAACAGTTCTAGAAGCTCTGATTTTGTCAATATCGGTTTTTTCTTCAAATTTTTAAAGTGATGAATTTTTCATTTCATATGAAATTCTATTTTCCATAATTTCTATTTTCCATATTTTACAGTACCAAGTCAAATGCATTTTTACTGAGCTCAAGAGGAATCTAGATTTATAAATTAAAATTTTACGTGAATAGACATTTTCACGCTCATGATCCAGGTTTATTGTGCATTAAGAAGAATTTCAAGCACTTGACAAATGTAATTAGAAAGATTGAAATGTCAAAAATGAAAATTCAAATGTTTATGTAACAGTTTGTGGCTTTTCAAGGAAATCTCTTTTTTTCAGGAAAAATAAAAGAACTTGATCAATTAAAGGCACTATGTCCCGTTGTATTTTCCCAGCCAGTTAAATTTCTCGGTGGTCTTCCCTGGGTACCAGAGCCGCAAAGATTTAACGGCAGCAAAAAATAATGAGAGCTGCGGAGGCGAAGGAGAATTTGCCTCCGCAGCTCTCTTTATTTTTTGCTGCCGTTAAATCTTTGCGGCTCTGGTACCCAGGGCATCATTGGTCGGACTACACACTAGACCTGTTATTATGTATCCGACCGGTAACGCACAGTTAATTCTCAATGTTTTCTCGATCTTAAACGCGCCGCTGAGCCTACAGTTAACTCTGCATCGTTGAATAACTGGACATAGTGCCTTTAAGACATTCTATAGCTATTCATAAAGCTATTCATAAATTATGAATAGCTATTCATAAAGCAAGAAATCTTATTTTTGCAGCTTGATATATACGTCAGCGACAAATTGTTCAGTGAAACAGATGACGTTGATGAGTTCACACGAAACACAGGATCTGTCAAACTTTCCTCTATCAATCGACAGGATATTCAAAATGTAATTTAATATAATTTTATATTTAAAATACAGTTGTAGATAACAGCCTGTGTGTTGTGCTGCTGTTTGGTGGCTGCTACAAGAAAAGATAATCGACAGATAAAGCAAGTTATCAATCAACTATTGGCCAATCAATAAGCGTGATACTACTCAGACCCTCACTGATTGGCCAATTGATGATTGACAGGTGACTCAAGCCACTGTAGTGCCTGAAGAATGCCTACAAGCTAAGAAATCCCTCCAAGATTAGGAAACAGGACAGAATGTTTTTAACAAGAACCAATTTTTTCATGTTAGTTTCATTTCAAGGCCTAAGTTCGTCTTCTATTGTTTACAGCAATAACAAAGCATTTGTTTTCTCAAATGACAGTTGTTTTGTTAAGATATAGAGTTGTGTCATCAAAACGGTGTTCTGCTCCTTCTATTAAACCGATAACCTTTGATCTGTAGTTGACGACCCTAGCCACACAGTCATCCACAATTTCAATAGATATTAAAACTCAGGTGCATTGCTAAAAAATGATTTCACTATTGGCAATAGATGGCTTTTATAATGAAATATAAGTGCCAACCTATTATCTATTTCTTTGTAGATGGAATCCTTAAGAAGGCCGCAAAAGAGGAAAAGGAACGGGCCTTTTTTCAAAGAAGATCACGACCTCCCACCAATGATTGAAGTAAGATTTTAAAACAGCTTTCATAGAGAGGTTTTCTATATGCACATTAACTTATGGAACTGCCCCTTTTCTAGCGTTGTGAAAAATGCTTTCTGCGCAACCTGAATAAAACAGAATAGACAAGCTGTAAATTCCGTAGCTCTAATATTATCGCATATTTCATTTTTCCAAGAAAAAGGATATGACTTTCAAGAAGAATAGAGTTTGGCATTTTCGCCCTCTTTGCTACTCTTTTTGAAATTATGCGGCTTTCTCTTGATACGTTCCAGGAAGAACCTCTGAGCTTCCATAAAGGCAAAACAACACCAACCATATCGAGAAGACTCAGCGATCCACTACCTTGGTTTCCAGCTGCAACAAGCAGCACCAATCAAGTTTTATTTGGTGGAAAATTGTCAGCTGGCAAATCAAGAAAAGAGGCATGCAACATATGTTTTGCTGCTAAGCCTTGTAAAAACAAATTCCATGTAAAATTTTGAAGATAATGCTACTATATAAGCAGTTGCCACAAGAGCAATTAAATCTCCCACAAAACAATGAAAAACTCGGACTTCAATTCGATTTGAACTTTAAGAATCTCAAGCACCTTAAAACCTAAGGTTGCTATGTTCTTTCCATTGATTCTAAGTTCATCCCTACATGCCATAATACCTCAGCTGCTTTTCTTCCTTCTACATGATTCATAATTTGGGTGTTAATGTCGGTTACAACATTAAGTTTTACAAAACAGTTATCCGAATGAAACGAAAACGTCCTCTGTTGTCTTACTTTAGACAAAGCAAATATTGCACAGTTTGATGGCTCAAAAGCTGATGTTATAAATTTTAAAAAACTATCAACAGTTTGATTGCTCAAAATAAAACCATGTAATAAAATAGAAGAAAGTGATAATTGCTGAAATTTTGACAACTGGTAAAATTTATTGCTTACATGTTTGTGTCTATCCAGATCTCATTTTGTCTTTGATAGGGTTACTATAGGCTTTGTCCTGATTTTCTTTGGTTGTTCAAAATGACATTTGGATGTCTAAAATGAAATTCAACACGAATGTCAGTAGGCCATTATTATATGATGGTCATTTTGTAATAAAACTAGTCGACTTACTTGATAGGCCTAAAGCCTGGCCTAGCATTGTAGAAAGACAAAGAGACGGTAATTTCTAGACAACCTGACAGTTAGCATTCTTTTAATTCTTGAAGCATTACTGAAGTTTCTCCTCAATCTTTTTTTGCTTTTTTGTGGCTTTACGTCACACTATCATATCGAGGATTCTGTGCTAATTAACAACAACAAACTTTAAATTCAGATATTAATTTATTGTTTAGAGAATTGATTCTCAGTGCAATGGAGGTGGGGACGAAGAAGAAGGATCTGGAGGTATTCTTGATGACGACGCATCTAATCCTCTGCCATTTTTGAGGCCAACACAGGCTGCGCAGCGCATTGAGCGAGCGAAGGAGAACGCCAAGCTGGCAAACTCTCTACTGCTTCCAGCTGAGTCCTTTTCTGCCAACAAATCTGAGAAGCAACAAGATGAGCCCCGACGTAGCTGTAGTCTTCCCTCTTGTTCCATGCCGACGCCAAAAAGATATGTTACCGCAACGGACGCACCGGGCTACGGTCACGGTACTGGAATGTGCTCAGAATGGCGCCATGAACGCACAGTTCAGCCGGTTGGTGACGCATCTAAGTCTTCCGATATCGAGGAAAGCTATTCTCATGGGCTGTTTGCTAGTGGTCAAAATGGCAGCTCAATGAAGATTATGGCACCTGGATTTAAGCTGAACGGACAGTCGAGAGTATCGGTACCAACTATGAGGAGCAGTATGGAGGTAGACAAGAGCAAAAGATTTTATTATAACAGAGAACACATTCAGTAACTAAGGCCTTGTTTACAGGTCGTATTTCTGCCGCGTCGAATTAAATTAAATTAAATTCGACAATAATATTGCAAAATGTGGCAGCAGACTTAGCCTTGGCCAAACGTTTCGATTTTTCGCTCGATCTTTCTCTCGAAATCTGATCTCAAATTCGAGCGAAGTCGAACATGGATGGCCAAACAATTCGATTTTTCACTCGACTTTTCACTCAGGCCAACAAAATGAAGACAATGAAACGCAAAGTGGCTGCTGTTCTTATTGTACATGCAAATGTCCTTTTACATTCTCTTGGCGAATTCTAGCGTCATAAGATCGTGTTTGTTCATTGCAGAAACCGCCATTAAATATTTCAGTTCGTTTTGAGCAAATTACTGTTTTCAGGCATACTTTTGTTTCGTTTGATTAATTCCATTCTTAAAATGGAATTCATCACTTTAAGATGTCCCCTTGGCCTCGAGGCCCAGGGTAGTATCCTTCACTGCCTTCTTTTGGCTGTCCGGCTCTTGAATATATCAACACTTTTAAAAATAACTAAGCATTAGAGATGATAACTGCGCACGCGCTCATTCCACTCATTTGACGGCCAGACGATTCGATTTTTATTCGACAACACCTTTTTCACTTGACTTTTTTGATAAAGATCAAACTTCACTCGACATCACTCAACGCCATTTGACTCGCTCGACAAGGTGGCCAAACGACTCGATTTTTCATTCGATTTCTTTTTGAGTAAAAAATCGAGTGAAAAATCGAGTCGCTTGGCCGGGGCTCTAAAGATTATATTTAATTATGTCGCGTCCAATTTGTCAAGAGAATCTAAAATGAATCTTGACTGAAGGTGTCGTATAGTCGCGTTTTTTGTGATGTTGACTTGAAATAGAAAAGTTTTGGAAAGTTTTAGAATAACCACTATCATATAGCTCGTAATGAAACCTTTTTTTAGATTTGAAAAGTACCCGAAATAAGATGGGGGAGACAAATAAATGAAACATGGATTAATAAAGAACATTAACGTTGAAATATCAACAGAAGAACTATCAACAAAAAATAAAAATTTAAACAATTTTGGACAGTTTAGATATAACTTTGTAACATCTGATCTTAACTTTTTCGGAAATTATGTGCTTTAACAAAAATATGAAAAACCTTCAAACTGGGCTTGTCAAAATGAGTTTAGATAGAATTTATAATTGCGTCGATATTTTCTCTTTCTTAGTAGAAAAGGATTATCCAAACGATCAAAAGTTTTCTTGATGATACTTTTTAAGAACAAATCTGCCCATACTTTATTTCTCCTATCCTCAAAAAAGTTCTTTCCAGCTGTTTCTTTTCCTTCAACAGGTGATTTCTCTCTTTTTGTAATGTTTCTGAGAAAGTTTTCGTTAACAAATAGACCTTGTGTGCCAGGTTTAGGCAATGGAAAAAATTACACTCCGTCAATTTGTGCTAGCACCAAGTTGTTCTGGAGTAGGTTTCTCGATCTATTTGCTAAGCCAAGCTGTTACTCGTTGTAAAATTTAGACAAAGACCGATTTCTTTGATCTAATTCCCATATTCAATTTTATGTACGTCTTCTATGGTAAAGACATAGCAACCAAGGTAAAGCTAAGGGCAAATTTAAGAGAATACTAGGCAAAGTTACTTACAGAATCATATACTACATTTGTTTCCACTTTTTGCCTAAAATGTTTCTTTAGCTCTGCAGAAAAGTGGGGGGCCATGGCCCCCCCGGCAACCCCCCCCCCCCGGTTTCGCCAGCCCTGGCAGAAAATAGCAGTTGTGTATGCAAGGTTTGCGAACTTCTCGACACAGGAGATTTGAAGTACTGGTGGTCGGAGCCATTTTCTGCAACTGGCAGTCTTTTTACGCATGACTAAATTTATGTAAGCTGCTGCTAATATCCAGAACATACCTTTAATCGATTAAATTCTACGCGGTAGAAAGCAGGCAGAAGTAGTAGTATTTGGAGAAAGGATTTCAAAGAAGAGAAAAACAACGCAATTTGGCCCGATGTTCAAAGAAATCTTGGCAGGCATTGTAGATCAATGGACAAACTCAATGCCGGCTTGTAAGATCAAACTATCTTTTGTAATAAAAGGTGCAGATATCTATTTCTAAAAAGGCCTTTTTAGCTCAATGTAACAGTACTGAAACATAATATTTTAAACACATATCATTTCCAGAGGGACCAACACAAGCACAGCCTTCCTACAAATGAAATAGATAGGACATCAACCATTGAAGATGAACTATTGAAAGATGACGAGGTGCGGTCACTACAAAGCTTTCCAAATGGAAACAGTCTTCCGAAAACTGAATACCCAAAAGACAGAGAGAAGGTTCCAGCAATGGCAGTGATGCAAGTCCAGCCATATTCTTCTGGGGTAGAAGGCCAACAACAGGAAGAAATAAGACGCAGTAACAGTGAACCGCAATGCATTACACCAGAGGTTGGTATGACAAAATGACGTAATAAAGATAAAATTCGGATTGATTCTTTAGTCAACCCGAATCACCAATCTAATTATGAACTGGTTTTTATTTCTAACAGATTTAACTTGCTAATTCGGTAACTTTATTGTCTGCTCATCTAAGTTCTTATAAAAGACGACTTACAAATTAGGCACTGTGAACGCTGAAGGTTGTTTTGGTTCATTAGCAGTAATGACAAACCAATATATATAAAATTCCATGTAAACGAAGTTTTAAACAATCCGTATTATCTTTGTGAAGATTTTTTAACAATCAAAAATTCAGTTAGTATAAACGTTCATGTGCTTCAGATAAAACAGCATCGAAAAAGGTACCAAAAACGTTTGCCAAAATCTCTCCACTTAGCTGTCAGTTTTCTAGATTCAAACACAAAACCTTAAATGACTTATGAGATTGCATATCCTTAGAGTATATGGTGATTGATAGAAAACTTTGCACTCTTTAGAAAATCAATAGCCATTACATTGACTTTTAATTATCTATAAACATGCTGCTTAATTTCTCCTGTAATCAGAACGTTTGTAAGCTGTAAATGTATCTTCTTGCTTGGTAAGCAGGTTCACTCCAATGGAGCTAATTCGATTTCGAAGGAAAAGAGCACTAGCCACGCATCATCAAGTCGAGGCTTCACGCATCGTTCAAGTTCGCATGAATTAGAAAAGAGCTGGACTGCGAAGGAGGGCAGAATTGGTGCGCAATTGCCTTTATCGCCTAAAACAAAGCGCAAAGCAAGAACCTCCGTACCAAGTTTGAAGTTCGCTCTAAATGAGGTTTGAAGAACTCGAAAATTTCAATAACAAATAAGGCAATTTGGACTTCTAGCTTCAATCTAATCACGTTTAAAAAATAATGATCATAAAGTTTATAACTATTAAAGCTACAAGGACACTATCGTTGCAATACCATAATGTGCTAAGTCTTTTGGACACAGCAGTTGCCGAGTTCGTGGGGGGGGGGGGGGGGGGGGATGAGGGGACTCAGCTTCCCTCCAATCGCTTTCTTGTCAGAAAAGTTTATGCTTTCGTCGGATATTTGGGAATCTTTTTAGGCGCAAAAAGCCCTTCCAAGGTGTTTTTCTGTCGGAGAATCGTGGGCCTGGGTCCCCCAAATAAAAACCCTAGTTTCCGTCCCTGTGGATCAGTTCATTGACCCACCTCAAATCTATTTCAATCTACTTATTGGCCTTTTAGCCATCTACTAGATTTGCAAACAGATTAAGTGTTTTTTAACAACCTCTTGAACCTTATCCTTTTGTTTGTCGTTTTGTTCAAATATTTGAATGTCATAGAGAGAATCTATTGAGAAAGAATCTATGACTTTTTTATCATTTAGATGGCGATAATGTGCTGCCCTTATGTTTTACTTTGAAACGCGCTTCTGCATTCAAAATCTCCAGTAATTAGCCCCAAACCAAATCCCTAATGAAGTTAGTTTTTAAAAGGTTTTGGAGCGTAAGAGAGACAGCTTTGGTCCCAGGCCAGAAAGCATGAATTTTAAAATAACATGTATCAGCAAAAAGTTTTCTCAAAGTTTCCTTTAAGTGTGACAAAATGAAATCTGGCAATACTTTATCTACAATTTTTCCTCTCGAATGGGATCTTATGAAAACATGGGACAGCAAAAATTTTGACATATGCTGTAGAGCCTTATTTATACAGCAAAAATACAAAGCAAAAGTAGAAAGGTAGTTTTTGTATAAGAATAGACGCCACGAATAGATGCCACTCTTTAGAAGTGGAGAAATTCGATTAAAATTAAAAAGCTTCTATAGGGTACAGCAAATAAATGTACTGTAACAAAAGTCATTCCATTATAGAAATAGCTAGGTATGTAGTTGATATAATAAAATGTCATACCACTTAAGTAGTAGGAGGGTATTCAAATGTGCTGTATTTGATTCTCTAAAAAAGAAAGAACAACAGTTTTTAAGCTGAGCAAACAAGAAAATAGTGAATGAAACGAAGATACTTTCCTCGAAAACAATATAGAGAGCCTAAAAAGATGTTGGTACCTAAAATAAGAATGACTAATTCGCTGCATAGAAATAAATTCAAAACGAGATATAAAAGGGCGGTTGAATTTCTCTCAATTGTGTAATCCAGTTGAAAAATACTACATTGCAAATATTGAAATAGACAATATAAACATACAAAATTGCTTAATCTAATTGTCTAGGACAACCGAAAAGAACTCATAGAGAGTTATAAAGCCAAATATCCCATACTCGGTCAGCAGTGTATTTTAGTTTTCAAATTATACTTCACATTATAATTCGCACTTGACAGAAACTGTAAGAGTGTTAAGAGCCTGTTGCAGGTTCGCAGCTGCCTCTAAAGACAGAATACCATTTTGTTTACCAGTTTCCACTGTGTACAAAATAATTTGTAAACTTCAGGTTAAAGCAGTCTGTCCCCTATTGTGATCAACTTCATTTTCACGGAGTGAAATTCACGCACCGTTGAGCTTGTTTGACAATTAAACGATTTAAACCAATCAGAGACAACATAGAGCAAAAATGTTTGCAGCCGCTGTGCAAAGAGCTTTTGCGCCTGCAAGCTGCGGCCAAATGGCGACGCGCAAAATTTTTCCCGCCAACCGACCATGTGACACTTTGATTCCGATCCAGGCCTCCTGGGAGGTGCAATGTTATAGGGTTTTGTGTCACCACAACCACAAAAGACCTGAGCATGGCGGAGTGAACTTAAAGCCTGATCGGCTCATTTTATATACAAAATTTTACCATGTGAGTATGCCTCAAATATTGTCAGTTCCACGGAGAAAAAGTTAAAAATTCAAATTTATTTTATCTCAAAAACGGCACCATGCCACACGCTGATTTTTTTATTGATTCATCTTCATGCCCCGAAAAATAAGATTATATTGGTTGGCATATTTGGAAAATTGGGTCACGTTCATAATTTCACCGCAAAGATACCTAACTTTAGGATTGTCAATTTATGGGTGCGATTGAATGATGATTTAAAACCGCCATACTTTTTGGGATATGCGGTATATTCATGGAAGTTTTTCATTAAAATAGATTGGTCACGAAAGTAAGTAGCTGTTTTTAACGCGATTTTGAAATCGCTTCGGTATATTTCTATAAGAGTAGGAAACCAAACAAAAGCGAAATTTTGAAAGGTCAACATGGGAAGTTTTGTTCGATATTTGAATTAACGATCGTGAAAAATTTCCACCATGCCGCATCCTGAATTTTTGTATACTTGTAGTCAAAAGTTCAATTTTTTTGTATATTGTCTCCTTCAGAGGCGGAAAATTGGGTAACGCTTGAAAATTTACTTTTTAAATTGTTCATATTTCCCTTCTTGCCTAATAGTAGGCCTAGGCATAGGATACTTTAGTTTGGCAGTAAAGCATAGGCCACGAAGAGATTAATAAGGTTTTAAAGCCATAATTTAATGATATAAATGTATCTTAAGTAGATAATTTATCTATTTGACTCCATAAAAATAAAGCAGAGGTAAGGTTAAAATTCAAAGTTTGTTTTCTCATATATTTTTATATCAATCGCATCCGGGACAGAACGACACAATTTTCGCGGGCAGGTAAATCACGTCAGCATGCGCGCGCATAAAAAACATTTTTGCACTATGTTATCAGAGACAACTTTGATTCCAGAGACTTTGAATCAAATGGCTGTGTTCCCGTTGTAGTAAAGCTGTGGCTAGAAACATTTGGTTCCCTGTTAGGTTTCTGCGGCAGCAATGTCAACAGTGAAAGCAAATGTTTCCACTATCATCATTCAATTTCAGTAATTAAATCTTCTTGCCATTCCCGATAGCTTTTGCTAGCAGTTTCAAATGCCGTCCACTACCGCAGCTAGGCCAGCCAAAGCAAGTATCGTAATTCGTTAAGGCGGGAAGACCTATTGTTTATATCAGCCAATCATTGAGGGGACAGACTGCCATTAATTATTGACTCTGCTTGGTTTTAGTATCTTAAGTATATGACTTTTTTACAAGCTTTGGTAGACAATGAAAGTCTATACACATTGCTTGTTATGAATCATTGACACATTATAGATATTAACATGCCAAACAGCGTGTTAGGCTTTATATTGAGAAAAACAGGGATGGAAAAAGCCAGAGATATCAAAAGAAGGGAAAAGCATTAAATTTTATACCCAATGCTTCAAAATTTTAAACCAAATCAGTGTCAATCTAAATTTCAAAAGGAATCAAGTGTTTGTTCGGACTAAAAATTTGAATTTTTGAATACCTTTTGGTAACACGTGTCATTCCTGCAAAGAAATTAGTTAGATTAACATCTCAAGGTTCGGAGAATCTTGTGAACGGCCAAATTAGTTCTGTTTCTGTCACCATATCAATACTTGTACCCTATTTCTAGCTATCTTGATATTTTTTTTCTGATCCTTTTTCAGCTTGAATCGCTCTTTAGCAATCAAGATCTTATTTCGGCAGCTGATCGACGAGTGAGTGCACAAAGCGAAAATCAATCGGTAAATGCACAGGTCAGTGTTACTGCAACGACTCTGATAGGCCTAAGTATGTGTAGATGTGGAGTTCATACGTAATCATCATTCCACCAGATCAAACCAAATGATAGATTTTCATTTAGGCCCTCGTATTGAGATACCAACCGAAATAAAAACCCTAAATATATTTATTGAAGCTGCTAGTCAGTGATTGTCGAGGTTAGTTTTAACGCGATGTCATCAAAAAAATCAATTTTAACAACTTCGGAATTCAGACTATTTAACCTTAGAGAGCATCGGAAACACTTTAGGTGTGCAAAATTAGCTCAACGTACCATAAAATGACTGACAAATGGATACATGTGCACAGGTTCTTTTGTCATCCAAATCACTGTCTCTGTTTATTAGACTTTAGGGCTTTACTGGTTTATAATTGTGGTTTGAACTAAATTTTTCATGACGTCATGATTAATAACTCTACTGCAGCAGCCTTGTAAGGTCGTATTGTTCATGGGTCCCGGCCATCGTATGTACTTTTAAGTCGATCAGTTGAGACCAACTGATGTAGTCCCAATAAGGTTTTTGAATTTAAAAACATAATTTTCCTTTTGTTTCAGCCAGGAGATTGAAGCTGATGCAAAGATGCAGAAATGTTAAAGAGACATGATACCATTTTAGCAAAATATAATTATAATCATCATAGAGAATATAATTAACGCAGTAGAATGAGGTACGAAATTTTGAAAGCTGCGGAAAAAATAAATAAATTTGCAGTTTTGCTTATTCATAGTGAATGAAATATTGTCTGGACTACATCAGAAAAAATAAATAAATTTGCAGTTTTGCTTATTCATAGTGAATGAAATATTGTCTTGCTAGTCAATTTATTCTAGCATTAAACAGAGCTGGAAATATCCTAACACTTTGAGCGTATAACTATATGGGTATTTGATGCATTACTAAAATTTCTCAATATTAAAATCTGAATCGTTTTTTTGCTGTCAATGACTTGAAAGTTTCAAATGTGTTTAATTCAACCTACTTTGTGTAAATGCCATCATTGGTTGTGACGTCTCAAGACACAGCAACACATAACATGGCCATTTTATCTTATAAGCAACAATTTGGACTCAAGAATCTCAACCAAAAACGGGAGAAAAGTAGTTACACTGCTTGTTTAAAGCTCAAAGCAAAAAGAAGGTACTAAAAGTTTGAATGGAAAGCCACTGTTGAGTCTGACATATCGAACTACGCATAGAAAATTCGGCCGGGTTGACTGCTAGCCAATGACACCTCGCTTAACCGGGTAGAATTTCAAGTCCGAGCTGAAATTTTTGTACAATGGAACCTCAAGATAAAAAAGATCAAGAGGAAAGTAGCACAACAATATTTGCGAAGTAAGGATAAAAATTATCGACGAATGAAAATCTTCTCGGAAAATAATAATAAAATGTAATCACCCCCTCCCTTACAAATACAAAATACACAAATAATTTTTTCAATAAGAAACTTTGCTTAAAGGCCCATTTCCACTTCATTCGCAATTCGCAATTTGCACGCAATTCCCGATTTGCGAAGTCAAACAGATGTTTTTTAAATTTTTCATTTTAAAATTTTTTACCCATGGTACAAATTCAATCTAAATACTACTTCACAATTGGCCCTGCAAAAACTACTTACAAAATTGAAAAGTTATATACTATAAAATTTTCAATAAAAAGAGCAGAATATGGCTAAGTCAAAGATGTACAAATTTACAACAATACACCTCAATATATATAAAAAGGTTTAATTTTCCTTGAGTTTGGACTTGAAGGCATTGATTGAAGAAGCCTTGTTTGTGTTCAAATCGAGACTGTTCTAGAGACTGGCCTCAAAACACGCAAGGGATTTCTGGCCATTGCCAGTTCTCAACATGGGTATTGCAAGGTTTGCTTTATATATATATATAAGCATATATAAATATATATACAAATATATATACATATTTATATTTATATATTTGTATGGATTTCATTCTATGTCTGTGCACCACAATAGAAAAAAACTCCTTTTAGAGAGTTCTAGGTTTTGCCTTGGGATGTCTATGCGAAGGCAATTTCTTGTTGAATAGTTAGAAATTTGGGATCTAGTGACAAGTCTTCCTTCCAAATTGTCGGGACAGAGACCATTTATTATTTTGTAGATCATAACTTTCATGTCAAATTTTATCAAATTTGAGACCGAAAGCCAATTGCAGCTCCACCCGTCCTTTAATCTTGAGCCTATTAGCGTGCGCGCTCTGTTTTGTAAACGCTGAAGATGATCGAGATTTGTGTTTGACAATTTGCCCCATAGTTCATTACAGTATCTCAAATGGCTCTCGAGCAGCGCCTTATAGACCTGATCCAGTTTTGATTGCGGAAGTATGTTCTTTAGTTTCCACAGGGACGAGAGAGCATTTTTATTTTACCTTTAAGGTTTTTATATTGCTCATTCCATGTCAGGTTTTCGTCGACTGTGATTCCAAGGTATTTCTCGTTGAAAGCTCGTTTGATTGGCTCTCCATTTACATTTACTTCTAGTGGACCAAGCATACGGTTGGTTTGTCGTTTATGACCAATAACCATATATTCTGTTTTATCAGTATTCAAATTAAGCTTATTCTGACGTAACAATTCTACAATATTGTTGATCTCAGCTTTTAGATTATTACGGAGATCGTAGATATCTTCGGCAGAACAGGTGACACTGGTATCGTCCGCATTCATGTTTGAGGTGCATTTTTTGAGGCACTGCTCAAAATCATACAGGGTGAAGAGAAGCGGCCCCAAGCACGAGATCTGGGGGATACCGCAGTGAACAGCTTTCAAGCTAGATCTATGGCCATTTATTTGACAGTACTGTCTTCTGCCGGTTAAATACGATGTGAACTACTGAAGAAATGTCCCTTCCACTCCGTATTTGGTTAGTTTCGATAGAAAAATCCCGTGGATCACCATATCAAGCGCCTTTTTAAAGTCAAGAAATACGCCTACATCTGAGCTTTTCAAAATTAGAAAATCATGAATCTGTTATATTTAAAGGCAATCTGTCTCGTTGTGGATTGGTTAACGAGAACAATAGCTGGAACAATAGCCTAAACACAATTCTAGCGCTCCACCATATTTTTTACAATGCGATAAATTAAATGGGGACTGGAAACAATAAATAATCCCTTTGTTCTTATAATCAATCAACGTCGTGACAGATTGCCTTTAATAGTGCGGTCAGGGTGCTATGCATGTTTAAAAATGCATGTTGACTTTTAGCGAATTTCGTTTGCTCTTTCATGTAAGTCAAGACTTGATCGTACCCGAATCTTTCCAGCAACCTCGAGAATACAGATAGCACGGATATAAGCCTATAATTACCCATGTCACTTTGAGAACAAGACTTCAAAAATAGAGGTTACCCTTGCTATTTTCCATGTATCTGGTAAAATACCCATTTGAATGAAGAGTTTAATATAGCAGCTAGTGGCTTTCATAAAATTTAGAGTTTCTTAACTCTCTTGGATGTACCTCGGACAATCTCACGAATAGGTCATTGAGATATTTAGGTGCAAAAGAGTTAAGAGATTTGTGAAACCATAGAACCTGTTTCTTTATTTATCAGCTTTTGTGCAGATAGCCAACCAAGTCTCTGGAGCAAAGGGGCTGCAGATGCATCAAAATGGGCTATTTGTTACTATTCTGGCAGCTTTATTCTGTGTATTTGAAGCATGTCTAGCTTTTTTATAATCATTTAATATCATCTGTTTATTTAAAGTAGGCGTATAAAAATAGCTACAAAATAAAAGATAATTCAAGCCTACCACAAAGTAAAATTGATTAAAAAAATGAAAAAAATGAAAATACATATATATCTAACGTGAGAAATAATTAAGTATAAATACATATATACATATTTTGCAATGTTTTTTCAGCACTTTTTGGCATTTAAAATTCAATACGTTTATCCGTTCAAGAACCCAACCTGAGCCACGAGAGGTCTACACAGTCTACAGTTGCATTCCTCTCCTTTCCCAGATTTTATTACTCATTGTTCATGCTAGATTTAAAGCTTTGAAGCACCACAAGAGCCCCAGACGGAGCAACTGTGGCTTTATAATGCTTTTATTTAAATTTATCAAAGTGCCAGTTTGAACAAAATTTTTCGCGCATACTTAAGTAGACCAATTGATCTGGAGATCTTCTTTGCGAATCCCATACATACTTCATTCGATGAAATGCGATGCGAACCCAGTTTGAGAAAACTGCTTTTGCTAATTTAACCAATGAGATCACACACTTCAAATCTGCATATTGGCTTCCGTTTTTGTCAATTGTTGTGAAAATTGAAGGAGTTGGTGTTGAAATTCCATGGTGATAAATTATTCTAGTAGCTCATTCGCTTTGGGATTAATGATTTAAACCCTTTTCATTTGCTTTCCGCGTTCTTGCTACCTTTTGTGCAATTTTGTTAATCACAAATGACGGTTTCCACTCTCAACTTTTGTCACCATTTTGCTATTATATTTTTGAGTTTTATGGTAACAGTCACCAATTCATTTAATCTAATAATAGAATAACAATACAATACAATTGCTCAAACCATAGTCATGCTCAAACAGATACCTGATAAATTGACTGTGATGGTGTTTCTGATTGAATAGCTTTCATCCGGGACTTTCGTTCGCATGCGACCGTTCGCAAATAATCAAACCTTGCGCACAGGTCAAATCGCATTGCGAACGTTCGCATGCGAATTTCAAACAAATGACCGCATGCGATTTGCGAATTGCGTGCGAATGAAGTGAAAATGGGCCTTGAAACAGGAAAATGTTTCGTTCTAAAATGGCCGAATCGTCAGTTTGCCAGATTTTACGAGCTTCATCATACCTGTTTATTAAATATAATTTGAAAAAGGTATCATTTTACTTGACTGTTTTCAATAGGTTTTTGATAAGAAATACGCAAAAAAATTGGTGTTATCAAATAACCTGCTGTTATTAGTTTGACCATGTTAAACAGGTCTTGCTTTCATCAAGTTGATTTGCAACTAAGGGTTTCACCTGTTTACTCATGACACGGTTCTAGGTTCTAGGATCGAAAGATCATTGAGACGAAAGCATTATCTGCAACAAATACTATCTAGTGGGTTTGAGAAGCAACAGTGGTCCAATTGTTTACATCATTCTGAAGAAACTGCACCAGCAAGTTTTATTGTCTTTTTGTCAAGTGTGGATTCAATAAACCCGGATCTACCATGAATGGTCTATAGAAGGTATCTTTTAAAAATAATTTGCCAAGCTGCTCGATTATAAGTGAAATAAAATATAATGTGTTCACAATGCATTAAATGATTACATATGAAGGGAACGAAAAAGCCAGCCAAAAGTATTCGCAGTTCCAGTTTGTTTGAATATTGGCGAAAGAATTCAACATGGACCCGACAACAGCACACAAGTGTAGTATGATGCTTTGTTTTTTCATAGCCGCACTTATATTCATTGTTGTAGAGTTTTACGTACAACGTGAGCGAGAATTCCAATGCAAGAACTTTGACAATGAGATATGCGCAATGAGGTTATCTTTTGCCTTGGATGATGATGGTGAGAAAGCACTCCAGGCACAAGCACAGGAGGACCAGATCAACAAATTTAATCATGGTCTAAGGCATGTTAATAAACTTTTGCGTAAGAAAATACTTGAAAAACTAAAGGCTACGTTAGAAGAGGAAAGAAACGGAGAAAATTTGCTAGGCAAGGAAACGGGTGAAATAACTTTCAACCAGAATGATGAAGAGCTGGGGAAAACCCAGCAATTTGATTATCTTGATAACTATTTACAGCAAAGAAAGCACGAGGACATCTTTGAGACTTGACAACTCCATTGGTAGAAAACGGTCGTTCGAAGTTTCATAAATTGTCACGCCTTAAGTTGCCCTGTTCAACTGGCTAGAGGCATACTTGCTTTCAGTTGGAGCTCTTTTCTGCTTTATGTAAATAGATGACATTAAGGTTGACTTGGACTATCTCAAGAACAGCAAACTCAAAGGTGAGAGATGAGCCCATTAATGGAGGATACAAACAGACCTCTTATTTAAACAATCAGGTGCACTAAGTGATGTACTTCATTGGTTTGGGCGCAAAAACAATCTTCTTAGTTCCAAAATATTCACGAAGCACACAGACTCCTCTCATAAAACATTATCTGGTTGGCGAACGTTAGGCAAACAGTAATGACTCGAAAACATATCTTGTTGCTGTTACTTTATCTGTAGAATTGTAGCTATCATGGTGTTTAGTTTTCTAGGGGTCAGATGCTTCGACTTTAAAACTAAGTCCATCTAAATTCCCTAGCTAATACTTCAGCATCTATCCTTTCTGATTCTCATTTTTACAAAATAAAACAAGTTAAGACAGCAAGGAAAGGACAAAATGCATTTCATTTAATCACAACATGAAATCACAAAAGATGTATTTATTTTTTAAATCATATATTACAACCTAATGCTATGTCTACAATTATTTACAAAACTTTTAGCTCTATGCCTGCGTCGAATTGGCAAGTCATAAATAAAAATCTTCGTCAACTCTTTCGATATTTACGCTGGTGCTAAGGATAACCTAAGGATAGTTAAGGGGATTCTGAGATAATCTAAAAAGGGCCGAGTTGATAATGAATGAGTTATTGCATCAAAACCAGTCAGACACATTGCACAATTGATCATTTAACCATTTTATTTCGATATAAAACTGAGCAGTTTCAGATTAAGCATTTTCGTAACATGTCCTAGAGGGAACATAAACACAAGCTGAGGAGACGAAGATCCTTATTTTCTGTAAGAAGGTTTTCTGGGCGAAGTCGTTCGTGAATTAAATCTTTATCAACAATAAAGTTTGATGTGTGGAGTACAAAATAGAGCAGTGTTAAAACTTAACTTTGTCAGAGTAATTTAAAAACAAATTGTCGCATTACTTACGTCTTTAAAATGAGCGTTGTATGACATGAAATTCAACGTTGAAGTGTGGGGTGGCCTAACCATTAGATCGCTTGGTACATGAATAAATTTCAATACATAGACAAAATATCTTTGTTTCCAAGCGACAAAGCTAAGACTCGAAATGTAACTCAAAACAAAGAGTAAATATTTCCTGAAAATGCAAGTTTTGCAAATCCCAAGGGTCTAGAATTGGAAGGCCGAATTAGCAAGCATTCAAAGGGTCTTGAAAAATTGCACATCGTGCAGCAAAGGGCCGTGCTTTGTAACAGATCGAGCTGGCCCCCGGCTTAAACATCACAGGGCAACAAGATTGCTGAAATAAGGTAGTAAAGGAGGGTGCAATATGCTTTGCAAGTAGAGTTCAAAACGTAGTTTTGTCGCCTTTTTAAAGGAATGATGATTATGATCATTAAGTACCCAAGCGACTTAGAAGGCTTGTATGATTTTTCACATACCTGTTACATCATGTCTAAGATGATAAAAACTTCATAAACAGTTTATTCGTCGCGTTAAAACACATTATATGAAACTTAATAACATGCTGGTTAATGTCAAAGCTGCATTCTAGACGCAAGTGTCGAAACAAGATAGCACCAACAGGCTTGTTTGCAAAAAATAACTAAATCGTATCGTTACTGCTTTCTGTTCTCTTATCCAATCCGCAAGGAAACTGCTATGCTACCTTGCTTGTCAAATTAAAGTTCATATGTTGAAGAGAGTTCTAACGACTCATCCTCATGACAATGTGAAAGGTACGATGTTCAGGTCGGGAGAACGTCTCATCGGTTGTGGGCACGACTTCCGTTTGTGGCGAAATAACTTTGGAGAACATCTTCACAGGTTAACCCAGGTGATTTTTCCTTGTGTGCAGCCATCGCGATAGCGATCCGCCGATCTTTGTAAACGATCTCGTCAAGGATCAACCTTTCTTAATAGCGTTATCCACCTGGCGGAAAATCAACCTTCAAGTTATATAGTTAAAAATATTTCTTTCTACATATTTCTTCTAGATTCCGTCCAAGCTTTTTCCACTGTCCCTGCCAAAAAGGAATCCCTTGTTGCTTAACTGAAAAATATCATACTTATCTGACAAGCAGGAGCGTCGCCAAAGGGGGGTATGGGGGGTGCGGTACTCCCCCCCCAACAATTTGTCCGTCGGCACATTAAGGATTTTTTGCCGGGCAAAAGAAGCTATTTTTGTACTCACCCTGGAACCTTTTTCAACAATTATAGGGTACTAACTTTTCTGTCAGTATATAAGAGTATTTATCTTTTATTTATCCACACCCTTAAAAAGAGATACACGCCCTTTTTGTCGGCATAGAGCACTTTTTTACCCCTCCAAAAAACGTTTTGGTTTCGCCCCTGCTGACAAGAACTGTTTGGACAATACTTAGCCACTTAACATATAATACTTAGCCTCTTAACATTATAGTAAACAACATTTTTTGGATGTGTGTTATCCACAATGTGCAATATCAAGTGAAACGTAGCAAGATTCTTGGCAAGAACTGTAGATCTTCTAGTGAAATGTGATATACATTCGACCATTAACCAGAGAATATTTCATGAAAACGATAACTTTCTTCGATAATATAAGTTTATAAGGCGATAAAATCTACGCTAATGTCTGCCTTTCTATCGAAAACAGCATGATTGAGTCTTTGGAAAAAGTATGATGACTGTAACAAAGCAGAACTTCTGTACAAGTATCAGAACTGGGACAAAAGACGAAAACTATCAAAATGTCTCATTAGCTAAGTTTTCAATTTTCAGCCAGTTTATGACAGTACGCTCCACAGCATAACATGAAAGGGTGTTTAGGATATTGAAACTTTGTTCGAACTTAGCTCAGGGAACTAAAAAATTTGCTACAGATAAAGAAAGTCCCATTTATACTGACTCTCACTTAGGCGAAGTTTTTCTATGGAATATTTGATATCTCAAGAGACATTTGGTCCTATATCACAAAAGTCTTGCTAATCCGGAATCTCACTATCTATACTGCATCCTAAACTATTCAAACAATTGGTTTTTTGCAATACCTTTTCGCTGTTATTGTCACCTGTCCGGCATGGGAGTTGCGTCTGTCTGCTGGTGCTGCGACTTCATACGCTTGCTATACAATGAAATATAAATAAACAGAATTCGGAAAATTTATATCTTGAAGAAAAAATATTGATTGCTTATAATTATTTAGTTTACAAAAAAGTAACATTCATGAAACAAAAGGGCACTTGAAAATGCTTGCTTATAATCTATTTTGTATACGCTTGCATGTATACACATTGAATGGATACAACTAGTACTCTCTTTTATATAGTCTTGAATGTATAAACTTGTCCATTACATATACAATTGTATGTATTAGGAGATGGAAAATTGCTACCAAATCCAAGTGTTTGTTATTCAGTTTTTTTTGAATTGGTCATTTAGTATTTTTTGGAGGCGACCATCGTCTTGACGGACGTCTGGCCGGGCAACCAGAACTGTCTGTCAGTTGTAGCAGATAGGTAGGTTATAAAAAGGTTAATTGTACAATGCTTTGATAATGGAAAACAATTTGGGTAAGCACTTATTAATTCAGTGTTCTGAGGTGACCCTTATGATGCAATACGTGTTAAAAGGGAGCGTAAGTTTATACAATCTTTGTCAAAACTTTAAAAGAACTCAATACCACCCTTTTTCACATCCCTTGACCACAAAACTTCTATAACTGCACACGCACTCTCTCTTGGCGGTCTTAACAATGTTTGTTTGCTAATTTTATTCTTATACGATTCTATCTCAAATCGGCACATAAAACCAAGTCAATAAAGCATTAACAAATAGTATTTAGCACTGTCTGGGGTTGAAAGGGGCTACCTCAAATGGTTAGGGAAGTTTGGCAACTTCTTTTGCAAGGCTTATAGGTTAGTCATAGTTTACACATGTTTACAAAACACCAGACTTGTTGGGGAGAGGAGCAAGCAAAAAAATCTTCAAATGAGTGGGGCAACACTCCGTCCTAGAGTCAGAGAGTATGGGTAATAATTACTTTGCTCCATGGGCATGCTCTTTGACCCCAGGATCCCAGGATGGGGGGGGGGGGGTTGCCTCACTCATTTAAAAACCTTTTCCTGGTCGTCTTTCCAACAAAGACATTCAAAATGTGAACCGAAGTATAACAAACCAGATAACTGATACTGCTGCCATATGCTGTATCAATTTGCACAAATAAAATATAAAAAAATGGTATACCTTTTGAGCCAGCCACAGAGAGCCATGCCAATGCCACTAATAACAACCGTAAAAATTACACATCCGAGCATCACATAAACGGCAATCGACCCTGAAACGATAATTAAAAAATTTATCTGTGTCCCTGCCATAATGTTTTGCTAAAATAAATGGAAGAGAAATATTACTTTATTTTCAAATTTCGGGCAAAATTTTGGTGAAGGTTTAGAATGTAATAGGGTTGATAACTGCATGCTCTTTTTTGCTGTTTGCATTTTTACATGCAAAAACCCCTCAAAATTTTAAATTGAACGCCCATGTCGTAGGAAATACTGCAAGGAGTTGGTAATCTTGTCATCTCTTGACGCATAGGACAAAAATATATATATATATCTTTGCATTAAAGCCGAACACGGTGACAATGAAAGGCCGGTGTTAAATGAGTTTCAGTAACCTTATGCATTTTTGTCCGGGTACTCAAACGCATGGCAATTTTGGTTATGCGAAATCGTACCCAAGCATTTAAAAATAGGGTACCAAAACGAATGGTGAATTTAGCATGCAAAACGGTCAGGGTACACAAACGCATGGCAATTTCGCTTATCCAAAAACGTACCTAAGACTTTAAAAATCAGGGAACCGAAACGAATGATGGAATTTAGCATGCGAACAGGGCCGGGTACACAAATATTCTGGTTCATATTGTTCAGAATGTAAAGAAGAATCGAACTATTTTTAACAAGGGGGTACTAATAAGAAGCGGCGCTGTGATTTCTTTCTATATTTCTTTTGGAACAAATAAGTGATGAATATAAAAATACGTTTTTCAATTACCGCATCAAACACAAAATGAGGGTCTCTAGTGCAAAATCCTAAAGCAAAACATCACAGTAGTTTGACAGGTATGCAAGAAAATCGTGAATATTTATATTCCTCTTCAATTCCTTCAGCAGCCTCGCTTCCTCTACCAACTCACCATTCGGAATAAGTTTAACTGCAGTCCCCACAGCCTCGTCGTCATAATGATGCGTATCTATATGTATAATACCAAACTCCCCCAACAAAATTCCTCATTTATAACTACCTTTTTCCAATTGAATTCTAATTCGTCACTTATCTTTTCTCTATCGAAACTTCGGTTACTTTTGATGACTTCACTAACTTTTGACGAAAAAAACAACTTTCCGTGCACTTGGAATGTCAAAAGCAAATATGGTATTCGGGGGCATGAAAATATAGTGCAGTGATCCAAAGCCATCTTAGTGGATATCAGACAGTGGATTGTTTTAACTGCCTCATTACAGAATGATTTATCACATAAAAAGTGCCAGTTTTCAGCATCATTTTTGTGCCAGTTTTGGCAACTTTCAAAATGTGCCAGTTTTGGCACTTCTTAAAATGACAATAACTGTATTACATTTTGATATGCAATAACTGATATGCCATTTGTTCTCAGTAATTGAGTTTTCATGCAAAGACTTTTAAAACAATGTGTGAAATTAGTAAATTTGCCTATCGTCCGCGATATGCCCCTATAAACCCTGATTCCCCCTATATTCCCCAACTCCCTTGAATTTCCCGATTCACATCTGCATCCTTTCATTCTTCGTTCCCTGTTTTAGTTCAATCCTAATTTAGAAAGCGTATTGAAAATAAATTTACAGAAGAAGTGTAGCGTACTTGTGTTAAGCTTGTGCCTGTCAACTGGCGTTAACGTAGCAATTTGAACAAATCCATTCTTCGCTGGTGTGTCTGCTACCTTGCATAAATCGGGAGAGAAACATTTGACAGAGAAGCAGTCGTTATCGATTCTGTAGGCAACATCGCATTTTCTGGAGCTGCAACACTTGCCAAGGCATTGCTTCATGTCTCTGTGGTAGAAAAAGACCATACAATAAAAGGATTTGCACTTAGTAATGCGCTGAAGGGTCGTTTTTACACAAAGAAGCAAACGCGTAGGTAAGGTGTTTGGCAGCTTTGTACTGAAAATAGATAGCCTCTAGTTTCTAAAAACGTGGTTGAGCTTGCGGTTTTTAAGCTGCAGACGAACGCTTTTTTCCTTCTTGCATCAGGACCAGATTTAAACGAATTAAAACACAAACTGAGCTTTATTGGAACTCAAGCTTAGTTAATGTCAGTTCTGTTTCGATTATTTCGGTGAATACTGCAAGCATTTTAAGGGTCCACAATTCTTCAACTGTGTTTTAAATCTAAATATATCTTGTTTTGGAGATGTGAGTGAGCTGGAACCTAGTTATCAGTCACGTGCTAATCGAGAATGAGAAGAAACGCTGATAGAGAACATGACAGTAACGAAAGCTGAGATTTTTTAAGAAGTAGTGATTGATAAAAGATTCTTAAGTGTTAGATTATCAAGTAGAAGGGGAGAAATAAAACTGTATATATCGTGTGTCTTTTTGGTATTCTCTTTAATAGCTTATATCGCTGGGTTCAAGTCGTCTTATCACATTTGCAACAGGTAAGTGTCAGGTTAAACAACATGACGTGACAACGCCTCAAGATCCTACTGCCTGGAATAGAAACTGCGAATCTTCTTACTCTAAGTGAAAGCTTGGTCAGGGCAAGGGTTCGAACCCAAGATCATTGACACTGTAGACCAATGAGCCATCCTTGCACGTCATAGCTCCCATGCATGATCTTTAAGAAATCTTGACCCTCAATTCAGCTTTATGTTTTAGGAGATTACAAAACAATTGCGTTTCAGATTATTACTCCATATTTTGAATTTCATTCATTATACAGCTCAATAACTTACCTTGTTCTTCCCAAGTAGGTGAAATTTCCAGCTTTAAGCCCACCAGCGAGTGTCTTGTTATTCATAATCGGGCTTTTTGATAATTTTGCCTCGTCGCAGATGTCTTTCTCATCTTCATTGACGGTTGTGCTGACGTCAAACATAGTGCCAACTAAGAAGGGGAGCAAAAGTACATCGTTCAGGAACATCGTTCGGGATTTAAATCTAACTAAAGTATATAGTAAATACGCTGTGTAGATGATAACCCAGATATAAAGTAGGGTATCCAATGGAAATGCATGACCAAGGATGTACTTCATGTAAGGTGCTGCGAAGACACCCTTGCAAGCATGGAGGATTGCATATAAAGCAGAAAATTGTAGCAATCAAATCATGGTTGGATTTGAAAGAAAACAACTTCTTGGAGAAGAAAACTTCGACAAATTTTTCCATATTGAATTAAAAGGCTCAACCATAGAATTTTAGAATATTTCAATGCAATGTTACCTTCAGAAAGATTAAATTGGATTCAAGCATGCAATCGTTTTCCGAATAAAATAATAATTCGGACTGTTTACAAGCCAATTTGATATTCCAGCATTATCACAAAGGTATTCTCAAATATTATTCTCAATATATGTTTTCAAGATAAGCAAACCAATTTAGCTACAGAAAATTGTTACATAGTAGCGGAAAAAATAGATACAGAAAAATAAATACAACCGGGAAAAGGAGAAATTGTGTTGTCAACTTCCTTGCGATTTTCTGTTGCGGTCTTTTGCAACGAAAAAGCTGTGCTGCAGATTTTAAGGCGGCACGAACAAACGAGAGCATATTTTAGAAAGTCTATTTGTTGTTATAGTTATTGTTATGGTCGAAAATTTGATTTTAATCATTGGTATACAGTTTTAGTAACACCTTGCCAGCACATTTCGGATAACAACGATATACAATTCAACTAAATCTTGCACTCCGACCGTCAGCCTCTATAGCTCAGTGGTTAGAGCACTGGTCTTGTAAACCAGGGGTCCAGAGTTCGAGTCTCTGTAGGGGCTATAATTTTTCATCTTGTTTTCACAGTTTTTTCAACGTATTCGTACGTTCATGTGCAAGAAATAATTAATTTTTTGTCTATATTGAACCACAATAAAAAGCTTTCAGTACGCATTTGTTTGTAGCAAAGCTGAACACTTCTGTCATTACAATCTTATTTGTAAAAACCAGATAATGTTTGTTTTTTAATATTTGACAGCTGACGCTAATATTTATATTATTAAGAGGGGTCAAGTCAATTGTGATATGTTCGGTTAACATCAGATAAAATTTTTTCTTCAAGTCGGTTTTTTCTTCTAATTTTTTTTATCTGAGGTGCAATTGGACACATCATAAGGACAGACAAAGAGCACATGAAAAGCAGTTTGGTTTGAAAATCGCTGCAAAGTGTTTTGAAGAATTCATCATAATTTTAGTACCTTCATTTTCTTATTTAGCATTTTAATTCAGCTCTTCTTTAATTTAAAGCCCTTTTTGCGGTATCAGGACATTGCTGGTTACAGGCTATCAAGGGAAAGTGATTCCTAAACAATGCTAATTTCAACCCTATGTCGAATACTAGCCATGGATTTTTGGTTAAAATGCTCTAATAGGCAAGATAACCCCAACCCTTTTTGGGAGACATTGTCCATAGAAAGAACCCTCCTTCCCTCTGCTGGTTCCCAAAAGTAGAAGACCCGAGTCTTCGGCACGTATAATGTATCCTTTCCCAAGAGCAGCACTTTGTCATGGCCAAATGAAAGCTAAATAAACTGCCGCATCTTTGAGAGGCTTTCTTACTTTGTCCCTCAAACCTAAACTCTGTATATCCCCTTAGAATTACTGTAAATTTAAACATTTCGCCTTACCGTCATAGGGCAATCTATTCCGGCTCACAAAAGAAATCTTAGGATCCAAACGTGAGGGTTTGGCTACAACAGCTTGGCAGTCTTGCTCATTCTTGCATTCAACCGAATAGCAGAGGTCAGCAAACATGAAGGCCAAATCACAAGATTTCTTTTCGCAACATTTACCAATACACTCTCTAGCTGTTAGGCCTTCTCCTTGATTGGTAAAATTACCTGAGTTGAGAAAAAAATCAATCAAGAGGACGGAGTTTGAATTTGGAAGGATGAAATCATGACGTTGCTAAATTGTCGAGTCGAGTCGTTTCAAATATAAGAATGAACAAGGAACGTCTCAAGGCATATGCCATAGACACAGATGCAAACAGTTACGAACAAACTGGGCTCGAGTAACTAAACGTTTATCTGAAAAATTAACAACAGGAGATAAATACGAATTTGTTCTAACAAACAGGAGCTTCAAAAAGTTCCAGTAGGAATAAGCGAAAGCCAACTGGATAATTATGGGTTAGTTCAAATGAGAATAGGTGACATGACTCATATTAAAGACAGTTCTCTATTAAATGGCAAACTTTGAAAGTATCACATTGTTTAGTACTTAAGAATTTTAAGGCCTGAATACCTGCATGAATCCCTCCTTTAAGAGTGACATTGTATGTGATTGGACTGTCCTTGCAAACCTCTTTTGATTCTTCCTTTGCAGCTAAAAAATAGAAAAATGATCGAATTGCAGACGCAATCTCAGAAACATATGACATCATTTCAATTGCAAACCTGGCAAAATTCTTAAAATCATATGTTTTTATAAACAAGGTGCATAACTAAATGAGGTTTGTTTATAATTTAGCCAAGTTTTGCTGATCAAAAGACTTTGTAACATATTATTGGTTATCGAATCTTCCAGTAGCTTGTAGAATTTCGCTTCTCTGTGCAATATTATGTATGCCTTTAAAGTTCAAAGACCTAGCTTATCTTGGACGAGAACTCGTTTCTCACTATACAAATCTGCCGGATAAATGATCAGATCAGAAGGACCACTAAGGACGGATATGTGCAATTTTCTAATAACAAATGTAAATCTCTCGTCCATTTAGTGGCTATAGAAATCAAAGCATGCCTCAAAGCATAAGATGGCATTACTGCCTGATGCTTTACAACATAAGCTCTTATTGTTACTGCATCAAAATGCTCACTTCTGTTTCAGTATCATCAATATTTTGCTTTTTCTAACTGTTATATGAATCTAATATCCCTAAAAGTTGATTGTCAAAGCTAGTACAAGATCTCTTATATCTAACATTGTCCTTTATTGTAACAATTGATGATTTACGAGTGCTATTAAATGTTTGTGATTTATATACAGAAATTAGGCTAACGGGCTAGAAAATGAGCAAAGCCGGCAGAATACGAGCTTATATATATATATATATATTGGCAACTTTGTTTTAAATCAACGCTGGCTGCAGCATTTGTATCATGAACTGGTTTTAGCTTAATAATTCATTAGTCAATTCATTAGATCGCTATTAGCAAAGCAGCTTGCAAGGATGTTAAACAAAAATTCGTTGCCTAAATTATTAATGGATCCAAGGTCAAAGGAGTCACAAGAATCACTACAGTTAAAATTATAAACAAGTAATTAGGATGATGCGAGGATCTTACTGACAATAGCGTCAATTGCAATTTCATGTACAAATAATTTTCCCTTTACTTAATGCTTAAGTGCCAAATCACACTACGTATGAACTCTCTCAAAATACAATTGTGACACTGTGAAATGTGAGTTTGAAAGGGCAAAAATGTGATGGAAAGTGAGTGAAAAGAGTTAGTGAATAGAAAGAAATCGGGCTGGATAGGGGTGTTGTAAAGGGCAATAAATAGCAGAGGGTAGAGAAAAAAACACACAAAAATAACATTGGGAGATATATAAAGAGCAAAAATAGGGGCCTGTAAAAAATTAGAGTGATATCACTATCTGCCTTTCTCTTTTGCTTAAGTCACATTTTGAAAAATATTTACCACTGAAGTTCTTCAGCTCATCAGATATAACTGCACGTGTTTGATTACCTGGGCGAGGTGGATTTGGTCGAATACGATCATGAACTTCCCAGGCGGTTGATATATTTGCTAGGTTAGTCAAAAGGCTGCTATTAGCACTACTAGCGAGTTTGTTAGCGTTCTGTTCGTCGCCTTTGTCAGTAATCTCGTCGATTATGACGTCAATATCATTGTTATCTGTCAATGAGGTTAGGAAGATTAGTAGCTGCTTCAGTTAAACATGCATTCACAAAACACTACCGAAACATACACAAACATCAGGCATACATCCACACAAATAACAATAGAGAGCACATAGGACGCTTTCATGAAAAGAGGGAATCAACTCTTGGACTAACGGTTTGCTAAGATATAAAGAAGTCGAAATGGTGAGGAAAATACTGTACAGAGCATATGACATACATGCAAACAATACTGGCAAACAAACAAACAATACAACATAAATATATTCAACTAGTGAATTCTTGCATATTTCATCTGGCAGTGTCTTAAGGTAACGATTTTAAGGTAAATTCAGTAATTTATTATTTGTTTTCAACATTGAGGTTTGAATATCTAAAGTTTTCTGCAAATTTGATATGATATTAGCTATAAGCTAAAAATTTCCAAAAAATATCAAAGAAAATGCATGCTGAAAATTCAACAGCCCAAAACACAAAGAGGGTCTTTGAAGCATTAAATGAGAACGTCGTACGTTTTTAATAGTACTGCAAGTCTGAAACAGCTTATGCGACTGGCTAGAACTTTGGATATAAACCACATGAATGTAAAACTTTTTCTTTACATAGTCATGTGAATGTTATATTTATTGAGCTAACTACATTGATGATATTTTCACACCAGAACCTAATAACGAACAAGCCATTGTCACCGGCACATTTTTCCTTCAGGCTGTGGTTTCGTCATCATTTGCAGAGAACGAATGAGATGAATTTGCTCTCAGGGTGCTTCAGTACAAACTTAGTAGCAAGAATGAAAAGCTTACCATTTCCAACAGTCATTGCGGTCTCCTTCTTCTTCAAGAATGACAGCGTTGGATTCATGTTCAGGTTGCCAATATTTGATATCATAGCAGGGGCGACTTTACAGAGCTCAGGGCTGTAACATTTCACAGCAAAGCAGACAGATCCAAGCATGAATGCAACATCAGCGTTTGAAGATCTGCAGCAGCGCTCGATGCAGTCGTCCATTTTATTTACATGGCCTAACTTTGTAAATAGACCAGAGTGCATTCCCATCTTCAATGTTGCGTTATAGGTAATTGATCCTGCTTCACATGAATGCTTTTTCGATGGATCTCCTGAAATAATAAATCAGATGACATTATTGAATTACAACAAATAGAATAAATACGATTTATAAAAATGGCACATTACCTACAAATGACATTTTATAGTAAGGACTAGCAATGTCTTCGATTTAGATGGTATTAGACAAAAACAGTTTAGGCCCTATAACTTTGACCCTATAACTTTGACTTTAGGCTACCTGGCATTAGGTTCGCTAAGGTAGCATCGTTAAATCAAATCTAAGTGACGTCAGCTATGCCCAGTACAATTTCTTGGACTTTTCAAAATGAGCCCCAAGACATGGAGAAAAGATTAGAATCTGGGAAAATGATAGGGAAAATTAAAACCAAAGGAGAATAATGAAAAAATGGGGCTAAGAAGTCTCATATTCAACAGCCATGGGACATACTTCTCAATAGTAGATGAAAATTCAGATAACATTTTCATCTTTACGCAAACATTTGTTTGTGAAAACACAAATGGTTTGTTTTACATTTAACAGCATTCTTTTAAATGGAATAAAGGAAGCAAAATTACCAAACGTTGGCGTTGCGGATGATTTGGATTTGACGAGAGTGGACGAAAATCCAGGTGTCGTACCTATAATGTATAACAAATAGACTCTAAGTGAGTGTTCATAATACTGCGAGTAAAATCAAGCTAAACATTGTTCGATTCAGTGTGAAGAGCAATGCCAAGAATCGCCAGAAAACAGGGCAAGATTTCATTAGGTTAAAGAGAGGCATCCCTTGCAATTTTATGAATAGTCGTTAGTTGATTATTCTGTTAGAATTATCATTCACGTAGTATCTTTATGGAACAGTTCTCGAAATTTTAACTTTTTCTTGTTTGCTATTATTCTTCATAGTTCTAATGGACACAGACCAATAGCTAGAGTCTGAAAACAGCTATTGTTACAATAATGATTAATTTTTGCTTACCAGATATTTCATGGTTTAAAGATCATAATGAAATGTTGATCTGTTGTTTTGGTTATGTCGATGAGGGTTAGTAATTGTCCTTTGACTTATCATTTGAAATGGTAAATTGCCCCATTAGACAGAGAAGATCAGGAGGCCTATTGTCGAGCCATCTTTCTCTGGCAACTGGCTTTCAATTTTTGGGATCACTTGTTTCTAATTCTTTTGGGCACTATCCCCTCTCTTTGCAGCCTTCGCCTCTAAACGAGACCCGCAGCTACTCTATCTTAAACTCTCTTCGAGCTTATTACGTGTCTTCGTTTCCTTCTGCGGAAGGGAAACACCCATATATCATTTAACATTGCACAATATCATTGGGTCTTGAGTTGCAAAATCCTTTTACACAATTCTGTCTTACGCTTTATCCTGCATCTTTATGGGTTATCGATTTCTCCTTAATCTTCGATGTTTTAATCATCAAGTGTGCAGGGACCTTTCTTCATATATCCTTTCGGTAAATCATTCACAAAACCTTTTCTACATTAGAACTCTGTCTTATCTCTTGATAATAGCATTTTCTTTGAATCTCAAAACCTTAACTATCTCTTAAAGCAGGTAAAATATTTTCTGAAATTCAATTAAAGCTTGAAACAGGCAATAGCTGTATTAAATTAACAAACAATGATTGACATCCCTTGAGACTCTATATTCCTGGATATTCTACAATTTCTCTTTCTGGGTTGACTCTTGGTGCTATCTGTGCACATCAATGACGTCATCAATATATAACATGCTTTTAACGATGCTTTAAAGCGAATTTAAACTCTTTGCTTCCAACTTCTTTCGCTTTTTCTTACTCAAGATACTCATACTCGCCTTGCACAAATATAATACTAATCAGTATCAAATCGATATTTGATTAAAGCAAAAATGCTCCATCAAGACTCGTTACAAGAAAATCAAACCAAGGCCAGAAAAAACTAAAGTGCCGGGGCTGAAGAGCAGTAGAACTGAAAAGATGAAGGGATGCAGCCACCATGTCCCATTTAGGTAAAAGTGTTCTCCTTTTCATTGTACTTGTTGTGTTTTTTTTCGGTCGTGTATCTAAAGTCTAAGTTTTGTTTTTATTCACTGTGTCCAAATGGCCCAGGGGCAGTCATAGCCTGCTCCACGAGGTGACGTCAGAGTAGTATCGTATAGTCGTATAGTGATTTTGTAAAATAGCGTAGCTTGTAAATCTGTAAATCTGTATTGTAATATTTTAGTGGATACAAAAAAGGGATATGAGTCCCCACTACCTAAGTGCAACGAAAATCGAAAGAAACTTCGAGGTTCGTATTGCCATTCATGCAAAATCTTTGTAAAATGTCATTAGTACCTTGCTTAATAAATGCCTAATGGTGAACGGTTTATGACAACTGATTATGTTTCAAAAATAATGTCTTACAGAGGTAGTAGCAACAGATGAAATACAGAAGACGGTGAGAAATGATTATGAAAAGTTATTTATAACTCAGTATACGCTATCTGGTATATAGAAAAGGATAGTTCTAAGTTGCTCCTCTGAGTTTCACGCTTAATGCGATCATCAGGCAATTGGTGAAACAACTTTCTCTATAGTTGTAATTATATTGAGGGATAACCAACCTTCAAAGGAGGAATAAATTATGCCAGTTTTCGTCTAAAGGGTCAAATTTATTGTGACGATTATGTTTTATATTTCAAACGCCACTAGACTAGGTGTTTAAGTTTATATTTGCTACTCTTTAGATGCATGAACATTCTAATTAAACAACCTTAAACAGCCAACAACCCATTTGATTTTGTGAAAAACGCTTTCTGTCTAGATTTTAGTACCATCAAATACACTTGCCCTTGATCTTGCAAAAAATCAACAAAAAAGCGGTGTGGTGGCAAATAGAAAGGGTTAAAGTTTATGAATGAAATTGATTATGGTTATGATGATTAGTAGATTAGTTACCTGGCGGTCTAGGTATGACAGTCATAGTTGTCTTAGCTGTTGTCGTTGCAGTCGTTAGTGAGTTAGGTGAGTTAGTAGTCAGTGGTGAGTAGTATGCTCTAACTGCAAAGGTTGTGTCGTCTATATTGTCTTGAATGGTCGTCCGGTCTTTAAACATTGTCTTAACAATAGGGACTACCGGTTGCACTGCTACACCAATACCTGATTTCAAAGAAAGATAAGGGTTACTGTTAGTTTTGTTAGCTTGGTTAAGTTAATACGACATTGAGAACATTGGGTCATAGAAAGAACAGTGAAGGCTTGGGGAGGGCAAAAAAGCTCGGCCTAGATGAAGTGAGCGGGTCTGTAAGACTGCAAGCACGTGACCTCCTGGCGAGAACTATTGTCTCCGTAAAAGCCCTTCAAATAAATCTGTAACGAGAAATTTGTGCATTTCTTGTCTCTAAAAGCTTGCTATAGCTGCCTATCCTCTTTTTCTATAGGCAGTATACCTTTCGATGTCCGTTTGTTGTCTGTCATGGTTAAAAACCAAATATACACGATGTCTAATATGTGATTAACAACTCCATCTTTGGTTGCAAAATGCCTGTGATAACCCAACCAGACATTTTACTGCCTTGTTTTGTACAGTGAAAAGCCTTATTCTTCTCTATTCAAAATGAATACTTCATATCACATGTCAGTGAAAATGTCTCACTATCGGTATTATCTTGTGATCCCTCTATTACCACTGTCGATAGCCTTCCATTCAGTCAGAATATCCTGTCGCTTGTTCAATGTATTGGAGATAAAATAGCTTTCCAGGTAGGTTTCCTTTAATCTGCATATCATATTCTGTATGCATGTCCTGCCCTAACAATGTAGGATTCTGTGTCTTGCTCTTGTAGACTATGTTTGTTTCATTTCCTTTGTCTTTCGACTTCAGAGGCAATTTACAACCATGTGACGTGTCTCTGTCTTTGTGTGATTTTGCATCAATGTCACTTTCTGTTTTCTGTCACAAACCTCGAGAGGCTGTATCTGTCATCGATTGCTTCAGAGTTCCTCAGATTGTCTTATTTGAATTTTATTTTACAAATTTTTTCTCTTCGTTTTCATCGCTATCTTCGTTCTATCATCATTTTCATGATTTCTCATGCCTCAAAATCAATCTAAGTTACGGACGTTAGATTCCTAAAATTCCATTGCATATCTTTGGGGATCTGATCTTTTGAGTTATCCCTTTCAGTTGGAAGATAGACGTCCTTCTAGCTGCTTCTCTCATTTGTTACCAATCTCTTTTTCAATGTTGTTACGTGCTACGATCATCCTCGCAATGATTTTGCGCTAAATTAGTCGAACCGAGTGACGCTATGGGTTTGCCTGCTCATAGTGGTATTAATACATCAGCAGAAACTTTATGGCATGCGTTACTAAACTGCTACGTGGAGATTTCTACAAGATTCATTAAAAAAATTAGGGAATGATTTGTAAGTAGGCATATAAAAACTAAAGCAATTGAAACAAATTTTGAAAATGACCGAAACAATGTAGTTTAGAATTTTCAGTTTTCAGTCGTAGTCAAAAAGTCATATTTGTAATTTTGTTCTCGTTTTTATGTTGTTTACTTTGTACATATAATATTTACAGGTGTTAAAAACTAATACTAAATTGCAGTGAGTCTCGACATATTCGTCCATGTTCTACGCTAGTTCTCATTGTTTACGTTTAGTTCATCAATATTGTTCGTTATATAGAGTATCAACGCCAGAGTTTGGTTTTGAACCACCTATAGTACTATCAGCGTCGATCTCATCGAGTAGGTTGTCACCGAATTGTTTTACCCATGCACAAAGCTGCCTCGGTTTAGTGTACCTCGTAATCGTATGCAATAATGTCTGACGTTTAGTGGTTAGGATAGCAAGCTCGTTATGTCAAGGTCGGAAACTCATATCAATTGGTCTAGAATTTTTTTCAGTGAGAAGAAAATACGAATCCAACAGAGATGAAATTGAATCTTTCACTACTTTCGTACCATCGTCACCATATTTACGTCCGTGACCCCTAATCCTGCCGTTACTCGTCGACTTTCCTTCGCCATTTTCGTTTGCCTTGTTGGACATGTTTTCAGTTGTTATAAAAAGGCGAGCCAGGTTATCATGGTTAGTGCTTGCTTTGTCGACAGCTTCCAGGAGAAGGAAAGATAAGGGGTTAGTGGGAGGGTAAACAAATACGTGGCCCTCTCACCCTGGCTAGAGTTGGATTTTTTCGTGAATATTCAGTTCATTTCATAGCAATATCATGCATGGGTATTCATAAACGCTTCTTTAAGAGACAAATAAATTTAACAGACAAAAATTTCTGCCTTTTTAGCAAATCTTGACTATAGGCAATAAGCAAGGGTGAGAGGGCTTTAATTATATGTGAAGGAAGTACTAAAAGTTTATTAGCGTTAGCATAATATTTGTAGCAAAGTTTCATAGGCCAGAAGAGACCGCAAATTAATACAGTTAAGGAAAGGTCAGGAAAATTTTCACGTTAAGGAAATGGCAAATTCAGCAGAGGTGTTTTAATGCACTTTTTCAGCCAAAGGTTGATAAAATTAGTGATGACTTTGGTAAAACAACGAAAAAGTCTAAATATTAACAGTGATGATCAAGGGATGCATAAATTTAGTCGTCTTTACTTTTATCATATAAAGCGATATTGTTATATTTACGAGACGAATGAACAGAAGGAGACTCGCTGCTATGAATCGGCTTCGAATACAACATAAAATGCTCTGTGGGAAGCAAAACCCTGCAGAGTCACAAAAAAATCAAACTGCTGAAAGCGCCATGAGTGTTTCGGCTAAAATCCTTTTTGAACACAAAAACGTTCAGATTTCATAGTTCATAAATAAGAACGAAATCATAAAATAAACCGGCTCAACGTTTTCATATGAAGCGATATCCCTAACAGAATTGAAGCAAAATCCTACCTGTTGCAGACGACTTCTTGAACGCTATTATCGGCCTGTACTTAGTGGGCCTTGCTGGCCGTGTTTTGCACATAGATGGATCTTTACAGCGAACACCGTAACAGTCGTTGTCGATCATAAATGCCAAATCACAATCTTTGCTTCCACAACAATAGCCCATGCATTCATCGAACGTGTCCGTTTGGCCGTGATCTGTAAACTCTCCAGCGCTGACTCCTCCGACCAACGTCATATTCTCAAGTCGTTCACCTTCCCAAACCTCAGAGCTGCAAGTTGCTCCCTTATTGGATGACGATTTTGAGCTCTTTTTCTCTCCACTATTTGCCCTATTTTCTTGCATCAATACTACGCAGAAATATATTATCAATTATGTATTGCAAATTATTTGAAAAACAGGTAAAACCAAAACTACCGTTGAAAACTTTAAAAAAATCTTCACAACGGTAAGCCATTAACTTTTAACCCTCTGTTTCCCTCACCTGCACAGACGGCGATTTTTTTTTCTGAATATGATAACTAGACTTTAACTAAGAATGCACCTATCCGATTTAGTTATGAATGTATGATCCCTTATGAAAGATTGTGGGTACAGAGTAACGGAGGCAAAGATTAACAAAGGTTGAGAGAGGAAGGCAAAACCCTTTTGAATGATAATGGCATGGGTAATTCACTAAACGAAAGGCATGAACCTGGCAACAGGAATCCAATAAATATGGATTACAAAGGCATCTTTACCTGAAATGGTTGCTTTGAGACTGAAAGATATCTAAAAAATATTTGCATGCTTCTGCTTGACCTCTAATGAATCAAAGAGGCCTGGCTGGGCTAAACAGTGAAACTATAATGGGCATAAGAGACCCATATAAATCATTACCCTTCAGCTTAAGCACCAAGCATCAGTAACGCTAAACCACAAGTATAATACCGAAGACAAAAATCGGACCTGAAGGGATGACTGTGACTGCTGTTTTTGGCCTAGCCTTCTCTAAGCTATTGCCTGTGACAATATAGTAATTAGGACACTGTAACTGATGTGAGACTCACCCTGCCTGCTGCCGACATCTCTGACAAAGGCTATTATTGGACGCAGGCTGATTGCATTGCGAGCACTACGTGTCCTGCAAGAATGTTCGCTGTAGCAAGTGACTCCGTAGCAGTCATCCTCGATTCGGAAAGCGAGTTCGCATTTAGAGTCACTGCAACATCGTGAAATACAATCATCCATATCAGTGATATGGCCTAAGTCCGTGAAATTTCCAGCTCCGATTCCGTCAACCAAGGTGACATTATTGACCGTGTTCTTTGCTTTACATAGGGAGCGTTGTGTTGGGTTGCTATCGGTTTGTATTTCTTCTATAGAACAAAAAGATAATGTAAAAAAGCGGGAAATTTCAATTGCGCAATGTCAAACCTAAGAATTGAGGTCTTTTTATAAAAGATTATCTACTGTATTACAATTACCTTGTGCCAACTAGGCCTTATGGCATGAGAGTATTACACTTATCCTAAGATTTCTTGAGCAATACATTTGTAAAATAGCATGCTTCGGTCGATTGATATCTCCAAATACAGCTCTGAAGCTCTGAAGCTCTGAATCAACCAGACAGGACTACCTTCATTATCAATGACGTTCCTCAAGATCTTCATTATCAAGATCTGTCCATAGAAAAGTTCCACCCACTAGGTCGTGAACTTGGGTCGGTGGATCTGTCCAGATATTCAATAGCTAGTTCTTTAACCTCCCCAACATCTTTTATGAAAAGTGCTCGATTTTACCTCCTTTATTAACAGTAGTACTTTATGATGGTTCTTATTTCGCCCAGTACTGGTAGAAATGCTTTCAAGCAACACCAGAGGGTATCAGGTGAATTTCCATTTTATAGCCAATTTCAGTGCCCTTAGACTAAATACGCACATTACTTCTGAGGTTCCAAAGTCTTTCAAGCCAAAAGGGGTTATACTACCTAGATTTGAAATCAAATTAAACAAACCTTTTCTTCTCGGTGTTTTGATAGTTCGATGTTTGACTTTTGCAATTTGCGGATTATAAAAAGCGGAGAAAGCCGGCTTCGTTCGACAACTGTCCGGACCCTTACAGGTGATTCCAAAGCATTGTTTACCAAGTTTAAAAGCAATATCACAGTTGTTCGTTTGTCCACATGATTTAACACAGTCATCCATATTCTCAATTGTTCCTTTATCTATGAAAGTCCCAGAATTGATTCCGGCCGCTAACGTTACATTAGGTACTACAGCATCGGCTGAGTATACGAACTTGATATGTTCCGTGTCTGTTAGTTGCTCTTTGTATACAACCTCACCAGGCTGTAACTGTTCATTGACCGACGTGGAAGTGTCCGCAGACTTTATGTTGGCATTTGATGCTGCTGTAGCCTGAACAGTGGTTTCTGGCATCGATTCGGTATTGGCTGAAATTGTCGTTGTTATGGCTGCTGGCGTTGTTGTTTCAACAACTGGGGCTGTTGTTGTTGTCAAAGGTGCCGATGATGCTGTTGTTGTTACTGTTGTCGATGTTGTTGCTTTTGTTGTTGTTGGTGGTGGAGTCGTGGTAGTTTGTGGTTGTGTTGTCAACGGACTTTGGGGTGTCGGTTGCCCATCTCCTTCTTCAGTTCCTGTTCTATTTTTCATCACTGCATTTGTAGTTTGGGTCTGCACATTAGCAGTGTTTGCATTGTCTCCTGCAAATCGATAAAGATATAGATTACAACTGAAAAAGCTGCTACCTAATGAAAGAAATTGCCTCAAGATACTCCGGCTGGTGCAATACTGCAATTTCTGCCAAAAAATCTTGGAACACCTACATATTTTTGGAAAAAATTTCTTTCCCTTTGTTTTCCGTGTTTCTAATGGACTAACCTCTTTCTCCTTAAAACAATGTTGCTTGTAAAGCAGTATATCAAATCAATCGCTTGAAAAAAGGTTTGCTTCAAAAGTATGTCGTGACTTTGCTGTAAATGTCGAAATGTCGAAAAAACCAAAAGTATTCCAAAAGTTTTGGAAGTCTTTGTAGTTCTAGCACTGGTTCAATTGAAAATTTTTTATTATCTACTTACCTCTAACTATATACACGTCATTTGCCATTTGCCCTCCTAGGCCATACTTGCATTTTCTAGACGGACCGTATCTCCGATATGTATCAGGACTACCCTTTCCAATGAAGCACTGACCACCTTTTTGCAAAGCAAAGATACTTGCACTATGTTTCTTGGCAACTGTAGCACATACATCAATTGGGGCAGCCCTGTTTTGATATGGCTCTTGAAGGGCAGCATCAAGCTTTTCCATGCGTTTAAAGGCACGGTCTTGCAAGTCAGCCCAGCAGCCCAGGCTCATAACAGATCCTGGAAAAATATGACAAGTTTCAATGGTACAAAGTCAATTCCTAAGGCAGTGGTCGAGCATAGGGAATCGGTTTGTTGTTCTCAAACTACTTCAAAGAAACCAGCCTGATAAGTCAGTCGTGACAAAGAGCTAAGATCTTAGGGTAATGTTTATAGAGAGTTAAAAGAAATATACCTGCTTCTGCACCATAGAACGAGAGCTTATGTAAAGAAGAAACAAGTAGGGGAAAGATAGGTTGTTATTTTTGAAAAGAATATCAACAAGGATGTCTAAAGCCTTAGGTTCCCCGAGGTCTGAATAAGGCACGTACGATGAATTGATCTACGTTCCTTTTTCTGCTTTGTAATTCAATAACTTTCGTCAATGACAAATTAAACTTTTGTTGATACAACAAGAGGTGACTGGAACTAACATTGAAGTAAAGTGAAATTTTCAATGAAAATCTATTCATTGATACTCTATTTAAACAAAGGTTTATTCTTCTCATGCTTTTATCAAAAAAGGATCTTTGCTGAAATTTTCTGATCTTTTCGCATAATTTTCAAGCGGATACAAGAAGCGATGTCAATACATACCATCGTCGAACAACTTGTAAACACTGTTGGAAAATGCGCCTCCGCGGCCTCCTTTACAAGATTCCGAGGGACCATATCTTTTATAGGACGAAGCAGCTTTTGGCCCACTGAAGCAGGCACCACCATTTTGTATCGCAAAGACTGTGAACAAATTCAAGAAAAAGCTATTTACTGAAGGATACAGATATTGAACAACGTTAAGGAAACTTTACATTATCAGGGTTTGAAACTGTTAAAACTTCTGAATTTCAATGTTTGACTGACTTCATAAAATTCGCTTGTAAACTCTTTGGTTTTCACCAAAGTATTTTGTAAATGATTATGTTTATCTCTGAATTCTTGTTTTGTCCGTGATTATGTTTAACTCTGAACTCTTGTTCTTTGAACTCTGAACTCTTGTTCTTTGAACTCTGAACTCAGTGGTAGAACACTTGACTTATAAAGTCAGGGATCGTGAGTTCGAGCTTCGCTCGGTTCGGTTGTTTTCCCGCACTCTCTATTAGCTGTCTTTAAAATCCTGTTGCCTTTACACTAACTCTTGTTTTGTTATACAGCGAAGGCAAACTCGGTGTTCTTGGATCTAATTATTGATTTTTATTCCTTAGGTTAGAGAAATTCCACAACATTAATTTGCCATTATTAAGAACTCTGCAAAAACTTAAACCTCAGTAACTTTCCCAACTCTTAAGAAACCCTGCTACACGTTTTAAGCAAAGAATCTTTTAAGGAACAAGTATGATTACTAAATGCAAAATTTGTACCAGGTGCAGATATTTATGTCGGAAATTTTGTATGCACGATTACAAATTGAAGGACATAACTGCGAGTCCACTTTAAAGAGAAACCAAGATCAGTATTTTGTTGTAGTATCGTTATGATGTGAGATTTGAATACCTGAGTAGCCACGATGTTGGGACACAGTGGCACAATCATTAACTGGGTCGTCTCTTTTCTTGTAAATGCCAGTCAGAAGTGGGTCTGTTCCTTCTAGTAGTGGAATGGCAAATGCTGACATGTCAAAGTCTCGCCAACATCCTTTGTAATCATACTTGTTTTTGCCTGGAAGAAAATAAGTAATTCAAATAAGCTGGGCAGGATCTTGCATGTTGTTCTCTGATTAAAATAACTTCTTCAAATGACCTGGATAGGATCTAAGCATTTCTACTAAACCCCAACAGCTTACAATGATCTACATGCAATCCCTCAATACCTCATACAAACAGAACTTTAATAAACTTGAGGGATAGTTTTGAATTGGGCAAATAAGTGTAGGCAAATAACAAGGAGCGTATATAGCCATACTTAAGTGCGCATTGTTTAGTTCATTTAAGATATGCTTCGCAATTTTTGATAAATTTTGAAGATAACGTCAGCATGAAGCCTCACCTTCTCCAAGATTATCCCTTGGTGGATTCCAATTAACATAAGCAATCTTTGGGTTATAGAAATGAGAAACAGCTGCTTTCAAAGAACACGATTCGTAGCTTTTACACTTAACAGTGAAACAGGTCTCCTTAATGATGAAGGCTAAGTTGCAGTTGTCATCTCCGCAGCATTGCTTGACACAGTCATCCATCGTGCCAACACTGCCTCGATCAATGAACTCACCAGAATTGATTCCGTCTCTAAGTGTGACATTTTGATAGATTTTTGACACCCGTGACTTCGTACAGCTGTTTGATTCAATAACAGCAGACTTGGCCGTCCCAGTAGTTTCCACTGCAAAAGATTAAGTCAGGTTGGTATATATTTATCAATCGCACACATTGTGGGTTCTACTAATCACTGATAGAAGCAGCTTAAAATGATTTTCAACTCGCAAAAGTCAGAAACAACTAGGTCTCGCAAAAAAAAACGGTTTTTACTGCTTAGCCAAAGAGTTTCTGCAGTGTGAACAGGGCTTATTGATGTACCACAAAAATTGCATTTAACCCATTCACATATGTATTTAAGTTGAAAACGAATGCTGTTTTATAGCTAAAGCTTTATAGTATTTTGTAGCACCGAAATTAACTAAAAATTTGTCATCTAGAAATAAATGTAGTTTTAAAAGCCCTGTTAAGAATGATGCATTTTGGACCCACATATAAAAAATTTTATATTACCTTTTAGACTAACCATTTCTTATAAACCAGAGGCTTTCAGAAAGTACTTGAGCCTAAAGGTTTCTAAAAAATTGTTTCTTTTTTACAGGGCTTACTGCAGCGTTAAATTGGTTCTCACTAGTATATCGTCCTTTGAATAAACATATTTCGTCTATTCAAAAGTATACTTGGTAAAGCAGGCTCAAGTTTATCCATCGCACGTTCCGAATATGACAGTGATACTTTGAATAACACTGAAATATTGAAAAACGCTAGTCAAAACTCATCAAGAGCATTAATAACCGAATTTTTGCTCAGTTTGATTTCATGAGGCAAGTTGAATTAAGTTCTCTTGAATAATACTTGAATATTTGAAGTTTATAGCACTTGGTAGTTATCAAAGCATTGTGATCAAAATCATCGTTAAGAGCAGTCGATTACAAACGAAGACAGGCATTGCAGAATCACTATGAATTTGAAGCCTCGAATCACTGACATTTAGTTCGATATACAGAGGCTGATTGGGGGAATTAGACGAATAAAAGAATACCTTTTGGTTTCGGCTGGTCCTTTATGACGTATGCTAAAGTCGGGTTAAAGGCAGATGGCCTCGCAGCCTTGAATTTGCACGAGTCTGCGTTGTTACATCTTATTGAGAAGCAGGTTCTCTTCACCATGAAGGCTGCATCACAGTGGATATCTTCGCAGCATTTGTCGAAGCAGGTATCAAAATTATCCACAACACCACGCGAAGTGAAATTGCCAGCCTTCATGCCACGAGCCATTGTCACGTTGTGGTGTGCTTCACCTCGCAGGCACTTGCGCTTTGGCTTGGCGGGTTGAAGATCGGGCTTTTTAACCTCTTTTGAGATCGTTTGTACATTGATTGCATTGCTTGGAGCCTTCAATGCAGCAACTGGTGCCGAAACTTTCGGCTTTTCAGCAAACATAGGGACAATCCGTGGTGCTAGAAAATCGCAGGCATATAGATCAATATGAATCACATAACTTAATGGAACGTAACATTATGAATAAAAATTTGATGTGTTATTCATATTTGGTCCATAGAACATCAACAAGTAAGTTTTAGTTTTAAAATTAAATAGGAAATTGCGTTTCGCTTATGATTCTAACAGTTTTAATCCCAAAATTTAATGAAAAGATCTTAATTCCTTTTTGTTTATAAACTGAAACATCATTTTGTGCAATGATTTCTGTAAAAAGTTTGGAGCTCTTTGGTACTTGGTTGATTCAGAAAGCATTATCATGCAAGTTTCCGTGCTTCAAATCAAAAAGCATAAACTGAAGAGTAAGTTATTCAAAGACTAACAAGTTCTAAACATGATTGCAAAATTTCAAAACTCAGAACAAGACAGTAACATTGCTGGAAAGTCTTGCAGCTGATCTGCCTAAACAGTTCTTAAATGAAACCAGTAAAAAGAACAATAGAAAAAATACAAATCGACAAGAAATATTTTTGGCCAAAATACAGGACTCCAGAAAAATAGAAAAAAGAAAAAGAATTATACCATATAAGAAATAGTCTCAATACAGTTCGTTAGGAAATATAGACATCTGAAAAACTGAAAAACATCTTAAATAATGAGTTAGATGTTTATACTTACTTATTCCCACTCTTGTGATAAATGAAAGCATGGGATTGAGTTTCGTATTCTTAGCCTTCCTGATTTTGCACAAATTCTGGTCGTAACAGCGAACTCCATAACAGCTGCCCTCAATCATGAAAGCGATTTCGCAGGTTTCTTTGTCGCAACATCTAAAAAAAGAAATATCGCTGAATGTTACGGTAGAAGATGACAAAAAGATGTAACTTAAAACTTGATTCGCACTCTGGACTCTGTTTGCCCTGCTAATTGTTCCCCTTGATATAATATACCTTAAAGGATGCCGACAGAAAGCTAGCTATCACTATGAAGAACAACTATACTTGATTAAGTCGAAGCTCATCCTCTAAGCACATACCGTTGCAGTTGAATATAGCCTTAAAAGTGCCTGTGGACTCTAAGCATACACCGTTGCAGTTACATAGCCTTAAAAAGTTTCGAAGCTTTTTACACAAAATTGTCTTGGAAAGACTGACCTGCACATCGTGTCTTGCTCTAAATTTCCCAGTCATTAAACCAGCTTATTTGCTTACTCGAACATAGCTACAGATCTACTCATTACATGCTATCAAGCATTGCAATAAAAGATTATACAATCAGATAATCAAAAAATTTAGGTTGGAACTTTTCACTGTGACTTGGCATCTTGAGTTCCTTGTTGAGAAATATTGTGCTAATAGAGAAATTAATGGCTTAACACTTTTTAAAGTAAATCTTATAAAGTCATTTTTGACCGGGTACCTACATTCCACAATAAATACCAACTAGACCATGGTGCTCTTTTCATCCAAACCTGAGTAGCAATTGATTTATCTAGAAATCTGATGGCAACGTACCTTTCTTGGCATGCTCGCATGTCATTGGTATGTCCCAAGTCCGTGAATGTACCAGCTTTAGATCCTCCAACCAGTGTGACATTTTGGTACAAATCCGAATTGCGGCACAGGCTACTCATTGTCTTCTTTGAAGTCCTTTTCTTTTCTGCAGATGAAATTGTTAAGTATCGCAGATTATTTGCTTTGTTCAATAAAAAAGGCAATTTGAAATGGCAAAAGGCAAAATATTCAGTCAGTTTTCAAGTAACTAATATATTGGCAAAAGACATGACAGACAACGCATTGCAAAACCAAACAATTATCATAAGCATTCAGATTCTCTTTAATATCGAAGATAATTTTGGTGGCCGAAAAAAATCTTCAGATTTTGATGGCGTTTAATAACAAATGGGCGAGATTTTCAAAACAGAAAGTGTATTTGGTGTATCTAAAATTGCAATGGTTCGCGGAATGCATTAAGAAATTACCTCTTTGAAATTCTATTTTGAAACGCTCTCCTTCCCGTGATCCTGTGCTTATAAATTTCACTGTCATCTGGTTACCATGGGATTCGATTCTCCCTGGTTTTGCTCCACCGCAGTAGCTTCCAATTAATGTATCATTATCTCTGTCCCTTATTTCAAGTCTTGAAGCATTGCAGTTGTTAATGTCAAACTCTTTCACATCGATAGCAACTATCTCCCCCGGCATACCCTTAATTTCCCAAAGACATTCAACTGGTCCGTGATGCAGCGACGGGTAATCCGGTGTTATAAGCATCCCACGTTCAGCAGTCAGCACAGAGCCACAATCTACCAATAAAAATGGAGAGCAAAATTAAACAAAAGCATTAAAATGAATCTCTATACTGTGGCACTGCAAATACAAATTATGGTGAAATGTATAACAGAAATAGAAATAGTAGAGGCTTTATAAAAAAAATAAAAGGCACCAGTTTACTCAGGGTATCAGTGTTTTAAAGTTTCCTTCGAAGTCCTTTAGTTACCGCTAAATTACTGTTGTTATTTCTCCCAAGCATTGCATGACAAAACACAATTTTTATAGTAACGTTAACTACTCTACATGCTTACTAAATATGAAGATGTTGCCGAGGCTTAGTAAACTCGAAAACATAGAAGTACAAGAATTATACAGTTTGTTATTCCCTGGATCATTTCTCAAATGCCAAAAAGGAGCGAATTCAGAGCTTCGTGAGAAACAAGAGAATTCCTTTTGGCAATCCATAGATCTCACAAGAGTTTCGAAGTAAACTTAAATAACTAAAAATTAATCTTCAAACTTACAGTATTTATCAAAGTTGCATTCCCGTGATAATTCCAAAATCTTTTCACCCTGTATAGCCTCGTTATAGATTCTGAATTCATCTATGTCACCTTGAAGATCACGTGTATCTTTATGCCTGCCGAGGCCTACGCGACCACCCCAGTCTTGCGATAGCAGTCCACTTCCTTTGGTGTCTGCCACACGGCTTCCATTTACGTAGATCTTTGTTTCACCAGTTTGAGAATCGTATGACGCAACAAGATGATTCCATTCTCGCGGGCTTACGAAATTCGGTTCTATAATTTTTCAGAATATAAAAAACGATTAAATTTATAATTTGTTCATTTGAGATTGGTAATATTTCTAGTAGTTTGAATAATTAAAGTCTAATTAACGATTGGCAAATTAGACATTTGCTAATCTACGTCAACCAAAACTAAAATAAAAAATGCTAATGCAAAAAAAATAACTGAGAATGTATGTATAAAATCATTCGTTGTTTTATTTACCAAAACGTATAAAATATTTCAATATCCCATACATAGCATACAAAATCTTTAGCTTCAAGATTGTAGAATATACTTAATCATATAAATTTTATCATTTAATGTCTCGGACCCTGGTTTTGGTACCAAAGCATTAATGCCAATACTAAGTGTGTAAGGCATATTTTCCATATCATCAAAAGTGAAGTCCCACTAAAACTATAAGAAAGGATAGAATATTTTCTCAAACACATACATAGATAATTTGTATAGCATTGCATGTTGAATTACATAATAATCATACCTGTCCCTAGATCAAGCTGTGTTTTATAAAAGGCCCAGTTATCAAAACAGAATAATGAATTAGTAAACTCGGTAACAGAAAACTTCCCAAAAACTTAATAAGCGCAGATTAATAAGTTGATAAACACAAAATTAATACGATTTACAGATTTCAAAATCCTTATTACATTAAGCCGTGTCATTACTTAGGTCTGTTTTGTATCTAAAATACAGATTTCTTACTAACCTGTAATCGCGGAGAAGATCTGAGTACCATTTTCATCGCGATGGAACCATCGCACCGCACCACCGACAATTTCAAAATGATATTGCCCCAAAACATGCCTAGAGTTCGCTCCTATAGTATCAAATATCGAATGAACACCTTCGGTATTGTCCATTCTAATCCAAACGCTAATCGAGATCGCTTCCCTCGGTTTCACCCGCATATTTCTTCCATCAAGCAGAATATCAGATCCCTCGATAATCCGCGCGGCATGACGACACTTTCCGTGCGTATCGTAAACTGCCGCGCCTTTGTTGAGATAAGCATTGTTACCCATCGGTGAACTATCAAATACTATTTCATTGTCGATTTTCTCGAAGCTAAGATCGTCAATTAAATTCTGCATTGCATTTGGTATACTTGATCGACCATACAGCACTTCACCTCCTAAAAGTAAAATTAATTTATCAACAAAAATGGATGATCACTTACAGAGTTTATATTCCAGAACCTATATGATATTTTTTGCCTTCGTGCTAATTCAGGAGGTTGTCGGTTGTACGATCGTAATTTTTAAAATTTTTAATGAGAAATTATGTACACAAAATTAAAACCATTTTATCCTCGACCAATTAAGTAAAAAATAACAACAGAAACGGTTATTGTAGGCGCTTCTTCGAAATATTCGAGCCCTTATGCTGGGATTTAACGAAGATCTTCTAAGCTACTCAAACAGACATATTGAAATTAAAGAAACAAACATCTTAACGGAATGTTACAAAAAAGTAAGGTTTTCAGAAATTCAAAAAGCTCTCAAAAACAGCTGAATTGACGACATAGGTAGTAAACAATGAAAAGTAAGAAATTTATCCCAAAATGTCATAAAATATTTACTACTGCACAAATATGTTACTACTGAAATGAAAATCAGAGTAAAAAACGATCACCAGAAAATAGACCCAGCTACAAAAGATGCCAAAAAGATATCTGAATGCCTATGTAGTATACCTTGTTGATTTTGTGTATAAAACTCGACACGCGTGCAAATGGCGTTGCCCTCCCACGTCTGCGGCAGGATCCGAATGAAACGCGTTCGAATTGGAAGAATGAGCCTGTACGATGTCCAATCTTCCTGCGCAATATTTCCTTGAATAACCTGTTGGATAGATATTCGAGGTAATTGGATATACAAGTAAACGAGTAGTTGTCTTCTTAGAGTAATTAGTGATGGAATATTTCACAAGGTATAAACGTGTCACAGTGTCACATACCTTGTCTTTACCGCCTTCTTTGTAAATGGACCAATGCCTGCCATCCATTGAGAATGAAACTTTATAATGTGAGATCCAATTTCTCAAATTCTGATGGCCCTGCATCCCCACTCGGCAAACCTCCTGCACTTTTTGAAAGTCTACTTGCAAGTACTGGGTTACATTATTCAACCGGGGGTCAGCACACCAACCATTGGCTCCACCTAAAAAAATGACGAGACTCCCTTCAAGGCAGGTGAAGAGACTGGAGATAACAACAATACAAGATTTATAGGTAACATTAACCGACTGCAACTTAACACATATGAAGGCAAATCTGTGTGGAAAAACTAGAAATTGGATTCAAATCATCTAAAATCAAGCACTGGAAGAATTCTTCTCCATACCTTGCTGCATGCCAAGTCGCCCCTTTGCAGGAGCGTATTCAGGGGACAGATAGGACGATGAAGTCAATTGGTAATCTCGTACTAGGCCATTGGAGAGACCAAGTGGTTCGTTGCAACCTGTGGACGTAACGAGAAATACTACCGTTAGCCTTTCGTTGGCAATACGGCATGGCAAAATGTGTTAAACAATACAGTATGACTTTGCGCTGATGCATGCTCTGTGGCTTCTCAAAATAAAGGACACTGTATTATAGAGCAAACAGTTTGCATTATGTGACGTCAAAAAGTTACATGTCTCTATATATGATGTTTTTAATTCGCTATGGACATAAAATAGTCTTTTTCCTTAAGCACTTTAATACAATGCTGTGGTATTTAGCCGTAGAGGACTTCACAGTAAACAAAACAGTCAAACAGTCCCAGTCAAACAGTCATTTTCGGCCGAAGCTAAGGACAAGAAGTCTTTGACGTAAAGGTTTCCTTTTAGGTAGCCTATGTGTTTCAGTCTTTGCAACAAGTAAGCTAATCCAAAAATCAGTATTTTTCCAACTGAGTTATAAGCAACAATCTCACCAATAGAGAGATAATTATTAAGGTATAAACACTTGTCATCAACACATACCATTTCCCTTTTTAAACACTTTACGTCGCTGCTTTTTCAACTTATTTTTACGTTTTGCATCAAGTCGGTATTGCTCGTAAATCTTTTGTATCCCTGGTCGTTCGGTGGTATGTGTACTATTGTTCAAGACAATGACGTTGCCGTTGTCCGAAAGCTTTAACTTTGGTTTAGAAATAGGTGACAAATGTCCTGTCTGATCGGTCGGTGGGATACGACTACCGGGCGATATATGACCGACCGCAGTAGATTGAATGGTCTGGTTTCTGGTAGTTAATGCACTGGTCAAAATCTGTTGGTCTGCTGTTTTGTTCTTTGTCATTATTCTGTCTGTCGGCTCTATGTTAGAGTCTGAGGTGATTTCGTAAGTCTGATTTTTGTCAGCGAGAACAGTCTCGGTATATGAAACAGCGTCCTCGTCTGTGCTAGTCGTATGGTTTCTCTGTAAATTTGTACCTGACTGTGGAACAGTCACAGTGTTGTTTTTGATATTGCTCGGTTTTTGTGTAATAGTTGGAGGCGTCGTCGGCTTTTCTGTTTCTGTCGGTAATGTTGTCTTTGCGAAAGCAGTTGGGACATTTGACAGAATTTCACTGTTTACAGTAGCAATAGAAAGTTTGGACCATGAAGAAGTATACCCTGTGATGTCTACGTTATGGACAGAAATTGGATTTTCTGTTGCTTCGTAGTTAGTCGTCGACGTTGCTGTGTCGGATCGTTCTGTTGGGGTGGGAGTAACAGCAGATTCAAGTCGGGTTGTGAAATAAGGCACCTCTGTGAGTTGCTTGGTAGATGAAGCCGATGTAAAAACAGGAATGGCAGGTAGAACTGTAGGTTCAATTAAAGGTACTTCTGCAATTGGTCTGCTAGAAACAGCCATAGACAAACCTGATAACGCTTGAGCAAGGCTTTGGGATGGTTCTGGCAACTTCAATCTTGTGGGAAACGGTAAATCCATGTTGACTCCAGTTCCCTGCATTCCCCTCTGTGTAAAATTCCAACCTGTCGTTAATTGTCCATCTCCCGACTGAGGCTCGGTGAAAGTGTCCTTTTTCCCTCCAAAAGGAAGAATAGCATTTTGCACCGGTGCATCAATGTCATTTATCTGGACTTTCGAATTCGTTGAATAGTCATCCTTAACTGAGGATGTTTGCTCAACTGTTGAAGTAGAAGGAAATATTGTCGCTTGTGGATTTTTTGAACTACTGGATGCTGGATTGATCTGTTCTGCGCTCAAAGCTGCATACAATGAGCTTCCAGGGCTCTTAACTTCTTCACTGGTTGTTGCAGACAAAGAAATAGAGCTTGCAGCGTTTCCTGGAACTGTGACAATGGTAGGGGGCTGGTAGCTAGCAGATGATGAGAGATTCGGCGAGAGATCAGCGACAGAGGCAACTTCCTTTGAAGGCAAAACATTTGCTAATGCAGAAATATTTGCCAGCTTTTTCATGTTAGCCTTGAACGCTTCCGGTGAGTTTGGCGCATGACCTGGGTCGGTTAGATCCATCTCCATTGATGATGTAGCCGTTGCATTATTGGGGTTCCCTGATAAACTCTGTGCATTATTCGGAGACAATGGACTAACATTACTTTGATCTGATCCAATCACAACTGGTGACATGGTTGGAGACTGATCTTCAGTGCTGCCCGCAGCCAAAGGGGCAAGAGGCGCGTACTGGCCTAAGGGTATTCCAGTGGCATTTGAAACGTAATTCTTGTAGTTAGTAAGACCTGAATCTGATTGACCAACGGGAAACATCGCAAGATTCGCTTGAGGCAGTCCATCAGAAGAAGTATACTGCTTTGATAAATCAGCTGCAAAGGCCTGACCCTGCTTTGAAACTTGATACTGCGAAGGTAAGCCTGTCAGGCTATACAGCTTCGTCCTGTCCGATGAATCCTGAACGTCACCGTTGTTGCTTGCAATATATCCTGTGCTTTGACGATCGTCCGATGAAGATAAAAGTGGAATGGTGTCACGATCCGTAAGGTACGGGTTCTGTGCCCTGCTAGCTGGGAGCATGTCATTAACTATTGATACTGCGGATATGTGATGAGTGCCTTCCGGTATTTCCGTTCTACGTACAAGGCTGGCAATGGGTAATGAAAATATCCCATTGCCTTGACTATCGGCATCACCCTCCCTAAGACTAACTTGGTTGACTGATGCTAAATCATCCTGGGTCGTAAATAAAGGTTGCCTATCAATGCTGTCGTATCCAGCATACGATTGGTCGGCTGATGGTACTGTATCTCGCCTCCAGTCGGTTTCTTGTGTCGTATACGATTTGTCTGATGGAGGATACTGATACTGATAATACTGATACGGGTAGTCTCTCGTTAGTCGTCTAGAAGTACTATTTACAATTTCTTTATGAAAACGGGTCTCCGCATCTTTCTTATTCGATCCTGCCCTCCTCTTCGAATGTTTTCTATGCAGCTTTTGCTGAACTTTAGTTTTAATTACAGTCTGTTTAAGTTTACTAGGAGATTTCCTAGTACTTTTGGAAACTTTAGCAGTACTTTTTGTCGACAGTATCGACTTGTGTTTCTTTTCTACTTTAAAATGAGATTCAGAGTCACTTGTTAGCAAAGGATTTGTCTTGTTACTTGGAACAACTACTGTGGAAAATGCCAACGTCCAATTCGATGTCTTTGCGGTCGGTGTATTTGCCTCAGTCGACCTCGACAAAGGTTTTGCTGAAAGAAAAACAAAAGATTAAATTTGCAAATCAAAACTCGGTAAATGTGAGCAAACGTTATCAGAGACCCTTTACAAATGGCCAGTAGTAAAATATGATTGAAGGCCTCCTTTAATGCATCAGGAATTCTACAGGATATGAAAGCTAAATGGCGCCCATAATTCATAGTATGAAGTATGTATCTTCGTTGAAAACAGGGATGTACTAACAAACAGGCAAAATACCGCACTTGAATTAACTTTGTCATATTTCAATTTCTGTATTGGGTGCATACCAAGATTTCGATAATAAGCAACATACTATCGAATACATACAAATACTATCGAATAAAGAATAAAAATGTTTATACATATTAAAAGATAAAAAATAAACTTTTTGATGATACTTTCGAAATGCCTAGTACTCTATAGCAAAATATATTTCGATATAGCCAATAGCAAAATGTCCAGTATTTTTTTTATAAAAGCTTAATATCATTAAACAAATATTGCCTTTACTTGAACAGAAGCTTGATGTCTAAGTTTGCAAAAATAGTTTAAGAAGAAAGCGGAAACACCGCGTCTCCATACTTGCTGGTACAAACGTTTTGATTTTGCCACTTTCCCTTGGCACCCTTTAGAGTTTACAGTACCTCAAGTATATATGACAAACTAATGGATAATGTAAAAGATACCAGGATTATATAATGGTGAAATTAATATGCTCTAATTTTTCTTGTTTAAGGTATTTGAAGTCTTGCTATATGTATTAGAAGTGTTTGCTATTATTAAATAAAAGTTAATGGAGGTATGTGCCTGATGCGATTCAAAGGTATTATTTCGAGGATCTAATGACAAAGGACAAGGACAGCTTCTATTGCATAATTTTGCATTTCACTTTAGCGTTTGCTAATAGAAGAACTTTGCTTCGATTCCTATCGACAATAGTACATATTCTACGAAATAGAAAAAAATGTTGAGAATATAAAAAGTATAAGGATAATATAATAAACAAAGTAGAAATGCCAAAAACTATTTAGCTAGGCATATCTCATACCTTTGCTTTGGTTTTTCTTGCTAATAACTTTCTTTGCATGCTTAGATTTTGCCTTGCTGCCCCTAGAAAGGCCTACAATCTTCTGCTTCGATTTAACATCTTCACTTATTTGGCAGGTATTCTTCTTGCAATGAAGTGCATGGCACTTTCCATCCTCAAGAACTGCGTAATTTGCATCGCTTGTTTTGCAAGACAAGGCAATACAGTCTTTGAGCGACTTGGCAGGGCCTAGCAAGTGCTTTGCTTTGCTGTCCTTTACAGTCAAAGTGACTCCTTGTCGAACACTGCCGAGTTGGTGGCATCTCTGTTGCTCTGCCAGCACTAAATTTAAAATAAATAATCAGCCGTTAATGTAATTTGAAAGCACACTTTTCATATGAAACTTAGAACACAAAAAGCTACAAAAAATTTTTAACATTGACACCCCGAGCAATTAAAAATTCTGGTTCAGAAGAGCGGGGAAAATATGTTGTTTTTAAATCTTTTCCGCACATACCATCCTATTAATGACGCCCAAGGTTAAAGGCAATCTGTCTCGTTGTGGATTGGTTAACGAGAAAAATAGCTGGAATAATAGCCTAAACACGATTCCAGCGCTCCGCTATATTTTTTACAATGCGATAAATTAAAAGGTGGTTGGAAACAATAGAAATCCCTTTGTTCTTATAATGAATCAACGTCGTGACAGATTGCCTTTAAACCGCTGAGCATAATGGTCTCTTTTTCTCCCATTCGGTGGTGCTGATGTGAGTCTGTGTTTGTCAATGATTTTTTTATTCATATCACAGTGATGGTTCAAACATGATTAGCAAAAATCATTGAGTACCAGCAAAAACAATACCATTATCCAAAAGGGCCTGGATCAAAACATTATCCAGGGTGGCAAATGAGCTAAAGAAACTATGTTGAAATGAGATTAGGACTGAAACATTCCCTGAGCGAAAGGGTCGACCCATGAGCTGAACATGTCCTTTTATCTAATGGAATGTGAAGTACCAAACAAGTTTGTAGTTTAACCGCCCAGCAGAATCAGTTCACAATGTTGAAAATGGGGAGAAGCAAATCGCAATCAGTGACCCATGTTGCCATTGCCTGTAAACATATCCACTGGCCTTGTACCATGGTCTCTATCGTAGCACTTGACAACCAACACTCAAATATCTTAAACACTTGAGAAATATGCTAAAATCTCCCCGTTAAATTCCACTACCAGTATGTTTGTTACCTCACGCATGTTTTTTTTAAAACAATTATGTGTTTTGGTAGCTCTGGGGATTTTATTAAACATAAAAGAAGTTGATTTTAATGGAAAAAAACCTTTTGGCGAAACAAAGAGTAAAATACCATTTTCTTCAATAAACTGAAGTAAACAAGACTTCCCCCCTCCTAGTTCCCAATCACGGTCAAATTCCTTATAAAATTTTCATCTTTATGTCGTTATAAAATTTTGCAAAATGAGGCCGTAAGTCGACTGTAAGCCGTAAATCATATTAAAGGGTTGATTTCAAAGAGGCATCCTCCATGAAATGGTCCGCGTTATCCCCAAAATTACTTCTCATAGGCATAACTAGCTGTTAGTATCATTTTTGGAAAGAATCAAGGTTTACGAGAAAACACCTGCTCGTTCCTTTGATTAAAAGTTTTAACTTGCTTAAAAAGACTGTTGTTTCACCTATAAATCTGGATCTAGAAGTCATGTCTTGGAGTGAGCAATCTCTTAGCGGCGGGAGGGGGTGGAGAGGGGAGAGGGTGGAGAGGGGTGGGGGGTTGGCTGGAGCTGGATCACACGCACAAAAAGCAACACTCTGTGATACTTATAAGCAATAACGCAAAATCTCCCGATTTCTAATTTTTTCTTCGTAAGTTTTTTCAACTTGGAAAGTATTTTCGTATTCGAGTTAATTTTGGACCGATTAATTTTTTCATGGAATACCCTTTCTCTTTCTGTGATGTTTCCCAGTGCACTTTTTGACGGAAGTTGAGGTGAATTATCTTTCTAATATTTTTCAAAGTAGCAATAATTATCTGTTAGCAGATGTATTGTTTGTTAGAAAACATGGCGCAAAGTTAAATGGCGAGAAAACTTGGCGAGAAAACGCAAGCAACATTCTCCACTATTTTATCACGCGGGAAGGCAGGGGTGCCCGGGGAGATACTGCGCATCGCACCATTTGAGCTGCTACGCGCAACGGTTGCTCAAGATCAGTATTGACGGGGATGCAAAAGATAGTGAGCCAGTGATTATTCATGGGCACCTCCACGCTTCAGGGATCACAAATGAATCTGCTGCAAGTGATTACCATTTACTAAAAGCGAAAGCAACAATACCTGGTGTATGCTAATCGTAGGTCAAGGTCTAGTACCATGAATTAAAAATTCATCTAAGGTTATCTTGGTGGTACTTCATGCATTTGGTAATATGTTCTGCTGTATCGACATTGGACGTTATCTTTCATGACCAAATGGCATACTGATACAAATTTAGAAAATGCACATGCGCAGTTTGGAGGGATTTCCAGTGCAGCTTTTCTATTCTTCAATATAAATCTTTTCAAAAAAGTTACCTCAAATGCCAGTGAAACGGCATCTTTTTGCATATTTTTTACTAAAAACAATGGTATTTGTAAGTGAAATATTTACCTAATTTTTCGAAGAGTGGAGGGGGGGGGTGCAGTCTTGGCACAATTACTCAGAGATATTTGCTGTCAAGGTATTAGCATTTTGTAGAAAATAAAGTACAAAAAGAAACCTTTTCGCGATTGTATTCAAACGTTTTCGCCAGATTTGGAAGGAAGAGAAGCCTTTTGATTATCATATTTCTGATTACTTAGTATTTTGGGATTTTGAAAGAAATTGACCTTTGGGAAAGCTCTTAGTGGATACGTAGTTAATACCTAGAAAAATAGATAAACGAATCCTAAAAGATTAAGATCTTCAAAATCATTGCTGAGAATCTGAGCTTATCGTATAAAAAGGGACAGTTTGAACTGTATACCGTCGTTATGACTTGACAAAAGATTTATAGAAGTGTTACTGAATGAAAATCTACTAGTCTAATGAAAATCAATTAAACATGTTGATAAAGGCCAAAAAGAAAGTTGATCCAATATTTTTTATGTTCATCACTTAATGCGTTCCTTTATAATTCTTTTTGCCATTTCAAACTTAAGAATATATAGATATGGATGAAGCACTATAAACGAAATACACCTTCAGCTGATCATTGCTGCAAGAGCAATCTAGCATAGTTAATCGAAGGGTGAAGTTAAACAGTGTGCTGGCTAGAAAGGGATGAATAAAGCATTACGGTGCAGGGGCATGCCAAACACTTGGCGAGAATGGTATGCTACAATGCCATACCTCTGCCTCCTTGCAAAATGCATGCTGGAACTTTAGGGGGCATCAATATGTTTACTTATAATGTTATATATCATATGGTTGGGGCTTTGTGAACGGATTATCAATTATTATTATCATTAAAAAGCCTTGTTCTAATTAGGTACAACCACACCTTAAAACTTTTACTTTTCATTATATGTTTACAATTTGTATTTCTGAAACTCAGTATTAGCGTCCTGACGACTTTGCATACCCCCCTTGAAATCTGCGAAGCATTTAGTGCCAACTGGAAGGCGGTGACCATAGTCATGTTGAATAAGGGACTTTAAAAATTTCAATAAGGGACTTTGAATAAAAACCTTTTTGCTTCAACGAATTGAAAAGGCTCCACTTCCTACATTCAGACAAAGAAATTCACAGCTATGAAATTCTTTATAGAATGTATTAGCTTTCATGTCGGTTCAATGCTCATGTTTTTCAATGCGCATTCTTTCTTCCTTCCCTCTTGTGTATCAATAGAATCAGGGTGGTAGAGGGAGCAAAAACAACGAAAATACGAGGGCAAGAAGCACACTTTAAATGATCAAAAGTGGATTTGAACAACTGATCTATGCAAATGTTTAAAAAACTATCGGGAATATCAACTTCCCGTTTAAGTCCGCCGTGGCATTATTTCAGTGGTTCTGGTGCCCAATTCTTTGTAGTCAAAAATCAAATTTTAGAACCTTGAGGAGAATTAACAACTTTCAATATAGGACCTTTTTTAGCATTGAGGGTATATGCCAGACATCCATATACTCAGACAGTCATGTATTCAGACAGTCATTTTACAAAACGTCTGCTAATTTTTCGTTGCATGTTCATGGGCTGTTTGCACACGGGTACACAAGCCAGATTCGAGTAAGTTCGATTTCCGATGACTGGAGTGATTTTTCTCGCCTGGGTGACAGACTTTACTCATTGTCTTCGACCACTGAAGCTAGTGAGAGAATTCGCCAAGCTGGGTGTATGAAATGGAGTAAACTCGCTCGTTATGAATTAACTCATACGTGGATGATCTTATAGCCAGGAAGAATTGCCCGCTTTTTAAAGAAAAAGCAAACAGCCAATTCCAAATACCTCAGCAGTTGAACAAAATTAAAACTGGCATTCTCAGAGAATACACTAACAAAATTTAGCTGTAAACAATTGCAAATTTAGTTTTGCAAGCACTTGCAAGCGAAATCAAAAACAGCTTATCAATGAAACCAAACCCTGTACCGAGCCAATAAACATGAGGCTACTGAAATTTGATTGCATGTTGAGAGCTGCATCCTTTTGCAAATCTAAAACTCCGATTGGCAAGATGAATTTCGTTTCATTTGGAATTTTTCGATATTGCAAAACCTTAGCAAAGAGTCTGATGCAGTCATATCAAGGTGAATTTTGTACATTGTATGGCCTTATAAAAATGCCATCAAAGATCGATTTAAAAACGACTCCTAGAGATCTGATAGTACTTGAAATATTTGATAACAGGAGCTCTTTAGTGGAAGAAAATCTGGGAAATTTTTTTAGACACATTTCAAACAGAAAACTATTGGGTATAGTGATATTGTGAAAATATTATTCAAATATCATAATAAGGACCAAAAACATTTTGCAGGATATGAGCTGAGGGACTGAACAATGAATCACATATTTACTTTTTTTTGTTTCTAAGAGAATTTTCTAAAAAAGAAAGGGTTCCCACTGGCTTTGTTCAGTAAGAGCGATATGATAGACAATCACGTCGTTTTAGATGTAACCGTACAGAAACACCGCATGGGGAAAGTTGATAAAACCTTGGGGTAGGCCAGTCAGGTCTTGACTCTCCACCATAAAACCTCCATCTTTGATGACGGCGCTGTTGGCGTAGAAATGAATATGCAAAAATCTGAAAAAATTTGCAGAACTACATACCTCCAGTGTGCAAAAAGTTCACGATCAAAACTGCAATCAGCAATGCGACTAGCGGAGGAGTGAATCCGTGCGAGAATATATGTCTTTGCAACATGAGGAAGCCAATAGATTAATAATATCACATGGCCAGATCTTCTTTATTGGTTAGTCGAAAATTTCGAATATCAATACATAGGGTTAAGGCGATCTGTGACGCCTTGGTCGTTTTAGGCGTCCACAGATTTGCAAGAAGATTGTTCCAAAATGCATACAAACTGCATGAGCAATCAGAGATTGGTTATCCGCTGTGATCGCTGGTCTTGCTTAGCTTTCTATTGTTACCAAAGACTACCCAAAATCAATCTAACTGAGCCGAATCACTCTGTTGTTTCGCATCGCTACACCGAGAGTGATATCAGATCTGAGCTATGCTGGTTTTCGCCCTTTCAAGTTAAGTAATTAGGTACAGGGCACTGTAGGTCGCTGCTAAATCACGGGCCCAGAACCCAGTCACCCGTGTGATAGCGCAGTCAAAGCTATACGCTACGGTTACGCGGTTTTGATACGGGTTGATAGGCCTTGATTCATGCAATGCATTCATTCCTTGATTTGTATGCGACTCTTGAGTGCACAAGTTCTGACCCTCTCTACGCGACATTGCGACATTCGCGATCTAATTTGGCTGCTCCCTTAATGAGAAAAAAACTAATTTGGAAACATTTGAATTATCTTTCAAAATCCCATTCAACCACTACTGCCAGTTATATTGATACCTGTTATTGCCTTACAATTTTCAGAGATAAAAAATCCAAACAACCAAACAAAAACAACATTTTCTTTCTTCTAATCTCGCGGTAATCTTCTTCAGCATTATACGCCTACTTGCCACAACATAATTGCTATGAAGAAAAGAGGCCAAGGAACTCACGCAAGAAAACTTCGGCATTTTGTGGGTCGTATACTATACAAACTTAGCAGTTGTATACGGGACTTCTTTGTCATAGTGGTTGGCGCTCGAATAAGCGCACTCTTCTTTACTCAATGTTTCAAAATTTTGACAGATTCCGGGTCTTTTGAGGACAATAGACTTTTCAATTCTTTTCTCAATATGCAGCCAAAGTTATGATTCTTATCAAATCTCTTTAAAAATGAAAACATTCTAGAGCCAAATTTTAATTCTATAATTCAGGTTATTAGAACTTATAAAAATTTAAAGGTGGGAGGCAGCAACTTGACTCCCCTTCCTATATATTACATTTGCCATTTAAAATTCAAATCCTTCATTAATCTCTTTGGAATTGGAACTTGTACACGTATTCCTTCCGCATGTACATCGTTGAATATGCTTCTTTCCTTTTGCAGTGGGCAGTCTTCTTCGAGCTCATCACCTTCACCGCCTATCCCAAAACAAACCTCATCGTATGACCAGTTTTGGAATCAATGGCAGCGCCAGCCACTAAGCTCTGGGGGGGGGGGAGAGGGAAGGGTGCAGAACAAACAATTTTAGACCACGCCTCCTAAACCATCAGAAAACGCCTTTTTACCAACAGGAAACCCCAATTTTATCCAAAGGGAATGCCTATGACTAACTTGTGTTTGAAAATTGGCAGTTTGAAAATCATAGGATTACATCACAGAAAGTACGCTGTCAAAATGTTACCCCTCCCCCAATATTTTCTCATCAGATTTAGAAGAAATACAAACTCGATCCTGTCGAGAACTGGGGGGACGTGTCCCCCCAGTCCCCCCAGTGGCGCCGCTACTGTTTGGAATTCTTTTGAATGACCTTGTCTCCCTCTACAATTTTCTGTTAACTGCCTTTATCTCTCAAGACAAGACGTTCTAGCACCATCAATGTCATTAATGTTGGTCAATATAAGAAGGTCTGGGCAAAATTTGCTAACTCGGTCAACCTAGTTAATCTAATCGTACTCTTTATTGGAACAAAAGTTTACTCCATTTATGCAATTAATAGGATTGGTCCTACCCCTTTCCATCTTCCCGTACTTCTCCGAAGGTACAAAAATGTCTTTCTGGAGAGAAACACATTAAAAAAACTAGCCAGAACACAGCTAGGACCAAGAGAAATAGAAAACGGGAACCAGGAGTGGTAAAGAGCCGTCTCATATTAATATCTCAGAAGCAATATTTTTTACTTACTTGCCACTAACAAGAAAGAGGTTCTATTCCATTCCTTTCTCCGTTCTGCTTTCCTCTTAGCAAGCCTGAATATAATGTTTGCTTTGCTTCCAACTCAAGAATGGCATAAGAATGAAATAAAACCATGTTCAGAGTATATTACATGCTCTTCAAAGACACGAATCTAAGTCATATTCCAAGCGCTAAATTTTACATGATAATAAAAAAGTTCTATTTGGCTACCTTTAAAGAAGGCGACTTTTGTAAACCAACCAATCATTACCTCCAATAACTCAAATGATAGGGTTGAATGAAGTTTAGACTGGCAAAAATTTCATTTACAAATGACTACAAATCTAAAGTGGATAAATTGACGCTTTCTGGATATTTGCTACAGACGTAAAATTTCAAATAGTGTGATATCTATAAGGGTTAAAAGCGTCATAGACTCTGTTGTCAGTGAAAAAACCACGACATAGTTTGCTTGCAATAGCACGAAGCTTTGATTATAACAAGAAATTGATTGGAGGTATAAACAAAATGAATCACACTGCGGCACCATTGTTATCTTGCATGCAAGATCTTGAAAGCTGGAACCCTGAAATTTGTTTGTAGTTCGGGAAGAGCATTTTAAATTGGGATTCATGTATCATTGTTCACCTGCTCATTCGATATAATTGCAATCTGATAAGCTGCTTTGCTCAAGCCTGCACAGCTTTTGGAATTTGAATAACACTGCTAAGCGTTTCTACCTAGTACTATCTATTAATAATCTTCAGCTTTTTAATATTTCTAGGGCTTTTTCATTTTGTTTTGAACAAAAAACTTAGACGATTTATTAGACAACAGGCTAACGTAGAAACTACATGACGCAATGTCAACTGACATCGATCCCTATAACCAATTTTACATTAATCCTCGGCTCTCTATTACCGTAGAAAAGGTAATATCAAAGTATATTGGTTGGAAGACAGTTAAGTTAAAAACGCTTGGCGAATCTGTTAGGCCCTTGTGATGATGAAAATCATCAACTGTGTATAGGTACACGTGGGCTATGCATCGATCTTATTGGGTCAATGATACTACGAATACACTAATTAATATTATTAGTATTGAATCGCTAGCGAAAACCCTTAATAAAAACCTGTACCCATCTATCTATTACTGGTTATACGCGCAATACAGATGACATGAACAAACCATTCGGTACAAGTATGGATCTGCCATTGCACATGGATATTGCAAGGGTCTTTTGTTTCAACCGGCCATTTGAAAATTATATTTCAGCCTCTATCCAGAAACATACGGGGAGCCATAACAATTAAACCCAGGTACAGTTACTACATAAACCAACAGACGTAGGGAAAAAGGAATAATCTAGACGTAACATATTTCTACACTAGCAAAGTCAATAACATTAATATAGTTTGCTACTATTACTATTCGTAATACTAAAATATGATAACCCGTAATACTAAAATATTATAACCAAGTATAGGAATGTAATAGGAGAAAGCTCCTAATATTTTTCTCACATTGTAAGTCATTGTTAGTTTCATCTTTCAAATAAAACGGATGGTTGGCAATAGATGCTTGTGTTAGCCAAAATAAGGATAAAAATGTCAAGTGTGATAATGATAAGAGACATCAATGATGATTTTAATCATAAATGAATCACGATATAATTAAACATCTAAAACTGGAAGCATTGGCATCAGAAGTATAAAAGAATAAAACACAACACGTCGAGAGGTGTACCTTGCTCGCCAGCTCTATAAGGCCCTACAAAATGCTGGTATCTTTATCTAGCTAGCTCATTGCAATCTTTGCAAGTTTCGCTATCTTTACGTTTAATTTGACAATGAGATATTCTTATCATTGCTATCTTCCTTGAGAATATTACAAGTCTAGTAGCCTTATCCAAGTTTTGATTAAAGCGTCTATAATGAGGTTCCTTCCTAGTACGACTCCCGAAATCATAGAGCAAGCTTTTTGTAAAAGATATTTCAAACAAAGAAACATCAAAGCTAAGAAAGTGATTTTCACCCTATTGATGAGGAAAAATTGGAAATCAAAGAGCAATATTCCTGATAAAGATACATCTCCTGTGTTTCCTTGATTTGATTAACCAAGTGTATAACGATTCAATGAAAAGAGCTGATTCCCAGGGCATGGTTTTCATTGAACCCCGCACCGGAGCAAAGTTTACCAAATCACTGGTTTGAATCATTGAAGATCGTTGGTTTGGTTAACACGATTTGTTTATCATATTATTTAACCGTAGCTTTCAGCTATTCGCCAGGAAATTAAGTTGCAATTCGCTAATAAGCATCAAATGGACAGCGTTAGAATCCAGATTATCAACATGAAAAATTCGAATATATGAAGAGCTGTATGAAAGTGGAAATCTGAAGCTACTTTAAAGGAAGTAGTAGCCATTCTTTGAAATTTCATTGATTAAATATTGAAATAAATGTAGTATCTAACCACAAAGTGACAGTACAACTTTGAATTTCAATTTTCAATACGGTTGCCTACCAGGCAACAACATTCATGAATATTTTGTAAATGATAGATTTGTTTTGCTTCTATTTACCTTTCTAGCCAACATCGACGAACTAACCTCGGATATTATTTTTCATTTAGAAATGCACTTGACATGAAACTTTCAAATATTTACATGCTATCTTGAATCATTTACAATTATCTAAAATATTACTCTTTTTATTGGTTCAATTAACTAACAATGGGTCAACAGAGAAAGTAGAATGCTTCGAACACAAGCAGATGGAAATTCTGGAAATTTTCACAACAATGACAATTCCGATTGGGTCTTTACATTTTTTCAAAGAAAACTGTCTCAAAAGAAGAAATTGTTGAGAAATATGAAATCGAAAGTATAAAGAATATTATAGTTTTCTGCATCATTCCAACTTATCCGAATCTTTTCATTTAATTTTTAAGCATTTCTGTTAGAAATGTTGTAGAAACTACACTCTTTCGCATCAAGCTTAAATTTGGTTGTTGAAAATAACCAAATTTTCTATGAAATTATTACATTTTATTAAGGAGAAAATAAATAAAAAAGTACAGAAGTTTTTCTTAAATAATTTATTGTACTGTAATGTATCATACCTTTTACTGATAAATCACACAATATTGCATTTAATTTTTTGCTATTTTTTTTATTCTTCGAATTATTTGATTACATTATTGACCATTGAAATAAATTTGCTATCCTGCAAACATTTTATTTCATTTACAGTTTTCTCTTGTCATAATTATTTGACTGATTGCTGCTCCCTTTTTTGAGTACAGCCATCAAATGCCTGTTACATTTGAAATATACAATATGGTATTTGCCTTAGAGAAACATTGCAATTCTCTAGATTTTGGAATCAAAGGTATTAAAAAAATTGCTAGTAATTTTTTTTCTCTATTGCATGTTAACTATAAAACATGAATTAAAAATCATAATGCATGGACCTAAGAGTCAATTCTAGTCTCTGTTACAGAAAGGAAGTGTCCATTTATTGGTACCGGATCAAAATCAAATTTTACCCATTAGGATCAAGGGGAGTGCCTAGGTCCAATCTATTGAATAGTGGGTGAGCCGGTCTTAAATTGCTAAGGAGATTGAAAATTTGCTTACAAAGTATTCCTAAAAAGCAAAACATTTTATTTCCAGGTCACACCACCTTGGAACATCTCTCTTGATAAAGCTGTGCAAGTAATGTTTTTTAACAAGGGCAACCTCAATTATGTAATGCAACAAAAATTGCATTCCAAAGATTGCATTTCTATAAACTTTTGTGTTGGTATTGAACTATAATATAAGTTTAAATCTTCTCACATCATATGATTATGAAAACTAGAGCCCAGTTATACAAAATGACAAAAATTACCTTGCTGTCTGGAAAGCTTCTGAAACCAACATCCATGCTATCCTGTCTTGAAATTTCTAGTGGAGAATCGATTTCAATAAGGATTTTACAAAGACAGAAATTGATAAAATTTCAGAAAAAATTACTTTAATTGCACTTCAAACATAAGCAAACAAGCAAATACAATGAAACATGACATTAAAGGAGACTATGACAATTTAGGTCTAGAGATTGACATTCTATTTCCATATTCAGATAAATCTCCCCAACCCTCAGGTAAAAAAAACCTTTCTCAGATACTTATTATACTAAGATACCCTCAGAAATGGTTTAGCAATAATTTTTTTGATAATTGTTTGTTCCCAATTTTAAGACAGACTTAAAGTGTGAATGCTAAAATAGATTACAGCTTTAATTTACTTTGTTCCGTGGTTAGCTAAGTCATTGAGATTTAAATTCAATCGATATAATTTCATTTTTAATTGCATCAGGCCAGAAATAGCAACAAATACCAAACATTAATTTAGACTGGTTTGTTAAACGATTATATAACCCTGCCAAACAGCCATTTTTGTTCAAGACCAATAATCAGACATGCATAAATATTTTACCATTTGGAAGCACAGGTGAAATGTAATCTGAAATTCTATGAAGCAGGCCCACAGACAAATTCTCCTCAAAATACATACAAAGAAGCAGAATTTCTGAAATTTTCTGACAAATTTTGAGCTTTGGGGGGGGGGGAAGGGGGCTGTGTCTCCCAAACATCCAAAGGCATTGTAAATCTTTTTTCTATCAAAATCTGTTACCAACCAAAATTTTCATTTACTATGGAAAATCTTAGTAAAGTTCAAGGAAGATTCATTGATCTGTAAAAGTCAACGTTTTATATATATTTGATTTTGTTAGCTCTTTTTCTTAGTAAATGCTGAAGGTAAGTGCCATGCGGTAGAGGCTTCAATTGGGTGCTAAAAATAGCACTTATAAGAGACACTATCAATCTTGAAGTAAGCCACAGCCATTATACTCTTTTTATAATTTCTCCAGACCTACCAAGTGCTAATTTTGATCCCCCTCCCTGCCTCCCCCATTTATCAATGTTTTAGATTTTGTATTTTGTAGAAGCAAACAAGTTGCACCACCAGTAGATTTTAATATTCACTATCAAACAGTACGAGAAACCTTCTTGAGAAAATTGATCTGTTATTGGTTATCAATTATTTCATATTGTATTCTTGAAGCACTATTAATGGTTTGTAAATTCTAGTAGCCTTATCCAACATATATTTTTGCCTTTCAATTTATATTTTTTGAAATGGATTTCCTAAATGCCATTTGTTACCATCCCCCTTTATCATAGGCATAGGGAAGGCTAAACTTTTAAGGGGGGGGGGACTTAGCTTCCTGCCTTAATAATTTTGCTTCATTGAGATAAAGTTGCCAGATATTCAATACATTTTGCTTGATTGAGAGGGCTGCAGCTCCCAGCCCCTATGTATCCTCTGCTTATGCCATTTATCTATGGACATGACACAATAAAGAGGGTACTTCAAGCAAGCAACAAAGACAAGTTTGGTTAATTTCTTCTTCTGAAAGGAAAACGGTATCACAACCCTTGGAAACCGACAACAGTCATTGAATATTCAAGCCTCCAGTAAGAGTAAGTACTGCCCTTTACAACCATTGACAATTTTTTGCTCTATTATTCTAATTGTGGTGATTGTAAATGGGAATTAATTGTAGAGTATTGGTAAAATGTTGCATTGAAAATGGATTGATGAAGATGGAAATAGATTGGACAATAAAACTTTTAAAATCAATGGTGGAGTCCATCCTCTTACCTGAGTAAATTCTCAATATATCTATTCTTTATAAGAAACCTTGCAAAGTATGTGAACGAGTTTCTTAGCCAGTTCCGTAACCCAAAAACCCGATTTCACTTAATCTACCATCCCCATTCAATAAAGCTTCAATCAACATTTCTTGAGTACACAGGTAATCCACAAGATATTTTGCAGAAACACAAACTTTTTCTTGAAACTAACAAAACTTAACAATCAAAAGAGAAATGTTTATTTTGTGTGCCAAATTAAAATGTTTATAAAGTGTAATCATATTACTACAAATAAACTAAAAGGTGCGTGCAAGCTACACAAATCAAAATAAACAATGCAAGTTCGATAACAAAACATCACGAAATTTTCTAATCTTTTTTAAAAACCAGAGATTAAAACAGATTTTGTTTGGCTTTGAAAATTTGAATCTAATCTGGAAGAAGAGTTTTGAAAATTCGAGACAGAAGGTATAGAGGAAGGTGCCTATCATATCAGTGTGGTTGGGGAAAAGTGGTGTAGCGAGGCCTAAATAAATGGTTGAGCTGGTAAATTACCCGCTACTTGATTAACCAAACCTAAAACTGACAATTGGAGAAAATTTATCGATAAATTTTTATTAACAGTAATAAATGACACAATACAGAAAATATACCGTCATATATACTTGCTTGATCGTCACGCCATTTTCAGCCATTTGTTTTCCTTTCGAACGTTTGGCGGGTTACCAGCCTCGATCCAATATAAACCTCTAGCGCTTCCATTAATCTACAAGCGCCGTGGGCGCTAAATGTCTAACTCGGGTCAAGCCGCGTACTTTCAAGTGAGTCAAACTTTTATTCCTTCTGCTCAGGGACGAAAACAAGTGGCTAATTTTGGAGGGGCGTGGAAGGATGAAAATTCCAACTTTATTTGTGAAATTTTTCATTCCACCTGCGAATCTACTGTACCTACCAAATAGATATTTGGAAATAGCCCTTACTCCGTATTGCTAGTTTCTTTATAATCACTGACATTTTATTCAAAATAATTAGCGTAAGGCATAAAAACCTGAATCTTTAAATTTGGATTAACATGACACAAGCATTTAAACTTACTGTAAGAAGTCTTTTTCTGATTTGCCCATTTTAAAGCTTTTTGATGCAGATCGATTTTATCTAAAATATATTTTTCACGATATAGAAGCATCCAGGAATTTAGCCCCTTATCTTTTTCTTCTTGATCGAAGGAAACTATTAGCAATTTTCAGAGGGCCAAATGTCTTTTCGTTCTTTACAATCAAAATTATGATTTGCGAGCAAGTGCATATGCCCGATTCGTAAAATAAAACACCCTTCTTTGATCAAATACCTCTGCTGCAGCTTTTGCAATGTTTTCTTGATTCTCAGAAGCTTTGTCGTAGCAATTTATGTTAATGAATAAAGGACATTTACGAACAGCAGGGGAAGCGCTGAGAATTTTTAGTATTGAGCAGTTTTCCATTTTTTATTGGATCAACTACTCGCAATTCTCTTAAAAAAAACTCCCACTTTAATGTTTTCTGATCAATATAGCTATTATTATTCCAAACTGTAAAGTTTCAAGTTTCTTATTCGAAAATCCATTTTGCGTGTTCTTAATTTTGTTAACCTCAACTCCCGTCAGAAAGGAAGCAAACGGCGCAATTGTGCAATTTGGATCCAGTGGAGACGGGGCTTCACAATAGAAAACGATTAGTGGATGGGTCCGCTCCAGCCTGTGAATTTTAACAAGGTTTAAACTTTTTACATTTAAAATCCCACAATTCTTAAAATATGAAATTCCGAAGTTTGGTCTTGAGAAAAAATCCAAGTCAATCGTTAAGTTTTCCAACGGTAACTGATTTTTCCAAACTTTGGGGGGGGGGGGCGTTACGCCCGCCACGCCCCCTATTATTTACGTGCCTGCTTCTGCTATTTTGAAAAATGGCAAAATTTGAAAAAGCAATAAGCTACCTTGAACATGCTTGTGCTTTTAAAGACTCATTGCTAACAATGGGCCTTTGCGAGCGTGGCGACGTTCCAAACAATGGCAGTAAACTGTCTTCAATGGCAGTAAATTGATTTCAGACTGTCTAAAAATGCATTATGGGATGCTTGCGTAGCGCAATGGCTCATTGTTAGCAATGAGTCTTTAAGGATGGCAGTCTCTATCTATTTCTAAGGCAGGGTCCCTTTAAAATGTATTGCAAACTAAATATTCAATTCAAAAAAAAAATTTCGATATTGAAATGATGCATAAAACAGCATAATGTTCTAAAAATTTCACTGTTGTGTAAGATCACACAAATATGTTTTATGTTTTGTACGCTGTAATAAAAAGACAACATAAGGGATTTGCGTTTCACTCTGAGGGATAAAGGATTTTCAATAATATATAGTACTCTTTAGGACGGAATTTGGCTTGAAAATTCCTTGCAATCATTTCAGTTAACTAAAAGGATATTTGTGTTGTTGTACAAAAACTCTAATAGTGATCGAAAATTGCATTGACTAGCAGAACTGATTAGGTACACTTCACAATAACGCTCGCATTTTCTATTGACCCATTTCAATCCACAAGTGGGTATATATAGATATATTACCTAACCTGGAACTTTCAATCAATATTCTGATGTTTTCAACTCTTGGCGAAAAGCTTAAGTATGTTTTAAATTTTGGCTGTTTCAAAGCCATTGCTGAAGTTTGTACCACCTAAAAATGTTTAAGCAAGCCCAGACAAAACTAAATACATTTTGTCGTTCAAGAATATATAGTTTTTAACAACTTTTAGCAAAAGAGGGCTTTAAAAATTCTCAGTAGCGCACACTGGACCACTATTGCGTAATTTGCTGAAACAAATCAAATCAAGATAAAACTGCATGAACCTAATGTTTGAAAATAACAGCGAAGCCTTTCAAATTGAGTTTAATTCAGCAAATATGAGTGTGTTGCTTTTCTGTCTGGGTGACTGTTACTTAGCAAATAAGATTTACGGAAAAAAGTTGGAAAGAAGAAATACTATTACCAGCTAACTGAGAACAGGCGGAAAGGGGCCAATAGCTGTAGCCCCTAAAGGGGCCTGATTGTTTTTTCTAATGCTATAGAAAACGACATAAGCTTGATAGTATGAACGAGTTCTAAAAACTTTCAATAGGTTTTTTTACCATCTCAATTTATGTTACAACAAGTGATATTGAATTGGCGACTTTTTACCTTCATCTTAGCTCCAAGCCACTACAACATCGAAAGTGAAACATCGGACCCATTTCGTTTCGGCCCAAGTCTGGACGAAAAGGCAGTTTTTTGAAGACACATAGAAAAGTTCTTTACTACACATAAAACAAACATTTACCTGAAGTATACCAAAGCTGCCTCTCTCTTATTGGGCATCATCAAAGGGCACTGTTTGAAGCTGCGACAAATAAAAACAAAATCCCATTTCTCTCATCTATTTCTTCATCTCTTCAACTGAACCACCTTGCTATTTTTATCACTCCGCTTTGATTGAAGCTAGAAAAGTTCTCTGCTTCAAAACTGTGTCTGATAATTTTTAACTTCCTGTTTGGAAAGACGAAGCTGCTGGCGGTAAGTATTCTCTGCTCTAACATTGCACGTGGTTTGATTTCTGATAATTGCATAAAAGAGACCATTTCTATAAGCATAGTTATCATGCACGTGCAACCAATAATATCGCGCAAAGTATGGCAGTTTTATTGGTAGCCCATTTTCACGAGATTTAACACTTCAGTGTGGCTAAGAAGCTCTCGTGCTTACATAAACACCCAATTTTGGCTGTATAGTAAATTAACCTTTCCTAAACTGTCTAATTAACTGGCATTTTTGATTAAAGAAAACAAAGAAAATGTCATTGGGTCAGGTTGAATCATAAATTAGCTATTCATAAAACCCACCTGGCCATGCCCAACACAATAGCTTTTCGTATGAAAGGCCTTGAGCAATTAGCTTGAAACAGCAAACAAGCCATTCAGTAATTGACTAGGGCACAACAATGGTGACCTTCACAACCTGCTCTGTACCAACACCTGCTTTGCATCAGACATGTTTTAGGTAAATTGCAAATCACAAACATAGTTTGCCAAATTAGCAACAGTAGCATTTCTTAATGGTATTTATAAGTAAGTTCTCCTTGCGGATTTTATAAGACGTCCTTTTTACAGCTCTATTTGCTGGATCGTTTAAGGGTTGTCATCGATGGGATACAACTATGGTTAGGTCTTGTTGCATTTCCAGATCATTCAAAGCTTGTCTTTGGGCATTGTGTATTCAAAATGTATACTTCCCTAGCATTGACAAAGACTTTCGCTTAATACATCCAGGCAAGTTTTCTCTTAAATGCGGGAAGGAAGGTCGATTGTAATCGCAGCTGATATGAATGAAATTATAAGAAATGCTCAAAAACATACCACAAGTTTGCTGCAATGCCTCAAAATAATTTATTCGATCTACTGAAACATTACAAAATCTTTGTTTGGTTTTAAACACACCTTTGAAGGATGCAGTTGCTAAGTACCAATTCATGTATTGATATGATAAATGATATTACTCTCGTGCCAGGGTGCATTCCATGTCAACTGTACGCCGATGGTCCACCGGGGCATTTGTTTAGGTACGCCGAAAATATAAAAGCAGTTGTTAAAACAATAAACATTATTGCGCCAGACAAAGAAGCCCTTATTTTACGCTAACTATGTACATGGCTTCATGTTTAGCATGCCAACTAACAAAAATTTTAAGTACGCCAAAAAATCTTTCATTGGTTTGCACGCCGAACGCCGAAAAAAACCTGGGTGTACGCCGAAGATCTTCGGGCCTAAGTACATGGAATGCACCCTGGCTCTCGTATAGACACAAGCCCCAGGCCTACCATAAACGCTAACAAAGTCTAAACTGTCCAATATTTTCCAAGTTAAAAACACTAGCTCGCCCTCAATGCTTGAAATAAATGCATTGGATTGCTTTTAATTGTCCAGATTTAATGTAAGCTAATTGTTGCAACATAGCGATAGGAAGTAAAAAGAGCAACAATTGCTCAGTGCGAGGAAAAAAATAAAGATATTTACTCGTTAATAAACTTCAAACATTTGAAACTTTATATCTCTTGAATTATATATAGGGTGTCCAATTCGAACAGATAACTAGGACTTGATTTTAAAAAACCCCTTTCTTTAAAAAAGATTGGGCTTCAGCTTGCTTTTACTTTGATTTAAGATTCTATTCAGAAACAGAAAAATTAGAACATAAAACATCTTATACTTTGGTATCACTGTGTTGAATTTCTAAAGCGTAATTATGGTCTCTATTCTTAGAGTGAGTTCAGTGATACAGGAGATTGTCATGAAGACAGTCAGAATCAGTTAGTCTCAGCAAAGAGGAACCTAAAAGTTTCGAAGCCTCAAGGCTGTCTTCTCATAAAGTACTTTGCATTTAAGAATCTTTTTTGCCTGATAAATCAAAACGCTTTTATTTAAAAGGGCATTGATCCATGAACCACCTATTCTCACAAGACACCTCTACTGCTAGGAATCACTGACCCAGTTCATCATGAAGATACACCTTTTATATAAGACTCTAAAGAATGCGCCTTCGACTCTGAAACTCCTGTATGCATCTTTCAACATAAAAAGCCTGACTTTAGACAAAGTAGGTTTACCTTTGCGGAAAATTACTGAACGGGGCCTCGAGCAAGCATACTAGCCTCACTGAATAAACTACTGAACGAAATATACAACCCCTTTGCTTCTAAATACAACCTCTGGAGATATTCTCTCTTATTATAGACCTCAGTCCTAATTATTTTACGACAAATCTACACGAACATCTAGAAAGCTTTCGGTACAGCATAGGTTCAAAATCTTTGATTGGCTAAGAGTTCTGATTACATTCAGATTGTCCATACCATATTGACCAATCAGAGTTCACGAACTTGCAAAATAGGCCTAAATCTAGCTGCGACTCACGTTTGCTGTCAAATTCTTGAACTCTGATTGGTCAATATGGTATGGACAATCTGAATGTAATCAGAACTCTTAGCCAATCAAAGATTTGGAACCTATGCTTTTCAGTACTCTAATGTACAAAATTTTTACGAAACAGTTATCGAAAATGTTACGCGTTTCAAACTAGTCTTATTCAACTGTTGGGACCGACTTGATATGAAATTTTACATAACACCTGCAACTATGTAAGGTTTTTATAAAATGGATCATTATTAACAACATTCTACGAGAAAATATATTCACCGATTTTACGAACAAGATACCCAACGGTTATATATTCAAACACTGTAAAAATGGCTGGATCTTTAAAATATTTAGGTGAAAATGATGTCTGTAACCTAATTGAATCTAATTTTTATAGTGTAATTTTGTAATCGTCGAACTATTCTGAATCCCATAAGTTATTTTTACAAAAAGTCTTAGCTACTAAGGTACAAATCAAAACATCTTCTTACCACTGATGACTATTCTAAAAATGTTTTTCAAACAGTTGTTTCTACTCGCAGCCTTGGGGAAACCACTGATTTCCTATCTCCGAGTGATTTTTGATCTAAAAGAGAGTTGGAAGAAAAAATTTAATAAAGAAAAATAAAGAAGAAAATTAAAACAATGAAATGGAATTCTGATTCGAATTCTGACTCGATTTCTGATACCAGCAACAAAACAAAGCTCATGTGACGGATAGGTTCATCTAGCACACTGTTAATACGCAATAATGGAACAGGAAAGCTGGGATCTTACATTTGTCATTAAAAGATAACTTCTCTAGCGATAAGTCACAGAAAACACCCTCATTAAAAATATGAATTGTATCATATGTGGCTTGAAATGATAGATCCGCTATTTCTTGTCATAAAAGCTGCCTGAATTGACCTTGCAAAATATTTCTACCGCTTTTTTATCTTAAACAAAGACCTTATGATTTTCGGTTGCAGCTCTGGGATTTTTAAGCTCAGTTTCCAGTAATATACCAGCTATAGGTTGTTATGTGAAATGCAGAAATTGATTGCCGTAATATCCCAGGTTACCAATAAGGTTACCTTCAAGTAATATCCCAGAATCCAAGCTTTGTTCTTCAACGTAAGACGATGGTGCCCAACCCTCTTTTCCCGTCCTGAGATTCTTCATGTACCACCAACCGTCTATCCCCGGCTGTACATACTCAAGGGAATCCCCTTCATTAAATGACAACTCGGTTGCCTCCACAGCTTCATAATCAGCGACTGAAGAGAATTTTCGTCTGATGAAAGACTGGAAAGAACAAATAATATATCAGATCTAACGTATTTTTTTACATTTGGGAAATAGGAAACATGGAATGGAAATTTCGATTGATATTATTGGCCAACATTAAACCCTGCACTCAAGGGAGAATAATTAAATTTTGATTAAGTTCCCCAATCCTTATTAGCACAAAAAATCGAAGCTTTATCGTTGTCCCGTAAGACGGTCACCTCTGGAAGACGATAAATTTGTCAAAATTCAACAGTAAGTCCATATGTACTGTTGAAGGTATTCAAGACGAATTAAGCTGCAACTCTGACTTTAAACAAAGTTATTATTACAACTGACAACTGAGCATGAACGAGTAACATTCGAGTATTTGCATACTAATAGCTATATGTTCCAGAAGGTTCTTAATACTTAGTAATCGTGATTCACGCTGTGTCGTGATTGGTGATGATATGAAATAGGGAGGGTTCCGAATACCAACTACATGCAAATTCTGGTAACTCTGGTAACAAAAAACAAGAACAGGTTCCATAAATACAACGTCCATAAGTTTTGGCTTCATACAAGTTTGAATCAACATTACAAAAGTGCCTGGTTCTCATACTTACATCGGAGTTATTGCTAAAATTCGTACTTTGTGACATCCGATCCTGGTCTCCGTAAACATTTTCGTCCTCGAAATCATCGTCGAATTCACTGTCTGACCAACAGGAGCCTGTGTCCGAGTCCAGGAACTCGCTGGCAGTCGCCGGCGACAGGTAAACTCCAGATGTCGAACCACCACTCCTCCACAGAGCCATGTCAGAGCCTCGCCTCTGATCAAGCTTCGGTGTACTGGAAAATTAAAAAGTGAACGACTTTGAAATACAAATATAATACTTAATGTATTTAATATAGGCAGTTGATGCTCAATTTACTAGTAAGAGAAGCGACTATTCTTTCATACTTATCTTTATGGTTTGTCCTTATCAACAATTAAAATTTTCAAAGACTGTAGCCCATCAACAAAAATGCTGATTTGCATAGGGCCCCTCTATTAAAAACTTTCAATATAAAAAATAAAATTATTATATAAATTGGAACAAAATAAATATAAAATACAAATTATATAAATTTTTGGACGTATTATTCAAAATTAAATTAACGTAAATATTAAAATGAATCAAAAACAATAATACCCTTGTGATTCTCAACAGTTGCTTTACCCAAGAATGTTATCCGGCCAAACTGGGAACCCATCACCCCTTTACTTATAACTGCATATCTAAATATTTAATATGGTTTGCATAATAAATAGCTTGTGAAAAAAAGAAATGGATAACTTACTTCAAATTTTTCTCAATTTGGGGTAGTTTAGATTTCTCGTCAAAAGGAAAAGAACTGGAACCATTGTTGTTATTGGAACTTGGTGGTGCAGAAAAAGGAAGCGCGGTAATGTCTGGAGCCGAACCCCTTCTTTGCGGATCTAAAAACAAACATCACAAATAAGAAATGAAATGAACTCGATAAAATACACTGGGATATGGTAAACAAGTTGCATGTGTGAAATATTCTATACCTTAGCCACTTATTATGGCTCCTTTCTTTACCCTACTTCTCTTAAGAATTCAACAAGCAGTTTCGATAGCTCAGTTCAATGACTGTCACAAATTTTCAAAACAAATACTTGCATCCATAAAAAAGTCGGGGAAATATTTCTAAATCTCCTGCAACGAATTGCTTTACAAAGGGTAGGAGATATTGTTATGGCTTAGAATATTTCAAGTCTCTCAACCTGTCCGTTGCCCTTGAAAACCTTGATAGCAAATGCCGTTGTAGGTGTACATAAATTATGCCAAATCCTTGATTTTTTTAGCTCACATTTTAGAGAAACTGGCAATGGCAAAGAGGGGAACGAATGTTTCGGAAAATGAGAAATTGACCTTGACAGAAATTTCTTTGGAACACTTGAATAAATGACAAAAAATTACTTAACTAGCCAAATAATTCTACCTAGCAGCACATCCGCATAAAAATTTCAAGCGATCTCGGTATAACACAATGCTATAACAAATTCAGTGGCAAGATCGGGAATATTCTTAGGAGGAGGTGGTTGCCTACCAGACCTAATAGCAGGTGCCAATGTCAAAACATAGCAAGAAAATAATCTTTGTTACGGCCTACTAAGTTTTTACCAGTTACATTTATAATGAATTGTTTTAAGAAAATTGATTCATGAATGTGAAATTTGAAGAACATAAATTAAATAGTAACCTTTATGAGCATTCATTACAATTACTAAAAGATCTACATATTGTCTGCTTACCAATGTATGAATAACTGCTTTTCGTCTTTATGTTAGGCTGATTCCCCGCCATTTCTATAATAAATTTATCATTTCATTGGCTAAAGTTACAGGAAAATTTAAAAACTGGGAAGTGCGGAGAGATTAAAGAGCAAAGAAGGCCTAATATTTTACTAATTATAACATTGCTCAATTTTCATTTCAGCGATGTAGCATTAGTCACTTTTGATAATTTTTTTTCGTTTTTGCCCCCAAGCAAAAATGCTATGGCAATCTTGCTAAAGTAAAGATAACCAAGTCGGAACTTTGCGATCAAGGCCCAAGATGCATCTGTAAAAGTATACGTTTTAATTGCGCAAAGAAGGACTAAGATTCGAATACTTGTAAATGCAACGCTTTTAAAAATAATTTTTTGAAGAGAAGAAGATATCCTGCAACCTCGTTAGAAAGAACAGAGTTCATCTGCTGGTGCAGTTAATCAGAAAATGTTGAAAAAAGGTTTATTTATGTTTGCTTAGAGATTTCAGAAAAATGTTTATTTTAATGCAAGCCCACAAGCAGAAATCTAGGCTTAGTTTGAGTTTTGAACTCATGAGTTTTCTACCTCGAGCAAACCCGAGTTTATTTGTGTAGCGTAAACGCTAAAACATGAAACAGAGATGATGACATATAGATTGATTACAGGCTAGATACATTACAGTTGTTTGGAAAATTCCGCTATTATCAATGGCTTTCCTCACTATCCTGTGCTGCGATCACCACATCTTTAGGAAACCAGCTTTGAGCTCGAAACTAAGTTTATTAGCAATTGAGCTCAAAAGATTTACCACAGCCTATGAGACTCTTACACGTACCTTTCACAGAGTTCAACTGCTCTACTAAGAGTTTACGTATCTCAGCTACCCAAGAATCTTTTGTTTCTTTAGTGCCAGCCTTTAATAAATAATGGCGTCTGAATATTGTGCATAGAAGAGTTAAGGAATTCATCATAATGCTTGAGCAACAAATTTCAAGTTACATTTTTCTCTTTGATAACTTACTCAGTTCGTTAATGTAACATAAAAATCACAGCTCAAGATGAAAAGCAAGTTTAAAGAGAAGAGTCTAGCGGCGAACTTCACAGCCTCTGGAAGTACTCCATACAACATGCACAGCCGTTGTATATAAACAAAGGTTCTAAAAAATCATTTTTCCTACGAGTGCTGTCTGACCACTTACTCCTTTTTCCAGTTATAGAACTATTCAAAAGTAGCCTACAGTTTAATACCTGTAAAACGTAAACTTCATTTCTTCCTTGCAGCCAAACTTCAAACTTGCAAGGGTTCTCTTTGACCTTCTCGGTAAGACCCAAGTCACACATCTGCAAAGAATAATATCATTATGGATAGATGAGATCTTTCAAAACAGTTTAAAAAACATATCACAACTAATGACGATTGCTACAGTTTAATCAAGGCCAAACGCTAGCCATATTGGACGACAATGAAGAAGATTGCCTCGTGGATGGTTGGCTCTTGTTGGTAAAGGCTGGTAAAAACAAATAAAAAAAAGTTTTCCATCGGGAAGATGCATTTTCTATAGCTTAGTGCTCTTCTCTATTATCAGAAATCCCCTTTCCTTCCTTAAGAGACTCCCCTTTCCTTAATAAGTATGACAATCTTGTTGTGCTCTGGAACTGGACCAACGCTTTAACTAAGAAATATCTCAAAGATACCAACCTTGAACAGACTTTTAAACTGGTAGACAACTTCCTCTTTCCCTTCACTGAATTCTTGCATTTCTTTTCTGGTAATGATTATAGCCTTTTCATATAAAAACACTTGGCGATTTTTTCCTCTTAATTTTGTTATTTGCTTCAGCATACTGTTTTGAACATTCCATACTGTGAATGCATCTTGAAAAATAAGCTTTCCAAATATGCCTACGTCCTCCTGTTTTAAAGAAACAGCGCCATTTATTTCACGGAGGGGATCTGACAGACAGAGTGCCATACGAAATACTGATATTTGATAAAAATGTTGAAAAGAAACCATTTGAAAGAGCATTGAGAAGAATACAAGGAGGAAGGGGAGAAAAAAGAAGAAGATAAAAAGGAAAGCAACAACAAGAGGAAGAGACAGAAGAAGACGAGGATAAGGTAGAAATATTTGAAAATTTCAAAAAAGAATACAGTAGGTGTTTCTAAAGAAATGATTTACTGGCATTTAAATTTTTACAAGGTCACATTCTTTTCAGGTCTATTCACAAACTTCAAGCAACCCAGAAAACAGTTGTGCTTGGGTTTACGGCGACCAAACAAGTACTCACAGGGCATCCGACAAGTCCTGTAGAATGCATGACATCATTGACATTCCTAACGATTCTCTTCACGGTTTTGATTGCATCCTAGAAGATTTAGGCCAATCAATTAACTGCACTGCTAGCAACAGATATTAACCATCTAAAACCCACTTAAATTATTGGATGAGCTAAAACTCTGATTTCACAAATGTGACACTGTCTTTCTTGCTGGTACATGAAAAACATCTTTATAGTGACATTACTACAGGAAATGGGGGAAAACCATAGATCTTCTGCAAATGGACTAAAGAAATCTAAATTAAAAGAATTTGAGAGTTAAACAGAAGTAACAGATCCAATGCAATCGAGGAGAATCACTTCACTTGCAAGTTATTAAGCCACAAATTTCTAAGTTACAATTTATAAGTTTAAAACAGTTTTAAATTATACATAAGTACACTTAAGTCTGTAAATACAAGTTATTACTTACCTGCAAATCTACAAGAGCTGGGTTTTTTCTGCTAGTGTATTTCATCATTTCTTGGAGCAGCAGTTGATATTTTGTTATTCGCTGTACAGGTTTGAGAAGATAGGATGCAAGCGGCAGCTTATGGCCTAGTTTTCTTTGGAAATCCTGGCAAAAATGTAGATATCACAGTTAAAGCAAAATGGACCGAGCTATTCAGAAGCTGGCCAAAACACTGTTTTAAGACTAAAGATATTGCAAAATGATTCAAAATTGTTAGTTATATCCATAAGAAAAAAAATGATTTGGCTTCTAGCCCTACTTAAAACCAAACTATTTATACATTTATACATAACATTTTGTATCTAGCTACCCAACTAAACATTTTTATTAAAAAAAGGTAAGATTTCTACATGTAAGCTGACATATTTAAAACCAATCTTACCTTTAAAAAGGTACTCTTCACTTCAAGCTCTTTGGTAAGGGCGTCTGAGTTGGGTTTATTTTTGCAGTAGATTGCATAAAATTGAAATTCATCTCGCTGAAATTTAGATAAAACTCATTCAGCTACTTTACCGAACGGAGTTTGCATAAGGAAGCAACTTTCTTTTCGGGAGAATGTTTTTCAATGTAAAAAATGTGCCCTGCCTAAACAAAGATTGAAAAAATGTTTACTTCTAAACGAAGAAAAAATTAAGTGATGAAATTAGGAGTCATACTGTGTTTAATTTTGGGTAACATCCGCAATGAAACTTCATTTCATTGTATTAGGTACATTTTACACATAACCTGGCTCAAAATTGCTCACCTTGTCTAAAAATACTTGGCCCACTAAGTATGGTGATGACAGACACGCCTCCAGTTCTTTTAAAAATACCCTGCATAAAATGCCATTTTAAAATTGTAACATTTGTGGTACTAAAAAAGCATTGAAATAAAAAATAGAGCAAAAATGCAAATAAAAGATATAATTCAATATGATAAAGTCTATTTCATTAATATACGACGGTTAAAAGATATTGAATAGCTTTCAAGGAAAAGAAAAACGTAAGATAGAATATGATACATATTGTGCTATAGGCGTTTACTGAAAAACCAATCTTAGCATAAACATAAAGATTCCTGTTACGTGTAGGATATCAAGCATATCAATAAATGTAACCTCAACGCACGTTTTGTGAAATCGGTAGATCCCTTCAATGTTTCCAAAAATGATATTTTTCTTCCCTCTTAGATGAACAGGTATGTTAAAATCAGGGTCATCAAAGGCATTGTAGTATCCCTATGAAAGAAACAAATGCATTTTCAATACTGAAAACTGTAAATTCTACAATAGGCTTATCAAAGTAAAAATGGATTAGATATTTTACTGTTTTTTGTGATTTTATGTTCAAAAGTTTTAGGAAAGTTTAGGTATGCAGTAATTTGATGATCGCACGAAAATTCCATACGGTGATATATTGTGTCGTTCAAGTATCTGTGTATCCTGAATACCACATGTCCTAACAAAAAAGGTTGTGACAGTTAGATGCGGCATAGCATTTCTATATATGAAAAAGAATCAAATGCAAACGACCGTTAGCATCGAAACGGGTTTTATCAGCAACAATCTTTGGTTCGCGAGAGTTGTAGTTTAATTATAGCGAAGAAATACTAGAAAGGAGCACAAGCAAACAACCTCAACAGCATTTATGTAACTAAATGCCAAGAACATTTTTGCCAAGAACTTTTCAACTGCTTTGCAAAAAGTTGTGAGATGTACCCCATTCCTATGCCTGCTGCATAAAATTTAGTTCACCCACCGAAACCCTAGATTAACATACTCGGCTCTGTCTAAAAGATTAAATTATAATCATCTTAACACCGCCATAAGTTCATCAGGTGGAGTTAGAAATTGTTAGAAGGAACAGGATACAATTCATAATTTCGTTTTATCTGAAGTTATTCAAACTGGTAATTAGTTAGTAGACGAATGAAATATTGTATTTGAAATACATACAGTAAAAAGTACCAATTAAAAACAACATACCTCTATGACACATTCAATATCACTGACGTAGTCTCTTTCTGTTTCCACAATCTCCTGCATTACCAGTCTAGATGTAAAAAGAAGTGGTTTACTAGCTTTCTTTACAAAATGTTTCCAATGCTAAGTAGTATCAAGCATTAATAACAATGACTAAACTAGATGAGATCATCATTAGAAATTCATAAGTGTACAATATGAAACAATTACTTTGTCTTTTTCACAAGCTCCTGGTCTTCCTCTTCATAATCTGTAGAAGAATGCGAGTCCTAGAGCAGAAAAAGAACACTTATATATATGAAATATTGTTAAATAAACCAAAAGCCGATGTATATAAACCTACGAGCCCAGTTTGGGACTATTTCTATCAGTCACTGCTTGGTGCAGTGCAAAACGTGCATTTGCATCAAAGTTATTCATAGAATGCTTTGCCAATTTTGTGTATTTTATTACAAAGTTTTCAAGAGAATTATTGAAACAAAAAGATCTCTACATTGGGGAAATAGAAATGAATTTTTTTTCCCTTTATATTACAAGATTCAACCACACTTACCAACATAGCAGGCGTAGAGAAAGGCCTACGTCTTGTGGTGGATCTTCTGAAACTCATCCGCTTTCTAATTGGTTGACTAGTAACGACAACATCGATGTTCTTCTTCAAATCTTTCGACTCTTTTCGTTCTCGAGAAGTCGAAGATGTCTGAGTTTTTGCCTTTTCTTGTTTATGTGCAGGAGAAGCTAGCTTCTGTATGGCTTTGACGGGTTGTACCGGTCTGGCAGGTGGCTTTGAAAGCTTTTTTAAACTGCAAACAAAGCATAATGTTGCGAATCTTATTAATAAATTTAAAAATGGTGTTTATTTGCTTAGCAATTCATTGGCTTAATTAATTAGCAGCAACACCGAAGGGATAGATCTGAAGGGATAGGATGATTTTAAAACAGCCAGGAAGGAGTGAGGGATTCAGGGGGTGGGGGTGAGTCACTGGTTCACGAATATTGTCAAATGCACTGAACACTATTAACATGATTAAGATCAAGATACTCTTGTGGTCCCGAAAATAAAATTTACAGGGGTTCTTTGAAATCAAAATTTAGAGGGGCTCTTTGAAATCAAAACTTACACAAGTTCTTTGAAATCACGATCAAAATGACGTATGAATTACATTTCTCTTAATGTTTCCCAATAACCGTGACCAAAAAGAAATTGGATTTCAGATATGATAACGGTTGACTTTAGGATATTCTATTTCTATGCGCTTTTCTTATTTCAATAGATACAGTCGACAATCCCGAATGAAGACGACACTTACCTATTCTCTCTCTTCTCAAACATTTCTGTTATTTCCTCAGTTCTTGCTAAAGCTTCCTTTACCTTCACATCAATATCTGAGTAACTCAACTTTGAAGAAAGCTTATTCAGTCGATTGATTTTCCCCATGCTTAGGCCCTCTCCATTAGCAATGAACCTCTCAATCTGTTCCAGTGCTTTGACTGCCCCTTCCGCGTGCTGAATTTCGTCCAAGGACTGCGAGGCTAATAGATCGACACCCTTCTTGCACCAAGAATTCAACTGAAGAAGGTGACAATACATTGAAAACCAATTAAATTATTTCACTAACTCCACTATTGATTAAAATGAATAGCAAAATTTCAAAGCTCAAAATTCTGTAAGATAACAGTACAACTGTTTTAGCTCAGAACAAATTTCACAAATGCAAAAGGTGACAAGATAAATGCTTGATGCACAGCAGAGTTTTAAATAATAACAACCAGATCCACGAACTGTATGTAAGATGGTAGACGTTAATGGAAAATGTATGTAAAATTATTTCGTTACTTTCGTTACGACCAAAGGCCTTTAATTACTTCCACAACGCCGTATTCCTACTGCGTTCCATATAGTTAATCTTTCGATTCTACTCTTTTATTCTCTTTTCAATCATTACTCCTCCTATTCTTTTTTACTTGATGAAGAGTTATGCTTGAAACATCGAAAATATATTAAACTTTGTAATATACAAAGACGCAATTTAATTACAAATTAATTTTCACCAAAAATAAGAAATGGTTACCAAAAATCACTTAGAATTCTGAACAGAATTCCGGGAAACTTCATATAACGTCATAAAACAATGTATCACCGATATTTTGGGGGATCTCATGGAATTCTGACTTTTTGGGACAAAGTTCAAGTCCTGACTTCCATACTGAAGCCTTTTGAAGGGCTGAAAACTAGCGTTGGTAACAAAAAATGTCACAATTCTGAACGAAATTCGGGAAAACTGCAAAGAAGATCATGAAACAATGTATCTCATATGTTTTTGGGTCTTCTGAACTTCTGACTTTATGTGGGTAAAGTTCCTATCTGGACCCAAACTATGAAGACTTAAAAGACATAATAAAAGACTTAAAACTGGTGTTTGTAACAAAATATCTCTTAGAATTCTGAATGAAATTTCGGATGCTTTAGGGGTTTCCTGAAATTCTGAGGTAAATTCTTCAAAAGTATCACAAAAACTTGACCTACAAAACGTAACAAGATGCTTTAGCAGATAGCAGTGATGGTGACACAGACTCAAAATCAGAACCCGTTCACTTAAACAGGATGTCTAGCGTGTTTTATCTTTAAAAAAAGGAAAATTTTAAAGTAAAACTCAGAAATAAAAAATATGACTACAATATGGTAGAATAGTTAAGCATTGGAATAGAATATGAGACCTGGCAGAGTATTTATAAACCCTTATCCTTGAAATTTTCTCTCATAATGTTACACCCCTATATATTATTGCCTTAAAATGAACATGAAGTCTTTCTGCTTTCTGTCGATGAAGATTTTACGTTAAAATTAAATCAAATTAAATTATTTTCTTTCCACATTCAAGGCCTATGAAAATTGATTGACTTATTTTAACCGTCAAATGAGAACCATTGCCAAACACAAGTTGCTTTAACGAGTAAGAAAGTTTTCGCCAAAAACCTCCTTAACCTCGCATAAATACTAACAGCAAGAACACAAATTTAAATCGAAAACAAAACAATATGTGGCAATCATTTAAGTTTGCAAGAAAACTGGATAAAGGCTTGACACTCATTCGTTAAAAAATCTAAGATTTTGAATGCATACCTGGTCTAGACAGGAGTGAACATCAATGTTTGTCTGAACAACGTCCTGTCTCTTTTCTAATGCATCTTCAAATTCGTCACAGAGTTTCTTTATCTCGTTACAACGCAAACGAATGCTGGAAGCTGAAAAATGCCCACTGTCAATCATATCGAACCCTTCGTTTCTGAGTCTCTTGATCTTCTCGTATGTTCCCTAGTAATAGAAAACTATCTACTATATACGAATACAATATAGTTCAAAAGATACTATATATATACCAATTGGAACATGTTGCGCTTTCTTCATCACCAACCTTTTGTTTTCCACATAAAGTCAAGATATCTAGTCTTGTGCTTGCCCTGTCTGATATCATCAGCCATTTTAGTCATGAAACTTCATAGTAATGCTCTCTGTGCGTTGACAACGTGCTTAAATAGTAGCTTCATAGACACATCTTTAATATGACTCTTTGTATAAACAAATATTGTGAGAAAAACGTAAAAACTTTATTTTCAAAGAAAAAGCCTTTCTTTAAATTGATTTGATATTTCTTGTTACAGAAACCTGCTTTTGAAAATAAACATTTACACATTTAAATCTCAAGTTAAAAAACCACGTTATAAGTATACGCACTTTTGTCTTTTCTTTGAATGAAAGAAGCTCTTGCATGAGATCCTTCGCTGCCTCTAAATCCATCCCAATAACTGTGCGGTCCCTGACTACAACACTCAGCTCAATCATAGCTTTCGATACCTAAAGGAAAACGTAAACAGGTAAAATGTACATGAACTGAAAAAAAAATACGAGTTTTTGGCAAATATAAAAACCATAATCAATTTTAATTACGGTGGCTAATAAATCAAATAGAATAGGCCAATAATTTCTACGGAGAAATATTTTCTACCTTTGAAAGTTTTCTGAGAATTTGTTCCTATCTGGTTCAATTGGCAAGTAACGGGTGCTCTTAAAAAGCAGTTCATGTTATCCTAAGAACTCTAAGTATCACGCGGTTGACGTTTTACAATAAGTTTCATAAAATGAATAGTTCAAACTGACAAGCACTGTTCTATTAAGAACATCAAAAACAATTTTTTCCGAACAAAGGCCCTCCGAAGGTGCGACAAGTTACATCATTCTTTAAAAATATAACCAAATTAGGAAAGCTAAAACAATAAAACTACAGTAGAAAGAAGTTTAAATAATAAAGCGCTTAAAAACACAGAAATCAGTACATATAACGAATTGGATTGGCTTGAAAATAAAATCAGTGGTTACAAGTTGTATTTGGGAATTCTCAACCCTACAGCATCTGCTGTCCTTGCAGATTGCAAACACACTGAAAAATTTAAATAAATATCTTACGCTACTTACATCACAAAATTCCTTTTCAAAACGACACAAAACTAGAGAGTCATTCAAGTATTTTTCATGTTTGCCCCATAGACTTTGCAGCTCTTCTCTCATCGCATCAAGACTTGACACCCATTTTTCCAGATAATCGTAATTGAATTTTGTCAATGGCCCTGCCTCCTTTATGCTAAAAGGCTTTTTGACAATCGACTCCAATGTTTCGGCGATCTCTTTGCTACATTTAAAATCGTCGTCAATATCATCTACGACTTTTTGATGCAGTCCTCGGATCTCCTCTATTTCTTGTTGACTTGAAAGTGGTTCTATGCGATTGAATTTGTCTTTGACCTGATCAAGCCTTGTTCTTGTCTTTCGGCACGTAATTTCAAATCTTTCAATAGCCTGAGTATTCAAAATATAAATATGTGATTTCATATGTCATTTCATACTAAGTAGAAACTATGCATAACTTGTTTATTAGGTTCTAAGCATCTTACGAAATGAGACACAAACGAAATCTACTCCACATAAAATTAAACGTTATATCAATAATATTAATGTAGATTAACTCCGGAACAGTGTCTATCTCCTACTTTGGAGATAACCCCTTTCTTTAATAAATTCCCTCTCTTTTAGGCCTCCCTCTAGAACCTCCAAAATGAGATATGTCTCTTGGAAGACATACTAAATGAGATATGTCAAATGTAGTTACAATAAGCTACAAAACGTTAATTTTTCTTTGCATTTCCAAATAGTTTGAAACGCCGTAGATGCTATCTGATTATGAAAAGACTGACTAACCGTTCGATGCTCGACCCAGTCCACATGATTGAATTCGAAGACACCACCCAGGTCTTCGGGTATCTGTCTTACGTCTATATGATTAAAAAGAGAGTCTTGGCCTTCCAGAAAAATGATCTAGTAAAAAACAGAAAAACAATTTCATATTTAAAGATTCCACAAAAATTTAAAAGTTGGGCATCAGGAAAAAATTATTTCAAATTTTGCAGCCTTTTTTAACAAACGATCTCCGTCACAAAACGCTGAGTTGCAAAGTGCCCTTTCTTCAGTTAATACCTATCAAGGCGATTTAAAGGATAATTGCAGTGCACGAAAGAAATCCTCCTGTGCAAAGGTGCATTGATTAGGTAACGTACATACAGATCCTACACTTTTTAGATCTTAACAGATGGACTAGTAATCGTCATCCCTCTTAGATGAGGAGAGAAAATTTGAAAACATCCACTGGGTTCATGAAAATGAGATATCTACGATTAATCATAGCAAAGAGAAGCATTTCGTAACTAATGACATCAGCAAAGCATAGCTGCAAAGACATTTATCACAGTACGACATGCTAGATACGCTGCAACATTTAAAAGATGATGTTCGCAGACGAATGCCTGTACATGACATTACAGACCATGGGCCCTTTCTCATTCATGGAAAATATCTTTGCCAGTTGGGTCTCAGTGAACTCGCATTGTCTAGCTCGTTTCGACATAGGAGAGCTCGTTTCGACAATTCCTGGTGTAAATAAATCTCTAGAAAAAATCAGCAATCCATAGTATAAAAAGGACATCAGAAATCGGAAGACCCTGGGCCCAGAAAAATATATTACCTTTCCATCCAAAAGGTCTTGTAAGTCTTTTTTCTCGCTGTTAAAGTGCTTTTGGAAAAATCCATTTGGCTTTAAAACTATAAGCTTGTGTATATGAAACGAGTCAACACCCTAAAACAAACCAAACACAAGACTTTTCGCATGTAGAAATTATTAATTAATTATCATTTCAAAATATTTGACAAACCATGATTAATGATATCTGGTAAATATTGACGATGAAATGGCAGATGATGCGTTGAAACTGATTTGGACAGAAAAGATTCACCATATGTATTCCAGGATGAATCGAAAGTGAACGGTTTAAGGAAAAGACTGCAGTATGTTTAACTGCACTATCGCGGATGAATCGCAACAACAATTGTTATTGTTTGTAAAATTGAAAATATAAAACGTTCATTACTTCTAAATACTTCTTAACATTCCTTCTGAAAGCCACAAAAACGTCATAACGAGCGGCATTGCATCCGACTACGAGCAAAGATATTGATCCATCACGAAATGTCTTGACTCTCTCAAAAACAGCGCACAAATATATAGGAGTAATTGGATGTCCAGCTTGGCTCAGCTCTTTATGGACACTCCTGACATTCTTTTGAGTAACCTTTTCCAGTTGTGAAGAAGAATTAGCAAAGACTGGCTGCTAAATACTCTTGTATGAACATGCCAAGATGACTAGCTTCCAACAGTTTGCTAGGCTAGGCCCTTTTATCATTAAGTGGTTCGAAGTTTTTAGCTAGAGATCTTCTAAGCCAAAAAATGAAAGATCAAAAATATTGGTTGGTCGAAGGAAAATGAAAAAAGCCCGACCTCTATGTCCTAATGGCTTGCAACCAAACTCGCATAAATAAGTCAGACATTTCTCACTCGGACATTCATATGAGTCGGATTTCATACGTTAGATAGCTTCCAGTGGTACATACAAGGAAACTGGCTTTCGTAAAGTCGAAATAGATCCGTCTGAAGCAAGTTTGACTTTACTACGATTGGCAATTTGTTATCAAACCTTGGGCGTACTATATCTATACTTCTTGCCATGTCGTTGTTTGAATCAGATTGAGTGTGAAAACTTCAGATAGGGTTTACCACAAAATGTATCCTCCAATGAACTCATCTTCCTTCCACTCAATGTTTGATTAGCATGTGCACAGGCTACATTGGAGTCGTTTCTAGTTGAATGACGTCATTTGAAAAAATCTATAAAGACCGAATTTTGGTGGCTTCACCTGCATCTGACGGTAACATTGCGCACTGAGAACTTGATGACCGACGAATGATGTAATTTCAATTTGTTGTCGTTTTTTTCGTATTCAGTAATTCAGTGGCGAAAAAGCGCACAGCAAATAAAGAGAGCTCTAAACAACAATAATTGGTTCTGTCGATTTCCTAAAAAAGTCTCAATTTCACATTTCTTCTCGATACGAAAAAGTGGGATGGTCTTATAAAAGCTATGTATGGTTACGAGGCAACACCATATGCTCAAGTTATGTACTTATCATTGTCAACAAAAGAAACAACATCTTTAGCTATCTAATAACAGACCACCAGACTAGCAAACGAAGTGCCGAAAAGCAAAAGCCGTTGTCCAAGCAACGACATTGACAATGTGAAAAAGGATCAAATTGAAACGAAAAGACTGTTTTATTAAAAAGATATATGGGCACAGGCAGGTGCTCGTAGAATTTTAAATAAGAATGAGATCTCAGATTTCCTTCTCTCAGACCCTACCAAATTTAGAAGAGTTCTAACAGTCATGCATGAGACAATCACCTTTTAACTGACGAGTACAGCATCGTTGTGATTGAGTGATAAATGTTAAATGGGCGCTTGATTTTGTTAAACAGAAGTTTGGAAAAACAGGTCTTTGCACAACGTAGAGGGTGTTATATTTCAATTGATAGCAAGGGCTGAACATGTATTCTGCCTCTAAATAAAATAAGTACAATTTACGACAACTAAAAGCTAAATAATGTTAATTGTAGCTATTAACAACTTTTAGCATTTAGGTGTGGATCATGTCTATGAGACAATTGATGTTCTCTCTTTCTGCCTAGATGTGGGAGAAAACTTTAAGTCGCAGGTCTGTTAGACAGTCAGTTGTGTCTACAGGGGAAAGCAAGACAGGTTAAAAACACCAAAAATCAATTGCTTGACTTTAGGTGATATTGCTTGATTACATCACATATCGCAAGACATATATAGCAATTAAACTCTTGGAAAAGAAATCTCTCTCTGTAAGCTGCAAAGATTTGTTCGTGATTTTACTAAGAAGAGCTACAATGAAAAAAGGACTTATATTAGCGTCAATACCTTGAGTTTTAGAAAAACAGATTTGATCTGCTGCCATTTTGAGGTTCTTCTATCAACAATAACTGTGAGATAATCGATCTCCCATAAAGATCTACAATATAATAGATCAAAAATAATAAAAGAGGACAATAAAACAAAGAAATGAAGAGCTAGCTGTGATTTGAAGGGACCTGTGATTTGACCTGCTGCTTTCGAGCTGTAGGCCAATAATCTTGATAATGTTTGTTGAAAGTATTTCTCTGAAAGGAAAAGCAAAATGGAACACTTCTGATATTCCAAATCACACATCAAACAAAACTGACTTTAGGGTCATTCCATATGAAATCATTATCAGTGATAAAACTTCCTGTTCTCAGATATCAATGGACCTTGATGGATCAGAAAAGGTCAATGCAAATAGAAAATTCTGAGAATTATATTGAAAATTAAAATTCCATTTCAGAACTATGAGCATTAGAAATTTTTGGGACACACCCCTTTAAACAACACCCAAAACAACAAAATTGCTAATAACTTCTCCCCCCCCCTCCCCTCCAAAAACAAAAATCTGAAAGCATATTTGCTTTTGCAACACATAAAGCAATACAGTTTCTAAAAGTAGATGGTCCTAATGGAAAACTCACTTTGCAATGCCACAAAGATATTCAATGAGTTTCAGGAAATCTTTGCTATCAACTGAGGTACAGTCAATGCCAACATCATAGAATATTAACAATGGATACCCATCCCTGTCTAAGCCACCTACAAAAACAGAAACGAAGATTTTGAGACAAAATGCATAAAATGTCCACATAAACAATTTTAATCTGAGTGTATAACATTTTATTGAAAGCAAGTATATTTTAGGGATTGGTGTGGGTTTGCTGAAAACATAAAACTATTCAAAAAATGTGAACAAAAGTTTTCAATTGTATTGTTTCCTTTGGCTCAAATAATGTTCAAAAGAAGAAACTAGTCTACAAAGAAGTTCTCCCTTATATTTTCAAATTAATAAAAACTCCTTCTTCCATTTTTTCTTTGTTTTCAGTAATTATGCCACAAATTTTTTAGAAGCCCTGAATGTAAAGCAATGATTCAAACTTTGAGAGTTGGCAACACCCCATCCCCCATTTTGACATTGACTTGTAAAATTAACCTCAAAATAAGGTATTTTGTGCAAATGAAATAACTTAAAATATACTACTTGCCCCACTTTGGCAGATTTCGCTCTCAAGTAAAATGTTATATGTCAGATACATTGCTAGGGAAGGATTCAGTGAGAGCATGGGGCTGTGACCCAGCCCCCCCCCCAAAAAAATTTCCTTTTGTAAACTCTGCTACTGTTGAGTAAAAAAAAGAATTTTGTAGTTAGTAGAAGCAAAATGATGCAAACAATTTACTTTATTTACAACCTTATCTTCTTTATTATAACGTTAAAAACTGAATTTTAAAATGGGTGTTTTTATTTTCAAGTACCCTTGAAAGTGTGGCACTAAAATCCAATCCTTATCTAACACCCTCCCTGTACTTTGCATCCTACCAAACCATTAATTCTGAATGAAAAAAGCGCAAACAAACATTACAAAAGGATATGAATCATCAATATTTAATCAATAAAGAAGATTCCTCACCAGTGATCGCTGCAAATTTCTTTTGGAGCAGATAAGCAATATCAAGGATTTCCACACTTCCTTCCATGCCTCATTGTCTTAACAAACCAATTTTTACATGTCTTTGCAAGAACATTTAACATGCATGCTGCAATTCAAAGCTAACTTTTAACAGGTGCTTCAATTCAAACACTCACTAGAATCCCTCATATTCTTCTATCCCTCCTACAGAAAGTAAACAAAATATCTAAATATTTGTATCCTATTGTACAATAGTTCTGAAATACTGAGTTACCTCAAAATTTGCCCATATTCAGTAAACAGGCCACAAAATGATAGAACTCATCTTTGAATTACAATTAAGGGACAATAGGCATAATTTGGCTTTCCTGTGGTATGGTTAAACTGCAACTTATAGCACTAAATGAAGCCCTAGATATGGAGGCAAAATAATATTTAAAAAGATGTAAACCACTCAAGTTCTTTTGGAAATTAGGTAAATTTGGATTTTATGGTTTTAAAATATGGAAATTTAATGGCACAAATACTATTAGGAAATCTGCTTTATGTTTTTAAGAAAGAAATGAAATCTGAAAGATGCACAAAATAAAAAAAGGCATGTGAGCAGAAAAAGAACAACTTGAAAATTATGAAAAGTTTTTAGCTTCGCATCGACTATTTTTTTTTATTTGCAGTATTTAGTTTTTAAACATTTTAAAATGACTAGTGCTGGCATAGGGGAAAAAGAAAATTCGACTTGCTCTAGAAAAATTCGATTAACAGTTTCAAATTACACTGTTAATCGATAACCAGACAAAAACATTAGAAAAGTGCCTTAGACGTTTTATGGGCTTGAAATGCGTCAACTCCAGTCACCTTCGCCTTGAGCGATAGCAAGTGGTTGTTTTGTCATTGTTTGTTTAACAGGGATTTGTCTGACAAGCGCACTGGATACAACCTAGCCGAATATTGAACAGTTTAAACAAAATTATTGATTCTACGTTTGCTTTCGCATCTATACAATGGTAAAAATATCAGAAAAGATTTATACTTAAGCTTGTTGACATTTTCGAGTTTACTTGGGGCTCCATTACACCACGCCACGTCTAAATAGCCTTTAGCTTGTCATAAAATGACCGTTTACATGTAACTGTACTTTGTACAAATCCCAACAAAATTCGTAAAAATCTCCCAATTCAAGATTTAATATTCTCTATTGTTTAATGTCTTGTTTTCACTTTAACAAAGAAAATCAGACACTGTAAATCACCTACCAAGCCACTTGAATGTTCGCGTTGATGATTAAACGGCCTAAGGGATTATGCAGCATAAGAGCTGACAAAAACACACTGTTGTGGCCGCAGAAAAAAAAATATACACTTACTTGCCAATATTAAAAAGAAATTAGTACTCACGTGGCTACGCAAATATATTTCGAGCTCTTCGCGGTTGCATTCCCACTTTATCTTTGTTTCTCAAACTGATTTATTTACTTCTTGCTCTCCAAAGACTTCCGTCTCGCGAATCTACCGAAAAAACGCGCCCCCGCAGAATAGAAACCTGGTTCCTGTTGAGCCTCCAGTCCAGATCCAGGCGGATCGCAAACAAGTTTAAGTGAAGAAGTAAAAAAATTCTATCATTAACAAAAATCAATAGCAAGTCATTTTTAAAAATACTTTTGGCCTATTCTAAGCTTTATTCCTCGGAATGAGGGTTTTCAACAAAACTAAACTAATATCTATCCATTTGCTAGAGATAAGGCAGTATTTCAGAACAAGAGGTCATTTTCAAGGCATTTCAGAACAAGAGATCACGTTCGGCATGCAATGTACCACAGAACTGGACACAGGATCAACAACTTACAACAAGATAATAGCTCAGGTACTATAAAAGATGGAAGAAATTTGCGCGAGAACAAATTTATGTATTGGGAAAATTCACGATGTGTGCAACGAAACGTTATTAAGAACAAAAGATCTGTTTTTTTAAACAGCGTCTGGCTTCTTTTTGGTTGGACTTATATTTTCTTAACAAGTCTTGCTTATGGTCAAGCAATCTTAATCATTTCGGTTCGTCTATTTTGATATCAATAAAGCAAATCATAAAACGAGGAGCATAAAAAAGAAATTAATCGATGGTTTTTAATATTTTATTCAAAATAGTAACTTTAAAAGACTAGCATACACCAGATCATAATTTTAGCTTACAAAAAATGCAGATACACGAACAAACTACGAATTTTAAAACAACGACTTGCTTACCCTTACGCAATCCAAATTAACTAGATGCTTGATTTGAGGATTAACTGATCGATATATCAAACTGCCCGATAATCTTACTTTAGATTTGTTTGTCTCAGCTAGCAGCCAAAGGTATTTATCGCAAGTAACTGTAAGTAGATTACTGCCTGACAAAAACATTAATTGGGATAATCTTAGGCAAAACGTTTTCTGATGGACTTCAGCTTGAGGTCAATCGTTTGCTCCTAGTAAAAATGTTGTTGAAATATAGAAACACTAAGGAGTCTTGAGAGGAAATTGCCCCCTCGACCGTTCCTAGCCACGTCATTGTTTCTTCTCTAGTTCAAGGCTCTTTTGGGTGAGGCAGGTTGAGGACGTTGCATTGTTTTACCATCAGTCATATAACGACTCGATAAAAAACAAAAGGCTTAACAGGAATCTCCAATTTCGATGTGGTTACGTATAATACCTGTATGGGGTGCGAAACCTTAATGAACAATAGGGCTCACGCATTTATGGAAATAATTGATTGGGAAGCGTTCATTCAATCCAATATGCCATTTGAATAATACAACCTGTAAGCTACTGACAGTTAAACCTTCTTGACATTTCATTACCCTGGGCGGTAATAATTAGGTCAGCGCAAACAATTGAAACCGCTTTGTCATTGTGTCACAATATCAAGGTTGAGACCCGTGAACAGGGCATCAGACGCAAAAATGGGGGGGGGGGGCTTTGTCATTGTGTCACAATAACAAGGTTGATACGCGTGAACAGGGCATCAGACGCAAAAAATTGGGGGGGGGGCATTCGGAGGCCCTACTCGAAATTACTATTATACTGTTAATCCCTTACGAATTGATTGTTTAGTTCATCAGCTCTTTTCTTTAGTTTGTCAATCCAGAGTTTGCAAATCCAGTCTCTTGACGAAGGTTAATGTCGTGTGAGAATCGGTTTGACTGTCATTTTGTTTTATAGTTAATTACAAAACCAACTACGAGCAACTTACTTACATTATGTGCTGGAAACGCATTAGATACACAAAACTGCATTCTGACTAGAAATCTTGATTTGCTCAGTATAATGCTGTAACAATTGATAAGGATGCCGCTATCTTACAAGATTTTCAACTTGCATGTTCCCGCACGTTACTGCCTTTATTGTTTACAAAGTTTAACGTAAAGCAAAATTATCGATGACGTAACGCATTATTCAGTGTATACTTTCAAAATAAAAACACCGCTCCGACTAGTAGATGCTACGCTCAAACGGCGCTTACTTCCCATATTAACAAACCAGTCTTACGAGAACGATAGGTGTTCTTGCTGCTACTTGCTGCTGCTAGTTCATTTGTCCAACCGTTACTAGCAAATTTTTGTATTTACCATAAAGTGTATACCGCTCTAGCCAATATATGGGGCTTTTTTCGATTTTTTGTCTTCAAATGCAACATCGCCACGTCCCTCCTTCTTCGCTCTCTTAATTGGTTCTTCGGAAATTTCTGATTCAGAAGGAGAGCTCGGCGAATAACCTCGCTTTATGCCTGTTGGAGAGTACTGCGGGGACATTGGCGAGTACTGCGGTGACGTTATGCTGTACTGTGGTGCCGCTGGGCTGTAGTCGGGCATTGTCGGGCTGTATTTTGGTGTTGAAGGGCTGTAGTCTGGAGCAGCTGGACTGTACTTTGGAGAAGAAGGTGAGTACTGAGGAGAGGTTGGGGTATACTTTGGAGAGGTAGGAGAATACTTTGGAGAGCTGGGAGAATAGACTGGAGATGATGGAGAATATCTTGGAGAGTCTGGGGAATAGGTTGGTGACGTTGGAGAATATGATGGGGATGTTGGGGAATAGGCAGGTGAAGTGGGGGAATATTTTGGTGAAGCAGGGGAATAGGATGGTGAAGATGGACTGTATGTTGGAGAAGAAGGGCTGTACTTTGGAGACGAAGGGGAGTAGTGAGGAGAAGCAGGGGAGTAGTTTGGTGATGTGGGGGAGTACTTTGGGGAAGTGGGGGAGTACTTCGGTGAAGTTGGGCTGTAAGATGGAGAGGTTGGAGAGTAAGATGGGGATTGGGGAGAGTAAGAAGGAGAAGATGGCGAGTAGGATGGAGAGGTAGGTGAGTAAGAAGGAGATGTTGGGGAATATGATGGAGACGTTGGACTATAGCTTGGAGACGTTGGAGAGTATTTTGGAGAACTTGGTGAAGCATAACCAGGTGATGAATAAGACGGAGATGTTGGGCTGTAAGATGGTGAAGTTGGAGAATACGATGGGCTTGTTGGAGAGTAGCTTGGAGATGTGGGAGAGTAGGAAGGTGATGTCGGGCTGTAAGAAGGAGAGGTTGGACTATAAGACGGAGAAGTTGGAGAATACGATGGGCTTGTTGGAGAATAGGAAGGAGATGTTGGACTGTAAGATGGTGAAGTAGGACTGTACGAAGGTGAGGTCGGAGAATATGATGGAGATGTTGGAGAGTAGCTTGGGCTAGTTGGCGAGTAACCTGGAGAGGTTGGGGAATACCCAGGTGATGTTGGAGAGTAGGACGGACTGGCAGGCGACATTGGTGAAGTTGGCTGGAAAGCAGGACTTGCTGGGCTGTAACTTGGACTCATTGCACGTTTAGACTGTATTGGTATGTAAGGTGAAGCATCAGGAGAGCCTGGGGACATGGGCTGTGGACTCCAAGCAGGGCTGAAGCCGCTGGCTGGACTGAACGCTGCATCTGACTGAGCTGAGGGCGAAAAGCTTGGTGCCCCAGGTGTCATACCACTCCCTAATCCTGGGCTCCATGCTTCTCCATAGGATGGGGTTGACCCTTGATTCCATGGGGTCAATTGTGGTGACATCATGTTTGTTGGAGAGGCCACATTTCCAAAAAACATTCCTGTTACTGAAAAAATAAGATATATCCATAAACAATATACATTTTAAAACTTTGGTTACAGATTTCTATAAAGGGAAACAGTTTATAATATTAATAATAATAAATAATTTGTTTAAAGATGGCGTACTAAATGAACGTCTAATAGCTATAAAGAAGCTAATTAAGGCCAACTAAGTTCTCAGCTCTCCTCTTAGCTCTCCTCTCCTTTAGTTCTCAGCTCTCCTTGCTACAGAATAGACATTCCTGTTAATCCTTGATATCACATTTGTATTATAGTTCATAAAACAGGTTTATCAACTATGAACATTAGAGCTTAGCAATGTGCGATCATTCTATTAAACTTTAAATCCATTTTTAGCCCAAGGAATTAAGGAAAAATAAATAGAATTCCATAACATTTCTTCGTCGCTGTTTCTTTCATTATGTAATACTTGTCCCTAATAAAAAACCGATAAGAAGAACATCTTACAATGGAACATCGGAAACTATTAGACAACATCTTTATAAACGATGAAAGCAAGTTTCTTCTTGGGGATTACGGCTTCCTAGGCTAGGCTTTAAGTACAAGACACCTTAAAGAAAGCTTTATAACCCATCTTTAATAATCTAAAATGCTCATACCTGTTCCAGCCATCATCATTCCTTCCATGTTTAGCGGTACCTCCATCCCTTCTTTGCATTTTGCAGCATCCAAGATCAGCTTAAAACTCCCGGTCCCAATCGGGGGCAATTGTCCAAGTATGATGTTTTCACTGACACCTTTCAATGGATCCATCTCTGCAAGTATAGCTGCCTCAACCAAAATGTCGACCTAAGGAAAATTAATAATATACCCCCTATTCAAAATATTACATGAACAATAATCAACACACAGAGATATTAATCAAAGCCTGCTTCTATTACACTCCTGCAGTGAAACATTCATCAAGTATAGAACTAGAGGTATAGCTCCTTGTCGTACGGTGTTTCTAGGTTACCCACAAAATGCTAAAACTGTTACAAAGAAATATCTGAAAAAACTATTTTCTCATTGTTTGAAAGTGCAGAGTACTAGGGGTTGTCTGTTAAAGGAGCTTCACTGTCATTTGAAGACTAGATTCTGGGGGCAACAGGGTTTTCTAATACCCCTGTCTGCAACAAACAAAATTGCTCATGGGTCCTAAAGATGTTAAAGAGGTAAATACTGATATCAAAAATCTGATAGATATTTTAAAACGGCACAAACAAATTAAAGCGAGTAGCCAGCAAGTAATGTAGATTTAAGCTGAAACTCACCGTCTCCTCGAAGGAGCACCTCATAAGTGCACCGACCTCTTGTCGGTTGATACCATGACGTGTGATGGCCATGAGATGTCCCTTTGATGTCATAATATCACAGAGCAAGGCAAGATGACGATAGTTCACGTATGAACCATCGAATGAGATGACGTGATTCATTTCCTTTTCAACTGATTTTCGTACAGCCTCGACACCCAAAACCTAAACAGGTATAATAGCAGAAAGAGTTGTACAAAGGCTTTGAATTATCTCAACTGACTACGTATAGGAAAGTAGTTATATAGTAGGATGATAATGTACCGTTGCCACTACAGTCAGATGTAGTGTTATTAGAAAGATTGCTAGATAGCTGGGGTTAAATAGATGCTTTTCCCTGGATAACCTCGACTTTCAACTGCGTTTTCAAAATCCAATGCAGTTTGTTTTACTTATTCAGTTTCTTCTCTCCATAATGAACAACTTTTAGCTTGATTGAGATATCTAGCAAAATTGAAATATCTTAATTTCTGCTGTAAGAAATTAATAGCTAGTTACTTACCGCAAAAATTTCACATATATCATTGGACGTTGTTCTGACTGGATCAACATCTCTCTGGCTAAGGACCTGTTTTAAAAAATTGTCATTATCAAAGATCAAAAGTTTGATGAGAAATCAAACTTGAATGCAGAGTATTACAGCAAATAGCAATCTAAGAGCGGCGCTACATAATACAACAGAATTTTGCTGGATACAAATAAGCTTTTAAAAAAGCAAGTTAATAACCTTTCTCAAGCACTATCTTTGGTGTTTGAAGTAGATTTAAAAATCAAAAAATGTTTCTCGGGAGTCTAGCCCGTCACCCTTAAAATGGTGTTTTGGTTGTTACATATGGTGACCAAATTATTGTCATTAAATTGAAACATATCGTAAACATAAAGGACGAAATTTAACAAAACGACCACGATCCTATTAGTTTGCATCAACGAAATTAAATAATATAATCAAGACAAATTTTTACAAACAAAAATATAATCAATACAAAAATAAACAAACAAAAACAAAAAAGGCAATATAATCTCAAAGAATTTTCTAATCTATGACATTGTTTTTGACATGAAATCTGACCCAATGTTGGTTGCTAAGATTTTAATGCTAGGTTTCGAGGCTTAGCAGATTTTCTAGGGAGGCTTGCAAAGCTTATTCTGGGTCTCAGGTTGCTAGCGCTAGAGTGAGCCTTGATGATAAAACGAACAAAAACAAAAATATATAAAAAGTGTTAAGTAATCGATGGCAAATCAAGACAAGAACCTTCATGAGGCCGTTTCCATCGGTTTCTAGAATCCATTCTTGGAGAGCTTTGAATTCGCCTTCTTCGTTAATGATGATTCTTTTCTTGCTATCTTGCTGTGGCAAATGCATGTACACCTTTGCAATGGAGTCAATGCCCTGCAAAGTCATGTCTGTCAACATGTTGGCTTCAATGCAGCGGAGAAATACGTCATCGTCCATCTTGTCAACCGGCTCCTCTTCCTTTCAAATAGAAATAACAGATAAAATGTAGAACAGGGTTGAAAACGTAGATGCAAGTGTCTTTATAGATGTGTGCATTATATGTTTATGTATAAATCCAAGATGAAACAGAAGAAGCATTGCCTTCGTTATGATTAAATCTCCAGGTTTGTTTCGAAAATCCTTCGCTCTATTTATTGGAACGTGAGGCTCAGTAACGTGAGGTCATTGCTTACGAAGCAATAAAATGACGTCAGATTTCGATTGCCCTTATGAACTAACGTAACAAAAATAGAAATAACAAACTCGGGGGCAGGTGGCGAGGACAGGTGGGGATGGCAGAGGGAGGGACAGGGGCAGATGAAGGGGGTTTATATGTTTGAAAAAAGCAACCTTTTAAAAAAAATCTCAACCTTTTTTGTCCGGGAATCTTTTCTTTAATGCCTCTATCTTATTAAGCAAAATCAGGCCCGAGTTTCTTAAAACACTGCATCTCAAAGGCTTTACTGTTCTCATGAATCAAGATTTCCTATCAAGAGACCTGACAATCCTCAATAATAAAGCACAATTAATTCGTGATATAATGGAAAAAACACAGCGCTTCATTCATACCTCGGCCATTTTGTTGTCACTGTTCATTATCCTGATTCGCAATATGAGTTTCTCAGCATTGTCATCATTGAAAATGCAGTTGAGATCATCACCAAAGCCTTGGTTGATCTTGTCCGCAATCTGTTCCATGGTCAATTTCTTATCCGTCATACGCTTACGATCCAATTCTATACGCAACAACCACGGAGAAATTCGAGACGGGTCGAAATCCGGCATTTCATAATAAACATTGACGAATTCTTGGTCCTCTCGTATCACTGTGTTTTGAGGATCGGGGTCGTAGTATATAGCTGTATTGGCAGTTACTTTGCGAAGTGTGGTATGTTCCAGCCGGCATAAAACATCCTGTGAACAGAACAAAATTGAATGCTTCATATTACGCACTATTCATTGTTCGATTACATTAATTTGCCCGCAATTACACACGTTTGGATGACACATTTTTCGTTAATATTTCCTAATAAGTTTTCTTTGCATTCACACTACTACTAAATTACCACTTCCTAGAGAAAACAGGATTCAATGACAAGCAAAACCTCTAGTTCTCATTACTAATCTGTGAATTTCACCTAGTCCTCGAAATTATTTCTGGATGCCGATTATTTACAAATTATCCACTTCTTTAGATTCAATAACCGACACTTACCTGTGTAACTTTGAATTTCACTTTGTCGTTCTTATGAAATCTTCAATTGGCCTATGCATATACTCATATTAGAACAGCTGGCGCGTCTTTAACTTTAGGCCCGTAATATTCACAACAACAACAGTAGGATTCTCTGCTTTTTTCTCAGTCACCCCGCTTCTACAATCTCGATTATTACGGTTACAAAACCACAATACAACTTTATCTAACAAAGGAAATATCAAACACTCTTATAAAAATTAATGATGGGTATGTACCTTGCACTTTTCGGCATCTCTGGCAGCTTGTCCCGTCAAGAAAACAGTGAGTGATGGAGTCTTTGGTTTCTTCGATACATTGATGATCTCCTTCAGTCGAGGTACACCAAGTGTTACATTCTTTGCGGAGACACCGGCGTAATGGAACGTGTTCAGTGTCATCTGTGTGGCGGGTTCACCAAGTGACTGGGCTGCTAGGGCACCGCACATCTCTCCAGGCTGGACCTAGGATAATTAACCACTAGTTTCGTTAGTATCGCTATTCTCTGTTTGATGCTTAGAACGGTGTAACAAGAGTCCGGGAGAAAATATTTGGGGAATATGTATGTTACCTCAAACAGAAAATCTTGTTTAAGACAACTCGCTTGAGCCAAAAAACCACTTCGGGAACCTGCTATTTCTTGACTTATATTAAACTTGATGTCGCCTTAGTCGAATGCCACCCAAGTCGAACGCATAGCTGGTCCTAATCAACTTATCTTCTGCAAAGTTCTCTTTATGTTAACAAAAAAGGCAAATATATTGCTGACTACAGTAACCATTGCAAAAACTAATACAATCATATAACGACTTTGTGCATTTGAAAGAAACATAATTTCGACGTTTCGAGAATAACACACAGATACCCACCTGAGACACATTGAATCTTGCTTCAATTTCACCAAGAAGCCAATCAAATGCTTCACTCGACAGCCTGAATTCTTCAATAACTCTCTTTGCACACAAAGTAGACCTCAGTAAACAATTAAACAATAAAGTGGCGTTGTACTGAGCAACTTTGCTGATTGCGTCTTCTCCCTTGATTACAAGTAATTTCTTTTCCAATTCCTTCACACCTGAGTAAAGAACATTTTATGTCAATAAATTTTCAGTTAAAGAGTAAGGATAATAACAAACGAGTTGGTAAGACTACAATGAATTAGTTCTAGCTGGACAGGACTGTTTCACTCATACAAGAGCATACAAAATTGCCTATGAGACCGATCTATAGATTCAACAAGAGCTTTGAGTTAACCGACAATGTTTTTTACAAGACAGATTTTGCACCAATAAACATACTACTATTGGCTAACACAAAGCGTCCAAATCAACAATCGGTAATAACTAAAAACCTTGTATATAAAACCTACTTTTTCTTAGAATTTCAAACTTATCTCTTTAAATTGGAAGTTCATAAACATTTGCAATTCGTTTTGAAGCTTATTCTGGCAATATTCAAACTTCCAAGCAGAACAATTGATCTTACGAATAATTTTATTATCTTTTGAATTCATTTTTTAGGGTCTATATAAACATGTACCTTCAAAAACTCTGGATGGATGAAGATCTGTTGGCAGCCTCGTGTTGACTTTGAAAGTCTTCTGTGCATTCCAAATCAACCTGTTTAAATTCACTGGCAATGCAACCTACACAAACAGACGGGCTTCAATAATATATTTCTTGTACTTGGCTAAATTTCGGATTGAATAATAACAAAGTTTAATTATGTCGTTAATATCGTGAATGGAATTCCTTAACATGTTTGCACCAATCAAGACGATAACTAAATGTACCATTAATTAAACAACATCAACTCCCCATCCCCCCCCCCCCAATATATAAATGTTCTCTTGATACTTAGGTGTAGATCAGTCATAAACCCCTTTATCTGCAACTGACATCACTGATCCAGTAAGATTCTTTGCTGCTCAAAATCCTACCCCGTCCCTGGTTTCCCTTTTTACCCAAAAATAGTCAATATAAGACATGAACGCATGCTGTCATGTTTTTATTTTTCTATTAGCAGCACCTCAACCATCAAACAAACCTATACTTCCTTTAACAGAGCCTTCTTCTAGACACTGATATGCACATACCAGCCGTTTAAATTCTTAAATTTTGTAAAAGAAAAGACAATGTGAGAAGTAAATACACGATCGCTGTTCGATGTAAAACATACCCTGGTTTCACCACTAGGGAAGATCTGTCGCAAGACCTCTCTATCCTTTCTCATCTGATCAAATTCATCCTCGCATTCGTTCAGCGTAGCCGCGTTTTCACCAACAGTTTTGACAATGTCTTCTTGAAGAAAATTCTTCAAACGTCTGAAAAGAATTTTAGATTAATGATAAGTATTCTTATTCTTGTTCAGAGTTATGCGGTACTAGAATCGTATAGATATATATTTTGTAAACCGAGTAGACAAAAATCGAAACAACATTAGAAGTTGGGTAAACAAGAAAAAAGTAAGGGGTGTAGTTATAGCTATTAAAGTCAGATAGACATTGAACTTTTGTGTTGAGTGGAACTATATCGCAAAATAAACGGCTGTAACAGAGTCCCTACCGTTCGTTGCTGACATCAAAATAGAACTTTCGCTTAAATGTCGTGTCATTTGGTTTGAGAGTACCAAGATTTTGGAACTCTATAAATTCAGCAGCCATACCATCCTCACCATAACACAACTGTACAACATACTGGTTAGAGTTTCTCACAGTGCCATCATAGGCAACCATAACACTTTCCATGGCCTTGATCAATCGACGCTGAATGTAACCAGTTTCACTTGTTTTGACAGCAGTATCGATCAGTCCTTCACGTCCTCCCATAGCATGAAAGAAGAATTCAGAGGGAGTCAAACCGGCAAGGTATGAATTCTCAACGAAGCCACGACTTTCGGGTCCATAATCGTCCTTGATAAAATGAGGCAAGGTTCGATGGCGGAAGCCGAAGGGTATACGTTTACCTTCAACGTTCTGCTGGCCTACAACTGCAATAACCTACAGAATAAAGGAGACAGAGGTTCAGCATACAATACAGCATAGGCCCCTTTATAGAGAAACAAACATGTCCATAAATAAGGGGATATGAAAAGGGGAAAGAAGCCATAACAAGATAACGATCAAAATTTAACATTGCTAAAAAATTGAAGAAATGACACAGATAAAATGATTATTGATAATTTCAGTTTATGATAGCTTATGATTCATGACTATGATTGATAAATGAAGAAGAAGGTTATAATTGATGACGATATGATCAGTGGAGATAATTACTTGTGAAATGTTGATTTTCGATCCTTTTGAGCCTGCTACCACCATGGACTTGAAGTTATTAAACTCTGACAAACTCTTCTGTGCACTTCCACCAGTTTTGTCACGACAGTCGTTCAAGATACGGTTGACCTGCAAACAAATCGTTATTACATTGCTATCAATCAGTAAAAAATCCTATTTTGTGAAATTAAACCATGAAATAGACGATAAATAACAATCATCAAAAATGGGACGAACTGAAAAAGGGCAATAAAAAATCTGATATGGCAGTGGAATAGAATGATGAAATAAAAAGCTTTTCTGTCTCTGTAGAATCAAGCAATTTTTGTGAAGAATCAAGCGATCGAATCACTAAATTTTGTAAAGAATCAAGCAATCAAAGCACTCAATCTTCTAAAGAATCAAGCATTGAATCTTTAAGACCAATAGATTATTGCAAATCGCTATCAAGCGAAAAGAATCACAGAATAGATTCAAAGTGAGCACTCACCTTATTTTCGAATGTCTGTCTCAGTGTGTTACCAGGCGTTGGCTCCAGTTGGTTATTGTGAGCTTGCTCGATAACTTCAATGACCTCTTGCTATTGAATGAAAAATCAAAGCACGTATTAAAGAAAAATTTATGAAAAGGAAGGCCACAGAACTACTTCACAATATACATATTTTAGTTGACAAATAGCCGCATAAACATGCATTTTAGTATAAATTTCCCAGGTCCCTGAGAAACAATATATGGAAGCGCACGTTGTCAAATTAAAAGCTTGTGCTGTTAACAACGCGTTAGTTGACCAAGACGACTTGAAACAAAAACGTTTATATCAGCGTTATTTCTGTCAAAGATTCGCTATTTCGTTGTTGGAAAAAATTATAAGGGAACGTTTTCCATCGCTACTTCTGAATTCAGTATTGGTCTGTTTTGTTCTACATGAGGCGTGCAAAGGAATGGTGTTGATGTAGTCTCTATAATTCCATCAACAAAAACGAATGTTCCTCACCTTTGATTTCTTTATCGTGTCTTGAATTTCTTTGTACGTCTCTGAGTCGGCGATACAATCACCAATGCCAATACTGTGTCCCTCCACCAGCAGCCAGTTATTAACGAGCTTCTGAATGTCACCGTAAAATTCTTTAGCAGTCTCTGGGCCTTGCTCTAAATAAACAACATGAACCAGAGATCCAGCTGAAGTTCCTAGTGACTTCTTGCAAAGAATTCCAGCAACATGCTCTCCGTCTTCAATCAAGACCTGAAATTGAGAAATCACAATTGTTCATAGCAAATAATTATTAAGGCATCAAATCTACCAGCTAATATCGTCCGCTGGCAATTCAAATATCCGTGTCATTGCCTTTGAGGAGAGACAGCCTAGCGAAAGTAAACACATAATTACATCTGCAAGCTTAGGGAATATATAATCCTTCTCTTCTTTCTAAGTTTGTCGCCTTCTGAGGCACTTCTTTGCTGCAGTTATTTCTTTTTAAACTTCAGATAAGAAAATGCAAAGAAAGTTCGATGCATCTTTTATTCAATCACAAAATTTGTTGGCTCAACTAAGTCTCAACTAAGCCATAGGTTAATTGTCATCTTAGTATTTTATATAAAGTATGCCAGCAATTTCGTCTTGTTCTAGAAACTAGAGGCATTACGATCTATGTTAGGACGTTTTTACTCTGTAGAGTGTCAGACGAAAAGCTTTAGTATGTTTCCAAATGTTTGCTTTTTCAAAGCCATTTATTAAATTCTGTCCCACCAAAAGATTGTTTGCAAGTATCAGAGCATTATTTTTGAACAAAAATTGAAGTAACAATTGTCGCTTTACCTGCCAAGCTTTAAAAAACAACACGTGAGACGCAAAACTATGAAAGAAAACTTACCTTGGTGTCTCCTGGAGAGATATGGCGATAAGGCCCATTATCCTCGTCATCAGGATGTGTGCTGTGAGTTCTGATGCAGTTCACTCGACCAGGTATAATAAGCGAAAATATCTGTTTCCCTGTCCACAAAGGCTTTGGCTTCAAAATGGCTGGAACAGGAACCTTCCCATTCCAGTTCCTCATCCACATCAACAGGTTCATTACCAAATCCTATAAAAAACAGCACTTCATACTTCTAGCAAACTTAAAACATTGTTCTATCAAATCTAAAATCATTTATATAAATTAATAATATCAGATTTTAAGAAAAGATTGATACACAAAAATAGTATTAAATGTTCAACAGTTTTGAGTGCGTTACTCTGTGACCCGAATTTCTCCGCAATTTCTCTCAAGTTCCCTGAGTCACCCTCTTTCAATTTACAATTCTAGAGAGTCATGAAGACCGTCATAAAAAAGCATAAAATGCGAACCTTTTCCATGAAAGCATCTCTTTTCGTGAACTTTCTTATGGCACAAAGTGAATCCTGCACAATTCCCATAACAGGTCTATTTGACTGCGGTGTGACGATCATGCGTGGCACCATCATCAATTCTGATACCTCTGCGCGCGTTTCCATCGACTGCGGCACGTGCATGTTCATTTCGTCTCCATCGAAGTCGGCATTATACGGCGTTGTCACACTGGCAAAAAAATATTGTGATTCAAATTCATTTTGCTGAACCTACTAAAAATACATCATTATAATTACATTATGAATATATTTTCTTTTCGTTTTTTAATCCTGACTAACCCTACAGATTTGAATTGCAATCATCGACGGATTTAACTGTTAGATACAACGAAAAATTAATAGAAGACAAGGAGCCTGGTCGTGTTAGAAAAATCCAATCACCTTAGGTAAAAATATCAACATATCAAACAGTTGTTGAGGGTCTGTGAATCATAAAAGAATCTGACACTTTTAAGGAACGTTCCAGCCCATCTTTTAAACTTAAACCAAGCGAAACATAGTTTAGTTCCGGTACATACCTTAAGTTCAGTCTAAACGTAGACCAGGGTAAGACCTTTACCCTATGTCCCATCATGGACATTTTGTGAAGTGTTGGCTGCCTGTTAAACACAACAACATCGTTGTCTATGATGTGTCTCTCCACTTTGTAGCCATACTGCAGATGAAGATCACTTCGCTTAGGATGAAATCTCAAATCGATCCTCTCGCCATTATCCCGAATAATGTATTTCGCACCAGGGTACTGCGTTGGGCCTCGGGCGACCAGCTCTTGCAGCCTAGCAAAGATAAAGGATGAGTATCTTAAATGGCTTTACCTATAGAAAAGAGCGTACAACACACAATTTTATGAAGCTTTCTTTTACGTCCCTGCCTAATTAAAAAGGTACTAGCTTGATACTTTGAGAACAAGCAGTATAATAATGGTTTTGAAAAAAACAAACATTATATAATTTATCAAAGCTCTTCGTCTGACATTATTCACAGTATAAAACATAAGAATATAGGTCCAAAACTCTTAGCTAGGAAGTAACATAGCCAAATGTGGATCGAAGAATGGGTATATATATTTTCGATAAAAATTGAAACTGACTGATAATTTATTGTGCAGTAGTTACCTGTCAATATTGAACGCCGTTACAATCTCCGGGTATGTGAGATTCATGGCGATGGTCCTAGGAGTGCCAACTTGATCGATATCCAAATTTGGATCGGGCGTGATTACAGCCCTAGCACTGAAGTCGACACGTTTTCCCATGAGGTTGCCACGAATTCGGCCTTCCTTACTTTTCAATCGCATTTTTATTGACTTCAATGGCCTGCCTGACTTTTGCACTGCCTGTAAATCAAGCAAATCAAGAGATTTAAATTGGTTATCTTGCAAGAATTTCCATACTGAGAGAAACAAAATGTTGAACAGTATCCATACATAATATTACAGTGTTGGGTACTCTGATGTTTACAGCAGCATTAATTTAACACCGGTTCTAATTTGTCATTAGTACTATATAAAAAATACCATGTTTGGCCTAGACCAATTCGCCTGTCTCAATGAATTGTACCTTAACATAACACTGAACATGCTATATGCAACTAAATTCCCGCCATTCGTTTTAGTTCCAGAAGGTCCAGAATCCATCCCTTTATCCCTTCCATTTTCTCTGACAAAAAGCGCGTTTCGCACAATATGCACGTAAACAGTGCCAAGAATGGGAAACCAAGATTATCAAAAAACAGCTTATCCATATTTCCTTAATTGTTTCAATGTAATCTCTAAAGGTACTTGAACTTGGCGAATAGGACTTGAAAAATTACTTTTTTAACGCTTTCATGCCAAATGCCGACGTTTACACGAAAAAAACCAAAAGCGTCGATAAAAGACACAACAAACATAATTAAACACTGAACACAATTGTTTAAAATCAAAAAATTTCTTAAACATCATTTTTCCAATTTAATAACTTATAATCTGACTTTCAAACTATTGATTCAGGAGGAGCGAGTTCGTTTTTCGAGTTCGTTAGAGAGAAAATTTTCGTGTTAGACAAACTTTCTGGCAACAGCTATTCTCGACATCTACCGCTTTTTTCAAAAGAAAATTCAAAGTTTTAAACTGCCAACGTCTCCTTAATCGACATTTCATGTTGCACACAAATATTTATGAATGTTAAGGAAAAATTAAGTATAAACGGGAATGGTGTTAGTTGAAGGTCCAAGATTTTGTGATATCAACAACAAACTGTAGCCGAATGACAAATGCCCCTGGAATAACATTCTTTAAGAAAAACAACATCTACATATTTGAAACTTTTCATGCATAAATCATTACACTAACAAGCAATGGAATTGAAAAAAGTGACTATTAAACTAATGAAAGATGACCACTTTCATACATTTCTTTATTATAAAAAGGGACTACATATTGCAGACTATAGATTTTCTTTAACTTAATTTGAAGGCCATAAAAGTTTACAATGAGCAAACATTGACAATGGAATCAAAATCTTAACAGAATAATGACATGGTTTATGGGAAAAGCCTTTATATTTTCAACTTTGTTCTGAACGCTTCCTGATTCAAGTACGAGCAGAAGTTGCTCTAATTTTCTAATCAGAAATTTGTTCAGCGTAACTGCTTAGTGAAATAAATCAAGAGTAGGGGATTTTACAGGTCTGATTCATTGTTGGTGCGTAAACAAACTGCTGAGAGCTAAGGATTTGCGGCATCGACGGGCAAAGGCATTTGAAATCGAATCATGCATGTTAAGCTTTGCAGACGGATAACAGTGATTATCGATTTCCAAACAATAGGGGACATCTGTTTATATTTAAAGGTTTACTCTTTGATATTGGCTGCAGCTGATCAGCTTCGTAGAATAAACAATCAGAACCCACTCACCCTGCGTCTACTGCTTCAAGAAAACGTTTTTAAATGTCAAACCCCATCTCAACTCTCTAAGAAGACCCTCCCTGCTAATACGAAACCATTCGCATTGAAAACTTGAAAAATGAGTATCTACAATCCCTGACAAAATTGTTGAGACAAATACAAGTTTGCAATTTCTACTTTAATTTGCCCCCGTAGATAGAAATTCACCCTTTCCCCTCGACTCAATGTTGGATTAGGATTTCTATTATTTATGCTTCTAAAAATCGATTCAGCGTCGAATCGGGTGAAGGGAACAGTTATTTCTCAAAGGGAAAAGCCTTTTCTGTGGAAGTCTCGACTATTTTTGTTGGGGATTGTAGTTAATTTTCCATATTCGTTTATGTTAATGATTGGCTATCATTAGCTTTGCAGCTGTCATCACGCCAACCCTTTTTAAATTTATCATAATGTAATATAAATTATGCCTACAAGCGCATTTTGATTAAGCTATGGTCAAGTAGACTCTTTTTTATAAGAACAATTTTAATAAGAACACCAGCCTCAAAATTGGTTGAAAGTTAAGAACAAATTAAGAACAAGCTGAGGCTGCGGTACTGTAAGCTGAAATTTTAAGCAACGTTTTATCTCAAAAAGGAGGATTATTAGCCTTGTTTGGGTGCTTTTTTGGTGAATTTTCAAACTTGTCGTAAAATGAAGGTTGTCTCACTAACTGAGCTCCTCCCTAGAGCCAAAAACCTAGCAACTGCACTGCTTACACCCTATCAATTTAAGAACAATTAAGAACAATCCAGCCTCAAATTTTCGAAAAAATTAAGAACAGTCAGCTTCAATTTAAATTACGGATTCTTATAAAAAGAGTTTATTGGAAGAGCCAAAAAAATGTTTATAAATGTTCGGGTATTAAAACGCTATTAGATGAAGGGTCGATATGAAGACAGCGAGTGTGAAAACAATAATTTACGTGAATTTTCTAGACAGCCAATGCAATACCTGTTTTCAAAAGGGTCTAGTATATCGTAGGTGAAATGATGCAAAAACCAAACTGCTGGCGTATGAGATATTTTCACATTTACGAAAGCGTATGCAGGCATTGTTTTACAAGAGACCGAGCCCTAAGATGATATAAAAAAAAGCGAAATCGAAGTACTGTTCATCCTCTGAAACTTAACAAAGTGCTTGGGTTTGATACTACTCTCCTTGTGACTGACAAGACGTTCTGTCTTATGCTCTGTACCACTTGTATCTATCTGCAAAGTACTGAAGTTTCTAAACTTATTTTACCGCTATTACTATCGTTGGTAGACGCATCTTCCTGCAAAAACTTACATATTTGACTTCAATCTCATGTATGAATAATTGAAGAAAAATTTTCGGCTATGTATGATGCCATATCATGGTAAAAACAAGAGCTAATCTTTATGCAACTGCTCAAAGGCTCGGATTGCACGCAGCCTAAACCGTTTGTGACTAAGCAAATAGATCAACGGGTTGAGAACGACTTTAAGGTCCACCAAGCAAACAATTAGCAGCAAAAAATCAGCTGGGAATTTAACAACTTTTGACAAATTCAAAATATTGGTCACTAAAGCTGGAGTCCAGCACACAACGTAAACGACAACAATTATGAACATCACTTTGGTGACGGCTACCTCGAAGTCGCTACGGCCTCGTTTTAGCTTATCACTTCTAGATGAATTCAAACGCTCGCGTAGGCCTGGTGAATGTCTCGTTTGGATGGGACTGTATTTTGTAGCATCGGTTCTCAATAGCTCACGTCCTGCAGGAATTTGAAGGTCACCCACCGATGGTCTTGACAAATCGAGAATATGATCACGAGCAACAATGGATTTATCCTGTATCTCCGTCGCCCTAGATCTATGCGACCGCAAGAGCCTGTATATTCTGTAGTAACAATAAACCAATATAGGAAGGGTTATGCCCACATTGATTGAATAATAGATACTTCTGAAGACTATGTTCTTCGATGACCAGTTTACAAAGCAGGCGCCGTGTGACGAGCTATAGGCATATTCGCCAATACCAAAAACTGGCAAAAGAGACAATAGCATTGTGCCAGTTGCTAGTGAAAGGCTATAAACAATAGTTCTTTTTCTCGAAAATACGATGTGGAATCTATGAGGATGCACTACTTTCCAAAAGCGAACGCTTGCAATGGCGGCCAGAAGCAGGACCGACTGGCAAGAGCAAATAACTCGCAGCATGCCCACGATGGGACATACCGTGGGATCCATAAACGACTTCTTTCTGGCATGATTTGCCACTTTTATTGGTATTACTACAGATGATTTCAGTAAATCTATCGCCGCAAGCTGCATGACAAATATGTTATTAACTGTGCGAAGAGAAGGGATCTTTATGAAGACATACATGACACTAGCATTACCAAAGGTTCCCAATATAGAAATTATGCCAGAGACAATGACGTTGAACAGGAGACCTTCCTCCGACATTTCTGCTACTTTGCCAGTCTATAATGAACATTCCGCGAATAATATGGCATTTTAGAAGAACAAAAACAAGATGAAAGGAGAATCCAACGTTGTTGATACGCTTGAAAACGTCTTGCTAGCTTCTAATAATTCAACGGCGGCTCAAGAACAACTGCATATAGACATTAATCCTACTTGGTTCGTTGAATCAACTTAACCAAAATCAGTTCAAATGCAGGCAAATTTCGCTATACACAAAAACAGTAACGATCTTGATCAACTCTTCGTTTGAAATAAAAGAACCAACGTTCATTAGCCGAAAATTCACTGTTATGTCTTTTATCGATGATTACATAACAGTTAGCCCAAAGGCATCAAATCAGATAAATATAATGCATGTTAAGCAGCGAATCATTGCCAAGAACTCACAGATTCTAGCTCTGGATCGATTTAAAAATTCATGACCAAATCATTGTCATTTTGAATAATCTTATGACTAATTTGCGAATTACAAAGATGCTTCTCAGTAGTTTCAATTTGGTTGTACAAGGCCAATTTCAATCAACTCGCTGTGAAGAGAAATCTTGCCTCTTTTGAAGCGAGCAACTTTTCTTTGTAAGTTATTCTCCGCAGCTATTTCATCTTATCCACAACACGCTGATCAAGCTACACAAGATCCCGGCACAGGCTTTCTCGACCTTTCCTGTGTTCAAACAAACAGCTTTCATCGATAACCAGCAAACGTTTACACGAATGCATCAAAACCCGCCAACGTTATAAACTTCGCAAAACCATGGCATAACCAGATCAAATAAACAAGAAATGCAAAATTTGACGATACCAGTGTCAACCCATGCAAGTAAACTTCGTTGTTTACTTTTGCTTGGGAAAACTTGTGATTGCAGAAGCTAAATAAATCCTTTTGCTCGCAATTTGAAATACCTGACGTAGGTTCTGATAACTGAACAACAGGACGTCAACAGCAAACTGTTACTGACCACTTCCCCGATGCTCTAGCGTCCGAGCCTCGTATGAAGATACTAAAAAAACAGTTCAAGCGGCGAACGTTCTACGAAGCTAACATCAACTACACACTGGTAACTGATGTTGGAACACCATCTGTTTCTGCACTTTCACAGTGCTGTATAACAATACGGTGCATGCACCTTAAGCTTTCACGCAATATAATTATTTGTGAAATCTGCACAAGAAAGTTATGTATAGTGACGTAGAACGTCTGGTCGGAGCAACACAGCGAATCTAGACGACCACTTCAGTTTCCTGTAAACGATGCTACTCTATAAGATTTTTGACAAATGAGAAGCAGTTCTTCAAAAGGCATACAAGCGTGCCTTAAGAACTATTGTCAAGTCTTGAAGAGCTGGCTAAATGATATAGATCTACAATCCTTTGTTCATAATGCCAATCACATCTTGTGAATAAACTGCAAGGATTCACAAACAGCTTTACTGCACCTATTAATTAGAAACTGTGATGAAGCACCATTTCTCCGCATTAAGAACCTGCCGCTTGATACCTGGAGCAATTAAACCCATACACAAGAGATTGACAAAACCGTCTGCATTCATTTACATTGAAGACTCGCCATCAAGGAATACTTCCGATGCTTTATTGAAAGCAATAGTGGGAATTAAAGCTGGACACCACGCTAATTCAATTTAAAGGTAAACGAGCTGGAATATATTTAAACAGGACACCTGTCAAATCTTTTTTCTTCGACTTTTAATCATCCGGCAGATGTTTATTAAGCTAAGATGTATTCTATGGCTGCTTTGAAATGCATAAAAGTCAAAGCATCCCTGTCTTACAAATGCTTCAAAGTGGTAATCATGTTTTTAAATAGCTTTCTTCTCCAATACAACTCCCTAATACATCTACAATCTCTACAAGTAAACTTTCTCCTTAAAGTACCCTTGATACCTCTCTGCTTTTTAACTTTCAAAAATCTCCATGAAACCACAATTGTCGAACATCTGGGTGTCACCTCGATTTTGGGTAAGGGCAGAGCTGGTTTAAAGAGAGCTGTAATAGACAGCTCTGTTCTTTGGATTAATATCTTTTTAAAAACATTCTCTTTCACTGTTCTTGATATTTCGAAATCGTCCTTACATACCGTAGAAAAATTTTACAGCAAAAGAACGGGGCACAGTAAACTATAAAAATGGGTAGCATGCGAATAGAGTGCTTTATCTATTTCCCTCAATCATCTCCATTCAACTAAATATATATATCAACTATAAGCAAGAGTGCAAGCAAGCAAGGTATTTGAATAACAGTAGACATCATTGAACATCTATATTATCAATATCAACTGTAAGCAAAGGTGCAAGCAGATAAGACTTCACAGGTCAGGGTTCTGGTAGCTATACCTGATGTGAACCTGCGTCTTATCAAAGCAAAAACTCTCAATACTACCTTCAGTAATTGCAGCTGCTTGGCTTCCAGGCAGTACAGAGTACATTATGGCAGGCAATCTTATTTAAAAAGGAGATGATTGTCTTATTAAAGGGGAGGATTATAGCAAGAAGATACTTTATCTGCATACACGACTCAACACCAACACAAAAAGAAGGGCATTGTACAAAGTTCCTGCGGATGGGTGACAAAACAATCTCAACTTTCAAGTGTTTTGGGCTGATGCTTCAGGAATGTGAAATATCCTTTAAAGAATTCGAATGTCTTTAATTGGCAAAATGCACTTGGCCAGTATTCTACTTGAAAAGCCCCACAAATAACAGCTACATTGCTTAACAGCCTTTTTGGTTGTCAAAATAGGAATTCTCAACCACTGTATTTAATAAGATATTGAAAGCTCATACCCTTGGTAAGCCAGGCAGCTCATTGTCTGTCAATGTTGCAACATGAAATTGTAACATTCTTAGATCCTCCGCAACAATATGGGCTGGAGCACCATTCATTTCATTCTTCTTTAAGTGGTTGTTGGCTTTAACAATATCTGCTAGTTTGTGGGTAAGATCATCCTTGGAAGAAATTTGATAAGAAGGTTTTTGATAGATGTGGCAAGACATGAAAAAACATGACATACTGATTAAAACCAAATTAATGAAGCAAAAATTACTGAATACTAGAATTCTCTCCATAAAACATTGATCTGAAGACAAATGCAAATTCATTGCATTAATCTACAACTAACTTAGTCACAACTAAAATCAGATTTTAATACTGAAGAAGAAATTTTATTTTTCAGAAATAAATACAGAAGCTGACTGGAAATGCTATCAATTTTTTTCTAGAAGGACAAAGAACCTCCAGCTAGTATGACTAAACTATAGAAGCTGTAAAGGTAGGAAGTCAGGTTTTATTGAAAAGCTTTGCATTGACACATAGATAAATACCACATAATTACCCCCTGAAAATGGCTACTAGTTCCTTATTTTGGATAGATATATAAAATACAGAAAACTAAATGATACCTGGTTTCGTGCTGTCCCATTCATCACAACAGCTGGCCTTACAGGCAAAGGAGGAACTGGCAGAACAGTAACAATCATCCAATCTGGTCTAGCAAACTTTGGATTCATTCCAAGAAGCTCACATTCCTCATCAGAAATTCTTTTGAAAATCTCATACACTCTATCAGCGGTTAATGCCAGCATTTTCTCTTGTGAATCTTCATTAATGTACTTCCATTCAGCTGATAAATCAAGTCCTTGCCTTCTAATTTTGGGCTGGTATCTTCCACATCCACCATGATTCTAAAAACAGACAATCTTATCTATTCTGCATTTCAAACCCGCAAATACAGATGTTAAACTTCTTTGCTACATTATTTAACATCAAATATTTCTCAAAAGAGCTGAGATGAATGAGGCCAACAACAAGTGCAGCTGAGTTAAATATGAATAGCATATAAATGATCTGCTGAATGAGCATCACAAACAGCAATTTACTTTTTAAGTTTATCTTATGTGGTCAAAAAGAAATTTCCCTAACTACACATTGTTGTCAGTGCAAGAAAAGCAGGCATCAGCTTTTTTGCCTCTTAACATTAAGAGGGCAGTCTGTAGAATAACCAAACTGTTTTTTATTATTGTAATGCATTATATCTGCAAGGGTTCACTTGAACACAAAATATCAAATGCTCATTAATATTTATTGATGTCTTATGCAATAATCAACCTAACTGAAGTTAAAGACACAATCATATTTCACCTTCTTTGTATCCCTCTGTTCATCCTGGCCAGCCAAATTTGCATCAAATTGCTGGTCCATGATATCACCACCTTCACAAACACTTTTTGTTTTGCACAAATCATACACATGCTGCATTCTCTTTCTTGGGTTCAATTTTGTTTTTGAAATTATTTCTTGAAGCTTTGGATTGCTCTGAAAAATTAAAATTAAAATTTTGTTTATAAAAATTTTGATAATTACATTTGATCAAATATTAATCTTATGACTGAATGAAATGAATATACAAAATATTTAACAGATTACTTCTAGCTTAAAAGAATCTTAAAAGATATATATACTTCATGCATATCACGAAGCATAATGAGAATGCTTCCTATAATGATGGAAAAAGACAAAAATATTCTTTATAACCACAATACGTAAAATAAATGCATGACAGTAAGAAGAACAAAGAATCTGAAAGGACAGTAATAGAATAGAATTCTTTCATAAACTGCTGGCACAAAAAGGGTGTCAGATAATGAATCCTTTGTCATCGATACAGTCCTGGTAATATTTAAATTGTCGGCGTGCTGGTAATCGCATGCCTTGAAAAGTTTAGGCATGCAATGATGTGCGATCCATAAAATGGAGACCTGATGTCATCTTTGTATTAGAAGGTGTGTATCATTGTTTGAAAAAGAGTATGAGGTTTGAAAAGAAGTTTCTTGAGAACAAAATAATTTAACTGAAAGGATACAAGTTTTTAAGGCCCTGTTGCCATTATTCTGTTTTCGAACGACAACAGATATTTTTTAAATTTTGAGTTCCATTAATACGCTCAAAAACAGAGTCATTTGATAACAAACCAAAGTTATTCAAAGTTCATTTAATCTCAGTTTCAAAAAGAGCTGAAGCAAAGGATATTAAAACAGATATATAAATATGGAGCAATGGAAACGCCTTTGTTATCACTTTGACCAAAACAGAGTGGCCTGGGGTAATGTGTTCAAGAAAATACAAAAAGAAAGGAGCAAGAGAACAAATTCATACAAAAAGGAAGAAATGGAAACCAGGCTGAAGAGTTCAAATGCCTTTAGAAATACCATCAATACAACCCACACAAAAGAAATTAAAAATTATTTTTGAGAAAATAAAAAAAAATTAAAAGAAACTAAAGAGAAAAAAGAAAGGTAATTCAAAACGTGGAACTGCATGTGTGATAAAAAGCACGCCTCAGGAATTTTAGGCATGTGTGGAGGGGTGTGCGTGTGATCACATGCCTAATATTACTAGGACTGTAGATATAAATGTCAAGTAGGAAAATTGACATATTTCAAGATTCAAAGGCTTTGTAGCTCACCTGCTTCTACCATACTTTCCCCCTTGAAATTTTGCTTTAGTCCAATGCATGTTCATTTTACAACTGAAGGAGTCTGATTCAAAAATAAATGGGTCATAGAAAGATTGGTTAGAAATTAATGTTGTTACGTTGCAAGTGGTTATGCATCAACCAAAGCTTTCTTATTTTGCTTACCATATCTACCAGCATTTTTGAACAGTAGAAGCAAAAACATCTAAGCAACTTGACAATATGCGACAGGAACCCAACATGAAAAACTGGCTTGGCAAGCTCAATATGACCAAAATGACCTGGACATTCTGTCATATTCCCTGCACAAGTGTGACAGCGGACCATTCTATCAATAACGCCCTGTCTTGGATCCATAAGGCCACCAAGCTTTGCTTTTCCTGCCTCCATAGTTTCTGGATAGCGGATCAGTGCAGCTGACATACGTTTCTAGGGAATAATTGTAAATAGAATGAACTTCTTCAAGTTGCATTAACTTTTATACTTATACATGTGAATATTGAGCTTGTGGTGTAGCCAGTAATAGACACTTGCCAACAATGGACAGTAAAACACCAGGTTTGAAAATAAATCTGGTCTATTGGACACTTGTCATGTAGAGGCATTCAGGGGCGGTTCCAGAGTAGACTTGAAGGAGAGGCAGTTGGTGGTGGGAGCATTGAAAAATTTCCAAAAATATATGATGAGAGTACACTGTATACAATATTTTAAATCCATTTTTGGAATAAACAACATAACTTTGAGGTAATCCTTGAAGCAAATTAACCTATCGGTCTCAGAACCATTTTTACCCGATTCTCATTCTTCAAAAGGGGCACACAATCAGGGGGGATTTAAGCAACAATGATTGGGGGTGTTAGACATTAATTTTGGTGCCACACCCTTCAGGTCACTGGTAAATGATGGGAATGCCCATTTATAAAATTTGGTTTTTAACTTGAAGGTAAAGATGATAAGAAGCATTGGAGTAGCCAGGGTTGGAAGATTGGTAGGCCAAAGAGGAAAATATTTTTGCTGATGAAAACCCTAGGAGTTTGGGAAAACACCCATTTTGTAAGTGTGTTTGAAAAAGCCAGGGCAATTATATGTGGCAATTTCCCTTTATTCAATGTCATAGGTGGCTGACCATATTCTACAACTACCTATTTCCTTCACAATTCCATTAATGTTTATATCCTGAATTGTGTAAGGCGAGGAATCTCTACATGTAAAAAGTGATTTAAAATTTTAAAAGTTTTAAACCAAGTCCGTTTTCCTTGGAACAAAATTGCATTTCAGAATCCAGTTTCTTTAAAGGATTGGACTGCTTTACCATTTCAGTTTCTATTCTATTAGGAATGTCTCAAGAACGTAATGCATTTCTATACAAACCCCAAAATGAGGGGAATTACTGAACAACGAGGCTCTCCTGCGAGCGAAGCGAACAAAAAGTTTTTGCGTTGATGCCCTTGAGATTAGCTCAAAATACACTTATGTAAAAAAAGTATTGGGACAAACTTCAAAATTTCGAAGACATTTTATGCAACAAATTTGGATAGACTTTGTTAAAATCTTTGCCATTAAAAAAGTAAACTCGAACTTGCCCCAATACTTTTGGAACGTAAGTTTACATTTGAGAATACCCCCCTCCCCCCGCTACGCTACTGATAAGAAGATAAATACTGATAAAAAATAAATAATGTAAAATCTTGGAGTTTCTTTTTTGTTACTGACTACCAACAAATGATTTTTACCGAATGAAACAAAATTGACTGAAGGACACAGAACTATTGGGAGGGTGTTGCACCCCCTATACCCCCTATTAAATTCGTCCATGCACACAAAAACCATAAAAAGGGTGCCAGACCTGCTGCAACACGTCAAGGAAGGGTCAACTGGAGGTATACCCCCCCCCCCTTAAATCCGCCACTGGAGGTATTAATTTTAATAAATTTATATTGACAAATTCGAGTGAAATAATCACTTTGCTAACATAAAACAAAACTGTATAATCATACTCTTGACAATTACTTTTTTGCTACAATTAAACAATTTGCAATTTAGAAAGTAAATTAAACAATTTCTTTCTGGTAAACAACATTAAAAGATAAAACAAGATAACTGTGTACTTTAGAAAACCCATCAGCGATATTTACGTAATTTGTAATCATAAACAAAAAAGTTCCAATTCGATGTCATCATTTTGGAGCATTGGCGATACATAAATGGTCAATTAAGTGCATACTTCTTAGCATATTATTGAACTACAAACCAAGCAACCTAGTGAGGTGGATGACAATTTAGCTAATAAAAAAATTATACCTAAAACAAAATCAAAACATTTTGGCTTGGCGGCTGATATTTCAGTCAATACATTTACATTTTTGTGTATCTCTTCATGCTAGATTACGCGCACTTCAAGAGAAATAATATTTGTGCAAATTTCTTTATATTTCGGTTGTTGAAATGTTTTTTATTTTTTTCAGATTCTGAAAGCTAGTTTTATTGTCGTTTGACGACAGCACTGTCCCCTATTTTCCTAGCAGGAACATGTTGCAAGATTTCTAGTAGGGCAAACAAATTGAAACTCACAATTTCATCTGGAGAAAGAATTCCAAACTGCATCCAGCTCACTGACCGGAGAGGAGCGGACGAATGCTCTTGTTGAGCGGGTCCCGGCATGTTTGTAGGACAGCCAGCAGGTCCAAGAGACCTGGCCTAGGCAAACCAAATTGTCAAGCTTCTTTCTAGATTTATACCTTCTTTCTCAGCATATTTTCTTCAAATAAAAGAGCAACACATACTAAATGATTGACTGTATATTGAATCCTTATTGTTTCACAGCATTTGTGATAGTTAAGGTAATCTAAAGGACGACTTTGCCTTCCTTTAACCGTACTTCTAAGCTCGCAACCGCTCTTGCGAGCATTTCTACGTCTCCACGTTTTATATTTATACTTTTGGCAAGATCTTCAGGGATGACCAAAAGAATATTGTGGGCACGTTATGTAACCTCGACCCAGACCTCTTGCCAGAAATTATGCAAAAGTGTGACGTCTTGGAAATTTATATATTTCTTTTAATCTGAAAGAACTACAAAAAACAATCAGTTTAATATACTGTAGATTTTCTTTGACATGGCCAATGAAAAAAAATTAGTTTTGCATAAGGCAAGCTTGCTAACGGACTGCTAATATTTTGAGTACATAAAGAAATGAACCAAAAACAGATTAAAGTGATTTGATGGGGACAAAACTTTGTGCTAATGTGGCCATCTACAAGACAATGCCACAGGAAGCATGAAAATACAAAGCAGCCCTGTGACCATTGTATTAAACATATTTAATTTGAATTGGAACTACATTAAATGCTTCAAATTACATGTTACATGTTACTCATAACTAATAACACTTATAATGATAAAGTTACAAAAAAAATACATTGACGAAACAAATGATGAATACATTGATGAATATATTCAGCACAATGCTAGAAATATGACATTCCCGTGCAAAGTTCATTTTCAGTCAATTTTAGAAGAACAGGGTAGGCCTTGTGTTGATAAAATTGAAGAAGAAAGTTACTCCCCCACCCCTGTAGCTTTCCTTAGTATCACACCCGTTTACAATCACGTTTCAGTTAAAAGGTATCCTTAGGGCTTTTCAAATTGAAAGTGAATTCGTGACATAGAAAATCAAATGATTCAGAAGGAAGGCTCGATTTATTTTACTTGACATTACTCATGCAGGTAAGAGGCAAGAGAGCGTGCAAATTCTTGCAATCATTTGATAATCTAAACTTCAATTTCTGAAATAAATAAATCATGAACTCTGTGCATGTAATTTGCTACTTTGCTTAAGATGCTAATTTGAACCAAATATTGTCCCCTTTTGCAATATCTTTTCTAAGGAAGCTCTGTTTATAATAAACGAAGTCTACTCTTCACATTGCTTTCATCTAACCTAGAAGAGAGAATTCGTAGCAATTTTAATTAATGCTCTATCTATTTGGCAGTGAGATTTACCGGGTCCGCAATAATGGGTCCGTTATGGCAGTGAGATTTACATGATATGTATAAAAAACGCAAAGCAAAAGAGTATAAATAGACCTTATTTAGAAATAGTGACAATCTCTCTAGTTAGCTTTGTTAAAAGAAAATAACTTTTCATAGACTAATTGACTAAAAAATGTTACAATAACTAGATTTTAAAGCGAGCTGACCTTTGGTGAAAATGCACTCTAGTATTTGTGAACCATTAGGCTGGGAGAACAAACTTTTCACGTTTGACGGGGTTTGACCACGGTTTTGCTGTGCTAGGTTCTGCATATAAGAAAGAATCAGTATTGATAAAATTCACAGCGATTCGTGCAAAAATACATGTAATAACAGTAAAAGCAAGAAAATAGAAAGACACAAAGGATACTGCTGTTTTTTGCTCTTGGCCCCATTCAGTCTACATACATAGCATTTTCTTCCCAACATACTCTCGTCTCCTTTTTTAACATTGTTTGCGTTTCGTTCTTTCCTTTTTGATCCACTCCACTCTGCTTCTTGCTACATTAGAAGGTTTCCTACGAAGCTTTTCCTGGGTTTCACCTTATAACTGATCCAGCTTTCAATCTGGCAATCCACAAGGCAAGTATTTTGTCAGAAGTCAACAATTTCATTTATGAACAATTTCATTTCATTTACCCAAGAAATCGAGCATGCAAAGATTTCTATCATTGAGACAAAACGATCAAAATACAAAACCCTGTCTAGATGAGAAGCTCTGTACAAGTCTCTTGGTTCAGAAACCATGGATATTTTCAAGACCATTATTCATGCTTTTTCGGGAGATAAATCATCCAGACCATGCACTAGCCCCCGTTTCGGGGTCATGGCACGCCCGTATTATCGCCTGAAACCCTGGGCGGGAAGTTCAAGAGTCGTGTAGTCACCACTGATCTCAAAAAAGACTGGATCGAGCTACTCAAGCCCAGCGTTGATTCCACATTGCAGAGTCCATGTTAGGACCTTGCTGTATTGCTTGGGATTAAAAAGAATGCATGTTGGTTTTAGTTCAATTTGCTTTTTCATTACAAAATCCAAAATTAGCATTGAAACAAAATTTTGTGATTTTCGAATTGCTTCCCGTGGTAATTAGTTTATGTAAGAGGGAATCCACTGTTCACTAACACTAATTTTCCTAGGTCTGTTCCTAGATTATTCAAGAATTCGATGAATCATGCACAGTCAAAAGCGCAGCACTGTGTGCGTACCGTTTTTACCAACTGCAGCCCTAAGCTTTATGCGCTAGAAGTCCCAACATGAAGAGATTCGAACAATTCCTCGTGCCGATGTAGGAGAACAATAGGCAATGATATAGGTTGGTCGATCCAGTCTTTCTTTGAGATCGAACAACTGTGCGAATACTGTTACTAATGCGCATGTGTCATGACCCTGCGAAATTAAGACGGTACTGTTTCGAAATAAAATACTGAAGGTTAGCCTCCCGAACAAATGTTGCATGTGAGAATGGGGGCATTTTGATGGCATCTATTTTTCTTGAGCCTTACCAGTTGTTAACGTGTAAACGCTATTTGCATGGTCCATTCCAACGCAATCGTACGAATTGTAAGGACATTTGAAGAAATCTTTTGCAAGGCATCTTTCCGAATTTCCGTCTTTAGCGTAATTTATGCTAGATTCATCTCCAGTCCAGCATTCACCTTAAAGAAATTGTTTGGATAGGAAGATTACATTCAAGAATAAAGAAATTCAAAAGTAGTTCGGCATAACATAGGGTGACCATTTTGGCACACGTTTGTCACTGTAGTGAGAAGATCAAATGCATGGTGATTTTGGCACACGTTTGTCACTGTAGTGAGAAGATCAAATGCATGGTGATTTTGTACAGCCTACTTTATTAACGTTGAACAAAAAGCAGAAAATTTACTCGAAAAAGCAATTTAAGGACACGATGAGACTGGACGACTGGCTATTTTCTACTGTATTGTCGCATGCACTTGGAGGGAGGGGCCTTAAAATCAGCATGCATTTTCATTAGATGTTATTTAAAGGACAGTGCCATTCCTGTCATACGCTTGTTTGACTATCTGTAAGATTAAGAAAGTTTTATTCACAAGTTTCATACGACTGAAGAAGAATAAAGCCAAAAACGAATATCTAACCCATTCCTCAACGTTATAAAGAATTGATGAAAGAAAACCAGGGGCTACATTCACATAAACAAGGGGGTTTTATTTACATTCTGCCTCCCTATGACGCTCGAGCTTACTACGTTACGTCAAGGAATGGAATAAAATAGAATAGTATTCATTTGTGCCTGTCCAAATAAATTGCAAAACACACCGTAAAATTGCAGTGAAAATGTTTTGCGTCCAAGCTCTTTGGCCTTCTTGGCACATCGGCAAATCATCTGGGGTGAGTAGGTGTTCCAGTTTTTCCAATCAATCAAATGATCGTTCCAGTTTTCGATAGTGTAGTCACGTTCGTTCATGACGTAGTCTGGAAGTGGTCTTGGCACAGCTTGCTTGTCTTTAAAACACCCAACAGGTTCGTAGTAAGTGTCGCAGCCTGAGCGAAATTAAGATTTTTTTATCTCAAGGTAATGGCAGCAAAAAATATCCATACAAGTATGAATTAGTTGTACGGGCTAGAATTCCTTACATATCTTGAATCAGAGAATACTTTTTATAACAACACATCTTTTAAGTTCACCAAGGTTGGATTCGCCAACAATTATAACAATGTAAGGGCACGACTAGCCTCTGATGAAAAATTAGAAGAAATAAAGCGATGTTCTTTAACAAATTTTTCTAACGTTAACAAAACAGAGGAGAATCTATCAGTTAATGAAAAATTCCGCGAAATATATCATGCAAAACTGTTATTTTTGTTTTGAAAAAACATTATAATGTGTAGTTGAAGAAAAATAATTTGTGAAACAAGAACAACATAAAGAGAACTCAAAAAAATAAGAACATTGAGCCTTTAGAGAAATCATCTAGTTTAAAAGATGAAAGTGTACATCTTTCTCCAATCCCAAAAAATTTTCGATTTAGAATCCTAGCAGGTTATGGAGGCCAGTTAGTATCGTTGATAATTGGCTTTTCATTTAAGAGATAGTGTGAGAATAACAAACGTTCAGAAAATATTACTAGGTAACTTGGTAATGTTTACTAGTAAAGTCAGCAAGTCTTAGAACTTCAATAGTATTTTGTCATTCGCATCAGCTGTTTCACACTCCCCTTGAAACAATGTTAGCTTATTCTCTACAGAAATAAAATATTCAAACGCAACCTGTAATTTTGAAAAAATTGATTAGCTTGAAAATGGGTGGATTTCTAATATTGTTTGGGGGAAGGGGGCAACTCAGCTATTTCTATAGTCGTGAAATGAAAATATCTCGAGAATTGGCTGAAACTGCTCAGGTGTTCCAAGTACGTTTTGCAAGCAGTGTAGCTGACACAAGGAACATTTTGCAAGCAGTGTAGCTGACACAAGGGACACGATATCCCTTTTTGAACAAAGTTTTGTTCATAAACTATCCCTCGTTCAAATTTTTTGATTATTTTAGATTTTAAACAATAGTTGCAACAAATAAACTGATGCACTAAATTCCCTTAAAAGACTAAATTATTTATCATTGAGATGGTAGATAAAAATTTCTTAAGTTGTATCAAGGCTCACGAGCTCAATCAAACAGAAAATGAAATTCAATGCGCCCGTACCTGTAGGTGCCACTTTATATACGAAGTTTGTTAGTGTTTCACCCGAACAAGCAACGTCTGTTTCATTTGCACATTTACCCCATCTCTCGCGAATTCCATCATGTACGCAGTTTTTGGACTTTCCATGCTTAGCATAATCCAAGTGACCTCTCATGCTGCCCCAGCATTCCCCTGGAGAAAACATAAAATTGACCCGTAAAAAAGCATTAATTCATTTATTGGCTAGTTTATAGCCAATATGTTTTAAAATGTTTGCTTTTTCAAAGCCATTTTCAAGTTTTGTACCAACAAAGAACTGTTCACATCAATTTTTTATCAAACTGAAAAAAATTTAGCTAATTTGAATTGAAAAACGTTAGCAGATGCACCTTCAGGCGAAACTAAGGATTCCAGTATGAAAGAGTTTGAAACAAATAGGCAGATAGTGACGCAAATGCCATTTATCTTCAAAATCATCCGAGAAGTGCACTTATGGAAGCTTCTTTTTAAATTATTACACAACAATCCCAATTAAATTTTCCTTTACATCATTAGGGTCTTAAACTGTCCTGTCAATAATCTTTGCAACGCAAAGCATTTAGGATTAAAGCAAAATAAGTTAAAACCAGTACTGTTTCTATTCGACCTGTTCGAAAGACGAGGCTTTATCTAACTGGTACGCTCGCTATTTACCATAAAACTGAATTCCCATGACTCTAAATCCTTTCTTAAATGCAACTTTAGCACAGCTAAAAAGGAAGTATGAGGTAATTTATAGTTCATAAAGCAAACTGTATTAAAAAAGATATAATTTTAACGGCTATACTGATTATGGTGATAATAGCGATTAGCATGAATATAATGTCGTTGGTGGTGTTAACAAAAATTTCAAAATACTCTGGGTATTCAAAAGCCAATACCTTTTATATAGCAGAAACTTTGTTACCTTTAAGTACAACTTTAAACTTTGTGCAACTTTCCTTTCATAAAAATTACAAAATACCTATCAATTTCTATTCATTTTTATAGCGATTGCTTTGCGGAACAGATTTCAATGAAAGTAAAATACTCCCTCATATCCGATTGGCCCGTCATTGGAAGTAGCTATTCACTGAAATATTTGAACAGCTTGAAGAAGTTATGAGAAAAAACTTACTCGCAGATAAATTTTGGTAGGTAGTCTTTCCAATTTCCCCAAGAAATCGAGTATCCCGCATAAATGTCACGAGAGCTGTCTCTGGCATTCAAGATCTAGAACATTTTCAAGACATTTCAAAATCCAGACTAAAATATCTTGAAGAATAAGAAATGTATGAGAGAAAAAAGTAAAAGAAACAGAAAATTACTCTGTTTGCGAGCATGCACTGCTTTATCGCTACCCGTGTTCGCTTATTGATGTTCCTCAAAGGGGGTAAGTAATACCCAGCTCCCCCTCAGGAATCATAAACTGGCTTTTCACTGGACAGATATCGCATTATTTACTGCTAACTCAGCAAAAATGATGGTCTGCACAGATTGAATTGCAATGAGTGTGGGTGAAATATTTGACAATTTTATGCAATAAAAAACCCCCAAAGTCTCAAATCTCTTTAACAAACAGGTCTTCCTCTCGTTTTCCATATTTAATTTCTGTTCACTACAACTTTCACAATCACCTCTTTCCCAAGCGTTCGTTTTGTTACCCTCCGTACCAGAGCCACATCAATTCGAGCGCAGGAATTAGAGGATATGAGTGGACGCTCCTCCTTTTCTCAGCTAGACGCTCCTCCGCTTCTCAACTTGGTTCCCTGTCTAAGCATTTGAACTTCTGTGGCCCTGGTACCCAGACTATCATTGTGCATACATCGCAGTGCTCATGTGCGCAACAAGTATCATCACGCAAAAACGAGCTTTGCGGTTCGCAAGTACCTTCTAAAACGACTCGGTGGCCCTGGGTATATGACGGCTAATAACGACGGGCGCTACCTACATGAATGCAAATTTACCCATCCCCTCAAAGATAAATTTGTCTGTCCCCTACCATATTTACCTGCTATCCCCTGTGGAAAAAATTCCTTGCCGCTCTTGTTACACAGGAGATCTGTGAGTTTGCCTTAATCACGCCTCCCCTGAGGTACCAACAACATACAGTAGTTATGACTATTTTGGATCATCTATCTTAAAGGCATTTGACATGCATAAGTTCAGCGAATCCAAAAATAACTTAGGCCAAATTGATCAGACCATACGCACAAGAAAGGAATTGAAAAACTGCTCACGTGAAACCACTGCGCGCTGCTCTAGGATTTCACCAATTTGCAGAAAGGCGGAAAATGTTCACGTGTTTTTCTCTGTGCGCAATTTGATTGGTCAAACGCTCGTGGTCAAGTGGCTGTAAGCCATTTTTACCTGTGTCAAATGTCTTTAAAGATAAAGGACCTATTTCATGGTTTCCCTTGAAAAAGGCGTCTGGATAGTGAATACCTCGGTTGTTAAAGCTCTGTCGTGATAAAGGTCCTCGTAACATCCAACTGGCTCCATCTTGATTGGGCAGGAATCAACTGAAGGAGAGAAAATGTAACTTCTTTTGGACGATGAAACGAATCAAAGCAAATCCAGGATTAATTTATAGCAATCTAATCCCACTAATGGCAAACAAAAACACAGAAAAAATTGTTTCTTTAAAAATCTTTGAATCTATTTGATACATTATTATGGGTGCTCGCAATAACGCACAAATAGCATAAGAAAGGCTAAAAAATACTGTCATTTGATCGATACAATAAAAATTTCAACCTAACTAAAACAAAACTTACGTGGGTGTGAACATTCTCCGATGTACACTTTGAGCAAAAGCAAGAGAAAGAGAACCAATGCCCTGGAAGGAATTCAAACTTATAAAGTTTGATATGATATTTCATATTGATATTTTGTAATGCAATACAGTGGAATCCCGATATAATGAACCCCGGAAATAACGAACTTCCTGGTATAACGAACTATATGTCTGGTCCACTGGATTTGGCCTAACAAACTCCTTATAAACTCTCTTGGTATAACGAACCCCGGAAATAGCGAACTCTCGTTATTACGAACCAATCTTTAGGTCCCTTCATCATAGTTACTCTCGATATAACAAATTTTTCATAAATGTTTCATCTGCTTTTTTTATTCATTTTTGTTGTTCATTTATCACTTCCTCTTGGGGGAAAATCATTTTTGTAATCAACAAAACATGCCGATGATATATTTTGAGCAATGGCTGATAGACTCAGTGCACGAGATGAAAGTTTGATTGCGTCAGAAAATACAGCAAATGAGTACCTTGACACTAACGAATACCTTCTTACATATGTGACATTGGCAATGAGCGACGACAAAAACTTATTGAGAGACCCAGATTGAGAAACAGAAAGAAAAGAATGTGAAGCAATCGAAGACATCATTCAGGCACCAACTAAAAGTGAAGTGATATCAGCTTTGCCAATCTCTTGGTCCCAAATTATAAAAGGAAAATTAAGATTTTCATTTTCAATGACCAGCCAGTTGTATTATTTGAATTCAGATTGGTTTTTTTGGAGTTCAAATGTGCACAGATGTTGTAGATAGCCTAAACAAGCCTACAGCAGATTTTTTTGCCGTGAACTGCGAAAGGACCCAACAAAAAAGTTATCTCTCGGCAGGCTGCGTTTACACGGGGCCGGCCGAATATTTGGTCGGTCAAATATTTGGTCACATAGGCCTTGCGTTTACACGGGGCCGGCTAAACGACCTCAAATTAGGTCACTTAGACGTGCAAATATTCGGCCACCTAGGAAAGCGTCCTTCTTGAAACTTGGCCGGCCGAATTCGCGAGCGGCCTCGTGTAAACGGTTATGGCCGGCCAAATATTTGCACGGTACCAAAAGGAGGGTGTCGATGCGTGTTACGGAGGCAAACACAAAATGGGAAATTGAAAATTTGGGGCCGAAATTAATGTATTGTTTTTGGTTAGAGTCACTGGTTAGATTTTGCGTTTGTAGCTTGTGCTTTTCTGAAAATATGAACGACTTTCGTCGAAAGACTCATTTTGAAATTAAAAAATAAAAAGCATAGCAAACATCGCAAATTTCCAATCATTGATAGCAGTTATGTCAGCCATCCTCTTTAAGCAGAATTTTGTGAAGAGAGCACACGAGAACAGAGAATGAGAGAAGTTGTTTTGTTAGTTCTTTGTTCACAATGATTTTTGGATTCAAGTTTTGACACATTGCTCAAGTCATAAGAATTAGGTCATTTGAGCGGCCCCGTGTAAACGCAACGCCTAAGTGACCTCATTTGTGGCCGGCTTCAAAAGCAGGCCAAATTTTTGGCAGACCAAATATTCGGCCGGCCCCGTGTAAACGCAGCCTTAAAGAACTCCCGATATAAGGAACTATTTTCTGGTTCCCTTCAGAGTTCGCTATATCGGGATTCCACAGTATGTTATATAGATTAATACCCGGCAGCAGACACATTCAATTTGTCCAAAAAATAAGAACAACATAAGAAACAAAGCAAGCTGAAATTTAACTAAACTCTAGAAAAAACCAGAAAAAAATCAAAAATGAAAGAAAAGCAACAGAAAGAAAGAAAGCGATAAGCAAAGTAGCATCTATTACTTTATCAAGAACATGTTATGTTCCGACACTAATAAGCACAGGAAAGTTCCTTTGTAAAATAAGAAATAAAATAAGAAACAGGCTTAGTCTATGCGAAAGAATTAGAAGCACAAGGCTAAAACTGGAGCCAAGTGTTCTGATAAAAAGCGTGTACCTGAATTGAACAACAAAGTCTTTATACAAATGTCTTAAAATGTACTTACATGTTGCTGAAAATCTTTTCTTAAGCACCAGCAGAACTTGAAGGTCCTTCCCAATGTGTATCATTAGCAATGATTGTCTCTCTTTTATACATCTCGGCTGACAATTGACAGCTCTATATTGATTGAACTGCCATCCGGTAGGGACTTCCCTCTACAGCAGCTGCTTTAGCAAGTTCGGCATAACGGTATGAATAGCCGATCGCAAGCAATGAACGCATGCAGACAATGCAATAGAAATAAAAAACAAATACTTCTTGATTCATCACAGTAAAATCAACGACAACTTTCATGATTCGAAACCTAAAAAGATAACTTTAACAGTTTTTTTCAAATGTGGCTCAAAGAATTGTCTTTTTTCTGAGGTTGTTGATAAGGAAATGTCTCGGTTTGCTCAGAGGAGCTATCTATACAGTCAGATGTCTAGGATAAAGCATGCAAATGTTATAAATAGGTTTATCCCTTTTCATGTCAAACAGATACCCTTAAACCTTGAAAACAACTGATTCACCTGCTTTGCATAAATATTATCGTAAAATTTCGCCGAAGATGGCATCCCGATTGCACATTTTAACCTCCTTATTTCCTAATTTTCTGCTATGTTGAAATGGATTTTGCGCTGGGCATTGAATCTCTAACATTATTAATAAATTGATTATAGAACTGTTAAACTCCATTTAACAGAAATGTTTTGATCTTTTGCATGCATAGAGAAGGCGAAGGTAGTATCGCATAAATATAAGAGCTTTGAATGTTCTTGGTGTTAATAGGAAGCTTTGCAGAGTCTGCTCATTGCAGAAATTAATATTTAAATAATTGCACGGGCGAAACATTGAAAACCCCTAAGAAAAATGCAAAACGGTTCGATTCAATCTGATCAATTAATCAAGCAAGATTATATAGGTGTGTTCTATCTTTGACTCTTCAACTACAATCCCGGACAACAAGAGTTGAGACTTATCACGGAAAGCTGACTTTTTTCCTCTTTACTTAGAAAGTAACACCCCCTCCCCCGATTAAATATTGATTGAATGATTTTAAAGGAGAAAGATAATAGAGCTACAAATCCAACATTGATTTTGGGGGAAAGCTGGGGACTCGAATTTACAGGGGCAACATAAGTAGAAAATTGCAAAAAATTGCGTCTCAACAATTTGGTCAAAGCCCCAGAGGGGTAATTCCGTTAGGGCCTGACAGGGAGGTCAAGTCGACTTGAAGGTCTTATCAAATGGCTACCAAATGGCCCAGTTTTGATGATAACATTACCATTTGGTGGGGGGGGGGATTTAAAGTATTTGCTATAGTGTAGGGGGAGCTTTTAATCAGCAGCTTTGTTTAGTTTGCGATTTAATATATAAAATTAACAAGATCGTATCTTTCCTGATTTAACAACAGTCAATGGCGAAGAAACTTTTTAAAGGAGGACCAGGCGAGCACAAAGAAATGATTGCTACCAAGGGCATAATTCCGGTTCATCTGCTGCCATTTGAGGGTTATTGTTAAAAAAGACTACCATTTGGGGGTAATTTTTAGCAGTTTTGCTTTGGCCCTCTTTGACCCTGACCGGACTCCCCTGTTGGGAGTGCCCCCCCGGTTTTCTTGTCATCTCATCTTTGCAAACGTCCTAAAGTGGGTCGATTTGTAAGTTTTTAAAAGCGAGAGGTTGTCATATGTCATTCACAGAACACCAGTCTTTAAACAAGGAATACACTGGTAAAACGACTTTTGGGAAAAATTTCTTAGTACATGAGTTGTGAAATTTTTTCCTTTTTGACCTCCAACCACAACATGCAACAATTTTTATAATGCACTTTATACTCATTCATTGCATTCAGTAGGAGTAGAACTTCTTTGATATTCTACAACGGAATATATGAAACTTAAATATTTGACTCTTTCGCATGCATGCACACTAATGAATGAGGGTAAGGCGCATCATGCTACTGAGATAGCTTTTCTGGGGCCTGGAGCAAAAAGAGAGATGCGACTCGTGGTTACGTCACCAAAACTCTGATTTTTATTTTTGTTGTATTGTTGAGAGCTTTGTTAAAACTATCTCGGTTCTTTTTAAACTAGGGGAATCTGCTTTTCCTTGCCATTTTTTACTGCGGGCTTGATCTTCAGATCGAATAAGTATGATTTGGGTTTCTGGCAGATTTGCACAATTTAAAGGCATATTGCCATATCTTGAAGAGCACATTTCATAGGCAGAAACATTCTAAATTGCCTAATTATTCCTGGTATCTTAGCTGGCAAACCCCTTGCAGACTCGAAATATTAACGAGGCCCTGACTAATGAACTATTTTGCTTATTCCAGATTATGCTTTCCATACAGCATCCTCATTGGATAAATTCTATATAACTTCATTCATTGGCAAAATTCATGAAATTTGCTTTTTCTTGAAGTTTGCTTCCCATGATATTTGCTTTTTCTTGAAAGAGCTCTACTGATAAAAGATTCAACATTTTCTCATCATTAAATATTCAAAACTAATGAAATGGTTTCGGTGATCAAATATTTTTGAAAGTCTATATAAACAAATCACTGTCAGATTCACAATCTCGCGCAATAACAAAAAAATTTCATTTATCACGTGAGGTTTCGCTCAACTCTCGCGCATCTTGTTGACCTATTGATTTTGTTTACTTTTAAGCTGAAAGGGTTTTACTGAAAATATTGTTAATATGCCTTATAGATCTGTAGTTATGTTTTCTTAGCGCCAAACAACGACATACCTCAAGTCAAAATGTGAATACTGACAGCTGATGTTTGTCTAAAAGAAATCGCTTAATTGAAATTTGAAAAACCTCGTGTTTAGTAAAGGGAATTAGGAGTTAAATTCCAATTGGTTAGACTATACAAAAGACCTATTATTACGGAGCCAAACTGCCCCTCGATATTTTTGTAAAAATGGTTGTATAAGGGTAATTGATTTAGCGATAAAGAAATCTGGAGAACCAGGGATTCTCTGGATTTGTTTTTATCTTTCAAGCCAGTTAAAATATATCATACCAGCATAAACTCTTGGTATTTCAATCTAACCAAGAACATTAGCTCTAACACTTTCAAACTAGGTGTAAGACATCATAATGACTGATGCAAGGAACCCGATTTACAAACATGATCAGGCAATTGGCATCGGGAGTTTGGGGAGGGGGTGTTTTTTGCCAAGTAAACTCTTTCATTAGGAAAGATTTTTTAAATAATATCTAGACTTTTATAAGAAATTGATCTACACTGACCCCCTTGAAAAACTAGCTTTAGCTGAAATAACAAATTTCATTAAAGGATATACACGTTAGTAATTTTTAACATCAATGCCTCGGGAAGTGTGGAACGTTTTGCCCCCTTTAAAAATTACGGGAAATATCTTTTAAACTGATGAAAATAATTTACATGTAGAAATACAAGCACTGTTTAATTGAAGAAACTATTCTTCAATCTTTACAAAATTCAAACCTATTTAAATCGTTACTTTTAATAAAATATTGATTTAAGGACTTTAGTTTCATATAAAATTTGATAAAGGCCCGAAACAACAAAAACACTCAGTCGAGAGTGTTCTGTTATATACCTGGGAAATTGTTTGTATACCCGAACATTGTATAAATATCGACTTTAGTGGCAATTTTAAATGAATTTTTACGATAATTTAGGCCTACGTTTTAATAGATAAGATTGAGAACAGGGGTGGAGAACAGGAGATCGGAGAACGGGTTTCTTTTCTGTTGTAATCGAGCAAGAATAATGCCAGCCTAAGTATGGGTTTATTTAGCAATTATACTTTGTTTTGTTAACGTAGCTACTTCGACTATTAGACCCTGGCAAAACGACTAAACTATTCACTGAACATTTGGCTAAACAAAAGTTGAGTGAAATGTTTAGTGAAATATTTAGTCGTTTTGCCAGGGCTTTAGTAATATTTTGCGCTTAACAAAGCTTTTCTGGTAATTTCCTTGTACGTATAAATAAATATACGTAGTAAGTTAGATTCGAGAGATTCGGAGAGAGATTCAGAGGGCACAGACATGATAGGCTAAACGGTCGAAGGTAGCTAACCGTATCGCCAAAAAAGCTTGCGAAAGCTCTTGCGGCCCAGTTTCTATTCAGGACAGGCAGTGCTTGAGAAAGACTGCGCTGTACCTTGTTATATATCTTGGGATATTGTAATAAGTATTAGAGTTCGCGGAGAACCGTCGTTGTTTATGTTAGCTGTTTAGATTGAAGTTTGGTGTTGTTTTGAATTAGGTTAACATCTAAGCATCACAATAAACTTAATGAAGTGATAGAAAAAGAGTAACATTCGAGTAGGGAATAGATAAAGCGTCAAAAAACGTCAATGCCGCATGCTGGAAATTAATTTTTTGTTTTATTTCGGATATTTATGTAAAGACGATTTTGTTTTTAAACTGTTGCATTGAAAAGGCCTAATGAAGAAAAAGTCGTCAAATTATCAGGTTGCTTGATATTTTTAAGGGTGTTTAATATTTATTAGCAAAAACGAAAATCTTCTCTACACTAGAGAAACAGATTCAAGTACTTTAGTTACGATATGGTAGAAACCTTCTACTGACTTCTCATTAACAATTTGACTGTTTTCGTTCAACAGAAACACTAAAGCTCTATTCTCAGAAAAATAGTCGACAATGATAAGAAACATGATTATTCAATTACCAGTAACATCAATCAGTATAAAAAAGGAGAGTCTTTAAAATTGCATGGTGCTAACTGAAGTTCCTTTATTTTCATTTCAATAAATGTCATTCCGTCCAACAGAATTTACAGGGAGTGCCCCATTGGCCAAAAGCGGTTTCATGAACAATGTTTCTTCCTTTAGAACTGTTAGTCGAGTTATGGTCTACTTATGAAGAAGTAAACAATTTTCTACCTTGTTTAGTCATTTGATACAAAATGTGGCACTGGAACTTGGAATTTCTGTTGGACGGAATTCTTATGTTAAACTAGAATCCCCATTATATCTTACTTTGCTGGTTTGCTACTTAGTCTTTCTGAAAAACTAATGTAAGTCTCTCGCTAGCATCACAGTTAAGGACTAATATTACTGTTTGAAGAGTTTTGCTTTAATCGTTGCATTTACTCCATCCAACAGTTCTGTCCAACAGATTAATCATATAAACTATTAAATTTTAACATGAACCATTTTTTGATTTGGGCTATTGTTAATGATGTTGCATGTACCCTTTTATTCGATATTTCTATGAGTTCGATTTTTGAAGTCGATTTATTTGAATAGGATTTTCGTTAACGTAGTTTTTGCCAAAATTTATAATTTTATCCATTCCATCCAACAAATCATTATTTTTATAGTTATTTCGCAAAGCTTCGGGTGTATCAGAAACTTTCTTCGCTTACATTTTACTCTATAAGACTGGGTTTAAAAAAACCCTATTAAAAGAACAAAGCTGGTTTTGTAAATATTTTTTAAGCAGAAATTGTATCGAATTCCATCTGACAGAAAAATGCTAATTCAAAACAACGCCGTTTAGCCTTGGGATGTTACAAGAGGGACATAAAAATGAAAAGCATAGCAGCTCGCAAAAAATCGACATTCTCTCTAAAGTTTCAGCCTTCGGAGCATCTCCACAATTTTAGACGTCAATTTCACACTGTTTCTCGTTCATCCAGGAGTTTGTCCGATTCATAAAGTAAATTTGGGCAATTTCGCCTGAGTAAACATTTCCCTTAAAAACAAAACTTTATCAGTGAAATCCAAATAGAATCCACCTTTTTCGTTTCCGAAAGAACCTTGTTTTAAAGACAAAAACCTATCAGTCGTATTGTTTAAGATATCAATTATCTGACTTGGCAAGCAAGCAATTATCTGATTAATAAATTTCGCCTCACATCATCTTGTCATTCTAAATTGGCTTTCACAAAGTCTTTTTTACAAAGTATTCACAAAGGAATATAAGGGAATTACGTGTCGCTGTTGTTTCGGGCAATTCGTCGATATCAAAGTACCACAATACGAAAAGACTATTTCTGTTAAACTCTATGCAGTATTTTATGTGATAAGTACACTTTCGTTCAAAACACAGACATACGTCAGTCTCTTATCCTAACAGAATATGAATGCATATATATCTTTGGAGTTATATAAGTATACAACATAAAAGCTACTTCAACTCTTTAATAAGGTTTTTCGATGCTTGATTAAATTCTCTCTACGTACTGATTGGGCTGAACCATGAGACTAAACTACCCCCATCTCTCCGAAAGAAAGCAGTGTACCCCTGCTTAAAAGACTTATTACGCACCGGCAACCTTAACCTTACTCTTCTCTCATCTCTGAAATTTGCATATTCGCAGCATCTAGGTTATTAGATAAAACAATAATGAATACAGGTGATATTTTCTATCTTGACGAATGAGTAGTTTGTGTCATATGTGTATTCTGTCCGAGTTTATAACAATATCAGGAAAATATATGGAATCTACTGAAACCATCAAAAGATAGAGCCAATCAACTCGATTAACAGCATAACTAGATCTTACTCGCTAGTAGGGGTGCAGAGAAGCCAGGGGAAGTTATCCTTTTAACAAGAGATATTCGAGAAGCTGGAGGTGGAAGAAGTAGGCCTATATGAAAATAAGGTCCGTGTTTTACTTTCGAACGGACTATAGAACCTATTCAAATACCTTCCCTAGTCCTGATGTTCTTAAATAAATAACCGAGAATCCATCGCTTTTTAATAAAAACCAAAATATCCAATACACCTTCAAACTGAGAGCTGGTAAACCTTGAGCTTTCTCTTTTATGCATTGGAATCTGTGACATTTCTATGCTTCCTTCTGGCTGCTACGGACAAATAAAAACCTTCAATGGATTTAATTTTTCAACTTTATTGTAAACCTGAGCACATCTATCTAAAATGAACCAGGGTAAAGCCCAAAAAAGTCACTTGAATTCAAACCATAGAAGAAAGGGGACCTTGCAATTTTCATGCAGTAAGATCAGTTACTTATGATTGTGAATTCGGTGGCAAATTAGCTGTTTAATGAAAGCCATTAAAAGGTTTGATTTAATGGTGTTAAAATCAGAATCGAGCAAAAGGACACCAAGGACAGGATTGACCATCATGCTGATCCTCAAGTTAAATTACGGCCTCGTTCTGTGAATCATAAGAATAATCTTCCCACCTTTTCCCATCAGATGTAAAAACAGACTCGCGATGAGAAAAAATGCAGCAGAGAGAGATTTCAAGCTCTCTTATGTAAGAAACAATTAAAAACATTAGTATCTTCCATTTCATGCAAAAAAGGAAAAAAGTAAAAAGAGAGTAAATCAAAAACATACTTTTATTGTACGCGTTCCATATACGAACAGTCTTGTCCCAAGAAGCCGAAACATACTGTAAAACAAAAAAGCTGGATATTGAAAAGAGAGGGAAGAAACTAGAATTTGAAAAAAAACCTTTTCCTCAGGACTAACAGCCCATGGTATTTATGTTTAGCTTTTTATTGTAACTTAGCAATTTGACGCTTACCTGCTGCCTTTCAGGGATATGTATAATGCTTCTTACTGAATCTGTATGGCCTAAGTTTGTCTGAACGATTTTGCGGTACTCTATGTCATAAACCCTAAATGAAAAAAGAACATTAGTTAGGCAGCATCAAATTTGTCATTTCAAAAGATAGCCAACCCCCAACTGTCAATGCAACAAAGTTGTTAGTTGAGATTGACGATAGAATGGGGGAGGGGGGCTTAAGCAAACTGAAATACCTGACAACGCCAAGGTAAGACATCACAAAGTGAAAACGTTATGTACAGTTCGTCATTGTCACATTTCAAACGCAGATCAGAAACAAAGGAAGATTTGTATACTTCAATAATTTTCATGCTTGTTGGATGTTGTTTTGCGATGTCGTCATGAAAAACAGCAATTTATTTCTTAAAACGTATGTTTGATGTACTCTACCAAATACTTTAATGCATTGTCTTTTCAAACAAAGGAATAAAACTATGGTTATCTAGTGACTTAGTTAACGTGGAGTTAAAAAACGACAATACATGCTGTTTCACCCTTGAAACCAATCACCAATAAAAATTAACATGTTAAAAAAATGTGCCTTCTCCTCTAAAATACTTATTTTTGATTTGCCAAAGATAAAAGATATTTCAGATATTGGAGAGTTTGTATACAATCTAATTTCTATTTACAAATGATTTGCACATAATTGCTTCGAATAAAATAATCTTTTGAAGTATCAAGGTATGGTTCAAACCAAAATCCTGATTCAAAAGATGCAAAGGATTCTAGCATTTTTCCATTGATCTCATGCTGAATTGAACTGTTTTGGATTTTCGATTGGCAATGCCGAGTAATCTTAGTTTTAACTAGATCATTATCGTCTGCAACATCTATGCTATTTAAAGTAGAAAGTTTTGTAAACTGTTATACTCCAATTAGAATAGTCCTCATCAGTATCGACCATAAGCAATCTGGACCCTACTAGCATATCTTTGGAACTCAAATTACGTAAACGTGTAGAATAATTCAAAATATTAATATTTCTTAAACATGCTACAGAATAAAGACCTATTTCCGCATAGACTGCGTCATTATTTCTGGATAAATTGACGCCCAGTAATGTTTATAAGCAGCAAGATGTAATTTTTCAGTCTCGTGTCTAGATAACCACGTAAATAACTAAGGATTGGCATTAAATAGGAAGAGAAATAGATATAGGATTATACTGTATGATTAAATGATAAAAAAAGAATGTAAGCTGGCGCCCATTGCCAATCTCTACTTTTTGCTAAGAGAGAGAAGCAACTTTTTTGTGAGTAATACTTTATCAAAGTCAATATGTTCAGAAAATTATACTTAATGTTTACACCCAGATATCAATAAATTTCCTATTACACCCATATATATAGCCTTGTATTTCCTTATACCATTTCAAATTGATTTTGCATTTAGATTATCCACATGGCTTGTGTTTGCATTTCCTAATTACTATAATTTTTAGTTGACAAGGATTTACTTTCCTTTTAACAGGTTTACCAAACTCATCAGGCACATTAAGTTGCAACTGCACATCTTTACAGAAAAATTGTTTTCAAAGCAATCGGTTTTCGCGAAAAGTAAAGAATGATAAAGAAGCATTTAGACATTAACTTCTGATGATTAGAAACTTAGATTTTTAGAATCTTTAAATAAAAATGGCAAACAAAACAACATTTTTGCACCTGCACAGGATACAAAGAAAAAAGTTTTCTGCAACAACCATTGTCTAATAAAACAATCGACCATTTTATCCCATTAATCTCACCTCGGCCCTTTCGGTCTAAACTGTGCTTAAATAACAAGGGACTTTTAGCTTATATGAAAGCGGACCGAAGTGAAAACGGGGTAGAATGAATCTGGAGCAGCGTGAACGCAGAACTTACCTGATTGTGTCTTGCACACCAGCAACAACGCATCCGTTAGAATGATCGACACATAATGCTGATACGTTGCCATGGGCACTAAGGACTAAGTCACAATTCATACCATTTGCGCTCTGAAAACAGAAGAAAAACTTTTGTAAGCTTTCGAAATTTTACAAATGCTGCCTAAGTGACAATTGCATAGCGTATCATAAAATGTAAGGGATAAACATAAACCAGACAGAATGAAACATGAAACAGATTAACTTAATAGATGAGCTGGAACTTTGAAAGAAGGCCATTAAGGAGGTAAAAATTCACTTTTAACAATCTGAAGTTGCTCCGATTACTTTTAACAAATTTTTTCATAAAATTTTTACCCAAATTCTGATCGTTCCGTCTTCAGAGCCTGTAACCCATTTTTCGTGAAATTGATTCCATAAAACCTAATAAAAATGTCAATAAAAGTACTTTCAATTGTAAGCAACGGTAAAACAATGTGCAGAAAAGTAATCAAAAGAGGCTGTTTGAATAAATAGATAATCAGAAGAGAAAAAAAAATATAGGGTAATGTAAAAATTAATGGATGATAACAGGGCATCCTCTTTTGCTGTAATTTTCACATTTCAAATTTCAAGTTTCAGAAAATACAGAAATTAGCAAATGATAAAATTAAGGAACACAGAGAACCAATATGGATCAAAGTAAATGAAAATCTAGCATAAATGAAAAATATTTATTACGTCAAAGCAGTTTGGGCGACTCAAGGGATTTTATTTAAAATTATCCAAGTGTAACTAACTAACTATTACATAAAAGATTCTAAAACAATGAACTGATAAAACATCTTTCCACACATTCGTACGATATTCACGTAAATCTTAGAAACCACTAAGAATACCCAATACCCATCAACTGCAAAGAGGATAATTTAAAACAACACATAATTATTCAAAAAATAGCCTAACCATTTTAAGTTGCATGCCACGAAAACAGAGGGAAAGTCGAAGAGGAACAAATGAAAAAGGCAGAGAATTCAATGAAGAAGACGAGACTGGTTTGAAAACCTGCTATTACCACAATTTAAAACTCGGTCAGTTGTATCTTGAGATAGTTATGCAAATCTAGTTTTTACCTGGGTAACTTCAGCCTCGTGACCTTGTAATACCGCACTTAACGTCATATCTAATCCTGATGTTGCAAATTTTCTAATGTAAACCAGTTTATCTGAAGCTGCATAAGCAAACTCTTTTCTAGAAAAAAATAATATTCATCTTAGCTATTACATAAAATTCGAAGACATTATGAAATACGACTTCAGATTTGACCAATTAGGAAGAAAATTATTTTTGATAAAATTAGTTCCGGTTCTAAAGTTCAGGAAATCCGGTTCAAAAGCAAATACCTTTTCTCATTCGTTTTTTCAAATCTAGATTCAAAGGATTTCCTGGATAAAAACAATCAACCTGGATTTCCTGGAAGCTTTTTTTGCTTTTTGCTAACACCCAAATAGACAACTTGATTCATTTTCAGCTTGTTTAATTCTTATGCAAGCTAAAAACTTCCAAATTTATCAGATCCAATACCAGAGAGATCATTTTAATAAGCTCCAGTAAGGCAAAAAGCCCAAATATCATCAGAGTGACTACTTCTGCAAATAAACTGTTAATATCTCGTCGAAGTTTTTTTTTGTCGTGTATATGCGGAAAAAGGTGAAATGGGCGGAGTTGATAGGAAGTGGGAGGGGGCGTTAGTGGTGCGTCAATTATTCGAATTAATGAACAAATGGCACATTATAAAAACGTCTGATTCACGAATAAAAACGGCTGCTATAAACAAATGGAACTTACTATGAACCCTCTTGATACAGTACCTAAGATTAATAACTGCTTTGATAGATTCAAAATTACCTGCTATCACTGTAGGCCAAGTCAAGAATGATACCATCAGCAGCCAGCTCTTCGCTTTCAAAAGCGCCTTTAGCGCGGTTGCGAAAGACATCTTGTAGGCTGCGCAGAAATTAATACAGCGCTTAATGGAAACTTAAAAAGAAACTGTAGGAACTTCCGACTCTGTTTAAGGTTTGAAATAATTTCTAAAATCTTTCAGAGGTTTCGTTTTGTGCTAGCGTAAACCAAAACAAAATACAATAATTTCTGGTTGGTTAGACAAGGAAACATTAAGAAACATTGGAAGATACGGTTATAAGTGACTTATATCTATTTGCAGACATATTTAAGTTCCGGGAAACTGGAAGACATATTTTGCTAAATATAATAATTAGGTAAAAAACACTTATGAAAATTCTCCAGTTAAGTTTACGATTATGTTCTTCGCCTACGGTTTTCTGATAATGGTTATGGTTTATGGTTAAAGAAATACTGTTTTTCATAAAATCCTGGGAATGTTCTAAATAATCGATTTCACAATAAATGCAGCTAAAATTCAAAACGCCTGTCAACTGAAAAACATTTAAATTTGCAACTTGAAACTGAATTTTACAGGAACCTTCATAAGAAAAAAAATTGGTTTTCTTGCAAAGTACATGAATAGGGAGATTAAAATGGATGATATTACATACCTCAGTGTTTCTAAATTCCAAAGCAAGATTCTTCGATCCCATCCAGTGCTTAACTTAAAAAGGAAAAAAATAAGAAGAGAGATATTTCAAAGGGAACAGGAAAGATTCACTTTCGTAAATTTCAGCAAGCTGAAAATATTCGATAGTTCGGACTTCGAAAATTGAACAGTGGCGGCATCAGAGCAGGGTAAGTTACTGGTGTTGAAAGGTGTCCGTTGGCTTGAGGCTACTTCTACAAGCTTTTCAGCAGATGGTTTTTCTGGCAGGATTACTTGTCTATTTTGTGACTAGAAAACCATCGTTTTATTCCTTTGATTGGGAGGGGTTTTTTGCTAGAATTTCGACAGGGAGGGACCACTTTATAGTAGACTCCTTCCAGTATGTCTACTGTCTACCATCTAAAGATAAATTTCTGTGATAAATACAGTCTCCAACCATAACTTGCACAGAGAAACTTAACATACCAAGAACGTTCCACCAAAACCAGCCTCTCTTCCGATTACCGCCATCGCACTCACAACCTGTTTGTGCTCGGTGAAAACGTGCTTACATATGAAACCAGCCACTCGATTCGTAACAGAGTCGTGTTGATTAGTCATTTCTATTTCCTGAAACATGAAATCAAAATTGAGAATCTCAAAGTTATAAGAATCAAATGCAGTGCAGAGTGTCAACATATTTTATCCGTGATGAAATTACTCTGAAACGATGAAAATAAAGTGGCCTATCCATTCGGCATACCTCGTTGTTGTCCTCCAATTCTGCCTTTTCTTTCAGCAAGATTTCAAACATTCTGCTAAAACGATCATCAGCAGGCTTCATTTTCTCCAAAACCTCAACTGCCTTCTCGTCAAAGCCCCATACGTCTGAAAAGTTTATGTTTGTTTACTACAAGCCTCCAAAAGTTGAAAAACTTTACATAGTTTAAGGCTTGTATTCAAATTGTAAACTTTATCTTAAGAAGGAAACTTCTTAGACAGAACTTATCAAATTGCACCCTGTTCTTTCAAAAGTATCCTGTCTACAGGGTTTGCTATCATACCCAACAAATTTTCTTCGATTTGAAGCTCTAAAAATTCGTTTAAACGGAAAAACGGAAATGTTTGACGCAGGAAGCGATAATTTCTGGCAGATTTTATGTCGCTCCCGAGAAACCTATTTACAATCCTTGGTAGTTTATATCAAGATTTCGCACTCTCTCTTCACAGTTCAAGGTTTTAACGTTTGTCCCAACATCTAAGGCCAAGATAAATACTGATAGCAGGCATTGATACTGGAAGTATGAAAAGATTGACAAATGATTGACATACAAATGTTGCCATCTTCAGAGGACACTACGAGCAGATCCAGATCCTCAACAAATATGGCTTTGAGAAGAGCGATATTTGCAGGGGTTGGCGGCGTCTTCATCTAAAACAACAAGAAAGGACATTCTCAAAATTGTAGTATTAAAATATAAACAGAGACAAAGCACAAAGTCTTTAAACATATCTTATATAGGTTATGATTCACTTTTTGTGATTAACATCATCTTTTAAAGAATAGTTTTCATCACTATTGATTTTAATCACAATTATTGAGTCGTTTTTTGGAATGCTGTTAGAGAGAGAGAGACATAACATCAAACTTGTAGAAATACTGATCAAAATGTTCTTAAAATTATCTAATTTCAAGCCTTGGGTTTAACATGTTGATATATAAGATCAAGTAATAATATCGAAAGAACTTCGCTGTCATAATATCATTAACTCTCACGTTGCTACTTCATTTTGCTGACTTGCTATAGAATCTAACACGCTTTGCTGTAAAGATTCTTGTGATTTCAAATAACGTAAAAACCTCTATTCTTTAAGGGCCAATTCACATTCAGCCTTGAAGTGGCAAAACTTACCTTCCCGTGTCTCCCAGCAAAGGATGGTGGCTGTTTATGCAGCAGCTGATCCCTTATCTGTCCTTTGTCCATTGCTGCCCAATCATATCTGTCAGAGATTTGACTTGCAAGTCTTCCGATGGCTTCTGACCGCAACAAGATTTCTTTGCTACGACCATCAGACACTAACGTTAAATTTATATAAAAGCAAGGCCACGGTAGCAGGCTGCTCGACGGACTCCTATGGAATACTTGCGGCGAAAAGTCGATGGAAACGTAGAAAATAAGGAACACCGCAACGCGCCAAGAACAAGCAACAACGAACACAAGTAAATTATAGTTAACTAATCGGACCTTCATCAGCGCCTTTTCAACAAAAGAAGGCGGGCACATTGTCTCATTCTACACACCCGTAAGCAAAAATATGCCAAGTTGATTGAAACTACCACCCCATCAAATGACTCCATCCTCCGGATGACTCCACACCTCTTAGTAACCTGACCTTTAGCAGAAAATCCGAGTTGGCAAGATACAGGCTGGATCACGCATTTCGTTAAAACAACATCGTTTCCCCTTCAAAGAAGCCTTGCGGTTCGCAAAAAGCTGATTTTCACACAATGCATACCTTGGTGTACTTAACAGTGTGAAAATGGCTATAGAGAATTCAAACAAATGGAAAGTGAACATTTTGAAAGTGAAAGTCTTTCGTAAGTAAAGGCATCAAATTTAATTCATAAATACCTATACATAAATGTGTTTGACTGAAGCCGTTCCCACTTGATAATCTGCCCCTCAGCATCACCATTGAAAACCAAAATTGGAACCTTTTTAGCTGTAAGGGAAACGTTTTCTGATATTAATTTATTTTGTCCTATTGATCCAGAATTCTGGTAATCATTCATTGCCGATCAGGAATACTAACCATACCAAGGGCTTTCCTAAAGCTGCATCAGTTATTGCTAAGATAGAACAAGCTGTTCAGATGATGCTCCTAAAATCTAGACTAGACAAAAAGCTTGAAAATAAAATGTATGCTTAAAGTTATATGATTGATGAATGCATTCTTTGAGGCACCGTGCCACTTCTATATCGTTCGAAAGTTCTTCCGACTGTTAAAAGATTTAGCCTTCTAGAGATTGTCCTGAATGCTGAATGCTATTATCTTTAAAAAATATATATATTATATATAAAAATTTTTTATAAACTTGAGTTTTGTCAAAAGAGCAGCAATCAATGCGATAGAGATCGTCGGATCACCAACTTCTGAGTCCAGAACGCCATGACAACATTCCAAAGAACGAATTTTATTTCTTGGGGAGCCGAACAAGAGAAAGTTTTAAATGGGAGAGGCGACCCTCCGTCCAGGAGTAAAGAGCATGCGCATTGAACGAAGTCATTAATACGCAAAGTCTTCGACTCCAGGACGGAGGGTTGCTTCACACATTTGAAGATTTTCGCTCATTTGTCTCCTCAACTAGCATAGCAGTACTTGAAGGCATGCCACTGCTCCTACTTTTCACTAAATTCTTCTATGAAAGATTAAGTCAACTTTATGTCAAGACACCCATGGCTACCTGAATCAGGACATCCGAGTGTTCCATATGATACCTCAAGCCATACTTACTGTATGTCAAGCATTCGGCAGCATTTCTGTTTCTTAAAGCTGTGATACAACCACTGGCATTGTATTTCCAGCACATGATATGTCGTCTTGAGTTTGTACCTTGACGAAAAGAATTTATGGCAAAAGGTTACATTTTCTTGGCACAAATCTTTAAACCATATCTAAAAAGGCTGGTTTTCTATTGGAATCTTGATTAAACATATAAACTGGGAGCTAATGCTACAAACTTACATCTGTATGGTAGCATGGCAGAGCTTCTTAGCAAAAAAATCAAGCTATGAAAATATTTCCAAATATTTTTAAAATTTTAACCTTGGAATGTTACCTTAAAGTGCCACTGAATTGAAAAAAATGAAATTTTTTTTATTGTTGATTCTGGTAGACTAATCATCGCTGATTTCGAAAAAAAGTTTAGTTTTTTAATTTGGAGCCCACAAATAGGGGTTTCTGGGGTTCTTTTGCGAGTAGGTCGTGCGAAAAGAGGCTGGGGCGAGTGAAGCATTCAGATTTATATAGTCAATTCAGCCATGTGAGGGCTGTAAGAAGATAAAAAGTTACAAATTGTGTAAAACATGATACAAGCATGAAACCTGATAGAGATAGGCAGTTTGATACGCTGAAAAAGATGGGGTGTGAATAGACGCTGACAAATATCCCCTAGTGCTATTTATAGAGTGGGGTACTAGGTTCCAAACCTCTAAGCAGCAATTGACATAATTTAGCCATTAGATCGCGATACCAGCATGGAATTTGGTAGTAAAAGGCAGTTTGATACGCCGAAAAAGATAGGATAGGAATTGACCCTGAAAAATCCCCCTTGTGCTATTTATAGACTGGGGTACCAGGTCCTAGACCTCTAAGCAGCAATTGACATAATTTAGCCATTAGATCGCGAAACCAGCATGGAACGTGGTAGTAATAGGCAGTTTGATACGCTGAAAAAGATAGGATATGAATTGACCCTGAAAAATCCCCCTTGTGCTATTTATAGAGTGGGGTACTAGGTTCCAAACCTCTAAGCAGTAACTGACATAATTCAGCCATTAGATCGCGAAACCAGCATGGAACGTGGTAGTAATAGGCAGTTTGATACGCTGAAAAAGATAGGATATGAATTGACCCCGAAAAATCCCCTTTGTGCTATTTATAGACTGGGATACTAGATTCCAAACCTCTTAGCAGTAATTGTCACAATTCAACCATTAGATTGTGATACCAGCATGAAACTTGATGGAGATAGGCAGTTTGATACGCCAAAAAGATGGGGTATGAATAGAAGCTTAAAAATATCTATTTGTATAATCTATAAAAATATCTATAATTGATTAAAATATTTTTAATCAGTTCCATTTAAAATGAACTTCTTTACTTTTTGAGGTCCCCTGACCACGAGGTTCTGGGGCAACTTATCCCATCTTGACGGCCCTGGCAATAACTGATACTTTGACAGTGGCAACGCAAGTTGGAAAGTGGGAAAAGCGCCGAAAAATGTGCAATTTGTGTGGTTCTATAATAGATCAACTTTTTCCCTTGATCAGTTTGCTCACTTTTATTCATAATTTGTAAAGCTGTTCGTAAAAGCATTCCTATTCGACACGCTCAATAATTCACAAAAGGTAAAAGATCGGCATGAAGTCTTGGCAAAAACTGCACGCAAAAAGTTTGCTTATTTCCTATGGGCTCGAAATTTTCGCAAGAAAATACCTTGCACATGTTTTGTAGTTAGATAGCTAGTGATATTTAGAGCACAAGTATCGCACTATTTCCATCCACTTCACGTGTTTTTGGTTTTTTATCGCACTCGAAATACAGTTTTCAGTACTGAAGCCCGTATCACTTCCGAGACTTATAAACGTTAATGCGTCACACATTCCTGAAATTCCTCACAGACCGCGCACAAATTTTCGCACAAAAAGTCTTGAAAATCACAACTTTGAAGCGTTGTAGCTTCAAAACACTTCACAATTCCGAAGAGCGAACTTCAGCATCGGATTCAGGAGCACCGACTTGACTTAGAACATCAATAAAAAATTTTTTGATTTTTTCAGTTCAGTGGCACTTTAAAACTTCATATAAGGTGAAAAAAGTCTCAGAAATTTTCTTTGAAATTTGAGCATTCATAGCGTAAGAAATAAAAATAGGCTCCTAAAATATACTGCGAAGATAACATTCCACAGTAATACAAAGGGTGGCTAGGCCATGCCATTGACAAATGAAGTTATTAAGCGATGCGTCATAAAAAATCCACTTTAGAATTTTCGAATTTTGACCATATAAGATGAAAGAACAGTTCATGACGTCATCACTTAAGAACCACTACATCAACTCTCAGATTGGGAACAGGAAGAAAAAACCTAAAAAACCAGTTCTTTTTACATACATTTGAATTGAAGATGGCTCCAGCACCGTGAAATAAAAGAACTTTGAGAGAACTTGATTAGAGCTTTGGAAGATTCGAAATACGAGATGAAAAATACAAGCGCTGAAATCCAAACCTTGATTCTAGAGTACTCAGTGGATTAGAATAAATAGAATGGTAGGCGTTGAGTTCATTTACGGTTAACTTTGAAAATTTACTACAGCTTACCAAAAACCTGGCCGAGGTCTGGTATATATTGAAGCAAACATAACTCATGCCTGGAAAGGTAAAAGAAATTATTAATAGAATGAGATAAAATGAGAGAAGCTAGTAATGGAATATGGTTTTATAAGAGCAAAAAGAGGACAAAAGGAGAAGACAGGAGAACAAATGAGAACAAAAGGAGAACAAAAAAAGAAGACTGAACATTTTCAATTACATTGTTCACTTAAAAGAGCATCTTTCAAAAGCGTTTGGTTTTTGTTTGGAACTTAAGTAAAAGTAAAAATCTAATTCATTCTATTAATTCCCTAGCATACCAACTTAAAAAATTCCATTGCTGTTTACTCCTAATACTTATTAAGGTGTCCTAGAAAATCAGAAAAAATCATTCCTGTATGCTTAAAAGCTGTTATTGGTTAACACTCGTTAGAAACGTCGCGCAACAAGCGAGTTATACAAGGTTTTTGTTTGGAAGTGGCGTCTCGTTGGGATTCTTCAAGTTTAGAAAATGACAGATCAATCTGTCAAGCACCACTTTATTGCTATTTGTGCACTAGATCTAAGTCTGGGTAAAAGCCTTGGCTTATCTACGGTCGTCTTTCAGCATTTCATTATTTCATTAATGTTTGCCAAAAATAACTTCTAATGTAAACATTAATGTAAGCTGCAAAGAATAGTATCAACTTCTGCATCCTGTCATTGAAATGATCATTCAAGTTTGCTCTGGGATTTCCAAGAATCAAGATAAAACACAAGACGAAAGATCGTTTTAGTACATGATTGCCAGGTCAAGATTGTCAAAAAATGCTGTTTTACCTCTCAGGGTCGTCATCCAAATTTTGGAAAGTTCCAATGAATTCAGAAACCTACATTTAAAAAAATAATAAAAATAAAGTTAAGACTAATAAAGCAATGTTATTATTTAATGTGATTTTAACACCCACAAAATATGCATTTGGCATTGATGAATACATTAAAATAAAATTGACCAATTATCATAAAGTGTAGCTCACAAACAAAGAGATATGTTATATTATATATAACAGATTTATCAAGATATTATATCAAAGCTTGAATTATTGTACAAACTGGGTAGCATAAAGAGGGTGGACTTTTCAATACTAAATTTAAGGTTGTTGGCAGAATTGACAAGCACATCTATATTGATGACCAACTTACATTGTCTCCGGATTTTGGGTCGTACATTGGAGATTCCTCGGTACCTGCAGAGACCCATATTGTCTTTGTCTGCCTCACGTAACAAAGCCCAGTGATTGTTGCACTGTAGAAATATGAAAAAAAATAATTATTTGGAACACAACTTATTAATTGGCAGACGAAACGTTGTCAGCGATAGGCTTCACATTGTTGAAGTTGAGCTAGACAAACCTCCATGTCCATCCAATTCTTATTTAAAACGACAGAAAAAATTTAAAATTGCCAATCCAAAGTTAATTAAAAGAAATATCTTGCAGAAGAAATTCGTTTGAAAGGTAGCAAGTACTGCAGGCTATTTTCCTACTAAAGTATTTATTTTTTCTAGAGTTGCTAAATTACTAAAAAAGGCTACAGTATTGAGTGTTTGAGTTCTTTCTGAAACTTTTACTACAAAAAGTTTGCTTTGATTCTGATGAAAAATGTATGTGCTGTATGAAACAGTTATTTGTGATCTAAACTGCCATTTTAAAATAGAACTTTTCGAAGAAGACAAAACTTTTATATGCTAATTGGCAATCAGTTGCTCATGAAAATAGCAAATTTGTGTCAAGCTTATCATTTACCAGGTAAAATTTGCAAACTTAGGAGACAGTTCATTCTTCACGGAAATGAAAAAATTACTCTGATTGATCAACATACCTGAATGAATCAAACTTGTGCATTATCTGCCCATCCTGTGACCAGACCTTGACAGTCTTATCAAATCCACCAGAAAGGAGCCTTAAACACAGACAAGGAATAGCAGTAAGTACAGACATTACGTTAAGGAGAATATATTCACCAAAGAAAAATAAAGCAAGTGTAGCTGCTATATTCTGTCGAAAATACAACGGGGATGTCTTTGGTATTACTCAAATCACTAATATGTTTTACGTTCTCTTAATAGAAACAATCAGTGACAAAAAAGAAAGATATTGATATACTTTTAACACACTGCAGGCGAAACAGCTACCAAGCACCGAATATTTGAATTACTGGCCTATTTCCTTGCTATAGATGCTATAGTTAAAAGTCGTAGAAAGGGCCCGTACAAAGAAAGAATGGTCCCATGATTTGATTGCGTCCCAGAATCATTTGCCAGTCGGCTAAAATTTCAAGAACGTATGTATACTAAATGCAACAACTGAAGCTTCAGAATGGTAATGCAGCAATACTCACCAAGTATTGTTTTCGTTGTCCCTAGCCAGAGAAAGACAGTTTATGCCAGCATCATGAGCAGGAAACAGTCTGTAAGTTTTGAAAAACTTTTAAAACCATTTCATAATTATCAAAATCAACCGAATGGGATAATCATCTAGGAAATAAAAACCAATCCATGACTTGAACAGACAGAAAATCTTCAACTAAAAGCTCCAGGCAGTTTGAATTCTACGGCTGATGTAAAAAATGGCCTAGATTTCTTGCAACCATCAATGTCAAATAACCATTGAATGTAAAAAATACCATAAAAATTTCCTTTTAACAGTATGTTCAATGGAAAATATGGATCATTTTATGTACATTGCGTAGCAGAGCATTACAAATTTCAGCGCAGCGGAGCCTGTTGTTATAATCCTAGGGTGGCTGCTAGCAAACCAAAGAAATCGGTTTAGGTTGCAGCAGAAAACTGTTTCTAAATCCTCTTGGCCAATTGACATCAAATTGATATAGGCAATTTAGGTCGGGACAAGGTTGTATTGTATTTCATTAAAATCATTGGTCGTGGCTGTACTTCAATTGACTAAAAAATTGTTTACTTTACAGAAAGGACCAACAATTTCTTGTTTCTGAGTAAATCAGATTGAACCTGATTATACGTATACACGTAATTGTAAAATCAAGGCGGATTAGCAAGAGGTACTGAAGTGTAATCATATCCTGGGCCTACCCTTCCTTCCGATTTTACGGGCTCCTTGAAAAATCCCTTTAGTCATACACTACAAGCCCCCTCCCCTATCTAAGCACCAACATCCCGGAGAAAGCAACGGCTATCTGCCCCTGTTGTGAAATAATGCCTAAATTTAACCAAGAATGTTATGTTTCCGCTATTTCGTGCAATCTACAAATTTCTTTGAGTAGATGTAAATAATGCTTGAATGTTTCAAAACAATTATTAAAAATGACAGCAATAGTAACAATTCAACCTTCTAGGTGAAATGCCTTTTAAATAATAATGACTGAGTTTTTTATCTAGTTTCAGTAAAACTGTGAAGGAAAAGAGCTTATTTACAAAGATTGAAGGCTTTGTAGAGATAGTAACGTTAGCTGATTTGAGAATACACATTGAAAAAAAACTCACATTGTGACAGGCTTGAGACCTTTTTTATCAGGGTAAGAGTATGAGTCATAAATCACAATTCTCTTGTCAAACCTGCAAAAGATGAGGATTGGCTTCAAATTTTGCTTTCTACAGGGACATGGTCAGTTTTGATGACGATCTTGTTCATACGTGGGCAAACATACATTTCTCTAAAAGTAGGATAACTTCTGGAAAAAATTGTCAGCTTCACCCTTGTAAAAACGGAAAAATTAACGGTCATATTTTCAAGAGTATATACACTCGTGAGAAATAATGCATTTAGAAGGGTATGGCACTAAAAAGATGAAAAAAGTTGGAACTCAGTAATAAATAAGATGTAATAAATTCTTCCTGGGAGCATATTGAACCCAGAGAGCCAAACCTTTCCTACTCTTCATATAAGTGAATGCTGTAAGGCACAGTTCTGGACAATAAAACGACACCATACGATCAAAGACAGTCTATTCAGTTTCAGTTTATAAATCTTTTAAAATTTTCCTTTTTATACTGGAACGTAATCGACTACACTGCCAGCTGACCTAAGGGGCGTTATCATATTCTACAGTGTTGAGACATATGAAGAGTGAAGAAACATTTTTATCCGGTGGAATCTTTCTCAAGGTTAACTTCTATGCATCTATTTATTACCACCTCCGGTTCTGACAAATTAAAAAATCGCGAGCTCAGTTTATAAGCCACAGAAGTCTACGCATACAGAGTATTAGTTATCAAGTCAGCATTGAAGAAGGTAAAAAAAAAGTTTAATTAATACTCAAGGACATACCCGGCAGAGTAGACTCTTGTTTCATGACAAGTAACATTTCTCACTATATCTGTGTGCTCTCTTGACGTAAACCCTGAAAAAGAGTCTTAAATTTCATTTCAACATGTTTCCTTCTTAAATGTAACATAGCAACAACACTCGGAGTTTTGGAGCTTTCTTCTAATACTCTGCAACAGGACGATACTTAGAAGATAGCAGTGTTAGTGAGGTTCTCACTTTACAGGAAAAAGTATATTGGAATTTCCTTATAAAGGTTAAGCTAACAACAAGTTGGTGAATTAGCCCCGAGTTTGCAGCAGAGTATGTAATCACAAACAATTTAGATATCAGTTCATTTGGTAGTAAATCTGTGCATCGTGCATCGGCCAAAATGTAAAGATTCGATATGATTTTTATGCTTACCAGAAGTTGAAATTGCAAAACTCCCTAAAGCTGAGCGGTAAGATCGATAAAAAAGATGACAACTAGATCTTCAAATATATTAAAAAACGGCACAGGAGTTATCTGTTTTGCCTTGCTTAAAAAGTCCCTTGGCAGAGTATTCTACTAAATTGGCACAGTTTCTTCGAAGCCAATTTGCAGTTACTTGTGCGAGGATCCTTCAGTCGTTAGTGTCACAGACTACAGATTCAAATGTCTGGTATTCGAGCCACTGACATGACTAAACTTTCACTTAGAGTGAGGAGAGTTGCCAGCTTTCTGTAATTCCAGGCGTAGGAATGGTGTGATCATATTCAGAGGAAGCAACATGGTGTAGGAATGGTGTGGTCACATCAAGAGGAAGTACTATAAAAGGTCTTGACAAGCAGAGTTTCTCGGTGTCCTGAAACTACTTTCGGAAGCTAGATAGTAGCAAATGAACACGTTATACCAGACAGTAATATATAGAAATAACTAGGACAGTAAGATAGTCAAGCTTCAGCATAGAGTTTTGATCTTACATAATTAGAGTTTTCTTAAGAAAGGAAACTAGAAAATACTTGAGAGTTCACTCAACATAGCACAAAGAATATCTCAAACGTATCTCACCTTTGTCATTAATGAAACTCCCTTGGTCCTTAGCTATATAAAATATGAAGATATTATGTAATCATACGCAGGAGTTAGGGAACTTAGGGGTAAAAAATTTCATAGATATTTAGCCAAAGAGTATCAAAATACGACTTCAATCAAAAGTTACTGACAGGATATCATATACCAATTGATAAAGTATTAGCGAAGCAAGAAATTTTGTGCAAAATAAGGAAACAGAGCTTCGCTACTGCATTCAAATTTTCTAGAGCTTGAGCATTACAATCTTGTCCCACCACCAGTTTACAACATTTTAACACACACAACAGTAACAATCTTAAAGTACCCAAGGTACTAAAGAGAATTGATACAGGGAAAATTACTGCATGAACATACATAAATCTTTGAATCTATAGACTTTAACAGCAGAATTTAACCCCAGAATCAGCTGTTCTCTTCTCACATTCCATGCCATTGAATAAATGGGAGATCCAATCTATGATTAAAAGTGAACACTAGTTTAGATACATAACAATAATAAGAATATGATATAATATAATTCATTTATTTACAGTAAGCATTCTTTACAATAGCTAGAAGATAAGCAAATTAAAGCCTACTATTTATAGAAATAAAAATGATAATATTATAAAGTGAGATAAAAGCTATTTAAAGAAATAAATTATAATACCTAAGATTTAATAAGATAAATAGTTGAAAATAATAATGTTAGATATATCATGTCAAGAACCCAACCTGTGCTACAAAGGTTTAACACAGCCTGCAGTTGCAATTATCCTTCCGTTGTTTGATTTTTACTTAAAGATATTAAGAGTATTTAGGTTTTTCAAGTTCTCTGGTAGATTGTTCCGATGCTTACATCCTAAATAGGATAGGCTTTTGATTCCACGAATGATGGTTCGAGTTTTGGGGATTTTTATCAATTTGCTGTTTCTGATGTGGTAGTGGCTACGCTTTTGTATGAATATTTTATTCATAAAGCTTGGATTGAGTATATGTACTGCTTTGTAGATCTCAATCATTAGTAGCTGCAATTTTTTTTATTTGTGTATGGACACACAGTTGTTTTCAATCAGGAGACTATCAAAATCTGACACCCTGTTTTGCATGCGATACCCAATGCCTTTTTATGTAAATGGTTTATCTTTAGTATTTAGGGTTTTTTCACAGAACATCCACACAAGTGGGAAATAGCTAAATTGGGATAGAATAAATGCCCTCACTGTTTGTTTGAGTTGTTCTGTGCTTAAGTAGCATGAAATGCGGGAGAGGGCGTGCAATTTTTGACTAGCCTTTTTACACAGTGTTATTATGTGTGGCTTAAATGAGAGATTTTTGTCTATAGTTACACCAAGTAGTTTTTCCTTGCTGCTGTTGTTGATTGGGTTGTTGTCTTCTTTTATGGTTAAGTCATTATTTTGATCACCAAAGGTCATTAAGTGGCATTTGTCCCCATTTAACTCCATACAGTTGTCTTTAAACTATTCTGCAACTGTTGAGCAATTTTTCTCTAATTTTTCAATTACATGTGAGGGGTTAATGTCACTTGTATAGAGAGTTCTGTCATCTGCATAGTTGCATATCTTTATGTCTGGTACAAACACAAGCAGATTGTTATAAGAGGGGCTCTAGAACTGACCCTTGTGGAACACACTTGTCTTTTTTTTCCTCTCACTGAAGGATTCATTTACTTTCACTCTTTGTTTCTACCTGTTTAGATAGCTATGAGTGAACAATAAGGCTTTTCTGCTGAATCCATATGCATTAAGCTTTGCTATCAGAAGTTTGTGGTTTAAGCAATCAAAGGCCTTTGATAGGTCCATAAAGACAGCTCCAACACACTTTCTGGCCCCCAGGCTAATCTTGCATTTTTCAGTGAAGTGCAGTAAGGCATGTTGTGCACTATAGTTTTCTCGAAATTCACAAAGCAAAGGGTAAGGAAGCCTGGTGAAAACGGTTTCATCTGAGATTCCAGAAGTCCTTTGTATACTTGAATTTAATCGGGAAACCGGCGCAATGTGGAGATTACCTACCACATCTGAGGGGGCTTTTAACAGCTTAACAAAAATACTGTGTTTAGGGGCATTAGCAATACCCTGTTCTCAACTTGGGACTAGCTGGGGGTGATGATTAAGAAAAGAGACTTTGAGAAAAGAGACTGAAATAAATAGTCTTGATATTCTGAAACAAATTTTAACACTGATCCTTCAACATTTCCTTGCCAGCATTAGTCATGGTGTTTATTTAAAAGCAAAATGTGGTAGAATTAACATTTTCTGGAAAACCATTCAATCAATAAAACATTATAGCAAAACAAAAAATTAGTTTGATTGAGCATGCGACCCTATGGCTTCAACAACTCCCCTTTTAGTAGGTAAGGAAATCTTCTATGAAAATATTCTATCTACTATTTTCTTATACAATATTTATAAAATTTTCAAAATTGAAATTATTTAGCTACAACTTAAATTTAGCTATGTATTATATTGTTTTAATTAAGCTATAAATAAATTTATAATGATTATAATGAAAATAAGGGAAAATTAGTACCTTGACTCTGTCATGTGGCTGGACCCCAGATCCCCAAGCCAAAATGTATCCATCGTTAGAGGCTGATAGCATGAGTTTTGCATCACTCCTAAAAAAGTAAGAATTCTGGTTTATAGTGATGGATAAAAAAGTATTGCCATTTTGATTCATCTAACAGCAAAGGATGATTCTATGATTGAGGGAAAGTCCTGGTTAGGATTTACATGTGTGTTACATAACCTGAGAGAAGTTCCCATAGCCCCTACTAGTGTCATGACACCACTACAAAATTACAGAGCAATAACTTTAAATGTCTGGATATGAATCAATTCCTATGCCTTGGGCTGTAAAATATTGATCATGCTGAAAATATTTCCAATAAAATGAAAAATATACTGTTTACTTGTCTGTTATATAGTATGTTGCTAAACTTTCCAAAATACCTATACATTTGCCATTTTCATTTTTGGACTTTCCAACTAATGCTAGTTTTGTCTAGGCTATAAATTTTTGTATTGGTTTAATCATACCAGAATAAGAAAGATGTTATCCATCCAACATGTTCATGTGAGGTTCTGACAAGTTTCCCTGGCTCTCCAGTGGAGTAATCCCAAGCCTTGATGACACCATCTAGATCAAAATATCAACTAACATTAAAAACTAGGAAAAATTCACACGAGGCTGGAATGTATGTGTATAATATTTTTCTAATGTTTAACTAAGTCAGTCAAAGAGACAAGACTATCACTTGCTGGCAGATGCTCTATCAAAATCAAGTGTAGAACTATAGACTGGCAATTAAGTGCACAATTTAAAAGCACAAATTTGTCATAAATTTTAGAAACCTTACAATTGGTCCCTATTGATTTTTATCTAAAGTTACAGTTTAAGGACACTGTAACAATATATAATGCATCTTTTATCAATTTTCTATAGCACTCATTTCAGAGGATTTAAACAAAAAATCTTTGCACAAAGCCAATTCTAATTTTTAAGCAAATTCTGTTTCTAATGTTTCATGTTGCTGTATACGTTCTACCAAACAAAAAATTGATACTGTTTAATCAATTATACTTGTGCTAAAAACCACTTTCTTACCCTCACAGCCAACAAGCAATTCATGCTTTGCAGGATTGTAGCCCAGTGCTGTTATGTTTTTCGAGTGGGTGTCTTTAATGATTGGCAATCTTTCCATAGCCATATTTGGATTGGCTCAGATATAGCAGGTGTCATACTATTAATGAGTAGAAAATCCTGCAACTAAAACACAATATAAACAAACCTAGCATTCGGTTATCACTTATGAGAAGCTAGAATATTTTGAGCAGCATAAAACCCTTGAGGCCCCTCTGCAGAGTGTAAAAATTATTTCAGACATGTAAATTCCCTGGCAAGAGTGACTTTTCCCTAAAGTAACAGTTTGGGCCGAGAAGGTATGAGTATGGGCATGCATTCTGAGGTTCACACTGGGTCTTTCTGATAATATTATCAGCAGTTGACTAGATAAAATTAAAAACATAAAAACACTGATTAGAAAAAGAAACCTAATAAGCTATGCATTTTTGTCTATTCTAGAGACGATATCCTTATTCAGTGTATGTTTCGTCTGAGATCGCCGGTGCAGCATTGTCTTACAGGCCAGCATACTGACATGAAAATAAAACACTTCCTTCCATTCAAAATGCTGTATCACTGTCAAAGCGACGTTTAGTTTGTTCAGTCAATACCACAAATTAATGCTATTAAAGTTGTATCAGAATTTTAATCATCCTAGTATTTATTTCCATCCCTTAATGATATCCAATTAATCTCTTCTGAATATAAATATATTTAGGTACCTTCAATGACACAGCTGCTCATTTGCCGCCAATGGCGATGACCGTTACCAAGGTCACCAGAATTTTTCGCAGAACCTCACTTGAGGAAACAAAGGTGTTTCGAAACGAGAACAGGTTTTATTCACATTCCTACATAAGATGCTATTGTTTGTTTTTTAATTTACTTACTCGGGAATGAAATACCAATGCAACATAAAAGGCCTAAAGCTCCCTCAGAAAAACTGCCATAGACATCAGAAAGGTCAGTCATGAGGCTACGTTCCCACATCATAGAGAGCGAGTTGGGCCGTTGGTGCATCGGCGCCAATCGCTCAACCTACCATATAGGGGTTACTAAGGGAAGTTACACAATAACCCCCAAACATGATTGATAATTGGGAGGGAATGGACAGGAAAAGTCTCTTTTCCCCACTAATAGCCGATGCACCAGTCCTACCTAACAGCATCAGAAAACTCTAAGAAGCATAAAAGATGCCTAAAGGTATGAGAGGTTTCAACGATGCCATAAAGAAACTCAACACGCAAAGTTATACTGAAAAGGCATTTAGCATAAAGAAACAAATTGAGGAAGGGAGGGCTGGGAAAATACAATAAAACAGCCTAGTTGTATTGTGGCTTCACCAAGCAAGATGAGACCCACGCTATGTCAAAACCTTGAATACCCCTAGATTAACCAAGGGAATGAAAACGCCACGAAACACACATCTTACCCTATTTATACAAATCAAATTCACAGGAGGCCGAAAGACCATAAACATTGCCCATAAACTAGTAGAGCAGATACAAAAAAAACGCGAGAAAGCGTGGCACAAGAAAACATAACGAAATAGTTTTAACAACAACTCATGCGATTTAGTTAACGCTCAAAAGCCCCTCGTGAAATTAACTCTGATTAAATTTCATTTAATCATCATTTTATCTAATAAGAATGAACTTGTTGACGGCCAAAAACAGGTCAGGGCTGCTCGAAATATGACAGGGCAAAGAAAGAGGGGGTGGGGGCCTTTGACCGAAAGCATGCCGATGATACGCAGGTGAGGGAAGCGAGCCGAGAAAAACAGGGTTTGGGACCCAAGAATTTTTTGTTACCACACCCCAGGGGCGGATCAAGAGCAAATTTGAAGGGAGGCGGGGGGAGTTGAAACTGTGCTATGAAATTTTCAGAAATTGTTAACGTGAGTCCATAGTATAAAACAGTTTCCGATCCTGACAGATAGATCTCTATTAACTTTTAACAAAATGTTTGCCACAATTGTGTCAAAGCAATTATATATAATCTGAGCATGACTAAAAGTCTGAGCATCTTATTAATGTTTTAGCTCGACTCCTTAAAGATAAATTTTCCGGCTGAACATCTGCTTCTCCGCCATAGTGGCTCAAACTACTGTTACTCTGCAACAGGAGTGGTCTGGAATGCTCTTTCTCTACCAGAAAATCGAACTTTTGGGGGCCCAGAATATTTGCTCTTTGCACTTTTGGTTTGATTTTCAATTAGTGTATGGCTTTATAGCTTACATTACATTACCAGGCACAGCGCGACCATTGGGCTATAGCCCACCCACTTTTTTGCAATAATAGGCTAGAAAATTTTTTGAAGGTTTACTCTAACGCAACTTTGGATAGTTTACTTCTATGTAGTAGCAGTTCTCATTGACTGGGAACCATTTTTTGTTCTTTTTCTAGGTGTTTCATCTTGTACATTGATATGATGTATTCTCTAACTTGGTTAGCTTGGTTTTTTATTACCCTTGAGCTAATTCTATCTATTTTATAGTTATTGATATCTTCTCTGAACCAAACTGTTTATGAAAGTTCAATAGAAATAAGCAAGTATTTTCTAAAAGAGGCGTTTTTCGGTGTTCAAGAGGGCGTGGCCTCAAAAATTTTCCGATCACACCCATTTCAGCCACTCCACTTTTAGAGCGGTGTGCAGTCCCTGTTATGTACCTAAAATTCATCAAGTCTTTAGGGTTCGTGCACACAATATTGCGAAAAACAATAGTAAAAGTAGAAACTTGCCAATTTTCGGCATCAATAAGGGGGGCTCAACCCCCGGAGCATAACACTCCAGGTCTGGGTTATTTACGACATTAATTGAGAATCCTAGGCCTAACAGACAAACATTCAATCATAATTATGCTCCATAGTTCTATTTGGTTTGCTAATGACACGATAATAGGAAAAAATTTTTGTCCGGCAAAAAATCATCCATGTTTGGAATAAACAAGTTAACTCTGAGGTAATCCTTGATGTAAATTAACCTACAAGATCCGGAAACTTTTTCTCTTTATTCTCATCCTTCAAAAAGGGTGCCCTAGTATCAAACAGAGGCAACAGATTTGTTTCAACTCGGTGAAGAGGGGGGCCTTAAATCCGCCACTGCCAGCCACACCCTACAGTTTCGCTTAAAACAACATCAAATTATATTTTGTTGCATTTAACCTTGAAAATTATCGAAAGTTTTACAGCATTTTTTTCTCTGCTTCAAGTATTTCTTGTTTAAAAGTACTTTAAACGTAGAACGTCGATTCGTAGATGAATCTTCAAAGAGACACAGACGAAGGAAGGAGAATAACGTTGATCTTCTAGACTTCCTAGGTTCTCTTTTGTTACGCACACATCTTGTTTTATGCGCTAAGGGTGAAGTTTTGTTTCTCTCATTAAAATTTGGACCTTGAATGTTACCATCTTAACCCAGGCCCAGTTCCAGTAGAAATTTGAGCCGAGCTGCGAAAGATTTTTCGTCAAGTATTAATGCCATGATATCATGGTCAAAGGGCAACTGTCCTCTCTGCTCCCATGTTCCAGCATCGCAGAAACAAATATCAATTTATTTAACAATGTAGTTTCTTTTAAAGAAGTTATTGGCTTCTGAATAAGTTGAGAAAGTTAGGTACTGGATTTTCAAACCAAGGAAAGTCAACTTAGCCAAATTAGAAAATACAATCCATGCAAAAAATAGTTTGTTCTGTCGAATGCAAGAAAGCTCCCTTTCCCAGCTAAAAATAGAAAGTTTAATCGTACTGTGCTAAGGGAGTGCTCATTAAGCATGTACTTAACTGAGGCGGAGGGTATTTACTTTATCTTTAAAAGAAACTTGAAAGCCCTCCCAACAGTTTACTAAAATGTTTGATACTCCTACAAATTTTTGAAGGTTGTTTCACACCCCGTCTCGGCATTTACTAGCGACATTTGGCCTCACCATCAAAAGGTGGATCCAAGAAAAAAGTCTTGCCAAATACCGTAAATACTCGTTTTAGCCCCCCTCTCAATTAAGCGCCCCCTGCTAGAATTTGTTAAATAACAGATATTCCAGTCCTGCGCAGTGCGCGTATTACTCAATTGCACACATGCAATTTTGCGAAATAATTAAAAAAACCAAGCCAAGAAACCTTTTGATGAACCAAAAGATAAAGACAAAAGAAACGCCATTTTATTGTTTTTAAGTAAGATAAACAGCTTCCTCCTAAACTAAATCTACAACTAGGTAGCGAGTCATTTGTGACTTGTCTTCACCGTGCTGCTATTACCAGATTCGTTGAGATCTATGAAAAAAAGCAATATCATTATCAATTTGATTTGGATTTCATTTAAAGAAAATATACCCTCAAGGCTTAATTACAAGACTTTTCATATTTGAATTTTGGAGTAAATTTCATGATTACCTAATATATCTTAAAACGTACTTGGAACCCTTGTAGCTAGACTGTTAAAGTGTTCTTCCAGACAACAAACGTTTCCAGCAAAAGTGACAGTCACCAAACCCCTAGTCTTTCAAGGAAATGTCGCTTGTTGCTTTTAGAGATGATTATCACAAAATATCAAATTGGAGTCAGGAAGACAGTTCGAAAATGATAGAAATGGCACTGCATGGTGAGAAAATAGGTTTTATTGAAATTTTTCAAATATTTTGCACTGTACTAATTACTTTTTGCAGGCGTGGTATTTCAGTCTGTTAATATTTTTCATTTAAAAGATTTGTCAATTGATAATATCCCAAATTTGCTCCAAAAATGACTATCAAACAAAACTATTAAGCTACAATTTTAAGTCTATTACAAAACGATTGGAAACATGCCAAAAAATCTTTGACAAAAGCTTACTGACTCGATTACCCATAAAGATTAATCTATCCTTTAGATAAATCTAAAAGTTGATCTTAGAGGTTCTTTACAGCAGAGAAATTTTTTTCATTAAGAAAATGACAGATTCATCTGAAATTTAATGCAAATTTGTTTACCTTTATCTATTCTGAATCTGAGATCCTAAATTTACTCTCCTATCTGTCCCAGATTTAGAAATGTATCTTTCTCAGCAGAAGCCTCTTCAGGCTACTGTTGTTTTACAATCTTTCAAATCATTAGCGTTTTTAAGCAAAGCAAGGCAGGATCCAGAATTGTGCTCTATATTTTTTTCTTTCCTAGACTTCAATACTTAAGAACATAAACATTGTGGCAAAATACAAAATTTGAACTATATCCTGTCATTTTGAACAAGCAGAGGAAATACATGAAAGAAAACCCACCAATGATTCTATACACACTGTTGGCGTGGTCTTGGCCAATACAATGATAAGAATTGTAACGGCATGGTTTGAAGTCCTTTGCAATGCACCTTGTGCTCTCACCATCTTTAGAGTAGCTGTTTGAATCATCTCCTGACCAGCATTCGCCTGCATCAATGAAGTTAATTAAGTTTAGATCAATTTTAGACATCGCTATTTACAATTGTAAGGAGCTACGTCAGTAAAAAATTTTCGTGAAAGTGATGGTAAAATGCAATGAGGGTAAAAATATGTAGAAGGATTATGTTTACAAGCAAAAAAGATTCACAAACAAAGATCAGAAGAAGATTGAAATTACTGCAATTATAAAAAGAAAGAGAAAGAAACAAGAGAAAGGAGTAAAAAACGCAAAGAAGAAAACAGATTGATTTGAAAAATTTTCTGGCGGTACAGAACTTTAAAATGGCTTTGAAAAAAGCAAACATTTTACAACATAATGGCTAAAAGCTTTTTCGTCTGACACTACGAAACCGTCAACAATACCAGTCTTGTGCTTGCGTTTTTCTGTTTGGCCTATTTCGATCCACAGCTGGGTATATATTTTTCATTATGTTCTTTCAGACCCTTATTCTGACGTTTTATGTTCTGAGGAGTGTCAGAAGAAAAAGCTTTTAGCCAATATGTCACAAAATGTTGGCTTTTTTCAAAGCCATTTACAGATTGATTTCTGTGACAAGCAAAATTAGAAAAGGAATAGAAATTAAAATGAAGGAAAGGAAAAAACGTAAACATACAAAAGCAAGGTCAAAATTATGCTGTAAAATATACTCGCCATAAAACTGGATGCCAAACGTTTTTCGTCCCAGCTCCCTAGCTTTTGTTGCACATCTGCAAATCATTAATGGTGAATAATTGTTCCAGGTTCCCCAATCAATATAGTAACCGTTCCATTTAGGACTGGAGTAACTTCGTTCGGTAATCAACAGCTCCGGTAATGGACGTAACCCGGAAACTTTATCAGCAAAGCATCCAAGAGGCTCATAACGAATGTTGCACTCTGACGTAAGCAAATTTTTGAGATAGTCTGTATCATAGTATATAAACAGGTACAGTGTGTTCCTATAACATCTGGGTATACATAGGCAAAGTCTGCCTCACGCAATGCAGGTTCGAGCACATCGATACAATTCCACAACATAACATTTACGACCTGTGCCAACATAACATAACTCGAGAACTAACCAAGTACTATATCAATCTAGCGAATACATATAGAAATTTGATAGCAAGCAATTAAAAAGCTTCGACCCTTAGTTGTACTACTGTTCAAATTTATAAATGATTTGTAGCGCTGTGTTGCAGAATTCGTCATCATTGTTTAAAACTGTTCATGTGACTGTATAATTCAAGTCAGAGTGATGAAACTCATAGTAAGTTTCGCCTAGGCCGTAAGTTCTAGAAGAACGAAGCCAAAACACATTTACCATCGTTTACCAGGTAAATATGCAAAATCGAAAGTTGTGCATAAACGTTTTAGCTGAGTGAGTTGACAAATAAGCCACTATCTTCGTTTACGATATCAAATCAAGACTATTTGAGTTATCTCTTGAAAATGACAAAAATTGATTTTTTCGCTTGCTCTTTGGTCCCCGGGTTATCAAATTTACGGGAACAGCACACCAAGCACTGAAAGAAAGCTTGTATACAACCAGTAAAAAGCGCGTTCAATTCCCGGATAGAAGATTTTCCACAGAGCCGCTACTTTGGGTGTGTCATTATTTATTGAGATATTTGCATAATTTTTCTCCAAAATGAAACCTCTAGCAGCCAATCTTTGATACCAATATGATAAAATATTTACTGTACTGTGAAAAAACGAGTATGCATAAAGGCTACACTTATGCAGCTGAAGCATGTATAAAGGACTTATGTTTACCTGTTGGCGCTATTCTGTAGACAAAGTTGACCATGGCCTCTCCGGAACAAACATTATCTGTTGTCGAGCAGCTCTTCAGAGACCCATCAATGCACTCCTCAGTTTCCCCATGTTTTTGATAAGTTAAATGGGCTGTAAGGCCACTGAAGCATCGTCCTGCAAAAAAAGCTCGATCAAGCATGGGCTCCGACAAAGGTGAAAAAGTGGGGGGGGGGCAAGGGAAAATTTAACACCCATAACAAAAGATTTTGAAAAAAAACTCTATTGTTTTGCAAAAAAGTGGGGGGCCAAGGCCCCCCCGGCCCCCCTTCGTCTGAGGCCCTGTCAAGGGCGTCACCAAAGGGAGGGTACGGGGGACACCGTCGCCACATAAAGGATTTTTGGCGGACAAAAGGAGAAATTTATTTCTCTCGCCCTGTAAGGTTTTTTTCCGAAAACACACAATAAAGATTGTGAGAACAATTTTTTAAAGTTCACAAAAGATGTGTTCACGTTATGGCAATTTCAAGGAACGTCAGTATCCCTGTTTCCTTCAGTGTCCTCGTCATAGCCAGTGGCGGCGCCACGGGGTGAGCTGGGATGGACATATTCACCCCACTTTTTAAGATTGACTTTCTAATTTTCCAAAACTGGATTAAAAACGTAAAGGGGGAGGGAATGTCGGTTTTTTTCTCTGAGATGGAACTTTTTTCATTTTGATGGTCAGTTACGGTTTTTCAGATCTTAGCTGACATAGAGTATGTGTGTTGGATCATCAGTTCCGTAAATATTGAGAAACCAAAGTGAAGATGATCTATAAAACACAGCTTAATCGTGCTAAGCATTTGGTTCTAGAGTATGGTCTTTGCCTTCCTTCTTTGTTAAAGGTTTTTGGCAATAAATAACTTCAAGACTTGTACCCAAACTTTTCAAGCTACAAGAATAGTATTGTTGCAGGCCCACCCGTTACAGCTGCATCACCTTTGAGCCCCAATGTCACTCTGAAATTAGCTTATATTTTTTAGCTTTTATGAGTGCAAACCTGTCCCTATAAAATATAACGTTTTCATGGAGGGTTTCAAAATATTTCAAGCTTAGTTATCAATAACGAGCGTGATTTCTCGTACGGTGTTGCACCGGCTTCTCACCTTTATCAGCTCCACCCCTTCATTGTCCACCCTACTATTTTGGGGCTGGCGCTGCCCCTGGTCATAGCTTTCGAATAGTAAGCGCATAAGCGATTCGTTACTTCTTGTTTGATGTGTTTTCTAATGAACGCCGCTTTCCAAGATGAGGCGTTCAACAGAGGGGGGCGTTTTTTTCAAATGGTTGGCTGAAGGTGCGGCGTTCATTAGAGGAAATACGGCACTTCTTGCATAAACGTTATTTGACGGAGATCATATTTCCCTAGGAGTGCACTTACTTTCCTAAAAGTGGACTTTGAAGCATTAAGTGGACTTATGTCCATCCACTTTATGACAAATTCATGCTGGATAGATGAATAAGATTGGGTGTCAACATTTGAATGGATTTCGTAATCAACATAATCTTCCGGCAAAGTTTCAGTTAGAAAAGCAAGTTGCATAGAGTGATTGAAGCATGATCGCAGCTCTTCGTTAAGTATTTTTACAATTGCTACATATCGAGGTCGAGTAACTTACATACTAATTACCAACTTACATAACTTATTCAAAACATTTATGAGAGGGGGGCGTTTTTTCAAATGGTTGGCTGAAGGTGCGGCGTTCATTAGAGGAAATACGGTATGTATAAAGTTGCCTGTTTGTTTCATGTATTCGATAATGGGAAACATATATTTTCAGCTTGGGTTGTTCATAGAGTTACAACGAACCTAAAACGTAGTAACGTAAAGGTACTAACGTAAGGTGCTTTCTTGATTTTTTAGATCAAAATACCAAAACTCTTAGTTTTCATTAAAATAAGATAAAAATAGTTTTATTCCACTCACCAAATGATTGAATGCCAATAACTTTGTAACCTTTTTGGAAAGCCAGTTTTGCACATCTGTTGAAAAAATAGACTGTATTGAACTTTGGACAGTAAAATGTCATCTTAATATCACGAAACAAGATTCTTACAGATTTGAAGTAAAGGATGTAGTTAACAGTTCCATCTACATCTAGCATCTAGCACTTACCGTAAATCCTCGCACTAGCCCCCCTGGGGGTAAATTTATTTTTGATATTTTTGGATGGGGGTTATTCGAGGGAGGCGTATATAATTAAAGTAGAAACCAAGAGGACCTCTTGTATAACAAAAGACCTCTTATATCATAGTAAGAACTTCCTTATTAACATTTAATTAATCATTACAAAAAGTATGAATTCTTGTGGTAATTCGATGATTCAGGTGGCAACAATCAACAAATCGAAGGCAGCCAATTCGAGGAATAAGGCAACAGTGTGGGTTTATTCGAGGGGGTGGGCTTATTGACAATTGGTAGTTTTAGAGTGCTTAGTCGAGGAAGGCTTTTTCGAGGGGGAGGGGAGGGGCAATTCGAGAATTTACGGGACGTCCCTCGAGTTCTTATTTATCAGAATGTTCAGGTAGAGACACGGTCAAGGATTACATGGTTATTTGTAGATCGGACACTATATGGTATGGAGGGAAGATGCTAAAAATTTAACAGATATATATTTCATGATAATTGAAAAAGAGTGCAAGAAAAGCTTGTACAAAACTTGTCAATCAATGGAACCAGTGTGGACACATACCCAGCCTGCTTTCTTACCACAGCGCAAATGCATTGTTACAAGGGCTTCTTGAAATGACGTCCAATTTGATGTAAGCAAGAATTAAGTCCAGTTTACTCACAATTAGGGTTAAAATCGCATGATAAAAACTTCATGAATACTTTCAGCTTGGGAAACGACTTAGCTCAGCAATCTGGCAATTCACCTACTCAATTTTACAAGAAATTATCTTCAATAGCTATGTAGATTACAAGGTGAGATTTTCAGTACTTTTTCTCATTCAAAAAGAATTTTTTTGCAGATTAAGTAGTTGTTCTTTTAATCATAGGTTGTTGCTAATTGCAGTTTATTGACAATGTCATATCTCCAGTCTCTTTGTTTTTAAAATATTTATTCCCTCTGAGTTGTAGAGGCTAAGATGTAGGCATATCTATCAAAAGTTCGTGGGATCGAGACTAGCACTAAGCACTTGTGGGAATAGATCTCTGGGGCAAGGTGCTCACACAAATTGTTTCCAGCCTGGAATATAATTAGGTACCCTTTATGGGCTTGGTAAAGAAGCTTTTGGCTTTGACAAACTATAAAGCCAAAAGTTTACATCATCTTTTCGACTAAAAGGAAGCTAAAAGCTGTATTCCTTACTCGCAGATAAACGTTGGCAGGAACTTGCTCCATTTATCCCAGCCTTCCTGGCTCTGAGGGTGAAACTCGAGGCTTGACGGTTGCTGGAGCACGATCTATCATGAAAGGGAATGGGAAGGACTCATTATGACTTAACATTGTCAACATAACTGGTTACAAATTATTATCGAAGGTTGCTATTAATAGTAGTGATAATAACTTGTAATTGAAGTTTTACGTACTCTATAACAGAATTCCAATAAATGCTGTGCATGTTTGTAAATTTCAATTACGGCAAGAAATAATTATCCCCAGAAAATGTTCTATTAAATTATCCAACTAAAGGAGAAAAAATTTCTTTATTGTAATGATTTCCTATTTTCTATATTTCCAGGAATAGAATTAGTTGCCATCCTAACTCAATAAGTATCAACTGTTAGAAAAATTTTACAGTATAGCTGATCTGAACTAAGTTAATAAACAAATTTGGTTTGTGCTCAAAATTCAAAAGATATGATAAAGACATAATAAAGTCATGATGTATAATAAAGACATAATAAAGACATAATAAAGTCATACATTTTGAAACACCTTTTATTTGAATTATAAACTCTGAACTAACATGGTAGAATACTTCTAAACATGCAAAATCAGTTGATTTTGGAAACATTGACTGGCAAGTGAAAGATCTGAAGTTTGTCAATGAATTACTGCTATTTGGGCGTGGTTCGCAAAAAACAGCGATTTGAAAGTAAAAGGGGCCTGCACTTATTTGGCCATACCTCAGCCAATTAACACATCTAGCTGATTTTACGGCAAAAGAGTTATTTTGTTGTTATGTGGGCAAAATTAAAAAATTCTCAAAATAGATTTTTGTTACGTAATCGCTTTTGATCTCCAGTAGGAATGTAATTCACAGAGTAATGGTGGAAGAGGTGAGAGGCATTGGGGCTGGGAGGACTGCAGTTTATCGCATTTTAGGCTCCATTTTAGGCCTAAATATGTCATTTGGACAGTTCTATCACAATGAACCAAAAATATTCGGGCAAAATCCGTACTTAGCCCTGCCAAGCATTAAGCCTCCGGTACGCCCCTGCCTGATAGCTATAATGACGATGTAAACCCACCTCTTGTTTTAAAGCCCTGTTTTCAAGCTTCTCCTTGTAGCAGCCAACGGGCTCCAACTTCACTGAACAAAAGTCAACTGAAAAAAAAGCAATGTCTAAATAAGTAAGGTTTTTACAAAAAACAGAATTTACCTTGATTAAAATAAAAAATTTATGTATGAAAGCTGTTTCTTCAGAAATTGGAAAGTGAACCTCGGAATTCTCAGATGATTTGCACTAAAAGTTTTCTAAACAATTTTTTCATGGCAGTTGCCTAAAAACTAAAAGTAATAAAAAGTTTGATAGCTAATACGCTTTTTCCTCTTCAAACAATTTAAAACGGTTATTTAAAAACATGCTAATGTGTTTTGTCGGTCATTTTCCAAAATAGTGATTGAAAGATATGTACCCAGTTGTGGATCGAAACAGGCCAATCAAAAATGCGGTCTCTCCTTATCTTTCCTCTTTGCTTTCAGCTGTTTTCATTTGCTGTGTATATCTGTTACGCAGCTCAAAACCCACACAGAAATGAACCGCATCACCAACTGACCCAAGGCCCCAAAAGGAAAATAGACTTTGTTCAGTCACCTTTGGTTAAGGTGGGTAACATCCTAATATTCATCTTACTCTACACAAGTACCAAATAAATTTAAATAGGAAAAATACAGACTGTGAGCAGCAAAGTTGTTTTGGATATCTTTAGGTGGTTGTTTTAAAAGAATATTTTCTTACATTTTGACGAAACCGCTACGCTTGCTATGAATGCAGTCAGGAAGATTCCAAGTGGAAATACCCTTTTCAGCATCCTTTGGGAAGAGAAGAGAACGCTAAGAAGTAAGAAATTGTACATAAACTAGGCCAAATGCGAACCGATTAGCATTCAGATCGAAAAAGGCTCGACAAAGGCTCGATAAAAGTGCTTCAGGGAAATTTGATTGAACTTAAACGTCGCACTTATGCCGCAGTATATCACTCCTGTGTGTTGATCAAAATTAAGTGAATTCAGATGTCTGGATAAAAAATGAAGTGAATTCAGGTATGTGAATCCAAATTGAAGTGAATTCAGATGCGTAATGACGTAAATTTAGATGTATGAATCCAAAATGAAAATTTCTATTTACAGGTATGCCATAAAGTGCTCGATCCCATACAGGCAAAGCTTTACACACTATTTCGTGTATATGGTAAAGCTGCATTTTCATGAGCAAATTTTCCTTTACAATTTTTCTTTGAGAAGTTAATTTTGAGAAGTTAATGGCCTGCCAGTTTTTCAGCAAGTTTATTTGTCAAGTAGAGAACTGTCATTTGCAAAACTTGTCCGTGTAGATGGCTTGACAAGTAAACTTGATAAATTTGACTCAATTCCAGACCCTTTTTTTCTCACAATTGCCTGTTCTTGGCCGTGAAAGCCTTCGGAATACGAAGGCAAAAAGTTGTAAAGTTGCAACATCGAGAAGAATGAGTATGCGCAGTATGAGGATGTGTATTGGGTATACAGATGTTAAAGGAAGAAATTCCAGGGACTTTCCATCCACGAATAAAAGTATTTTCTTCGTTAAAGGAGCTATTTTTTGCAAGAAAATTTTACGTCACAAAAACCGAGGCTAACCTATAAACTCCGCTGGCCAAAACAATTGTCAGAGCAAATAGATATTGTGAACGAGACTTATTGTTTTTCTACACGAGCAATTAAAAATTATCAAGTAAAAAAATGTCAAACAAAACTTGTTGCTAATTCAGAAGGGCAAGGAAACTTGTCAAGGAAAATTACCAAGAAAAAACTGCACTTGTAGATGCGGCTTAAGTTGCCAAAATAAAGGGATTTAAGATGTGTGAATCCAAAATGGAGTCACTTCTGATGTTTGCATCCAAAACAAAGTGAAGGAACTGAGTTGAAAATACAATGGATCCAAAATGCAAGAATGCCAGATCGCTCGTAATTTCTGGATACTTACACTCTTTTTTTATAAGAACAATTTTATAAAAACACGAGGCTCAAGATTAGTCAAAGGTTAAGAAAAAATTAAGAACAAGTTGAGGCTGAGATACTGTAAAATGCAGTTTTGAACAACGTTTTATCTCAAAAACGAGGATTTCTAGCCATGTGTTGGTCCTTTTTTGGTGAATATTCAAACTTGGAGGCAAATGAAGGTTGTCTCTCTTTTTGAGGCAAATAAGGCCTGAACACCTCTCTAGAGCGAAAAGCTAGCAATCGCACTGCTTACACCTTATTAATTTAAGAACAATTTAAGAACAAATTAAGAAAATATCAAAAACAGTCAGCCTGAATTTGAATCTACTGGCTCTTATAAAAAAAAGATACATTCTGCTTAAAATAATTGATTATTAAACAAATGCCTAACGCATGGTAATATTTTCATAGATAGTGTAATGAAAAAAATTTCAGATTTGTTAACATAATGAAAAATCAGCATAAAGTTGAGCCACATTGGAGAAAAATATAGATGAAAGCTTAACTGTTTAAACATATCTATTAGCATTGCAAATTCTTATGCAGTCATATTAAGGTCATAAGAAATTAAGAAATTTGTTTAAGTTGTGAACAAAAAAAAATTCACATGCTTACATTTTCAGATGTTAATCAGGATGCTTCTTCACTTGGCCTTGCACTGGTGCAGAACCCATACAGTTTTCTCTTTTTATACATAATCAAGTCCGCGAAATTCTGAACAGAGCTGTTTTTTCGATCCAAAAATTATCTGTTAAAGTCAAAACATTAACACCAAGCAACGATTTATCGCATTCTACATCATTCAATTGACAATAAAGATTCTGAATAATGTATTATTTGTTTCAATAAAAATACTGTTTAATATTTGAAACTGCTTACAGTCTTTACGTGTGTCAGTCATTATTGAGAGATAATATTTCTTTTTCTGTTCAAAAATGTTAGCAGAGGGCGACTGACCGGACGAAGAGTTTTGAAGAAACCAGTGGCAAGAACATGCACAACGAAATTTCGTCATAATAATCAACTCAGGTTTGACATACTTTGAATAGCTGACAGTGGCCAAGTCTCTTGAACAGTACTGTTGTAGTGGAAAAACATGAAATATATTGGCTGAAAGTTGCTTAAATGTCACATCGACCTGACATTTAAGCAACTTTTGAGAGCTGAACGCAAATATACTAATCCTGGTGAGTTTTGTTTAGGACATCACAAACCAAGACAGAAGGATCAACATTGCTTCTTAAACGTTCGTTTAAAATGCTTCAAAACTTTAGATTTGACTTGCCAAAATCCAGCCTGTAACTTTTGGAAAGAGAGATTCATAAAGGTGACGAAACAATTCATTGATAACCCACCCAGTTCTTGAATAAGATTCCAGGAATAATTAATGAGCTTGTTAAAGAAAAAACAGCGAAAGCAGAGTCAGGTTGCTTAACTTATTGAGAGGTTGCCAGGGTAGGAGAGGAAATTTTTAAACGCTGGTAACGTTCGTCGTTGACACGTTTAACTAGATTATTCGCCGGAGGATCAATCTACAAATGAGAGGGTTTAGAAAGGCACACGAACCTATGAAATCTAAATTAATTTCATGTGCTAAAAGACTGAGACAACCTCAGTTAAAGGGTAAAAAACTTCTGAAACAGTGGTCCTTTCCAGTTGGCAATAGTATCTTCTATTCTGTATTCATTCAGACCATGTTTTTGCGCCAATGTTGATCCAAATTTTGTTTCGTTTCTCAGCAATTTTAACAACAGTTCCCAGCAAGTAATGACCAGTACAACAGATAGTATTGCATTTCTCTCGCCACGCATGTTTTTCAATATTTTTTGTTATCAATGTTTTTCATAAAAACTATATGCGGAAATGAACTACTGAAAATGAATGAATAGCTTCGTTAATGACACTGATTAAAGATTCATTCAATCCACCAAACAAGAAAGTTTGTGTTGACGACGGCAGTCAGTCTGCCAGCCAAACAAACCTTTTACCAAACGAGAATCAGTTTCTCGACCAAACAACTAGCAATCAATTTGCTATGCCTTCCCTTCGGAGATCAGTTCTCCACTTTTCAATATCCTACTGGGTCTCTGGGGCTGCGTTTACACGGGGCCGGCCGAATATTTGGTCGGTCAAATATTTTGTCACTTAGGCCTTGCGTTTACACGAGGTCTTGCGACCTCAACTTAGGTCACTTAGGCGTGCAAATATTCGGCCACCTAGGAAAGCGTCCTTCTTGAAACTTGGCCGGCCGAATTCGCGAGCGGCCTCGTGTAAACGGTTATGGCCGGCCAAATATTTGCACGGTACCAAAAAGAGGTTTATGTTTTGTACGGCGATCAGACGAAGTTCTGCTATTATCCAACCATTTTTGCTCGAATTATCAAACAGCACATCTCAAGGTTTTCAGAAAGCTCTAGCCTGGAAATCAGCGCTGCAGAAAGTCGTTCCGACGGCAATTTGACAGCGAGCAAAGATATGATAAGGCCTAGGCCAAACGAACGGAAAAGTGAAAGGTATGAGACCAAGGGGATAATGCTCCTAGTATTTTGTAGTTGTGAATTCGGAAGGAGCAATGAGGTGCCAGTTACGGTTGTGACATTATGTGGCAAAAAGTGGACAAATTTTCAAAATTGGATGCACGAAAACTGTTTTCAAAAAAAGTATTGAGCCAGCAGTTGTACTACAGCTTGCTTTAAAACAATTTACAAGGGTTATCCACTGTTGGGATTGGATTTGAAATTTTAAACCAATTTACAAGATTATACTACATCTGACTGTAAAGTCATACACTGCTTGATGACTAAGATCCCGTCAAACTTGATAAAGGCTTTGATCTTAAAAAAGATTTGCCAAAGAGTATTAGCTTAGATACAACCCCTTCTTTTTTTTTTGGGGGGGGGGGGAGGTGGAGTGCAAGGATTATCTGTCAGCACAAGAAGAGCTCAAGACAAATTGCTGCAGTATAAACAAAGAAACTCATCATTCTTAGCAGGGTGCTGCAAATTTTTCTATCAGATTGAAAACAGATCTTCATTAATACTAGATGCTTTTAATCAAAGGACCTTAGCCTTCACAAGAAATAACAGTTCACTTCCCGGAATATTGGGCTTTACGAATACTGAACGTAAATATCCTTCTTTCCATAGTTTATATCCATGTTTTTTACTTCTGTCACTGTCAGGCCTAAGGTGCACTTACGCTGTCAAGTATTGTTAGTGAATTATCAAGGAGTCTTCCATTGAGCTGTTCACTTCAGAAGTTTGGTATAACCCTAAAAGACTTGGTCTAATCTTTCCTGTCAACTATATATCTTTCGAGGTCTATATCATCAGTGGTGGCGCCAGAGGGGGGGCAGGGGGGGCTACAGCCCCCCCGTCGGAGGAGGCTAGCCCCTCCGTCGGAAGATAAATTATGCTTGAATTTTTTTTGTCGGAGCGAATTTTTTAAGTTTTGGCGGAAATAGAAATTTCTAAAAGGACTGTTATCAGAATTCAGGAAGCTCATCCCAAAACAACTCATCGACACATCAATTTCATGGTAAATAATAATCTGTTATAAGAAGTTTGAATTGGTTGTTTAGATGTTCAGTACCAGGTGTTTTCCGCATGCTGTTAAATTTGATCTTATGTTATGGATAGTGCAGTTCGTCCAAATCTTGCTTGCTATAACCAACCTACAACATCGGAATATTTTTGTGCGATAGCGATATGGCAACAAATGTTACCCGTTTCAGTGTTAGATGTAGTATATGTAATGACGTATTTAACAATGATTACGCTGCCCGCCACACGAAGTCCAAGCACAAAGATTTGGCTGCAATGGGAAGTTCCAGTTTAGATGTTCCAGTTTTCCTTAAGTTCAGTTGGTTGCTTTTTATTTAAATTCATACTTTCCAAAGATAGGCCCTACTTGAATTGGCAACGTTTGATGAGTTGTAAAGATTTAGAGTAGTTTTAAGCTTATCTAGAGGCAGCTTTCAAAAAAAATTTCCAGGGACGCCGGAGAAGGGGGGCGCGGGGGGGCAAGCGCCCCTCCTGCCCTTTGCTAGGAGGGGCAAGGGAGGGGGCAAACGTGCCCTTAGTAATATGTCAAAAAACGTAGTAAAAAACACGATTACACCATTTTGATAGCATTTTTAGCCAATCTAATGGGTGTAGCCACCAAAATTTTCCCGGGGGAGTACCCCCGGACCCCCCGAATTTTCGGCTCGCAACGCTCGCCTTCGGTCTCCAGTACCCTTACAATTCCTTGTCGCCCCCTAGCCCTATCGTTCTCTAAAAAAATTAGCCCCTCCGTCGGAAGTGCTAGCCCCTTTGTCGGAGGAAACCTAGCGCCACCACTGTATATCATCTTCTTGTCTATCGAAAGTGCACTTAACTGCTAGTTCTCCTTTTTTGGCCTAATCGCAACACCAAAAAGACTTTCTGCGACATCATTTCCAAAGCAAGAGCTTTGAAAAACTAGGGATGTGCTGTTCGGTACGTTCTGCCGTATTTTCCATTATTTGTTTGACTATTTGAGCAAAGAGCGTCGAATAATAACAGAACTTCGTACGATCGCCGTACAAAACGTAAACAAAAGTTCGCGGGTTTAACAACAAGTACCAGAATGCATTGTGCCATGACGTAATTAGGGTAAGGTTGGTGTACTGGGAGGGTGCACAGCGAGCCTTGATGCGAAGAGGAGGCGATGAAGAAATCCTAATTGAAGGAGACTCGGCGAACTGCGATTTGAGTTCTTCGAGCCTCCTCGTAGCATCGAGGTCGCTGTGCACCCTCCCAGCCCTTCCCAAATTCACTTTTGCATTGTTCCAGTCTTTTCTGTAAAAACTGATGGGAGTGGGCGTGTGAGGGTTGATATACTCCTTTTTGATTTATTGCTGTCAAGAGCGAGTTGGAATAGCCAATAGGAATACATCTCCAGTCAGAACGTAATGAGCTGTGCATGCACAGCGAGCCTCGATGCGGAGAGGAGGCGATGAAGAACTCAAATCGGAGTTTGCTGAGTCTCCTCCAATTAGGATTTCATGGCATCCATTAAATCTACGCCTAAAGTTCACAATAGTGGCTTTTTCGAAGACATAATGAATTCTTTTTCACCCTTGTAGATAAAATGAGTTCGTTGACTCCTGTAGTAATTTTCATAAGGCACGCAGTACTGATCGGTTGAAGTTTCCGGCACCGTGTGGGCGGGACCTTTATGGTCCTTGTTGGACGGTAAAACAAAGCAAAAAGCAGCATAACATTTTCTGGTTTGTTCCATCCATATTGTGGATGACAGTGGAAAAAAGAGTGAAAACGGAGCAAGACAAGGCAATGGACAGAGAGAAGAAATGAACATGGAAGAAGGTTATTAGGGGACAGAAGCCAAATGTCCTTTCGATGAACGGGTCCTACTTTTCGTGAATCGCAGTTTACTCTGACCTAAACAAAGCAAAAATTGGCCGGTGTTTTCCAATGCACGAGTGTGATTTTGTTGAAGAGGATGGCCAAACGGCTTCAACATCATTCAGCAACATCCATCATTTTTATCAAAGCAAAACTTTGTCTAACATTGTCTAGCATCGTACCAGATCATCCACGATGTCCAACATGATTGGTTAAGCCAGTGCAAAAATATTTTCCCCAACACTAGACTTTGTTGGATGGAAAGTTGTGAACCTTGCTCAAAAGATTTCCCTTCACTCAACTGACGATGGCAAATATTTCTTTTTGTGAGTGAAATTCAATTAGAATAACGTGATAAAAAAGACTTATTCTAATGGCTTATTACGCTGCATTTTCTTTTTCAATATTCCTAACATTCCAATATTCCTATTTAATTGAAATAGTCTAAACTTAACAAAATTATTCGACAATTTACTATATTTCATTAATCGCTTTCCATGTACATCGATCAAATTTATGTAACGTCTTAAGCAGTTAGAAATATGTGTCATAAGATGAAATCAATTTGCCAGAAATTTGTAATGATAGTGACTATAAACTGAGACTATAAACTGGGTATATCTTTACTACTGATTTTTCCTCTAAAACAGTTTTGGTACCGGCAAAAAAGGGCTGTTTTCTATTCACCTTCGAAAAAACACCATTCAATTCCAAAGCTGTCCAATTCTGTCTCTTTGAAGAAGTGTTCTTTAGTTTAAGAGAATGGGGAGGTTCTTTAGTCGAACTGAGTTTTCCTTATCTTGGCGTAGGACAGAGGGACATTCGTTGTCGAGAAAATTAGTAAGCGAAGTTAAATTGATACGCTGGAAAAATATGCTAGAGTAAAAACTTTTATCCTCATACAGCCTTGCATAAAATTTATCCAGCTTCGGGGTCGACAACACGAATCTTTTAGCGATTATAGAAGTAAGAGTATCCCTTCCTTTAAATCTAAGGTGAAATTTTGTTCATTTACTGTGGCCCTCGAAGAAAATGCTGCATTGTCTTCCTGGAAAATTTGGCATTTCAAAGCCCTTTTTATGACGCAAGAAAAGGAATGAAATATATGCAAGGAGGAAATATGCAGCTATTTCCCGAAGATAGGTTCAGTCCCCTCACTCTTTATGCATGCAGTGAAATAGTAAAGATGGACTAAAAATGTAAAGAAAGTTCTGCTGTGACTCTTTTCCCTTATCTATCATGTAGTCATTGTCAAATCTCTGAATTCTTTGAAATATTGATTAAATTGTAGAATCAGTTACAAATGTTAATTCGATCCACCTCGGTCCAAAATGTATGGCTCTTTGTACTATAAATCATAGAAGTAATCAAGAGGTGCAAATTCACACCTTGATTCTAATATTACTGAAAATATTACTAACTGTATTACCAGGTACATTGAAAATGGCTCCGCAAGGGAATGCATTGCTAATGCTTGCAAATTGCAGGAAAAGCTAACGCTTGCATTCCTGTGAAAAGCTAAAAACATTTGGCTAAATACTACACTGGCATAAGTTAGCTACGTTAAAATGAAATGGTTGGCGATATATCAGATTGTGAATACCCACCCATTTAAATCTTATAAATAAACAACTTTATGTAAAAATCAATATTGTTTGTTTGTTTGTTTGTTCTCGGAATGCCTCCAAGCATAACAAGGTGGGAGTATTTAAAGCAAATGTCCCTAAGCCTTCACGTAAAGGGTTGACTCAAGCAGGTTCTCTCGCAGCTCCTTTTGCCGATCTTTGATAATAAGATCCATTTCTGATTCCTTGCGAGAGCCATAGCCGATGAACTCAACTTTCCTTCCACGTTCAGGCACTTCATCATCCTGTATCGATTAAATAATACCAAACGTGAATCACGCGTCTAAACTAAAGAAGAGTACGTACCATAGGATGTGGTTGAGAAATCATAGCGCTTCTTCTGTAATTCACCAGCCTGAAAATTACAGTGCGACTTTTGTGGTTATCCACTTCATTATTACTTCAAAATATGCCGGGGCGTAATATGCATCTTTTGATTGAAAGGGTGGGAGGGAGGGGGGGGGAGGTAGCAATGACCATTTTCGCATAATGATCAAGGATCATATTGCCAAACCATGGGTACCAGAGCCGCAAAAATTAGAAAATAATGAGAGCTGCGCCGCAAAAATTAAAAATAATGAGAGCTCTTATTGAAACATATCCTACGTATTTATTTTTTGCATTATTATTCTGACGTTAAAAACTGCTAACTTTTCGTCTCAAAATGCTTTACGTAATCAGAGCAATTTTCATATTTGAATTAAAAAAAAATTTAACCCAGTTGAATCTGGTATCAAGAAACTCAACTGCTGAAGTGATAAGGTTGGCATGCATCCCAACAAGATTAGGCCTTGCCAGAGAACGAGCCAAGCGATACGATCCAAACCAATGGCATTATAAGAGGCAGAAACAACCAATGTAGAACTGCTAAATTCTATTGCAAATGTCACTTTATCAGATACATTATCTGTACCATTGTGTACCTAATATACAGCTTCATATTAAGTCTTATAGCAAACCTTGAGAGGGGGGATAACTTGATAGGTTTTTAGGTATGGGGACTTGCCATTCTTTGGGGGTACCTTTTTCAGAAATGTGCAGAATTATCGGTATCAGTTTTTAAAATATGTGCAGATTTATGGGTACCATTTTTGGAAATATTCCAAATTTATTAGGAGGAGGATTTAGCATCAACAAAAAAATGTCCAGTTAGAAATGAAAGTATGAAATATGTAAAATTTAATTTTGGGAAAAAGGACATACAAAATTCGATAATTTTGCTGTGTTTTAAAAATTTAATTTGCCTTGCGGAATTATCGGTAAATTTTTCACCATATTTGCAGAACTATTGATCACAATTTTAGTCCAAATTTTGAACCAAAATGGCACGTACCCGTCCAAAACTAGGCTTTTTTGTCCCCCTCCCCTCCCCGAAGTAGCAAACCTTTATTAGGTTAGGAAAAATAAAACAAAATACACTAATGTTGATATAAAGGGACCAAAAGTGGATCGAGGCGATAGCAAAACTGGAAAAGGTGAGTGGCATAGTATACATTAACTGAAATATATCGTTAAATATTGGTTATCAACACTCCTTCCACCCGAAAATAACGAAGATTATCAATATAATAACACATATGACATCAATGGTATTAAAACCTAAACTGTCTTTAAAATAAAAAATTAACAAATAGGTTGCAACAAGTGGAATCCCATACTTTTGTGAAGAGCAGTGTGAAAAATTTGAAAAATCTAGTTGTAGCATAAGTCAAGCTATAGACTGCAACTCTCAAAAAGCAAGAATATACATCATTAAATAAATATACACGACATACTGTGAACCGTTACACGTTAAATTGAAAGCGATTCATAACTCTTAGACTAGTAACTACAAATTCCAAATTCCCTCGTTTCAGGAAGGTTGCAGAGGAATCCCTCCTCCCTAAATATCTATACTTCGTTATCTTCTGAATTGGGGGATACATGAAAGACAGTGCACAATCGCTTATTGTTCAAAATGATGAAGTGTTACTATTGGTGCCAACGCTACCAGACGAATTCAGACACATGTGAATTACCAAATTAAGAAGAGGTTTATCTTCAACGTCACAATTAGCAGACAAGATCTTGAGCAGCGTACAAAAGCTAACAAGTTGGAAGAGACGCCAAACTGGCAAGCACGCAGCACACAAACAAAAAGAGAACAATCGTAAGCGATACGTTCAGGCTAGAGCGACATTATATGACTTAACCTATAATAACATTATATATATGTATATCATAACGGTTATGTAGATGGCATCCCTTTAATGTCTTAAATGACTTCCTTTACCTAAATTGAAAAACTCTTGCTAGCAAAATAGCTACTAGTCCGCAAACCAGCGTTCTTGTACTTGATATAGCCCCCTCCCCGCCCAACCCCGCTCAACCCCGCCCCATACAATGACATAATTTCCCTGTGAGTCTCCCGCCCCTTACAATGACATAATTTCCCTGTGAGTCTCATACGTGTAAAGCCTCTGTCCTCTTATTCGTCGAGGTTCTAACAAAACGTCAACGTGCATTATTTACAACTATTTCAAGCATTAGATTCTAGGTTTTTAGTAGATTTGCTCTCATATTTTATAAGTTTAATATTGTCATCTTCAAAGTTGTTGCTATAAGCATTATTCTGTGAGCTATTGTCTATTTTCGTCAAATTCAATTTGCTCCCCAAATTTGAGACTTGGTTGCGCCCAGAGTGGTGGTGACTGTCTTTTTCTTCGTCCTTTGGAAACAAAGTTTAAATACATTAATTATATCTATTTTAGAAACAAGAAGCATATATTTATCCGAAAAACAATACTAAATTATTCGATACTTTTGCATCTAAAAAGTTTTAAGATTCAACACAATTTAATAATGCTTTGAAAAGTCCTTGCTCGGATTAAACAAATTTTTATTTATTATTTAAAAGATTTCGAATCAGAGTTTTATCAAACAATCATTTTGCAGTAATTCAAAGTACAGATGTCAAATCAGCACGTCAAGCATGAAAATCAGGGTGACACCAGCCAGCCTGTCCCTAAGGTGCTTATCTTGCACTTATTACTTATACTTAATCTGGAATTTCATCAAAACTATTGTCAATTAACTTTTTTCAGTTAATTATTAAAGCTTTTAAATTACTAATAATACTTTTAAACATATTGAAGTTTTATCTCTTATAAGGATTGTTTTATGACATCAGTTTGCCAAAATCATATCATTTCTATAATCTTATCCGCAAAGCAAGAATAGTTTAATTATATTTATTTCATTTTACCAATATACTTTTATACAATATACTAACATATTTCTAATAAACTTTATGGAGAAAGGTGGAGTCTTTATAAACAAATAATCAATTTGTCTCGGGACCCAAGTCTCAAGTAGTTTAAAAAAAGACATACTCTGCACAAGCTTCCTGAAATATTAAAATGATTGACTTACAAATGTTGAAAATCTTATTTCTTACATTAAGTCTTTCCACAAGTTACATGAAAATGTTTGTTTCTGTTTTGGCACTTTTGTACCTTGTTAAACGTTACAAAAAAATGTTTCTGTCAGTGTCAATTGTCAGAATTTGATGTAATTTAAGCCCTGTTCACAATTTACCGTTTGAAATCATCCTGTCTTTTTCTTCCGTTTAAACTTAAATATCTTACAAAAGCCGAGCGCTCAGGGGCGACTTTGTCCTCAAATGACAATGGTTTGAAACAAATGAAAAAGCTATAGTGTAGAAGGTCGTTAGAGGATTGATGACTTCGCTGGCAAACTGTGTGCAGCTAGGTAAGTAAAAAAACAGGTATCTGACTGCAACCACATGACATAACTCTTGACTTCCAACACCTAACCAACATTTTCAAAGGTACAGTTACTGCAAAGCAATTTAATAAACGGCCTAATCTGCACGGAAACAACAGAGTTAACCAAGTGAGAAACTGAAGACCCCTACTGGATACCAAACATGGTCAAGAACCATCACTGAGTGCAAATATGTCGACATCAAGGCCATTAGCAGCTTAAAATTTTTCAACCTCAGACTTCTGAAAGTGTGAAGGTGACCTTCCATTCTTCAAAGTTGTTTGGGGAAAATATTCTCTACCCAAACTTATTGCTGAATAGCTGATGCTGTACGAACAAAATTGTTTGGTAAAAGGTTAAAGAGGAGGTTAAAAATGTGGAAACTGTAGCAATGTTTGTTAAATTATTAATCAAAAGGTCCAGAGTTTTCTAATATGCTCCCTTGTTATGGGCTTCAATTACCCAACCAAACTCATTCTATAAAATGAAGAGGGAAACTTGGCCAGAAGTGTTTCATTGACTGCAATTGGGAAAGAGGGCCTAAACTCGCTCTTTTTGCAAAGCACAAGGCGAACATTAAGGTGAACATTAAGGCAAACATCGAGATGAACATGAAGACGCAAATTAAAGCAAACATTTAGGCGAACATTAAGGTGAACATTGAGGCACACATTGAGGTGATCGTTAAGGTGAACGTTAAGGTGAACATGAAAACGCAAAGTAAAGGAAACATTTAGGCGAACATTAAGGTGGACATTGAGGCGCACATTGAGGTGATCGTTAAGGTGAACGTTAAGGTGACATGAAAACGCAAAGTAAAGGAAACATTTAGGCGAACATTAAGGTGGACATTGAGGCGCACATTGAGGTGATCGTTAAGGTGAACGTTAAGGTGAACGTTAAGGTGAACATGAAAACGCAAAGTAAAGGAAACATTTAGGCGAACATTAAGGTGAACATTGAGGCGCACATTGAGGTGATCGTTAAGGTGATCGTTAAGGTGAACGTTAAGGTGAACATGAAAACGCAAAGTAAAGGAAACATTTAGGCCAACATTAAGGTGGACATTGAGGCGCACATTGAGGTGATCGTTAAGGTGAACGTTAAGGTGAACGTTAAGGTGAACATGAAAACGCAAAGTAAAGGAAACATTTAGGCGAACATTAGGGTGAACATTGAGGCGCACATTGAGGTGATCGTTAAGGTGATCGTTAAGGTGAACGTTAAGGTGAACATGAAAACGCAAATTAAAGCGAACATTTAGGCCAACATTTGGACACACATTCAGGTGATTGTTAAAGTGAACGTTAAGGTGAACGTTAAGATGAACGTTAAGATGAACGTTAAGATGAACATGAAGACGCAAAATAAAGCGAACATTTAGGCAAACATTAAGGTGAACATTAATGTGAACAATGAGAAATTGACTATGATACGAGAAAAAACCCGAGCTGCTCTTGATTACCAGATGGGTAGCGTTTCTAGGGAACTTTCAATCAAATGCTTCAAATAAGAATTAACTGACGCAATAAAAGTCTTACAAATATTCACTTGACCATAAAAAATCTTGGAATATATTCTAGGAATATAAAAAATGAGCTGCAGGTGTCACCATGAGAGGTTAGGAAGGGCACCTACCCATTCAGGATTGAGTTTAATGAAAGAGCCACCTTTACATGAAAGAATTTCTGGTGCTTGACTGGAAATACAGTTTAATACAACACAAGTATTGTACCAACCTGAGCTTTTTGTATGTCCGTGGGAATAAGATGGCGACTCGTGATCGATCCAAGAATATCTGGTAAGACGGCCAAGATGACAAAAATGATCATGCCAAACCAGAATGGTGCAGATTTCATCAGCATGTAAATGATTTGGTACAAATCCATATCGAGCTGCATGTCAAAAGCAGACCGGAGACCCTTCCTAGAAAACGAACAGAGCCTCATGTGTATAAAAAAAATCCTGTGAGGGCAGTTGCGGACATCTGGAGGCGAGAGGGGCAGTAAACCCTAATATTTAGGAGGACAATGGTCATTTGTTAAAAAAAACACAGGGAAGTGTGACGTCATTTATCAAAACAATAGGCTTGCCTCATAGATTGCTAAGTTATGGACACTTGCCAATAAAAACGTCTTGAATGTGCAACGGAGAAGTATCGAACTTTTTTAAAATAATTTGTTTGATACTTCATTCAAATTATCAAATCAAATTCACAAAAATAAATCGAGTGCTTTTGATTGGCAATATCTAATGAGAAAGAAAGTAACACTGTAAAGTTTGAAAGCAGTTTTGAGAACAAAATAAAAAGAAAGAATTAGCTCACCATGGCCACTCAAATTCACACAAGACAAGCAGGAAAAGGAAATAGAATAAATCCGATCCCCATGTGACGAAATGTGTCATCCACGTCCAATAATGCGTCATCAGGGATAGCTAAAAGTAGAAAATATGGCACCATAAAAAAATTCAAAATTAGAAGAAAAACACGACATCTTGTAAATGATTTGAAAAAGATATTTTAATGCGGGAATATCATACTAGTAACGGTAGAAAATAAAGAAAGCACCCACCTTGAGGTTTGTGATGAAAACAACTATTGTGAAGACAAACACGCCAAATGAATACACGCCATATCCCTAAGGGAAAAAAGTTCAAAGCTGAATTAAATTTTATACTTTGTATCAAAATTTCCTGTCTATATACAAAATAGGGTGTTAAGAATATGAATGTCCAAATAATTCCAGCAATGAATGTAGGTTGGGATTTGTCTATTGTCTTTTAAGGTTATTGTATACGGGGCCAGTTTTGGTGCATTTTTTTGCAGGAAGTCTCCTCAGAATGAATAGATTGAACCATCATCTCAACAAAATGTTCATAAATTCAAATCAATCCAAAATGACTGCTTGCAGGAGCAACAAAATTTATCAGATTGCCTCGATTAAAATCACAAAACTTTTCGTTCACACCTTAATGAGTTAATTTATAGCAAAATAAAATTTGATTCGATCAACGTTTAGAATGTGAAATTTAGCAAATTTAAATGTCTAAGTTATTAGAACGTTGTTTATAGGAAAAGATAAATAATTAAAACCACTTTTGGAGAAATAGGAAACAAACAACAGTAGTTAAAAATTACTGCACATACCAAAAGACCATTATGAAACGATCCCTCATCAAACATCCATTTTGAAGCAAAAAAGACAACAAGAGAATGCCATATGCCTAAAAGGATAAACAAATGGTTACTTATGTCAAATAAAGGATCCTTTAAGCGAAAAAAGCAGTTGTCCTCTCTATTAAGAATTTTAAAATATGATACATTTTTTTAGGGAACAATACAGATAAATTTCAATTGCACGCTGAAAAAATATTCTCTCACTGAAATTTTTTTCTACCCCAGGGAAATTTAAATATATCTGAGTTTATATAGATATTCTTCTCTTGACAAAAGAACAATTCTGCTGAGATTTAATTTCACCTCAACTCAAAAAGTTGCTGAATATATATTTATATATATAATTTGTAAACAATTATCATAAGCAATAAATATTTGAAGAGAATCTCAGCAACATACCCGATAAGCTCCAATAGAAGAACTGTTTCCAAGACATTTTGCTGTTCTTCGCCAACTCTCTACGTTGATAAAAGGCAAAACCTTTTATTGCATTAGCAAAATATTTTATATAATAACAAAGTTCATTCAAAGGGGTAAAATTTTGGAAGAACTAAAACACTCAAGAGCAGAATAATATGAATAAAATGCTTCTTCTGCAGCCCAAAATACTTCGAGGTGAGACTTTCTATGAATTGAATCCTTGGAATTCGGGGATGCAATATAAATTACCAGAGAAAATATTGGAGAGAGTTTAATATTGTCTGCTCCATTGGGGCAGAAAGATTTAAAATAACCAGCTTAAATGTTCCTTGCGGCTCTGACTTCCATTCAATGCGTTGAGGTGTAGTATTAGAAGAGCCTGGTTTGTTTGCATTGGCTCTTATCACATGTCACAAGCATCATTCACTACAGTATACGGTACACAGAAGCTCTATATCCTTTGTAAATTGAAAATGTCTCGAAAATCTAAGGACAAGATCAATCTAAATTACCGTCTACAGTCCTGGCTCTTGTTAAAGTTTTGCTCTTTGTAGTGATAAGAAGAGTGGTATCTCTTTTTAAAACCGGAAATTACTTCTAACACATATTTCAATGTAGGTTTTAGATTTTGAGAGTATGGTTAACAAAACTCTAGATTGATTAGCTAACGATAAAGGTTATCAGTTCTAGTTTCGCCCTTTAAAGATCAATTGAAAGGAATCAAGGTGTATTATAGCATGAATAAACATATCAATTTCGGAATAATACAAATTTTCATACAATTATGTAGATAATTCTCAAGTTATCTGAAGTAGGAGCATGAGATTTTCGAGAAGATAAAATATTTCAGAGACATGATTATTTGATAAATGTTTTACCTATAGAGACAAGGATTATCGAGTAACGTCTGTGGTCTCAAAGTTTGTTCAAACACGCCATATAACAAGATTGGCAACGAGGTGAAGAAGATATTAAAACATGTGAGAAACACTCCAGCATAAATTGGCTGAAACGAGAAAAACAAATTTATTATTAAATCTTATAATTTTGCCCTATATACGAAAATCTCTCGTTGATTTTAAAAAGAAATCTTAATAATTCATTGGAGAGTGCAAGTTATTCTAAACAATTAAATGCTTGCTAATAGACCTTGTAGCTCAAACCTAGAAGCAAAAGTATTCTATTTTATGAAATTTAACTAATTTTCACATTTTATATGGTTGTTAATACTAAAGGGTTAAATAATAAAAAATCTATTGAGATATACTGTTTCCAGAAGATAAATAAAGAATAAGAAATTGAAAAATAAAACAGGAAATGAATATGCTTTCACTCTATTTCCACAAATAAACTACATGGATTCGTGGTGTCATTGAACATACCATAGCCGAAAATCCACAGAAAAATTGGAAATAAAACTGAGGTGTGATGAAAGCCACATTCTGCAAAAAAATAAGTTCAAAATTACAAAATGTTATAAGAATTAATGTTTTCTAAATTTTTGCATAAGAGTGAAGCCAATCGATTCGTTAAAATTTACGACAATGTGTTATAATATTTTTTCCTTTCAAGCTTTAGCTTAAAAACAATGCGACTAGCAACAACAAAATGTCTTTAAAATTCTAAAGTTCAATCATTACTAAAACATCTCGCTAAAGTGAAAACTTTTAAGGCAAAAGTATTAACAGTTTAGATAAAGTATAAACTTCAACTGACCTTGTAAAAGAAGTACAGAACGACAACTGTGAGCCGAGAATAATAGTTGTAACCATGTACAAGAACGACTCTTTTCAGATATTTGAATCGATGGAATGCATAGTCGCTCGTTCGCACTGCCTGTCTGCCTTCTTTACCCATAATTCCGCAGCCAACATGGGCCTCTTGTATCATACTGCAGTCGTTGGCACCGTCTCCTATCGCCATTGTTATTGGCTTTATTGAAGAATGCTTGACAAGCCTAACGACCTACGCAAAAAATATATTAATATTACTGTAAACACAATCAAAAAATAAGTTAACTGTTAATTGAGGCAATAAAAGACCAGGAATTACAAAAAAGTGACTGTTACAGCAGCATATCCAAAATTATAACAATATTTTCTCGTGATTTCAAGCAGGGGTCAATCCATTTCTATATAACAAAGCTAATTCAAATTTTGTCATTTATTGTCAGAACGGGTACATTAAAATTAAAGTCATGAAATTGGTTGATGTGTCAAAGTGAGAAGGTTTCCATCCAAAACTTTTGAGATTCTATCTTAAGCACATAAGATAAATGACTCCTTGCTGCTACCGGGATTACAAGAATTAATATGGATGTCAATTAATGTTTAAAAGGTACACAAATACAAAGAGCAAAGCTATTTCTTAAAAGCCAACCTGAGCTTTCTGCAATGGAGACATTCGACAACAGAGCACAGCAACACACCTCTGGCCAACTCGTACAAATTGGTCTAAAAAGAAATTTTTTTTATTACTTGAACAATCATTTGTATGGTATGGAGTGTTCCAAAAGAAAATTTAAAATCATGAATTAAGTGACTAGTATTGAAATAGGGTAATTTTAGGCTGATAGACAATAAATTTCGTCTTACAATCTGTTTACATGTTACCAATGCCACTTCAACGGCTTTTTGGCGAATCATTTTCCAAAAGTTTAGCATGCTCATTCTTCACAAAATGCGATTAGAGAGAAGTAAATATAAATGCAATGTGATTGAAAAGATTAATTCCCAAACTAACTAGAAAATCAAAAGCCATGTGCCATAAGATAAAGTAAAGGAAAATCCACTTTCACTTCTAATCTACAGGATCAAGTGAAAAATGAAATAGGTTAGTGAAAACATCATTTTAAGCGATGTCATACACGGACTAAAATGCATTTGCTTCTTCGAATCAGTTTTAGGCATCAACCTTTCCTGATCTATTGATGATTTCTCATCCCTACAAGCAATGTGACGACCGATATTACACTTACCAGAGCAAAACTCCATCACCAGTAAAAGACTGGATCCATCAACAACAACAGCAAATTCAGTTTCAGCAGATTTGTTGTCTTCCAGCCTGCAATCAGTCAATAAAAATCTTTATTATCTATTGGCATTTTTGCCCATCTTATTTAGGTTGCTTTTTTATGTCAAAGGTAAAAATCAAAAATCAAGGTCAAATTTCACTGGTTAAGGTCAAAAGTTTGCAGAAGGGTTAATGGTCAGATGTCAAAATAGACTATCTTGAAGAAACCAACCTCCTCTCTATGTCCTCTAGAGTCGATTTAACCTCAACGGCAGTTTTCTTTTGAACCAAATACATAATTTGCATGCCATGCTGAAAATGGCCGCATGAATGACTAATGTTTACAGCGGTTTCTTGCTTGTCTCCGGTCAATACCCAAACCTAAAGGTCAAAATGCCACTCACATCCAAGAAATCCAAAAAAATTTCAAATCGTTTAAAGTTTGATAAAGAACAGTGTATGGGCAATAAAGATAAAAGGTATATATATTCAAAGACAGTCAAATAGCCAAAAGCAGAAATTAAATTTTCGGGGCAATTAAAGTAGCCCCAGACTCTTTCATGGTACTACACCCACGTAGTAATCCACCCGTTCCGCATTGCAGCACCCAGCTTTTGTATAGATTTTTCATCTCTAGTGAGCTAGAACGGATAATTTGGGTCTTCATAACTCAACTAAATAATTGACGAACCTTTAGGTCGGCATGCACTATTACTACGATAACTATACCACTTCAAAATACATCATTAGAGACTTTTGGAAAAAGGAGCAAAGATTTTATAGTACCTTTATCCCAGCATGCCTCAGGGACTCAATAGTGTCTTTAACACCGTCTTGCAACCTGCAAGACAAGAATATCAAATGAACGGCAGATCTCAAAACACCGAACAAACTACATATTGCAATCAAGTCATTAAATATGAGTAACAGAAATTTTGTAATAAAGTACCTGTCCTCGACAGCAGTTGCACCAAGCAATTCAAGATCTCGTTCGACTTGATCGAATACTCTTGCAAGCTGTAAGAAAAAATTAATGTTAGAAGTAATATGTCAAAACTTAAATAACAAAAAAAGAAGGGGAAAGGTTTGAGCAAAAGATGGCCTTTTACACAATATGTCTTGAACTATGCAATAATAACAAAATTTAGAGTCGAAGAAACTGAACATCAGCGATTTATCTGGGAAAAAACTTCTTGGAAATACTATCTCAGAGTTGATCAATGGATATAAAAAAGACGTCAAAGAGAATCAATGGATAAGAGGTGGTAACTCCACATCTTTAAATAGCCTACTAATCATAACGAAGCTGCTCTTTGTCATTCGACCTTCCATACACTGATTTGCAGCTCATTTCCTACGCAACTGAATTGAGATTTTCGATTATTTCTGAAATACCAGGATATAAATCGGTAGAGTCTCTTGATTTGTCATTCAGGTTCAGAAATATTTGTTCAAAAAGTTTGAATTGAAAAGAAAACCTGTTCTTCTCTATCTGTTATGGCCTGTTGAGCTGCGATAAGCTAAAACACCGAGAGAAAACAAAATATTCAAGGGTTTTGAGCAAATTTAGTTGATCCTAGAAATTGAGAATATAAGGCAAAAAGGTGCAAATAAACATTGCTGTTGACACAATAAGATAATTAATGCAAGACTGACAATTAGATCATAAATCTAGCCCAAAATTTTTGGTAAAACATTTAAAAAAAATAAATTTAAGAAAGAAATTTTCCTCCTCCAAACGAATGCTGCTAATAAGAAAATTAGAGAAGGAATTTTGTGCCTTGGCAAGATACCTAAAAAGTTTTTCACAGCACAAACAGATAGATTGTGGATCAACTACCTTTGAATCATACTCTTTGAATTCTTCCGCAGTGAACCTTCGACGAGCAATTGTCAGTGTCCGTAGACCAAGCTAAAACAATAAAACAAAAAAAGTTAATAAAATGGTCGAAAACTGCATTATGCTCCTTCAATAGTTTCATCGAGCCTAGAGGCCAGGATATTATTTGTCATGTATCACTATTTTATACTGCATTTTAACCGGGCTCATTTACAAACAGCTTTCTTGTAGGGAGGCTGATATCATTCTGTAATCAGTCTATCTGTTCCGGTGATTGCAATCGCTGTGTTCCAGTGATTATCTACTGCCTCGCTACATCAAACAAAAGTAATCATGCGGGTGAAAACAAACCTCGGCATACTGATCGATGTGATCACGTGTTTTATCCACGTGACCAGATATGACTCTGTCCAAAACATGTGACTCAGCTCCCTTGCACAACATCAACACGTCACCTAGGGAGGAACGAGAAAAATGTATCAAACAGCCAGAATTTGACCATGATACATTAGAAAATCTGCAAAGCGGCTATTTAGTAGGACAAATGGTTAGAAAAAAGGAAAGCAAGAAGGGTGTTAAAACTTGATAACAAATATGGTTGCCAGTGCTAAAGAAACAATTTTTTTAATGGCTTTTTGCACTTGATTTCAAAACATCGCAACAAGGAATTTTAAAAACCTAAGTCGCACGCTCAAGACTCTTCCTTATTATCTTAATCGAATCCAGATATCGAATGAGAAGTCACCAAAGTTTCTAAATTCATTTTTTAGGGATTGAAATCCTAATGGCTTAATTAAGAAGAAGATTATAAAGGATGAAACGGTCATTGATGGTATTGGATGCTGATAAGCTTTTTGACACCTCATATTTTGAGCCTGACAAGTGAAATAATTAATGAAGGAAAAGTTTCAAGAACCACAAGTTTGATTCGATCTAAAATCTCCCCAAATCTACTTTAAAGAAATCGTATCTCTGACGAGGGTCGTTCAAAATGCATAATTTAGACTTTCAAAAACGGTGTGGTGAAAAACGGTTCTTAATTTGGGAGATTTTCTAAAATCGCGTTTTCAGGTCAAGAATGGAGATACGATCACGAAACTTAAGTCCTACCGAAAGAAATTTGGTGTTGGGTGGATGCAGGAGAACATAATGACGATAATTACGAAAACACAGCGTTATCTGCTCTCAGATTCTTAAATAGCGCTTTGGTCCTAAGTGGGCATCGCCTAGAGAGCCTTGGATGGCAGTCTATAAAAGCCTTGAATCAATGTTGATTTTGCATGTACTTCTTGGGAACTGAATTCGCATAGAGATCAACGTGTCAATCTTTGTTTAGATACCTAAGTCTTCTCCGGCCTCCCTCTCCCATGAAAATTTTGTCTCATAAATGCGCTTTTCATAGAAACGTTAAGCAATGCTTGTGTTGCCTTTCCTCGATTGCTTGAAAGCTTCAGTTGCAGATACATGGCTTCCAAAGGGCTCTGCAATTTAGCTTTAGGAAAAGGGATTTTGAATCCGGAGTTTTCATACAAAGTATGTAATATATGACGTTGAGGAATTAAAAAAGAAATGTAGAAGACAACGTGTGAATGTCATATAGTTTATACTCTGTTGACAGAAGTACGTAGCAAAAATGCAAATTACGACATACCTTCAGGTGTTTCAAGAATGTTGCTCATTCTTTTTCTCGCAGAATCAAACTCTAAAACGTGAAGGAACTTATATGATTTAACTTCTCCATCCATTTCCAACTCCATGTTTTCGCCAGTCCTACCTTTGAACACGATGCCAAATCTGCAAAGCAAGAAAACATTTTGAAAAATACACATTCGTGTAGGTTATAAAGTATTGGAAAACCGAGTTAGCAACAGGTCCTTGGCAAGTAACAGAAATTCATAGAGAGTGTTGTAAAAATTCAGAATTGATAAAATAAATTTTACCTTGCAGCAACTTCAACAAGGGCTTTTTCGTCTGGCGATGAGGCCTAAATGGGAACAAACAATAACTTATTTCGTTTTCACTCAATGACTAATTATACATGCAATGACTAATTATACAGCCCTTAATTTTGTAATTTATCAGAAATTAATCATTTCTCGAAACTTCAGTTTTCAACTTTTTCAGCAACATTATCACAAAATGCCTGATATACAATGTACGAATAAATACATTTTAAATCCAAAAAGAGAATTTCGTACCATCTAGTGTTACTTTTCAGACACGCTATATAAATATATAGCGTAATATACGTTAAAATGAGTAGCTCAGATTCCTTTTCCTCACGAAGAGCTAAGGTCACGTCAATTTGATTTTTCTCGTACAAAGGATAACTAATTGTTTGCCTGATGATCGCATTAACGCGGAACATAGAACTTAGAACACTGTTCTATACACCCAGTGTGTACAGCCCTGTATACGGCATTGAGAACTATATTACAGTACTTTACATTATCAATTATTTAGATTATGATCAAACGTTGCACAACACCCGAAATACCACTGCTTGGATTATATAAATTTCTTTACAAGTATATGTTTACATAAATGTTCATTAATCCTGTTCATAAAAGCAGCTAAAGTCCATTTCAAACAAATATTATATTTACAATATTCACAGTAATAATTGGCACCACTTAAAATCCTACACACCTGGTACGCATACTTTTCTTCATCTGTCTGCTTCTCCTCTGGCAGTTTTTCAGCCTCGACCGTATGACACAAGGCCAATGTTATCAAAAAATTTTTGACGTCATCCTGCAACAGCCAAAAAGCTACATTTAATATAAACGCTACTTCGCTGATACATCAACTTTTGATTCACGCGCAGCTGAAGAAGATCTTGTTGAGGTTTCATAGCTTATAGGTCCTGAATTTAAAAGTTCATTTTTCATGGCATCGTCAAAGATATCCAAGTTGCCTTCACGCTTTACTGTTTTGAATCTTACACATCTAACGTTTTAGAATTTGTATTCTTCGATTATAATCATCATTACGTCAAGCTAAATTTATTGATTCTGTTGCGTGTTTATGTCACATGTTTGTTTGTCACGCTGTTGTCTTAGTAATTCCTTTTTTGGGAAATGTGTGTCACTGTCACCGCATTTTGTTACGTTTCGCATTGTCTACAATCAAGCTAGGCCTTTAGCCTAGCCCACGATCATCGGTCATTCCACCGTGCTAAAAAAACCAGTTTCTCTAAACTTTACGTAGAGAGGTTGTGATCTTACAGAGAATGCAATAAGTATGTACAGATATGACGGTTCAATGCAAATCAGTCAATTTTTAGTTACTTGCTGGTTAGCATTTACATTTTTAACACAATCTTACTGATAAATGTATACTGATGTAAACAATGCAAAATTGCGGTACGTACAGGAAGACTCGTCTTTTCTTGAATGGTATTATCTTGCATATCCAGAAATCCTTCGCTTTCCTCCTATGAGTTACAAATTATTAACGTAAATAAACAGAAAGTACAAAAAACAAGCAAAAAATGTGAAAGCAAAACTTTAACCAAACCGCATTCTTTTTTGGAAAGTTTAAAGGGGGGCAATAAGCATCAAGGCAAAAAATCGCCACAATTTCAAGGACACTTTTGGCTGGGTGACAAAGATATTAATGTATAAGAAGGAAGAACCGCAGGATAGGCTGTCCGCCGGATTCTTAAAATCTTGCAATGAGTAATAATACGAAAGATATTTAGGAACAAAGCAATACGACGACGAGAATAATTTATTTTGAGAATTTTATCTCGTTACATTGGATTCTCGTCGTCGTATTGTTTTGTTCCTGAATATCTTTAAAGATATTAATCTCATGATTAATGAACCAGACATCCATGACAACTTCTGCGGTGCAACCAGATAACATTACTAGAGTGGCTTTTGTCGATTCACATAGAGAAACGCGTCATATTTTTAACATGTCATAATTCAAGTGCTCCTTTGGTTACCAAAAGAAAAACAGTGATGAATTTGAGGATAAAAGCTTGACAATATCTTATAACCATACCAAATACTGTATCCCATTCACAGAGCATTGCCTGAACTGCATGTCATTTTCGGTCAAAGTACCAGTTTTGTCACTGAACAAGTATTGTACCTGTCATAGCAAAAATGTTGCAATAAAAAACATAGTCCATTTAAAGGTTTCAGTGCACAACCTGTATAGTACCAATACCTTTTAAACCAATATTTGTCTGCTAAGATAAAATTTCCAATAATTCTAACTTTATGACCATCATTTCTATAATATAATTAGTAAATATTCGAAGATTATGCAAGCATAGGCCAAATTCAGAAACTAGCGGACCAGATTGTTTTTTTAAACCCGAAAGTTACTTTACAACTCACAGTGGAAGTAGATTGCAATTATCTACAATTCTATTTTGAGATGTAATTCTGCTATGATACGTTAATATACTATTGTAACGAGAAAAAGTTGCAAATGAATTTCTAGATCTTTATGAGATCAAATAAAATATCAGCTTTGATTATAATGATTATGTAAATGATGTAGCAACCCGTGCCAGCATGACACGGGGGTAACGTATCCCAGTAGTTACAAAACGAAAGACTGTTAGGGGGGCACATCCTCAATTTATAAAAAGATTCATTGTCACCTTTGTGTTGAAACAAGACAAGTGACCAAAAGGATATATTACCTGTCCAAGCTCTTCGTTTAAGTCCGAGGTGTTGGCCTTGGCTGGCTCATCAGTAGGCTGAAAACAGCAATATTTTAAGAACTGGTAAAAAAGGAGCATGAAGATTTAAAAGGGAAATGATCCATAACCTAAAGCGATTGGCATAAGTTCCAAAATTGCTTAATGATATATGATATATGCAAACAAAATATATAACAAGTTCCAAAATGACAAATGCTGACAATTACAGTCAGGAGAAAGAAAATAAAACAAAGTAAAGTAAGAAAGTAAAACAAAAACCTCCAAAGCTAATGAAAAAAGTAATGAAAATATTTAAAAACAGCAAAAGGGGAGCAACATTATGAGTGTCTTATCCACCAAGGGGTAAGTTTACCAAATATAAATATTTGCAGTGCTTAGAGGGCTTTCAGTAAAAATGTTTTAGATCGAACGTCAGTAGCAAATACCTCATGATACATTTCCATGTCCCAGCTGAAAAACAGAGAACCACAAAACTTCTGCAGCTCTAAGAAGAATTACAGTTGAATATTTGTATATATTTATGAATAAATTTATGATTGATTATACTTTGAAAAATAAAAACAGTCATGGTTCAGTGGCGAAATTCGAAATCAGCAAAATCAGGGATTCTGTTGCCAAGGAAAACAGTCGCGGATTCCAAAAAGTGGTGAAATGGACGTCAAAATTGCAAAGAAGACTTAATTTAAGCATTCCATTCTCGAAAAAAATATTACAGTAGACATTACAGTAGAGGGAGAACTGGGTCAAAGACCCGTCAATGTTAATTAAAATGTCTCCTCAACTGCGTATGGACAAAAACTGTGATTGTCGACCAACTAATGAAAATTTGAGACAAATCTGTTTTTGAAGACAACGCTCTGGCGACATAAAGGTAGCAACTAATTGAGCATTTTTTGAAACTGCCAGCTGCAGCAAACTTAAACCTGGCGCCAAGATGGGCTGCTTCAAGCTAAAGCGATATTTGACCCAAAAAAAGAGCCACTTACCAACTGTGACGTACAGAGAAATTGGTATGACGTAGTTGAATAGTATAAGGAAAGCAAGGAAGTCGACAAAAATGTTCAACGCATTCTGCAAATAAATTTAAAATGTTAAAAATGTAGAATTTCTAAATATAACGAGTAGAAACTTATCATATCAAAGCTGAATATACTGAAACAAAGTTTGTTTTATCTTTTAAGACGGTTATTTCTAAAACAGTTTATCTTTTTGAATGCAATAGCTAAAGTTGTCTTGCAAAACACAAACTTCCAATTCCATGATAAATCCACTTAATCAACCACATACACCGAAATATCGACAAAGAGAAAGATATGATTACAAAACCAAGATATTGCTACATATTTCATGCCAATGACCTTTTTTAAGAAACATATCAGCTGCTACAGGCGTTGATGAAATGGTAAATGCTGTTTATGTAATAATATATCTATTCAATCTTTACTTCAGCTGATAACGTTATGTTCTTAATTCTGTCTTGCTTGATATGATTTTCGATGTCCACTTTCGGTTTTTACTTTCCGGTGCTTCATTTTCCGGTTTTTTTATACTCATGTCGGACTTCGCATGAATCTGACTATTTTGTCTGATCTGAAGAGACCCGACTTATGCATGTTTGATTGTATAATTTATCTATATACCTTCGATGCCATTTAAAAAGAAAGAAGACACTTGCATTTGACGTTAATTATTATCATGATTATTATTCAGAGAAGCTTTCTGAGGGCACAACTGATTAAAAAGTGATTATCACACAAACTAGAAACCTTCTCGTTATCTTTTGGAATCTTCATCGAATTACCCCAAATATACCAGGCTTTGGCCCCCTCTGGTTTTTCTTGCCAACCATATTTTAGCGCTGTGCAAATGGTTGCCTCGACCAACAAAATTCCAAGGAATACCAACAAATATGTGTTCATTGTCCTAAAAAGATAAGAAGAGGAAGTGTGAAGAAACACCACTTAGTTCTTATGGTTTGAGGTTGGGAGAGCAATATTTCGTACTTCAGCCTAGTTCCAGCCTCCTTGGCCTTCCAACAAAGTGACTATTTTCAAACAAAGTGACTTGCTTAGCAAGCCTCAAAAGTGAAATTTTCTGATAAAACCTTGACAAGACATTCAATTATACCTTTCTGCGAGAGATTTGTAACAAATACAGGCACTGGAATCGTGAAAAGATGATGATAAGATGCGGTACAGAGTAACATAAACAAACCTTTCAACAGAAGAAAATTTTGTGGCCTTTTCTTGTTGGTTTAATGCCATCTACAAAATACAGTTTATAAGTTGCCACCAACAAAGAACAAGAGCAATATCTAAATTTGTGATCCTGAATATAACTCTCAAAGATAAATGTTACAACCTTTGTGACAATGGTCTGACAGATCGTTGGGCAAAATACTAGCATCCTTGATTAAAAAAGATAGTGAATCAACGGAAAGTCGTCAACATGCCTGCAGCCTATGACAAATAGCACAGTGTCATACCACTGTAACAGTCAATAGTATGCTTTAACCTTAATTTAACAACACAGCCAGTCAAAGTTTGGCTAGGCCAAGGGCATTGACAAAATTCTTGCGTAACAAAGAAGGGACATGAAATAGAAAGAGATGTTGAAAAAGCAGGGGCATTAAATATTTAATATATCTATAAGTAAATTTTGCTGTCATTTACACAAAAGACCTGAAGACAAAAACCTGTCTCTAACGAACCAAACAGTGTACAGATTATATCAAGCGCACCCGGTCAAAAAGTTATAATTATTCACGTTCTTTATAGATTCTATTGACATTAAGTTGGATTAGAAAAGTAAACACCTAACCAATTGAAATACCCAAGGAAACTTTGAAGGACATTGAAGATGTTCTCTTCCCAGAAGAGATGCTTCTGTGTATTCTTGAAATAGTCATAACTATTTAGAAATTATATCTACCTTTGTTTCTTTCCCTGTATACACAGCCAAACCTGTAACAAAAACAATCTTAAAGTTGACAAAACGACCAAGAAAATCTCACTATGATACACACTATGACGTCAGTTTGATTGGCATATACGATAACCAGATACATCAATAGTTTGTAAAGTTGAAAGATGTATTATAAATCAAACAAAACACAAATAAATATAAAAGTTATGATTTCTTTAAAGATATTTTGCAAGGCACTTGTAGAAAAACTAGAGCTGATACTCTCAAAGAATGCTTTCCAAATAACAAAACATTTTCAAATGAAAAAGCAAAGGGGTAAATGGTTTAGAAATGACTTACCAAAAACATACGGTACATTTTTTAGCCTTGCGCCCCTAAGTAGTATATTTGATGGTCCCAATGCACTATAAGGAGAAAAACGTTAACATAATGAGCACAAGAAAACTGAAATCTCAACACAGAGTCATTACGTCATTTACAAAACAACATTGATTTGTCTCATCAGAACGAAAAAAAAAACAATCAAAAACATGGGTTCTTAAAAGTCAAGCAAGGCAAATATTATCATGTATGTTATTTTTCATCAAAACTAGGAACGATCTCAAGAGAAATTAATACACTTTTCATCATCATTTTATGTATTGCCTCTATCCTTGTCTATACGGTTGACTAGGGGTTTTAAAAGCTTATTACAAGCATATGGAGAATCGCCCAAAACTTCCATAAGGAAGAAAAATCATTAAGTATGAGAAAAATCAAAGCAAAGGATAATTTTATTGACGATTCTTAAAAAAGCGAAAGGCGTACCAAATTTTCTCTTCGCTGCCATGATTATAAAACTTCATCCTTCCATTGAATCTGCGGGAGAAAAGTACAGAAAAGGTTTACAGGGAACACTTCCACAGCGACATCTCATCGAGGTGTTTTATTGTAGCTGTTTTCAGATTACAACATCTTTAAAAACATACATACTAGCATCGAAATTATTGCTCAGACAATTCCAGCTTACAAATAAATTTTCAAAAGAATTTGGAAAAAACTTCAACTGTTGAAGCCAATCAGTAGCCAACCACGGGGGGGGGGGGACTGGGGGGACACGTCTGCCAATTTTCAAAAAAAAGTAAGTCTTAGGCGTTCCCTTCGGATAAAATTGGCGTTCCCTGTTGGTAAAAGGGCGTTTTCTGGTGGTTAAAAGGGCGTGGCTTAAATTTTTTTGGTTTGTCCCCCCAGAGCTTAGTGGCTGGCGCCGCCATTGAAGCCAATCATGAGTGTATAAATATTAGGAAATTCTACGACTACCCCCTTCGACTTAAGTTCTCTTAATTTTTGCATATCTGGTAGTTTTCCCTCAAAATTTTTCTTTGACTCAAAAAAAGAAAATAAGGTCTTTGACTTTACTGTGGCCCCTGGATCCAAGAATTAAGCACTTTCGGCGTTACATGGTGCCTCTTCCCATCCTCCCTAAACTCCCCTTTTGAAATTCTTATCTGAGCCATTGTCTGTTGCTTACAGTTATTCCTTTATGCTTTCATGAAAAAACTCATCATGAGAACTTTTTACTTAAAGAAAATGCCTTGAATCATGGAAAAGAAAATACCATGCATTTGAAACGCAATTTCAATAAGTTTTGCAAAACACACACAGATAAATAAGTCAAAGAAGCTGCAACGAAAAAATATGAATCATTAGAATAACAGCATGCATAATTGATTTTGAAGCTAATTGTGTCAAAAATATGAGATGAGAAAATGACGGTGTTTACATCAGCACAATCTTAACAACTGAAACAAACTTACTTGTACATATCATATTCAGGGTGGTCACATTCTACGACTGCTGTTAAACCTGCAAGCTGATCAGCCTCCTTCAAAGAAGCAGTCTCAGCCAGTGCTTTCCGAACCTTGAAAGCGAATATAGAGAATGTAAGGGATTAATGGACAAAACGAAAAAACAATTTAAGGGTTTTGAATATTGAGTGTATTGGTCCTAGGGCAACGGCATAATAAGTTGGCTGCTGTAGGCTGGCCAGTCCCATTTCTCGCTGCCTTTTGCCTCTCCATTGCTGTTACCAGGTATCCACTAGCTGTTGGTCGAACAGAAGGGGAGCATTCTCAACCTTTAGCGATGCTGTTAAAAGCTGTAACCTTTGGCCATTCCATTCTACTAGAGGAAATCGACCTTAGCTATAGCCTCAAGAAGGAGCATTTATCTAGTAAGGGAGCAATTGATGTTCAAGGACAGACACTGTTGAGTAGATTAGAATCAGAGGCGGACACTTGGTCAAATACTGGAGGGAAGGGCAAGCCTATTGTTTTGATAAGATGACGTCAAACATTCCCTTCATGCGACCTCTCCCTCGCCCCAACTCCCCCAGGTGTCCGCCACTGGTTAAAAAGCACATGAAATGCACAAGGCTAAAATACAAAACTAAAGCGAGACCAACACTGGTCCGAGGCCGTTGAAGAAAAGTCGAAAACAATTTGAAAAGTCGATTCTTCCATAATACGAAGATACCTTACAACAAACATTGGAAACAAGAATTGTTCTGATACGCTTCTAGCAGGAGCCCGGATGATGTAAGCTGGTATATAGAGCATCTTACCTTTAAATTAGTTTCACCATCTAGATTGGCAGTTGTGATGTGACACTGTCCTTCTTCGTGGGGCGAAGACAAGACGACAAGGTCGCACGGAAATTCTTCGTCACAAAAGACTTTTACTACATCACCAACCTGAAAAACACATGTCAATAACATAAAGTTGTGTTAATCTAAGAGTGTGTTAAAGGATAGATTCATTGATAATTTCTAAGAAAAATAACAATAATGCAATTCACAAAAAGCCATAACCAAAGATTGATGCACATCTGTTACACATTTAACAAACTGTTAAAGCCTTGAATTATTTTTATATAATAGCATCTAGAGTCATCAGCAGAATAAAAACTTTGAATCATCTAAGTTTCCTTTTTTCCAATTGCTGAGCGACTAATATACTGTTTTCAAAAAACGTTTTTTCACTTGAAAATCGCATAAGGTGGGAGTTCAGACAAGGTGGTTTGGTTAGTTAGAGACTTTGTAGGTCTAGACAATATTTTGCGGTAATGTAGTAATGATATTTCAATCCAAAGAACTTCTCGCCGCTAAAAATTAATATGTAATTGGAAAATCAAATAAAGACGCCCCAGCAATCATTCAAGATTCAATCATAACAAAGTACAAATATAGTACTACATAGCATATATAAATTGATTAACTGATAAATGATAGCGTTGAAGTTTTACCTTGATGTCTTTCGAGAAGACTTTCTCGATTGTACCATGTCTTATGACTTCGGTGTCTCGATTATTCACTTCCTTGTCTGCTTGGTGTCTTTTCCAATCTTCATAACCCTAGAAAAATTATCATTAATTATTTATATGATACCCTTATTCAAGCGATAATTAGTGTAAATCTAGAAAATTCAGTCTACTTCAAACATACTGTTTGTAGAGGTTTTTGAAAGAGCATAGTCAAAGACTAGAGTTCATGGGTTCTAGATTGATGATCTATTTCAATGAACTTTAAATATTTTTCAATGATCACTACATCCAAATACTGTGCATGGACATGAGCCACACATGCAGGAAAATATACGTGACGTTTTGATTGGTTAAATAATGCTTGATGTGTTTGGGATTCGATGACAGAAATTGGAAAGCAGATGGATTTATGCCATGGCTAAGGCTCTTTGAATCTGTGAAAATCGTGGGAAACCTACCAGGGCAACAGAAGATAGCATAGATAATTGCAAATCAACGGAGAAAAACAGTGAACTACTTTGAAAATTGCATCCATATGTTAATATTCTTGTGTTTTAATCAAAATCTCTTCAAATTCTAAAGTCTGATAAATTGATTAATGGTTTCGTAGAAAGAAAAACAACTATTCAGCGGTTGCCAAGGCTGTTAAGTAAGACCGAAAAAATGCGAAAAAAGATTATTTTGATAGTTGAGCGACGCACTTACCTGTTTTATAGCTGTTACCGTTATTACAAAAACTAGTGGTAATAGACTTGTTGTTGGACTCACTGGGGTCCGGTCGAGTATGGCAAACTGAAAAGGTGACATAAACAATTCAGTGCTATTAAAAGGCTGGAAATTATCGAAGCAAAATTTAATGCGATGGACAATTGAACTGCTTTCTGGCTGAATCATATAACCCAAACATGCGTATGTTTTACTGAGAAAGCCTTGTCTTTGAAGAAAAACACGGATGTCTGAAAGCCTACTTCTAAAGCAACGATGAAATGCAAAGAACAATAGAATCATTAGCAATCAAGATTAAAAACAGCTAAAGCAACCACTTCAGAAAAACTTTCCAACATATCTCCATTCCAAAAAAAATTACGACCGGCTTTTTATTTCCTTGAATATTTTTTTGATGTATGGTCAATCATGGGATCCTAAAGATTCTCCGTAAATATCACCCAAGGCAATCTCTACGTCGTCAGGAATTCTTCATTATATGCCAATCTTCACTGAACAATTCTTTTGTATGGCCATTTTGTATGTCTTTTGTTTGATTAACAATTTTTAGTATGGCCAGGTACAGAAAATCCCTACGTTAGAAGGCGTTAACAATTTTTGCACATAATATCTTGTTTGAATCGTCAGGTACAGAAAATCCCTACTAAGAAGGACTAAAAAATTAGAGAATCTATAGGCTGCCTTTCTGGGAAACCAAATTTTTTATTAAAGAGTCTACTTCAGCCTTACAAACAATACTTATAGGGATTCTCTCTTAAAAAATGATGTCATAGGAGACACCCCTTTTGCTTTAAAGGAACTATCAGGCTCATTATTTTTAAGGACAGAGTTTCTGATTATGCAACTCGCCTTCGAAACAAGACCCAAGACACAGTCTAACCCTTGTAAAAGTAGGTTCTTGTCTGCAGAGATTAAATGTTTGCTGAAACTGCATTTCAACAAATTCTCACCTGAACAATAACTATACACAGGAAATAAAAATTTGCTACTCTTCGAAACTGCTCAAACAGGTTTTTTGGAATGAAATTCCATACTTTATACTAAAATGAAGAAAAACAATGAATATCAAACATCCATCAAATATAGTAATAACAGAAAACTACCATATCCATAGCCACACAAGATCCATTAGATTATGGCTAATAAGCTACCATCTATAGAAATAATCAAATCAGGACAGCAGACCCTAATCAATGATTGATCACTATAATCGCAAACCTAGATTTGGTGCTCATGATATCTCGTCACTTTTTTGAGCATTATTTACAGAATCTTTTGAAACACTGAAGAGAACACGTTTCAAAATCACTGACATTCCTGACAATATTGTCCAAATTTCAAAATAAATTAAAACTTTGAAATATTAATTCTGTAATAGCCAATGGCATATGAAACCAAACAGCCAATTGTGCCAACATTTCCCAAGTAACCAGTGACTGTCTTATATTTTACAACTATAAGCTTCTGACTGCTTTGTGTGCTTGGACATTATTATTCGTTCTTAAAACTGATTTTTTGGAAGGGAGTTGTCGCACAACAGTCAAAACCAAACAACCCCCCCCCCCCCTTCATAGCCACGGCCCAGTGTTTACCAAACATTTGTTAGAAGAATACGATACCTTGTTATTAGTGCATATAAGTGCATGTAGAGACACTTGTAATCGTGAAATGTATAAATTCTTGTAAGTCAGTATTTCTGGTACAAGTGAATGAAAATGCTCTAACTGGGGTATGACGTTTTCAGTACAGTTGCTGTTTACTGAATTTCTCAGAAGCGGTCAATAGAAAGAGAATAAAAAATGACTGATACCTTGGACGTGATAACAACGTTATCTGCGAAATGTTGGTGCAAATCATGAACATGAACACCTGGTTCTGAAGTTGGATGTCTGCCATTGGCATAAACTGTTCGGTGCTCGCCTCTATCTATCTCTCTTTTACATAAGAAAAAGTCCTAAAAAGAGAAGAACAAAATGCATAAATGCTATTGATATTAAGTCTAAGGAGGACTAATCTTGGGCAAATGGCTTTCTTTGACTCGATGAGCTTTTGGTATGAGCGCTTTTGGAGTATGGATGGAGATGAATTATCAGTTCTATGAAGGCTAACGAATATTAGGCTGCCTTTTACATATCCTGTGTTACGTAATTCCAATGTTACAATCGTCATCGATATGATGGCCATCATGCCCATTGCAAACGAATGCATTTGGTACGACTACCCAAGCCCCCTTGGACACCCTAGATACAAGGTTGCCAAGTCTCACGGTTTGGCCGTGAGACTCACGGATATACACCTTTTCTCACAGTCTTACGACAGGAGTTACTTTTCTCACGGATTTTTTCCTGGGCCTCATTTTTCTTTCAATTCAGATCAAACGCCTGTGTGGTTGCTGAACACATTTCATTCCACTACATTGTTTATAACAATCACTTGCCCAGAGCTGTTGCGCGAATGATTGTCAAACGCGTTAATGTGTCAGTATTATAATATGTCTGTGATCATTGATTGTCGCTGGCTTACATTTCCTGATCTACTGGAATTCGGAATTCTTCTGCCCCCAACCCTGGACACCACTAGCTGGGCTTGTGAAATCTCACAGGTATTATTTTTCAAAACTTGGCAACCTTGTAGATAATTTATGTAACGATAAATGGGCACTTAAAATTTTCATAAGAAGAAGTGCCCACTTTCCTGAAGAAACGAGAAGTCTTATGAAATCCGCTTTGCAAACCTGGTCATTGTATGATCAAAATGTCACGCACTTTCATGTTATCGTGGAAATCTCTCAACCTATTACCTTAATAATACGCTTTTGTTGCATGGTTTAAGAATGGACCACACAGACTACAGGTAGATAAGCATTTCGAGAATAATTTAACTTTGTTTTCAAGTACTCGGAAATTTTAGATCCAAGGTTAATGTGACACCTGTTTTGTTTATGCTTAATGGTTTGCAAAATAGTCATAAATATTATATATCTCTTAACAAGACAAAACTTAATCGATAACATTATTAAGATAAAGTAGACGGTTTAAACACAACTCTTACAATGGTTCCTATTGAACCATTCAGAATGGCGAAATGACTTTCAATCAAGTGGGGGAGGAAATGGGGTGATACTTATTCTTGAGGGGAAATGCCAAATAGGTCATTGGCAGGAGGCCTAACAAATTCCTCGTGATCACGCCCTTAACACGGTCAAAAAGCAAGCGCATTTTCAAATGCATACGTTTTATGTTGGCATTAGGAGCACGCAAGAAATAGGCGAATAAATTATGATCGGAATTCGTCGTAGTAGTGTAAATGTGGCCTTACTTCAAGCAATAAATTTGAAAAACCTTTCTTCGTTCATGCAAATTGTTTTCAACTGAAATGAAACAAATTAAAACGCAAAAATGCGCGGTAACAGTATTTTCTGCCATAGTGCGAATCGTCTTTCACTTTTTTACTTGAGGATTTCTTACTAGTCTCATCCGACGGTTATATATTTGCCATGATTACTATGTGGTACCAACAGAATATCAGATTTTTGTCGCGGAACATCGCTACCTAGCCTACCTTTCCATGTTCCCCGAGGCTAAGGGATAAACTTTCTGTTATACCAAAAGGAAAAGATCAGCAAAACTTGACGTATTACTCTCATAACTGTTATGTTTTTTCCGTCTCAAAAGCTTCACACATAAATTGTTAAAGCCAGCCTTTGATAGACAAAATATCTTAAAAACTTCAAAACCTTATTACGGAATTCCAACACAGGACTGAAACAACTTAAGACAGAATCTGCGTTGCGAAAATTGAAATATACAGTCAAAACGAAAAGCGAAAAATATTTAGGAAGAGAAGATGCATTTGGAAAATACAAACTTAGCTCTTTTATTTTCCGGATCGTACCGGATTGTAATCTAATATACGATTTAAATATAAAGGCAAAAATGAACAAAGAAAGTGGCAGATGTATTAGATAATTTCGATACTGGGATATTTCAGTCAAAAAACGGTTCAATTATATAACATGGAGACATCAGTTCATAAAAATTAGAAGAAAAGGTTAAAGAAAGCAGTATTATTAGTGAAACAACTTAATAATTTAATTTCAGCGAGTAACGGGAATGCAGAAATTTCCTTGAAATTATCCATAAAAAGAAAGAAGATATCTTTTCACTTTTTGAAAAAACTGGGCTAATTACAGCTGTTCGTTATTAATCGTTGATTAAAAAACAGTTAACTGCATGAACGGCTATACATAATCAGTAACAGATCAAAATACTGCTTTCGATCACTGGCTTTTTGGGCCAAAGATTTTATAAGATCCCGTGTGTTGTATGACAAATTATATTTCGGTAACTTGGTAACTTTAATGTGTTTATAAACCATAATTAAAAACACACATACACGATCAAAATGTGTTCTTAGAAATTTTATCAAGATACTGCTTTGACAAAGTAATAAAGGACTGCCTTATACGAAGTGAATGATATTTCGTTTACATTCCAATTAAAAGTCGATCAAGAGTAAAAATATTATTGAACACTAAAGTTGAGAAATCAAAAAAGAAGAATATTGTAGTAATCTCACCTTCACAGAAGGCATCTTCCCTGATAAAATACAGCTCTAGGCCAAAAACTGCCGAACCATGAATACAGAGCAACTATTCATTTGAATAACATTTGTTTACAGTTGATAAGGTAGGGTTACTACGGAACCTCTGTAGATTCACAACGACATTTGTCGTAACAACCCTTGAAACTTCGCAAGAGTTCAAGAGGCGAACTCTGCAGCAAAAAATCTTCTTCGTTTCGTGATTTTACGGCAAAACAAACAGCTCACACTGGCGTCCAAATAACGACATGAAACTTTCCGCTCGGTACTTAACACTCACTGTGCTTAAAACATGGAGTTGTCTTCATGAACTAGCCACATACAGAAAGACAATAAAATCAAGCAAACCGCAAGAGCTTTATTCTGTCCAGAGTTTGCTTCTCATTAATTATTCATTGGTGAAATGTCGTTTGCAAATCATGCCGAAATTGTCCCCGAATTAGCGAACAGAGAACTTCCAAAACCAATTCTTTTTAGTCCAATAATCCAGTAAACGAAATATGTATGGCTTTCTTTAATATTTCTGTGATTAAAACATCATTGGGTAGAGAAGATATCGAAAAAGGAGATGAAAAAAATCCAAAATGTTTTGTGGATACATGTTTTGATTAGCATAATTAGTGTAGAATTGAATTTAGCAAACAGTTTATCTTAATGGCAACGGCTTTAGAAGCCCCATAGCAAAACATGCAGGCTGCAATATAGTAAAGTTAGAAAGCAACTGAAAAGTTGCATGGTAGAATTGCAGGAAAGCTGTCAATTTGGATTGATATAGCGATAATCTTTTGATATAGGTGATTGAAACATTTGGTCGTTGCATAGCAATATGATTTTAAGCTATGATTTATAAAAATAAGACATAGCAGTATTTAGTTAACTTTTAGAGAAATCTTTGTATGTGACTGCTTTTCGGATGGACACAAATATTGGATTGACTACTAAATAAGAAAGGTTAGCAGCAAAATAACGATATTTTTATATAAGATATCATAGAAACTGAAAATCAAAGCGAAAATATTTCGTGTTTACTTTGCCGGTGTTAATTTGCAAATATTTGCATTGATGAGGGGATACAGACATATGGGCAAAAGAAAATACGGAAAAAATTAAAAGCCCGTGAAAAAATTATAAAACGCGCATGCATCGCACAAAACAACAAAATTTTGTCGCATTCTAACGCGCAGGTAATTTCTTATCATTAAACTCAGTTTTGCATGCATATAAAATTGCAAAAAAATGTTGGCTGGTGCTAGATACTTCAAACGACCTGATCAATGAGTAATTTAGAAATATACTCAATGACCGCTCATATTTTCAATGATCAATACGGCAACCCGTGAATTTGTTTTCCTGTTCCCATGGATTTAGCAATACTGTAATATCTTAGTTACAGGAAAAGCTCATCAATGAATTACGGCTGCTAGATACGAAAACTAAACATTATAAGCCGAAAGTTTTGAACAAACATATGGAAAGTCCAAAAGTATTTTCTGCAGCAATATGAAAGCCAAATTTCAAATGGAGGTCCAATGGGCCAATATAATTCGCTTAACCATCATAGTTTAAACCGTTTTAACAAATAACTTTATTATGGCGATGATATCATTCAAACCATTAATCAAACAATCCAATCATAGAACTACCGCAACTGCAAGCTTTATGCATTAAAGCCTGAGATTTCAATCAAACATTAAATCTCATACACAATCTTGAATTATGAGTGCATTACACTACCCCAAAGGCATCGTAGGTTACTTACTGATCACACTCAGTTCCCTCAAAGAGCTTTCAAACCTTGACTAGTCTCATTATAATATAAAGTCCAATATGTTAGAAGAGTATCCATCATATAAATCTGAATCTAGATAAGGTTGGTGCCTAACAAACATTATTTTTTAGTCATGATTTAGGACAAAACCTTTGATGGATATCAATTGAAGAAATTTGAAATTCATGATAAGGGTAATAGCTTGAAAGGTGGAAAGGGCGCAGCTAAAGACACCATTTTTCTTACAGAATTATTCGCAAGGTCATTAAAGAAACTTTGAATTCCATGCTTTGATTCGGCACAAATGATTCATTTCCTGTGCAATTTCGAATGGTTAAAAAAAATGAACAGTTTGCAAAAAGTTGATTTGATTCTAGATAAAGGTTTCAGAGAAATTTGCTTACTTTTAAACATAGTCCAGGAAAGTGACTTTATTTTGGTGAATAAACTGATGCAAACAAAACTTTCCTCAAAAACAAACAAAAACAGGGCATGGTCTAGGTATCATAAATGAAACTCTGCTGCCTTTGGATTTCAACAGAAGACCCAATTGAACAGTGGAAACATTAAATGAAAAAAATGAAATAACTAGCATTAGAAGAAGGAAAGGTGATATGACAGCACAGAAAATCCCCTGAGAGCTTAAAAATTAAATAGAAATGCCTTTAGTTATACAAACAATACAACAAAAAGGACTTGAAAATAGAATGGTAGGGACCATAGACAGTGCAGAAAGCTGCGTAGAAGCTGAAGATAACTGTATAATGAAAATATGAAAGATGATTGGTGATTTTGCAGAAAATAAAATGCCATGACAGGAAACAGTGACGAGGCAAAATGTACTACTTTTCTCCTAGACATCCAAGTTTTCAATAACATATCTTTCTAAGTAGTTACTCAATGCTGTCTAGGCTTCCCAATGATTGCTATTTCTCTAAACCAAGTTTCTGGGATTGGATAGCATGAAGCAAAAGACAGTGCTTCTAGACAATAATTTGATGTAACAATAACAAAGTAGAAATTGTGGATCTAGCATAAATCTAAAGAAGTTTAAGATTTGGCTGTAAAAAAGCAAATTTATTCTTTTAAAGGAAGTGCAAAGATATCTGAACAAGTACTTCATTTTACTACCAAAAGGTACTCAACCTAGTGTGAGTCCCTAGAGCCCATCTTATAGGTAATGTGTCCATATAAAAGGACTGCATATACCAAACTTGTCAAGTAAAGTAAAAATAACGGCTTGTGATTGGCCAGTATTCTTGCGCTGCAAAACTGCTCACATGAAAAGCTAACCTTGCAGCAGATACTAGATAAACAGAACGATTGTAATTGCTGGGGTGATGACATGTAAAATTACATGTTTCTGAAAACCCCCGCAGAGTTGCTTGCTTTAGCTGGACACATTACTTTTAAAATAGTCATGGAGACCGGTTCACATGATCTCTCCCTCAGTATCTTCTCCTTGACTGACATTGACTGTCTTTGATCTCCATAGCTCTTTATCCCCAGATGATCTCAGGGGATAGATACTGTATACAAATTAAAATCATAGGGAAAAGGGGGTGTGGTGCTATGGGAGCTCAACCCCCATTATTAATGCCAAAACAAGCTGTTCTCTACTTCTGCTACTGTTTTTGCAACATTTTGCACTACCCCCAAAAGATCATCTCTAAACAAATTGCAGGCAATGTCCTCTGAGTACCCAAAACAACAGTAACCAAATGTATTTCTATACTTTTCTTTTTATTTAGTAAAGAACATGGTTTCTAAAATAACAAGTGAAACACAATACTAAATAAGGTAAATAGTTTGATAAACAGTCCGTCTTCTACTGTCTCTAGATAATTTTAAATTTAGAGACAGGCATCTTCATTTTGCTACGAGCAAGACCTGATTCATGCAAAGTATTTTCAAAACACGTTTTAACATTCCATACACTGTACTATTCTAAGGACAAAATTGTACAAAATAGAATTGCGGGTATCCCCTTCAAGGTTACTGGGTGCTTGAAAGTGAAAATACTAATGTTATGCATAATTTTATACAGGGCACAACACAACAATCAATCTTTCAAGAATCCTTTAGAAATTCTTAGTTAAGCTATGTTCTTTTGATAGTAAGACACTTACTTGTTAGATTCCAAAACAACTTATTGCAAAATTAACTCATACCCCAATCTATAGTTTTAAACCCACACCACATCAGATATAAATGACAGTGTTTTGTTTTAAACCTGTAAGCTTGTGCCTTATTTCTCACTATTTTATGTGATTTTGCATCATTTGAGATCATTTCAAATTGAAACTCACATCTGGCATTTGAATTAAATTTTGGACAAAATTTCATCCCAATCTTACAGAGATTTTAACAGCTTTGTCACTTACATTTTCTACTTTCTAAATAAATCTACACATAAGGCTACCATATAGTCTGTTGTTGTTCACTGAATATCTTATCTTGTTTTCATGATTCAAATAATATTGAACAGAAATTTCTACCAGTTGGGTGTTGTGAATACAAACTGTGAAATAACACTGAGAGGAATCATAATAGCCTTCTGTAGAATTTCACATCCTTTCTTTGATGTAATTATGGCACATATGTTTTTGCATTCTAAATTTTAAGCAAAATTGGTTGACTGTTGGCTTTTTGTTTATATTATGTCTTCAAAACTGAATATATTTTAAGAATTTCATGGAAATGAGCCACCTTCTGAAGTTGCACCTGCTAAAAATATTCTGGCCTCTTCTAAGAAACGTCCCTCCTTAACAAAATTAGGAAGCTCGATCCCTGTGCCTTGTTACCTGGTTCATATTCTGGAGGTACAGAAGTATTGGGCCTAGCCTAAATTCGTGGCCCTTGAAGATTATTAGCAATGCACTAGTACAAACATGATTTTTCATCCATGGTTTAGGAAGAAGGCTGTGATGATTATCATGCAGTGAAATTATAGAGGTGCAAATAATTTTCATATTCAATTCATATTCATAACATATTCTAATTCGTCTAATCTTTTTAAATATCTTTACTTTGTTGCTGATCAGGCACTTTTGCAATTTTTTATTCTTGTGTAAAACAACTACAACCTAGAAACATTCTAGTGCTTGGCCAACCTGCAACTTATTCAACAAAGAAACACTAACCTTCAAATCGTCGAGAGCATCCATGATATTTCGGTGTTCTCTACAAACGGCTCGCCTTTGGCCTATGCATGCATGACTACGCTCGATAAAATTGTAGCTCTCTTCCCTGCTGACGTGAGCAACCTGGATCTTTGACAGCGTTATTCAGCAACTTGCAAAAACGTAGTTTTTAAACATTATCTACCACTTCTTCAACAGTCATTTACAATTAGTTGACGCCTCCCCGTGCCTGTAAAGATTGAAGTTAATGTTACTTCTGCTGAATGCGAAACCACTGCAAACTTCCTTTATTCCGGGGATTACTACAAGGAACCAAGGGAGAATTACTGCGTCATTTTCAAGTGCCCGTACTTGAATCTCTTTTTCGAAGAAAAAGAAAATAATTGTAATATGATCTCTTCTGGAGAAAAATTCTCCAGGGCAAAACCACAAAACAATGGATCGGAAATAAAAGAAATAAGTGTTTGGGGAAAAGGGCTTTGTACCAGTGGTGGTGCCAGTTGGCTGAGGGTGGGGGATGGATTGGGGTAAGGGGCGTAGCTCTCGGTAACATAACGAGAACACTTCAAACTTCATTACATAAACATAAATTCTTGCACAATTTCATATATTACATAATTTCATCGGCAAATATATTTAATCAATCTTTTTAAAAAATTCCGGTTAAAACGCAAACTTGATTGAAATTGATAGGGTAATTATCGTAAGACACAGGAGCTTGTGGCATGTGCTGGGAGGCAAAATTCGCCAAGGTTTCCATGATGATTCAATCTGGGGGGGGTTAGTTCTTTCTATAAAAGGTAACATTTGTTACAGCATTGCTGGGTTTCGACTTTGCAGATTTTCTGTTGCTTGTAGATACACTATGACTTCCAATGCATATAGATACACATGCCATTATTTCATGGAGATTCACTAAACTTTTACTGCTGAAATAGAAAATAGACCAAAATTGCTATTAGAGAGTTATTGGAGACAATGCCAGCCCCTACCCTGCCCGTCAAACGGCTTAATCAAAGAAACAATTAGGCTGGTGTATTGTTTCTGGGAGAACAATGACTGCTGCAGAGCCTGCTCGCTTCCTTCAGTATCTTAGCGCGGCTACAGAAAGAATTCCGCTTTCTGTGTTCATCGCTGAGAGAGGTCGTTAAACCATAAGAAAATACAAAACAGGGTGAAACCAATGCATCAATGAACTCTTCTAAAGGGAATTCAGAATTTTTAAAAAACAATTTAAGCAAACATATTACACTAGTTTACTATAAAAAAATGTCCATTTCAAACTTATAGCTTGATTTCCTAGGCTTTTGGACAGTGGTAAAGGTTTTTGGACAGTTTCTAAACTCGCTTGGCTAGGCAGAGCCTGCCGACCTTCATATAAAATAGATTCAGCAGGCACAATATAAATATTTTACCGAATTCACCCTTGAGTTTACCGAATTCACCCTTGAGTAATAGCTACTGGGGGGTATTTTCTTTTAACCATACTTTCAGGATATTTGAAAATTACAGAAAATAGAGTGCTAAATTAAAAAATAAATTGAAGAAGTTTTCCTTTTCTAAATTCTGGTTTATTTCTGAATCCGCTCTTCTGGGCGAGTTTCATAATTTTCACTGTGTTCTAGGGTGTTTCAAACAATCTGGAGTCCATTTCTGCTGCATGAAAAACAGCCTCTGAAACCAATAATCGCAGCAGTCACAATACACAACCCAGTTCGCCACACACACAGTTACGATGGAAAAGCAATAGTCTTTAGAAAGGGTTTTCAATTCTAGAAGTACAGCTATTAGGGCTTTTCACTAAAATGTCACAGTCTCGAAAAACATTTGAATGACATTAGCTATTTTTTGCGTCTTTGTAATAAATGCTCTTTTCTCTCCTATGCCAAGATATGTACCCTGGGTACCAGAGCCTCCATGACAGATTAGATCGAAAGAGGCCTTCTACAATTTTCGATCCATTCTGTCACGGATGCTCTGGTACCTAGCATACCAAATATGTGGCCGGAGATTTTTGCACAAGTTTTGGAGAGCGGTGTGGGGGGGGGTGTTGCAAGTACGTTTTACAAAATCAATACCAAAGATTTTTGCCCCTAGTTTCTTTGGCTTGCAGAGAGTAAAAAGGCTACTGATTTTCTTTTTTACAGTATATTGCTTCAATGTGGTTAATTCTTGTTATTGTAACAGACCGTACGCAAAACGAATATAACAAACTTTACAATACTGTATCAATTGACAATAAAACTTACAAATCATTCTTTCCGTTAAAAATCAAGTTTTAAGACAATCAAATAGTATACAGGTGTGCTTTTACGAGATTTTCTTGAAAATCACAAATACGGTACCCATTTCGAAAAGATGTCAATTACCAAAACCCAAACTATTTTCTATGATTATAATTTATCTTACATTTACTGTTTAATGTTAACTACTTGTGCAATTTATACAAAAAAGATTCATATCACACTGGAGAATACAAGGCAGATCACATGGACGTTTAGCATTCTTTCACTGCATGACAGGCACAACGCTTGACTTGGGACATTACACTAACTTTTGCAGATTCTTGACATCTCCTTGACCCCCGCGAAAATATGCTGTTGCATATCATCTTCAGAGCCTTAGTGTTATCTAGTTGGAACCCACAGGACATTTATAGTATTTGAAACTACAATCTGCATTGAGATCAAATGGGGTACAGTACTTCAGTTCCTTTTTCGTGAATTCTAAATCCTTTCAAAATCACGTAATAGTTACAAGGACTTTTGGCAGGGGTTGCAACAAAGAGTCAACCTAAGACGACGAATAAATATGAATTTACAAGTACTATCCTTCGATGCGACATTGGCAACTACTGGTGGCATATGCAATATCTACAACTATAGTTTTCAGCAACGAAAGTCAGTACATTATCTCATAGCTACATCTTCTGGTCATATCTATATTTCACTTTAGATTGAAGCTCTTTAAGCTGTTTTCCTATGTAAACAATCATGATTCAGAAGTTCTATATATAAATTGTTCCAGGCCTCTCAAGTCTTTAGCCATGATTTAATTTCCTTGAAGCCTCGATCAGCCTCGAAAAAAGGGCCTATTTGTGTTAAGGTACCTCGGGAGACAAAAGGCAAAAGGAGGGTCTCTTACTTTTAGAAACTAGGCCAATTTCAATGTTGCTATTTCCAAAACTGCAAACGAGGGGCAATTCACCCTTTCAAATAGCGTACGAGATTTTCCCTAAAACAAAAGGATTTCAGAGAAAACAATAGGATTTTCACAAAAGGTGTACGATATTTTCTTGGAGTGATTTGCCCCTCGACCGCAAAGACACTTTCTGGGAGATATGGAGCAGCAGCTGATGATCTTTATCACCCTTGATAAAAAAGAAAGGACTTATATCTAGAAAAAATGACGTTCATCGAAAGGATCTCCTGGAAAGGATCTGACGTTCATTGAAAGGAGCCTGGGTTCTAATGGAAAATTTTCGAAGATTGTTCTTTTGTTAAAACAAAGCGTATAATGTCTATCAGGCTAAAAATGCTAAACTGAAGATGTTTCACCACCAGGGTTTTCGAATGAGAACGAAGATTCTTGTATCCTCTTTGATGGTTTTTTTATGGCGTATTTCAAGTGGGTCCGTTCGAGCTCCGGTGTCTGCTCGGGTGTGCTCCATGCGCTCTTTGGTGCAATCAAATCCAGATCACTTTGATAAACAAGGTTCAAATATGTCTTCACTTCGTCACTGCAAAAAATAGAAAATTTACGATAAGATGCACGACGAGTCGAATTTTAGCCAAATCGGTTATCAAGGTATCGAATTCAAAGCATAATTGTAGCAGAGCGATTGATCAATTTAAGGATCACAATCACTCGATAAACAATCACTTAAAAGTTTAAGAATCATTTGAAGTACAAATTGATTCATTTATTGCACTTTATTGCCTAGCACACTCATATATAACGGATATATTTGCGATGGTGATGTCCCCAATAACAGACCAAACCCTATTTTTTAAACAAAAACCATGATCTGAGAAAGGGTCAATTACTCTATCCTTTCAGCAAAATTACTGAGATAAATATTCTAAAAAAACCTGTCACAATAAATCTCGCGGAAAACAGTCAAAAGAAATTTTTAGCCTGCAAAACCTATTGCTGGTTTAAAAAACAAAAAATCAGAAATCATTCAGGCAACTGCAGAAATCAAGTACAGGGTTAGCAAAAATATCTTTGGAAACCTTGCATAGAGTCATCTAAACTAAAATATTTCCTCTGTAAAATAGAAATCTTAAAATAACCCATCACATCGCTTACAAGAAGGAGCCCAGGTTGCCTGGTGAACACATTAAGAATTTAAATCGGAATTGCAACTTTGAACCGTCCTGTTCTATAAACCAAAGCGTGAAGGAATATAAGGTCATTCCCTTCAATTCATATTTATTGGCTTACATACCCTTTTGCTTGGTGTACTTGTCTGTTTCGGAATTTAACAGAAAGAATCAAACATGATGCTATGATGATAACGACAGCAGCGACGCTACCAATGATGATACCTAAGGAATGAAAAACAGGTACCTTAGTCTCGTGAAAAAGCAAAATTAAAAACTACTGCTACAGCGTCTCCATGACTTTGTCGTATTATAATCATTAGTTTTACTTGACAGAAATTCAAAGAACATTCACAATTTTTGAATACAATTGATCGTTGTTAACAAAAAAGTTTTAGTTATGTTGAATCTTCAGTGTTGGTTAAAGCCTTGATAACGATCGATAGGTATGAAAATTAGGAAGAAACCACAGACGTCATCAAGCTTTACTTATAAGCATATATATCCAAAGATCCAAGATTCAATATTCAAGATCCAAGATTCAATATCCAAGATTCAATATCCAAGATTCAATATCCAAGATTCAATATTCAAGATCTACGATCCAAGATTCAATATTCAAGATTCAAGATCCAATATTCAAGATCCAAGATCCAAGATTCAATATCCAAGATTCAATATCCAAGATTAAATATTCAAGATTCAAGATCCAAGATCCAATATTCAAGATCCAAGATTCAGTATCCAAGATTCAATATCCAAGATTAAATATCCAAGATTCAATATCCAAGATTCAATATTCAAGATCTACGATCCAAGATTCAATATTCGAAATCCAAAATATATAATCAAAGATTCAAGTGTTATCATTAATTTTTTAAAATCTCAAAAATTTCACCATAAACTGTTAGTTCAAAAGACATGTTCACAGAGATGATTGAAATGCTGCTAGAAGCTTGCCTAAATGATACACTACAAAAAATAACTAAACATGAATAAGAGCCGTCGCTTTTTACCTGTTCTTTTGTCCTTGTCAAACACAGACTTCTCAACATGAACAGGTTTCTTATCATCAACATCATTCTTTTTCTTGCTGCAGCTGCTAACGTCCAAGTTTATACCAACAATATAAGTGTTTTTATCTAAAACAATAAGCTAGAAATGACTTTGGGCCCCTTTTACTGATTATTAATCGCCTAAGTAGGCGAATGCCTTCATAGGCGACTAAAAACGAAACTTACACAAGTTATCCATTGATCATGTACATCTAAACGTAGATTAAGAAATATAGTGTAGCTATAAACATTACGGTTAAAACGGCTGATAAAACGCTGGTATGAATTCAAGTTCTCGCTAGTATGATTGGTTTGGACTTAGCTACAAGGCAGAAACGAAAATCTAGGAGTTTCAAAGACATGCGGTTAGAAGACAAAGTTTTAGAGGTTTAAAATATATAAGTTACGAATACATAGGTTTCGAAGATACGAGTTCCAAAGAAATTTGTTACGAAGATAGGAGTTTTAATTTGCTATGAAAGCTTAAAGGAGATAATTTACGAAGTTGTTGAGCTAAGAGTCATGAGCAAGAGGGAGGCAACTAAAGATATCGCTAGATATGCTCTTGGAAACAATTTTGGATAATTCGTTCATTTCAATAAAAAATTGATAATTCACGCACACGTGTGTTTTACATGGAACTTAGAGTTACATGCAAAAAAAGAAAAAATGAATCAATCTAGAATTCATTATTTCATCACAACCTTAAGATATAAATAAACGAGCTACCCACTTACTGAAAAAAGAGATTTAAAAATTATTCAATTCGCAATTATTGGAGACTCTCTGAATATTCAGGAACTAAACAGAAACTTCACGATCATTGTTTGCAAAATTTAGAAGTTCTGAAAAAGTTTTACTGACCACTTGTTGGCAACGAGCCTTGCTTGATTTTCTCGTTGAACGAACAAATGGCCTTTTTTGCTTCCTCTCTGCTTTTGACAACAAGTTTGGTGACAAACCTTCCATTAAGTTCGTCTTTGCATTCAATCGAAGAACTTCTGAGTGATAGCACACATTTGCAAGCATCACGAAGGCTTTCCAGCACGGATCTTGAGAATATTACGAGCTTTGATTCCTCCTAAAATCAGAATGGTTCTAGTTATATGCAGCTCGAAATTCTTGTGGTTTCAATTCCTTAGCATTCAAATATAAAGGCATATCTATGACTTTTTAAAAACTCATAGGCAGACATGAATAAATTACAAAAGAATTGTTGCCTGATAATCGACTTAAGCGTGATGCGTAAAGTTGTAATTTGGAACGGTCCTATTCTACACAGCAAAGCGCCTAAAGCTCCCTTCATCAATTTGACATCAAGCATTATCAAAGAGACCAATTCACAGCAAGCTTAAAAAAGCTAGGATTTGAGAAATTTTTGTGGACAGAAAATAGTTCTAGATGTATACATTACATAAGCAAGCATAAACGCAGCCTTAACCAAACATTACGCGGGTAAAGTCTTTGTGTAATGCAACAAAAGGGACTCGAGTTTAACAGTAGAAAAAATTTTGTGTACCAGAGGAATATATGGAAATGGTGTATACCAGGAAATGGTCAAAAATTCGTTCTTAAATATATCCACAGCCATAATGAGAGCCAGGGTACCAGAGGCACAGAAATTAGAGTGCGACAATGGAAGAGCGGGGAAGCGGAGGGCGAAAGAGCGTTTAGTTGAGACAAAAGAAACGAAGCTTTGCTACCCTGTCCTACACTTAGAACCACCTTTCGTTCATCTTTCGAGGCCGCAGCCGCACCATCGAACAGAAAGTCGCTTGAAATTTCTATTGATACCTGCCGCGTGAATTGCAAAGGCTATAATCTACAGAAAAAAATGCAGTCGAAAAATGCAATTCTTTATATCATGGATTTAAAAAACCAATTTAAAGGATTTCAATGCAGTGACGAGTCATTAATTCACTTTTTAAATTTTTCGAATGCAAATTTTGAAGCGCAAACAATGAAAAGCACAGGTACTGTGGCGCTGACATCGTGTGAATGAACATATTACCTGTAGCTTAGCACAACTGTCGGTGACAATTTTCAGGTCAAGTGTGACGAGAACCAAGTCTTGTGGAGATGTTTGGGTTTGAGCATTCTTTGTGGTCACGTGCTTGCTCTTAACATCCGTATAAACTGGCTTGGTGGTAGTCAAATCTAAGACTTTTGAGAAAAGAAATTCAAATTAAACCTAGGTCAAGTATGGTTGGGCTAGGTCACACATTTAGTTTATAACTCATAATTACAAAGGCAAATTAGTAGACGTTACATTATGAAAAACTCTGCAAAAATAAATTCATGTGCTGTCTGTCTTACTCATTGAAAATGCATCTTGACAACAATCTTATTAACAACAATGTAAGAAACTATTTATTGGACACACAAATCATTACCAATTATACTGGTCAATAAAGCAGAAGTAGATAAGGGGCAATAACTCAAAAATGGAAAGCAAAATAGCCAAAAAACATTTAAATAACATACCTTCACACATCTCTCCTTTTGTTCCTTTCGAACAGAGGCACTGAAATCCATTGACCTTGTCAATGCATTTGCCACCATTCAAACAGGGGTTTGAGACACAATCATCCTTGTTAACTCCACAATTTGAACCTGTATAGCCATCACTACATCTGCAGGTTACACTGTTACCATGATCAATACAACCAAGCGAAGTATCATCCAGGCAAAATATTGAGTTTTGGCAAAGGCTTAAGTTGATTTCACAATGCTGACCAGCAAAGCCAATACCACAGCTACACTCAGAGAAGTTCCTTTCGCAACACAAACACCATTAACACAAGGATCTTTGGCACATTTGGGTAATGCAGTGTTACATGTTGCACCTGCATAGCCTGGATTGCAATGACACTGAAACTGGTTCAAACCATCAATGCAAGTTCCATTGTGGCATGGATTTGATTCACACTCATTGATATTTACTTCACAAGCTGTACCTATAAAAAAATATGTCGTAAAAATACAGGAACAAAGTTTATTCGTCATATATATAAAACATGATTTACTGAATTTAAGGGACTATGCAAAACTACAAGATTGACATGTTGATAGGTAACAATGGAAGATGGCATTTCAGCCTCCAGCGTCATCTTTACTTACATCTAGAACAGACACATATAAAAACATACTTTACAGAGTAACTTTAAGATGATGAATACTGTAATAATCAATCCCTGGGGACTTTTTCAAAAGTCAATGTTGCAAAAGGGCTTATTTGAGAGATGCGCTAATTCAAAATTGGGCTTTATCTAATTATAATGATACATCCATATGTATTTCTTGAAATTAGATTCACAATCTGATTTGAAAAAAATGAACTTTGAAAATTATTTTTAGCACAAGTATATAAAAAATTGTGCAACCCTGCTGAAAAAAAATCAAAATGTACCTTTAAAACCAGCTTTGCAATTGCATGTAAAAGTATCATCTCCATCGACACAAGACCCACCATTCTGACAAGGATTGCTAGCACATTGGTCATCTGTCTTTTCACACCTGCTACCAAAATAGCCATTGATGCATGTGCAATTAAAGGCATTGCTCTTTGAGGAGCATGTTCCTTCATTGAGACAAGGGGAGCTCTCACAATGATCAACTGTTCTGCTACAGTCAAAACCCAAAAATCCTTCTGCACATTTACACCTAAATGTGGTTTTGCCATCTGTATCTTTTACAATATTGCATACACCATTGTTTTTACATGGAGCTATGTAACATGGATCTTCATCCTGGCAATATTGCCCAGCATAACCCTCACAGCAATTGCATTCATATGCTTTCTTGGAAAAATCAGTTAAGCAGTTACCATGTCCATTGCACATTTCTGCTCCAGGCTTTAAAGGATCAAAACAATGATTTTCCTTGACAGAAACATTCAAACGAAGGCCAAACTCACATCTGTGCAATGAGTTGACATTTGCAATGAAATATTGGGTCCCCAAGTGGAGAAATGAAGCATTAACTTTCATTTCACCAGGAGCACCCCAACTGTAGTTAGCTAATGGTATTGCATTGCTTGTGTTGCATGCTGTAAATGCATCTGAAGATGATGCTTCAACTGGAATGATATGAGGTACGAATTGATCATTGTATAGAGCAGCATCAACATCTGTTAAAAAAACCAAAGTATCATCTGGTTGAACCTGGATTGGCTTAAGCTGCACTTCAATAAAGTCAGTACTTCTGTTGCTCACATCAAAACAAGATTCTCTTGTGCTGCAAAGTGGTTGTTTGTACCCCCATCCTACCTTGATCGTTTCAGACTGGTTGTGCCAACATTTCCTACCAAGAGATCCAGGTACATTATCCTGACAGCTCTCCAGACATTGTATGGTTTTTGTTGGGTTTATTTGACAGTTCTTGCCAATTGACCCTGATGGGCAAGTGCATTTGTAGCCAGTGGATGAATCTAGACAAGAGCCCCCATTACAAGTGGTATGCTCACATGTGTTGAGACTTTGGTCACAGAACTTCCCACCAAAATTGGCATTACATTCACATTTTGGAGTGCCATGAGAGTCACGTCTACAATGTCCATTGATACACTTTATTGATTCTATCAGGGGGCACTCATCTGATCGTTTCTCGCATCTGAGCCCAATGAATCCATTAACACATGTGCAGACGAAACCGTCAGAAACTGTTCTACAAAACCCTCCATTCAGACAAGGGCTATTGAGGCACTGATCTTCTACAGAGATCGCATTCAAAAGAAGCGATTGCTGTTTCAGAGTTAGAAGTAGAACAAAAAGCTTCAAGTGGCTCACGATATAACCGATCTGGAGCATTTTTGAACAGCATAAAGTGCTTCACAAGTTGCTATTCCGTTTTTAGCCCTCGGTTTCAGAGCTCGACTTATGGCTATATCATATGCTAATGTTGTTCACTTTCCCGGTTTTTTTTGACGTAGCTCTGAGTTCCAGTTGCAACTTTTCTACAACATTGAGACTTCAGAGAAAAAACAATCTTAAAATAAATAAATTCAATTGTAGTTCCAAGCAAACCCTTCGAATGTGAGTTCGTTGCAAACGAAAATAGTCTCTATTTACCTCCGTCTGCCTAGGCCAAAAACAGCTTCTCTCCAAAAGATACAATGCACTTCCTTAAAAAAGGCTATAGCGTCTCGAAATGGTTGCAAATACTATCCATATCTTAGTGTCATACTTCAGTTATAATACAACACCAGCGAGTGATGCAAACAGCGATTCAAAGACCAGAAGCAACTTACATATGACTCAGACACCACATTCAGCGTCCTTGTCAACCATTGCAGATCAAATGCAAACAATAATTCAAATTTGTTTGATTAAGTACCAGTCCCCTTAGAGTCGACGCAAATTTCAAATTTTGTTGATCGCTTTATAAAAATATTTGCAAGAGGCAAGAAAACTGCAGATCAGTGGCGTCGTCAGCTCGAAAAACCTCTGATGAGCAAAAACAAATTTTCTCGGCCACCCCCTTCAGACTCCTGTTTTTGGTATTTTTTATCTATTTTGAAATTTTTAGACAAGTAACTTTCTTAACCATCATTTTTCATAACTGTGGCTTTTTTGCTAGTTTGAAAATCGAAATCGATCTGATCTTCCCCCCCCCCCCCCCGAAAAAAGGTTTTTCAACGGTTTTCGAGAATTTCCACCCCAGTCCACCCCATGGTGACGCCACTGCGCAGATCAACATTAGAAAGCACATTCAACGCTCCAAAATATACTAGGAGCCCTTGGACACAAGATAGAAGAGTCTTATCTAGAAATAAAAGAGGAATTATTAATTCAGTCAGATTATTGTCAAAAAAGTTAAGATGATGAAGATGATACGGACACTGAACAATTCAGTGACAGTGTACAAGAAGAAGAATTTTAATGACATGGCAGCTTATGATCTTGAATTTTACAATAGAAGCTAATGTTTGTAAGTCTGTTATGGCTTCAGCTTAGAACGCTGTGAGACAAATTACAGATGAAACTGATTAACTAATTCCTTTTTCAAAACCGTTTGAAAATGACCCTGTATTTCATCCCTTTCCCTAAGTCCCAGTGCTGACAGCAATGCTACTCTAGATCATTGGAATTTCAGTAGTTCGTTTTTCTGTTGGAGGAGAAACCTTATTTTTTGGGCTTGGCGTATCTTTTTTCACAGAGATAGGGTAATAAAAATGTTTTATCTCTGTAAATATTTTATTCCACAATATATTGAAAATACGAAAAAACTACTATAACAGTATCCTTATGTTCTTAACAATGTTTGAATGCCCCGAATACCCTGTTAAACCATTTTGCCTGCTCTTGGTGCTTGAAAGAAAAAGAATTATGGTTTTGAAAACTTTCTCTTGTTATGGCAGGACAGAGCAGATCAGCTGACTGGCTGTGCTACTTAAAGAACTTCCGAGCCTAGATTTTTTCCACAAAATAATGACATCGAGCCTCAGCAAAATAACGTTTGGTTCTTATAAAAAGTGTAGTGTGGCAACTATTAAAAAAATAACCAGGCAGATATTAACAGTAGCGACTGGTTGTTATAATTCAGATAATCTATAGCTATTATTTGAGCCACCAAAACATAACTTCTAAATGCATCGATTAAAAAGCTTGTTATAGAAACAGCAGCTAATCAAAAGTTGTGAGTCAGCTTCCTCTTTTCATCTATGTCTAGCTATGTGTACATTTCTTTGAGTCTGACGATTCAATTTCTTTCTTTTCTAGTTTAAGTAATAACTTTGCCACAGCTTTCTTTGCATTATCTGGCTTTTTCTGTTTTCAAGCACAAACAGTAAGAGGAGGGGGGGGGGGGGCTGAGCTCTTCTCTTTTATGAGTATCCTAAGATGTGATGCTGCGCCCCTGGGCACTAAATCACTGCATCCCAAGGTGGAACCCAAGTTATGAAAAAATAATTCGATCGGATATTTTTCACATCTCTATTTATGGAATATCCGATGGAATCCTGGGAAATGGAATTCTTGCCGCCATGGGCCATTTCTTTGCAACCAAATGAAGTTTTAACAAGGCAAGTGGCCCTGATTGAGCAACCTCAACAGACATGTACTCGAGTTTCTGATTGGCTCATTTTGATCCACGTAGAGTTTTAGGTCCATGTTCTGACAATTTATACTCTGAAGAGCGTTCATTATATACAAATGATTTAATTTTTCGTTTCGTCAAGCCTTTTTTTAAAGCTTTGTACTACCAGAAGATTGCTTGCAAATAAAGTTTTTTAAAAAATGACAAGTAATCTGCTTTCGGTTATTTCTTCACTACTTTGCAGTTATAACGGAAACATTTTAAGGCACTATGTCCCATCAGTCAACCGTTCAGGGTTAGCAATAAGCTTTGCAGCGTGTTTAGTATGGAGAAAATTTTGAGGATTAGCCGATTGCTTCCGTAACAAGAGGTCTATTGCATAGTCTAACTATCAAATGATCAGTATAATACATCAGGACAGAACAGTGCCTTTAAGATAACAAAATTACCAAAAGGAGTCATGCTGATTAGTGAGCAATCCAGTCAAACAGAGAGGCATGAGCATATCAAAGAATGAGGGCACTACAATAAGAGGGACGATTTTGAAGCACACCCACTGAGAAATTCAAACTCATTTTCAGCATCAGTAGCCATTGGGCGATACAGCTTTACAAGTCTGTTACTCATGTTCATTTGGGACAATGTCATGGCACTTTTTTAGACAAGCAGATAACAAGTTTTGAGTATGCTCTTTTTGAATCGAGCAGTCTCATTGGTAACTAGAAAAATTGGATAAGATCTGGATAAAGATCTTTCTTACTAGGAATTTCCAAAATATTGTTTGCCACTACCGTTGCGCTGTACAAATTTATTGGCAACTTTTTTCAATATCTGACCAGTTCTTTGCTGATGAGAACAAAGCATCATCAAGTTGTTTCCTCAATTCTCTCAAACTACTTTGCAAATGACTTTCATTCTCCGCAGAGCCGAGGCTATCTTTCTGCTGCAGCATTATAGGCACATTGAAAACTAAGTGGCAACATTTTTTACTATTGTTTCCATACACATTTTGTACAATTTTGTCCAATGATGTGACATCTTTTACTTCAGGAGCAAGGCACTTTACTATTTCTAAAGGAGGTTTCAGCTATGGTGTTAGCTGAAAAAATCCACGTCTGTTTTTCATCAATCCCTCGTCTGCAGGGCCTAATCATTTTTCGGCTCCCTGGTTACGCCAGAGAGGATTATCCCAGCCTGTTGTATTATATTCATTATTTAAGAAACTTCCTCAAGGAAATGAGCATTCAACAAGGACTTAAGAAACTTTTTTACTCGAAGCAGAAAATGAAGAAACAGCTGAATTTTGAAAAACCGATAACTCAGTGAAAAAGCCATCAATGTGATTGGGTGGTGGGCAAAAACCGAAGCGAAGTCTCTTGACAGAAAAGAAACAAAAGAAAGATTAATGAGTCGTAATGTTTGTAGCTGTAAAACTCCTGCCCTAAAAGTTTCCGCTAGTAAGTTAACAACCCTATTTTTGCTGCAATGAAGTTGTAACATTTTAGATGGTAGATGTTAGACCCTGATGGTTTTGAACTATGTTATGAACAGAAGACCGACAACCACAATTTTTATGTCAGTGAGAAAAGCTGATATTTGCCATCTATTCAAATATTTTGACCGTGCATAATAAAAAAGTGGAAAAAGCGACATACATAGCAATTTATGGACATTGCAATAAATATGGCTGATCTTGCAAGCTTCTACTTCCGTTCAGCTGCAAAGCTATGGTCCCGAAGTTCGGGAAGCAAGATTGTTTCATGGGGGGGGGGGGGGGGGGGGGGTGCAAGCTTCTACTTCCGTTCAGCTGCAAAGCTATGGTCCCGAAGTTTGGGAAGCAAGATTGTTTCATTTGGGGGGGGGGAGGAGGTGTTTAAAGATGCAGGGAAAGAAAAAGACAACATTTACAGAAATGTTGAAAAACCATTTGTAAAGGGTTTCTTTGTTTCAAAAACGTTTTTGCTGACAAATAAAAGTATCACTAATCGTAACCCATTCCCTATCTTGTTAAAAATCAACTTTTGTTTCCAACACTTCATATTTAGGATCTTGCCCAACTAGGATATGTTGATAGCATTAACGTAAAAATTGTTGTATTATTACTGTACTTGTCACGCCCATCATGTGAATGTTAACATAGAAGTGCACCTAACTTTTAAAAAGGTACATGGATCTGTAAAAAATCTTTTTTTAAGCGCTGCTCATTTGCTTGCTAAACTAAAATTCTCCAACATTTGCAGCATCCAGCAAAGCTTTCTCTTTTTTTGCTGAAGGTACCATATATCATCAATTCTTCTACAAGGCCTACATCAACAGTCTCAAAATAGTGCTATCGATAGAATGATTCGACATCCAAGAATGAAAAGATGAAAACAAAATGAATGTATCGTTTAGTTCTACGAATGCTCTGGGATTATTTAAAGAACCAATGAAATGAAAATGGAGCAATGACATGACACGTGTTTAGTCTCAAGAAAGACAATTTTCATCCATAAAATAGGCATGCCTCAAGCTAAGCACAAGAGTATGGTCACGTGACCCCTAGGTTTCCCAGCTTCTAAGCCACTACAGTCAAATGCTCTATTCAAACATTCCCGATCCATCCTTGTTTATCAAAGATACAGGACATGGTTACTTCAAGAGAAAGGATACCAATACTTTTAGATATTTTAGTATTTAATTGATTTATATGTTGTTTCCGGTTGATTTTTTCATCAATTTATAAACCAAGGTACTTTGAGAAGGTTTCTTGTTTAAAATTTTCGTCAATTTATTCTTAGGTTTATAGTTCTATTATTTTTATGAGGTCTTACTATAAGAAAGTTGGATTAAGCTACATTAAGTGATAACTTATTAGCTAAGAGCCATTCAGAAACATTTTTCATTTCATGGTTCAATGTTTGTTTAATTGTGTTTAGGCTTTTATCAGCAAACAAAATACTTGTGTCATCGGCAAAGAGATGAAATTCAAGGACTTTGGAGGAGTTATGTATGTCACTAATATAAAGCAAGAAGAGGAGGGGGCCTAATACGCTCCCTTGTGGGACACCACAATTAATTTGCAATTCTGTAGAGTTATCGCCATTTACAGTAACAATTTGACTTCTATTACAAGTGGACCCCACCCCCCCCCCAACCCAAGCTGCAAATTAGCAAAGAACGAACTAACGCCATCCCCAACACACAAAACCCCCTCACACAAAACCGGGTTTTGAAAACCCCCAACACACACGACCTGCTCCCCGCAGAGGCGTGCCCCCTGCTGGGGCGTGGCTCCCGCCC